GTATGCGAACAGGGCTACGACGAGAAGCACTGGTCGGTCTCGAAGAGGGTCTCGACGATTCGTTGTAGTTCAACGGTGCCGCGGTAGGAGGCGGTGAAGTATTTATTGCTGCCATGATAAAACGATGGTGAGGCTTTGGCAATGCCGAAGCAGCCAAGCGTAAGTTTGGGTATATTCCAGAACGAGTGTCGAGATAGAGGCGGAGTTCGATAACCTGGCAAGCGCGCAGGACTCGGCGACCGTGCTATATCCAAGATCACAAAGAACCGAATGGGCCGAGACCAATTCTGGGCACGCTCAAGGAAACACGAGGCAACAGAAGATAGCGACCGTGGAGGAGAAGCGATTGTAGTCTGTAGTCAGTGACAGACGGTCACTTTAGCGCAACGTACGGAGTGGATGCTGCACGAAGGATATTTGGGTATGGATCCGAAACGCCGCGATACAGCGGAGACAAGGGGGAGCTGGGCAAACAGAGGATAGATCAGCGAGCGACAAGGGGGGGTGGTTGGAGAAACGATAGTTGGGGAGAACCCAAGGAGGCTGAAGTGAGAGGTGAGAGCCCTGGAATTGGTATGAGGTGATGAGCACAATAAAACGGGAATATCTGGTATTTTTTTTTTCTGAACGAAGGATAGAAGGGAGGAAGAATGATGGAAAAGCCAAGACTAACTAGACCCAGAATCGGACGGAAGAAAAGAAAATTCCAAGCATTAAGATGAGTGGACTTTGAGCTGAGATCCAATAAGGTCCTTTTTGTCCTGGGCGCTGCGCCGTCCGATTTTGTGAGGTGAGGTGGTGGTGAACGTGGTGGCAGTGGTGGTGATGAGGTCCAGGCGCCCACTGCAGTTTAGCTGAATTAGCTAAATTATGGCACATGCGCTTGTAGGAAGCCTGTGTGAGCAATGGAAGTGGAGGGACCCATGTAGAAAACCAGTGGGGATTTGTTTGCCTGACGGGTTAATAAATAAATGATGTCTCTTGTTTCGTTGAAGAACAAGTAGAGGAGTGTTTCAATTTTCCTTTTGAACCAAGAAAATGATCAAGTCATATAGCCCCGACGATGCTATTACTAAGTCGAGAAGGCCGGTTACTGCAGTACCTGGTCTGATCTGTTTCTTATAGAAAAAGGCATCAACCGCCGAAACCAGGCTGTTTAGGTAGCAAGAGTCGACGTTGCGGGAGCTGAACTGGTGGTAATTAGGAAGGAGCAGGGGTATTTTGCAACCAAGTATCACCAAGGAAGGCGCAGGATCTTTCTATTCACTCTGTGACCTCAACTCCAAGACTCCCGTTTCACTTGTTACACATCCTCTTTCTGCCTTTAAATCAGGAAATGATGATACCACAATAATGACGTGTACACAGAACACACACAGGCGCCGTGTGCATCCAACCCCTTTCCCTTCAGCATGCTACATACACGTCCGTGAGGAATGGTAGCTCTAGGAAAGCTCGGCATGACAAGCGCCTCAAGCGGAAATGGCACGGTCAAAATTGGCCGACTTGTCCCTTTCCTGCTTCTCCGAAAAGAAAAGTGACATGGAATGGCCGGCAGGTCTCAAAATGACAACCACTGCAAGTCCAATTCGTGAACTCCCATGTTGGTAGGAGAGCTGAAAAGCCTCGATGCAATGCCTCCCAATGGTACGTCGTGCCATAAACGAAACTGCATGTTAGCGTCATTACAACATTAAACATGGCTTAAATAACTCAACTCAAGGGTCCAGGCCAAGCCCAGCCCAGCGGGCTGCTGCGCTAACACTTAAATGGCTTCTGCTATTTCTTGACCGCCAGAGCACGCCTACGACATATGGGCGCTTAAATGCTTCATTTTTGCCATTTGGACATAAGCAACTCATGTGTTCTAGTATCATGGAGCCTCGCCGTTGCAACATTATATCTTAGTGGTAGATCTTCCAAACTCTGATCCAACGATACAACTCAATCGAGTTGAGTTAGTACACTTAAGTTTGTGTACCAGGCCATCCTTGTCTGCGATTTCAACTCCAGGTTGTCAACATTAAGGCAGCGCTTACCGTTGAACAAGGCTGAGCAGCCGCCATGGCGTCGGTGTCGTCACGCAAATATTACCCTAGAACTGCAGCCACTGGTCGCTTCGTAAAGGAAAGCAAAATCGGAGATTTCCTTAACTGTTACTTTCGGTGGGCGGGTAGCACGTAGGTTGCATTTGTTTCGGCAATTAGCCCGGGTATCTGGTAGACATATGAATTCTTGTATCACATACATAAATATTGGTGGACGAGTACAGAAACCAGCAGATCGATTTATAACATGTCGTGAGGAATATTCTGTCGACAGTTGGCTGCTGTTTTATTTGGATACAGACGTTGACCAAACACTATTCAGGGTGGGTACTGTCCATTGAATAGATGAAATGCTATCCAAGGCCTGGTGAGGAGTAGCACGTGGGCAAAGCTCGCCTTCCGCTGCGGCTGGTCTTTTTGAATGGGGCGGTGTTGGCTGGCAAGGGGTTCTTTTCAAGATTGGTCTTCTCAGAACACACATATAGTATATTCCGGGTTCTTGATAAACTCCGAGGGAGTTGTATACACAGCAACCTCGAACTCTTTTGGTCAATATTTCGTCGAACCGAATGGTGGATATACAGCGGCATGATTTCTCCCCTTCAGATCTATTATTATATTTAGGAAAGAGCTGAGTTTGCCCAGTGATTTCCTTGGGACTTTGATTATTAGTAGCAGAGTAGTTTTGAATTCACGGCGGTCGGGCCGTCGATCGGACGGCCCCACCCGGCCGACCCGGCTGCCACTTAATCCATCCACCATCCACATGCTGAGTGATCGTTTCGCAATACTTTCAAATAATCCTATCATTCTTAAGCAGTTAGATTAACATGGAATTTTTAGACGCAAGTTTTACCTCAAGGAATGTCTGAACTGCTGTTGCTTATGACTCCACCATGGATCTTTGGTCGAACCCCAGAGTTTCCACTCATCCCAGGATCAAGCTTCTTTTTAAAGTCTGGGGAACCCCACGACAAAGCCACTGCCAGCTCAAGGATACGACCCAACTTTGTTAATGAGTTTGTTAAATCACACTTGCAGACTTGACAAGTACTCTGATCATGTTCCGATCTTAGTTGAAGCACGGCCTATTGTCAAGGTATCTTGTTGTAGAACACGATGGGCACTTAATGGCCTAGATAAGCGTATATTAATTAAAAAATACCCTAAACACGCCCAACAAAATACCTTGACTATATCCTTGTATCAACAGAGAGTTTAGACTCAGTTTTGGATCTAATTCAAGTACTGATTGTTCGCACGATATTCGAAGCTTCTACAGTCCCGTGAAACTTCTCGTATAAACAATAAGCTAGCGTCAATTCCACCCACCTGATGTCGTCGATCTGGCTCGTATCGAAGCTGTTGTCTGCCATTCATGCACTCGTGCAGCCGGAAGGTATAGCCTCCAGTACTGCACAGATATCTCACCGGGTTTTAGCCTTCTGCATCACTTGCTCCGGCAGATCCGAGTTTTGTGTTGAAGTCTATATATTGCACAGCATGATACGACTGGCTGTATTATATGATACCGAGAAGGCTTCACTGTCTCAAATGGAGGGTTGCCAAACAAGAGGCTCGTTTATCTACGGACTAATTTCAATGGCCGAAGTCTGCACGCTGTAGGATCAAAAGGAGACATGTCGTGATGTTGTGACCATTGAAGCAATATCGTCAGAACAAAGGTTTGGCGTCTGCACACAGACGAATCATTTGGCCCGCTTCGACCAGAGTTTGAGTTTAACTGTAATTGATGGGATTGGATCACTTTAATAGAAACACTGTATTACCATAGAAACGAAGACGGTTGACGGTTGGACACTTGGGCTGTAAATAACGTTAGCACGTGGGTATAGAGTTCCTCTTTCTCGATTGAGGGAACCGTAACACTCGAATTGTTCTGCATGCTGCAGCAAAGACGAAAATCACTAGTACGATGAATAAGGTAGTTATGGTGCATAAAGGTCATAGTAAAAACCAGGTTAAGTGTTGAGGGTAGTAGGCAAGCAGAGAGAGGGTTAGGGATAGCCAGCTAAGAACATTGTTAATAAGGGGTAGTGGTGATTAATATCTCAAGACATCATCGGGGCGAAATGAACCATATGTATACCAGGGAATGCCTAAAACAACGGCTGTTGCGCATCGGGCTTCGACTGCTGATTAAACCCGACAACTTGGATGGACAAACTCTTGATAGCATGTTATTGTCAAGCTGCCATCATTAGAACAAACCGTTCTCTCTACACGACCTTGACGAAGAGTCGATAAACGGTACAGAGGAAGGGGTCTGCTCACCTTTGGTATCTAGCCAAGGGGGAAGCGTAGCAATTACACCAAAGGATCAGATCGGCTTGTCAAGCGAGATAGCGGCGACTGATTTACTAACCCCTGGCTACCTTATAACATTGGTAGAACCTGTTCCTGCGGATAAGTGAGTCCGCAAGTAAAGTTTGGTTGGTTTACACAGGCCGCTTCATATGTACAAACTGGCATTAATGCACACCATACACTGACACCACCGCTTCACCATAGCCCTCAAGCGATGTACACCCGAGTAAATCGAGGTCTTAGAATTACCCACACCACTATTCACTATTAGCCAAGTCTAATTACTCGCGTGTTTTAATCTCGAATTAGCCAAGAACAACCTAGGTATGTTTGACGACGACAAGTTAGATATGGGTCAAAACAGGTTCCTTCATCATAGCAACGCAGGCTCGAGATATATGTATTTCATTATACCTTGACCATTGCTCTAACAATGAATTTAGACTCGAAGCACCTGGGTTCTTTCCTTGGAACGGGAGAACCGATGAACCTATTTCCCAGATATGTGCAAGCATCTGAATCGAGCTGCCGGGGCAACCGCCGGGCCATTAACCCACATCTGCCACAGACAGATGGCCCTTGCAAATCTCAAGCCCCAAGAGGCCACAAGCCCGGACTATTTCAACCTAGCGCGCCCAATTAGTGCAACCATCAGTGGTAAGGCTATTCTGTAATTGGCTTTCATCCGCCCCCTTCACAAGGTTCTCATGCCCAGGATAACGGCAAGGGAAGGAGCAACAAGACCGTTGGCCGTTCAATCGCTTTCTCTCGTTCGCTCCCGTCTTCCTCTTCCCACCTCAACTCGTTCCGTCCAGTCCAGACACAACCGTTCGTTGTCGTTGTCTTCGCTCGAGGGACGTTCACTCGGTCGCTTCCTTCTTGTTGTCCTTTTGTTTCTACATTCGCTCCTACCTACTCTCGCTCCTGTCACTTATTACAACACTGAACAGGTCCAAGCAAGCACTGCCGTCCCCTGTTGCTACCATAACCGAAAAACCCTGGTCGCCCCATCACTCACTCGCTCGCTCACTCACTCTGCTCCACGCCATCGTCGCTCAATTCCAAACAACGGCGCCCTGTTTCTTTTGCTCTGACTGGATGAGAAGTATTTCTTACTTGTAATTCGACTCGACTCCATGATCCTCTCTCCACATTGAGCCTTGATCGAGTCGACTCTCGACAAACGACACGCGGGCACTGCCTGTCCCGTGCTTCACCTTACTCGTCTCCTCAGAAACTTTCCACTTCTACAGGGATATTCCCAACTCAAACCTAAACCTCGAGAGAGGTTGTTGTAACAACCACAACATATCCTTTCGTAAGTCGCAGATCTTGTTTGTCTTGTTTCGTCTCGACTCTTCAATGTCTTGTCGGCTTTTCATCTACATGAATATTTGATGTTGCTGTATCTTGGCGTTCAACATATCGTGTTCCCCTTTCTTGTTGATCGACACGTACCTTCCTCCTCGATACCGCCTCCTTCAGCTTTCCTCCGACCGAAGGGTCAAGTTCTCTGAGCTCGGCGCTCAGCCCGCACATGCTTTTAACGGCTGGCTTTCGAGGTTTGTCTTCTTCTAACATTGCTCTGCCAGGACGATGTCTCTTCCCGAAAGGCCGGGTGCAAGCCCGAGCTATAATCAGCGCAATGTTTATCGCAACTCGCCATCAAGGCGATCGAGACCCGTCGATATCGAGACTGGTGGCTACCATGCTGTAGATAATACGGCTCAACATCAACGTGGGAGATCCGGTTCTTCGTTCGCAGAGTCAATCGGTGTTAATTCAAATACAGAGAGTATGCCTCTGTCGCCAACATCTCCCGATGGCCATTCAAGTCGCGCTGGCCCAGAACAACCCATATCCCGAAAACGAAGCTTGATTCGTCCGGAGAGAAACAGAATCGACAGAGACCATCGCAACTACCATTACCACAAACATGCTGCTCACATGAACGTTCTGCCATCCTCAACAGGGAACGACCCTATTTACGAGGACTTCGAAGCTTCGACAGACCGCTCCAATTCGAACTTGAACGATGGTGGTTCGGACAGTTCCCCTCGACAAAGGCGAAATGTTAGCGGAGAGCAGGAGAAGGGCGCTGCTGTGGCATCTACCATGCCCACCCCAGATCGCAAAAAATCAGGTAAGATTAAGAAGAGATCGAAGCGCCATTCAAAACCGCCGAAGCGTATAGAAGAGCAGCTTCGGCCGCCTACCTTCTGGAATGTCTACTGCGCAATCGTTACTTTCTGGGCTCCTGGATTCATTATGAAGTGCTGTGGTATGCCAACGAGGGCGCAGCAGAGGGCCTGGCGCGAGAAGATGGGTCTTATCAGTATCATCCTCGTTATCATGGCCATCGTTGGTTTCCTGACTTTTGGTTTCACCGCAACGGTTTGCGGAGCTCCTGCCGAGCGACTACGCGTCAATAAGGTTGACGGCGGGAACATGATCTTCCACGGTGTCGCTTACGATTTGTCGAAATCTCATCACCCCCCTGCCCAGGGCATGCCTCTCCGTTCGGACGGACGAGGTCCCAACGTTCTTTATGATCTTCCCGAGAAGCACGGCGGACAGGATGGTAGCTTTTTGTTTCAAAATGTCAACGGCCGATGCAAGGGTTTGATTACTCTTGCTAAAGACTCAGATGTGCCAACCAACAAGGATGGCGACCTGGCCTGGTACTTTCCTTGCACAACCTTTAACCAGGACGGCTCAAGCAAAGTCAATTTGACCACACCATACTATTCTGGTTACGGCTGTCATACGACGCTCAACTCTCGAAATGCCTTTTACCTTGACTTGAGTGGTTCCGCGGATGTTTACTTTACCTGGGACGACATCAAGAACAGCTCGCGTAACCTTATAGTCTACTCTGGAAATGTTCTGGACCTTGATCTCCTCCGTTGGTTCAACATGAGCCAGGTCAATATTCCAAAGAGGTTTGAAGAGTTGCGAGACAAGGACTCGGAAGTCAACAAGGCCATTCGTGGCCGCGACGTTACTCGCATGTTCCAGTCTTCTTCAGACAAGAAATACGCAGAATGTTTCGAGGAGATCATCAAGGTTGGCTCTGTGGATACTGAGACGATTGGTTGCATTGCCTCCAAGATCGTTCTTTACTGTGCGCTCGTTCTCATTCTTTCAGTTGTCGGTGTTCGCTTTCTGCTGGCTATCATTTTCCAATGGTTCCTTTGCCGCAAGTATGCGCCAACTAAGACCTCCCAGAGTTCTGACCGTAGGAAACGAAACAAGCAAATCGAAGATTGGTCAGAGGACATCTACCGTGCTCCTGTAAGACTTCCTGGAGATGTTGGAAGCACTGTCTATGGATCATCAGACCGAACAAGCAAACGAGGATCTTTCCTCCCTACTACTTCTCGATTTTCGTCTGTCGGTGGCCCTGATGTTCGGGCATCAACTGGACGTCGCATGCCGACAACCATGGCTAGCCAAGGTGCCTCAAATCAACTTCTGACACCCGGGGCAATCTTCAAGCAGGGCAACGACAGCCGTGCGAGCTTCCTTCGATCTGACCCCTACTCGAGCACGCCTACTGATGGACCCGGCCCCGCTGGCTTCATTCATGACGCTGTTGTTCCTCAGCCTCCTTCTAACTGGATGCCCTTTGGCTTTCCACTCGCTCATACGATGTGCTTGGTTACTGCATACTCTGAAGGAGAAGAGGGTATTCGAACCACTCTGGACTCGATCGCAACTACCGATTATCCCAATAGCCACAAGGTTATTGTTGTTATCTGTGACGGTATCATCAAGGGCAAGGGTGAAACAATGTCGACACCTGACGTCTGCTTGGGCATGCTGAAGGATCACTCCATCCCCCCTGACATGGTTGAGCCTTTCTCCTACGTGGCTGTCGCCAGTGGTTCCAAGCGGCATAACATGGCCAAGATCTATTGCGGATTCTACGATTATGGAAGGAACTCTCGCATCCCCGCTGACCGTCAGCAGCGAGTGCCCATGATGGTTGTGGTCAAGTGCGGAACTCCTGATGAAGCCACCAAGTCCAAGCCCGGTAACCGTGGAAAGCGAGATAGTCAAATTATCCTCATGTCGTTCCTCCAAAAGGTCATGTTCGATGAACGAATGACAGAACTCGAGTACGAAATGTTCAACGGCCTCTGGAAGGTGACGGGAATCTCGCCCGACTACTACGAAATTATTCTCATGGTTGACGCCGATACCAAGGTTTTCCCTGACAGTCTGACACACATGATATCTGCCATGGTGAAAGATCCTGAGATCATGGGTCTTTGTGGTGAAACAAAGATTGCCAACAAAAGGGACAGCTGGGTCACAGCTATTCAAGTATTTGAGTACTTTGTCTCTCATCATCTTGCCAAGTCGTTCGAGTCTGTGTTTGGTGGTGTTACTTGTTTACCTGGCTGTTTCTGCATGTACCGCATTAAGGCGCCCAAGGGTGGTCACAACTACTGGGTTCCCATCCTGGCTAACCCCGATATTGTTGAACATTACTCTGAGAATGTGGTCGAAACTTTGCACGAGAAGAACCTATATCTCCTTGGTGAAGATCGTTTCCTGACAACCCTCATGCTTCGAACATTCCCCAAGCGAAAGCAGGTCTTCATTCCCCAAGCAGTATGCAAAACGACTGTACCGGACGAGTTCATGGTGCTCCTTTCCCAGAGACGTCGTTGGATCAACTCGACCATCCACAACCTGATGGAGCTGGTTCTAGTCCGTGATCTCTGTGGTACCTTCTGTTTCTCGATGCAGTTTATCATCTTCGTGGAACTAGTCGGCACTCTGGTTCTCCCTGCTGCTATCGCGTTTACTTTCTACGTCGGTAAGTAATATTTCATTCTCAACGTGAGACAATCACTGACAATCACAGTCATCACATCCATTATCCACTCGCCACCACAGATCATTCCCCTAGTTCTCTTGGGCTTGATTCTTGGTTTACCTGGCCTTCTCGTTGTCATCACCGCACACTCCTGGTCCTATATTGTTTGGATGCTCATCTACCTGCTGGCACTGCCAATCTGGAACTTTGTCCTGCCTACTTATGCTTTCTGGAAATTTGATGACTTCTCATGGGGCGAGACTCGAAAGACAGCTGGTGAAAAGACGAAAAAGGCAGGCCTCGAGTATGAGGGTGAGTTTGACAGCAGCAAGATTACCATGAAGAGATGGGCCGAATTCGAACGCGACAAGCGCTCGAGAAGCGGCTATTGGGGTTCACGTGAGAACGTCGTTGGTGGTGGTGGTGGAAGCTGGACCAGCCCTCCTGGTCACCAGTATAATGATGAGTACTTTTCTGATGCTTGATTTCGGGGACATCGGATTATGGGGGAAACCATGTTGAGAGCGAACGGTGTTTTTGATGATGGAATGCATGCACATATATGTAATAAGGGGTAACATTCTTGAGGCCAAGTATTCATGTTCTGATGCCCGGGGTGGGCGTTGGCGGACAAAGGTCCTATTTTTGTATAGAGTCAGTTGGATTGGAGATGGCGTTATTCCAGCGACTATTTGTGAATAGTATAATTTGAAGGTTTTTATAAAGGAAAAGTTAGGTATGCCAAGTTCGCAATGAAGTGATGGTTGTCATGCCAGGAAGATTATGACAAAAGTGTAGAGACTCGCAAACATGAATTATTCAGGCTTCTATTATCTGAGGGCTTCTTGCCATCATTCATGTCAAATATATTATCTGAGAGCTAGCTGTATTGAAGTTTTGCAAGGGTTGTTATTAACAGTAATCGAGGGTGGTTTGTGTGTATTGTATGCTTGATAAATATCATCACTGAAGCTCCGGCAAAAATGATGTATGTGTGCAATGATATATTAGAGAGGAGCCCAGTTCACCTTTCAGAACGTGAAAAGAGATATGCGACGCGAGCGACGCAGACGGCGCTGATGACTTCCAAGTAGGTAGGATAACATCAATTCTCAATCTTTGCAATGCAACAAAATCTCAAGATAGAATTTCCAACAAGACACAAGCAGTTGTCATTAAGAGGCTGTTCAACTTGAAGCCAAAGCCTAAGGTAACTATTCCATCAAGTCCAAAACTCCTTTCACCATGCACATCTTCTCGTAACGCCGACGAGCCGCAAAAACCAACAAGCGACTCAGTGTAATAACCCTACATGGAATGCATCATTTGTTCATGATGGTCGTCAACAAGAAATAGACAAAAAAAAAAAAACGCCTCGCTCTTCTCACGCCATATCATGACTCTTGCTTCCTTGAGTGATCTACATCCTCCCCGAGTTCCCAAGGCTTTCGAGGGTCGACGTAGGTAGAGATACGCTGATCTCCCCATCGAGCTCCGACAGTAACCCATACATGTTTCTGGGGTGCGTGGTTACTGATGGTTTCCCGGTGACCACCCCAACGAAGACGGGATTCTCGACTCATTTGACTGTTGCCCAGGCCACCGTTGGTCACCCATTCCTTCACGACATCCTTGATAAAAACAATCTTGCGTCGGAAATCATTGGCAGCAGGAATACCCTGTAACTCAGGCGCAATCTCAGGGCGTCTTCTTGTTGTGGCTGTGGTTCGGCCAGCGCGAGGGGCTGCAGGCTTTGCCTGGAAGTTTAACAATGTCTGCAAAGGGTATGATAGCATCGCTCGGTCATCAAGTGCAGCGGCGCCGATAGTGCCAGTGGCTGCGAGTCTCTCGGCAGCGTCTTGAGGGAGATGCCAGAAGTGACACCAGGTCCCTGTATGATCGATTACGATCTTTGTATGATCGGGGAAATTGAACTGTACAGGTTAGCTTGATGTCGAAATCGCCCAGATGTAGTCACGTACTTGAAGATGGCCATCGCAGAAGACCCAGCAACCAACATCTCCGAATCGCTGGTAAAATGTGACGAGCTCAGCTACTGTGCCCTTCTGCCCAGGAGACATGGCACCAGCCGGGTCGGTCTCTTCAACCGGCACGAAATCGTCCCGTCCAAAAGCAATCATGTAGTTAGCAAATTTCTTCCAGAGAATAATTCTCTCGCGCTTCCGATGCTGGAAGATGTCCCTACCGGGCTGCATCTTGCCTGCAGTCCCATCTTCTTTCACAGCCACTCGAAATTGCTCAGGAGAGACAACTACCTCCGAAAGGCCAGCCTCGCCATTATTCTCAAAGAACTTGATGGGTTCTGTCATTGGGAGAGGCTGCACCCTATCCTCGTACGTCTCGTCCTTACCACGAACGATATGTCTCTCGGCACCGCGAATGAATACCCCAGCAGGAGGAAGCAAGGCGGGCTTGCCGTTTTCCGTGGTTGGGATATCTCGAAGAATGCATCCAACACTACCGTCATTTAGGATATATCCAAGGCCGAATTTGTTGGTGTAGTCAACCCATTTGACAACAACATGCGGATGCGGCGGCGCAACAGTTTTGGATGATATTATAGCCATCGTCCTCGAGTTCAGAGCTCGTTCAAGTTCATTCTGAAGACGATGCAGACGATCCAAAACCATGTCGGGCTTCGTTCCGGAGATTCTATCTTGCCGCTCGGAGGCGCTGAACAGTGTTGCAGGCCGCATGCCGGTAGTATCCTTCTTAGGGGGTGCAGCTGGCGCAGGAGGGGCTGTGGTGGCAGGAGCAGATGCTTGACGGTCGAGCGAAGGTCGTTCAGAAAGCTGTCGCTCTGCAGGTTGCTGAGACGCTGCCCTTGCCGGAGGTGCTGATCGAGTCGAAGTTCGCAGGCTCTTGCCAACAGACTCAACAGTTTCCCTTGGAGGAGCTTCTCGAGGCAGTTCCTTTCGTGTTCTTGTACGTAAGCTCTGGGAAGCCGAAAGAGTTGCTTCGGGCGCTGGGCGGGGTTTTGCAGATACCATGGTGCCTGCTGGCCTGTGTTGCATTCTCTGCTGGGCAGCAAAACTCTGAGGAGGCTGACGAAGGAGGCCTGCCGGTGCTCGTTGAGTAGCCGACAAAGGGTCTTCGGTAGACATGCTTGCCTGTGCAGCCAGAGATGCTGTGTACCTGGCCTTTATCTGCTGCTGCTCCTTCAGCCACTCTTCAAATGGTCTGTAGACAATTCCTTCTTCGAGAGGGATCATAGGTGTCAGTCCAGCCTTCTCCTCAGCAGCCATCTCCTTCCACGTCTGAGTGTGGACGACCTGAACTGGGGCGTAAGGGCCGATGCCACACTCTCGACACATGTCCTTGAAGTTCCTGTATGATTGTGCTTGTAAAGCACTGCTCATTCGAGTGGCGTAAAATTCCTCACGGTCCGGGGGGACTTCTCTTAGGCGCGAGCTCATTTCCGCTTCGGTAGGCATATAACCACAGGTGAAAAAGGGGTGTTGGATAATGGCCTCCGGTTCCGGTCGGCTTTCAGCATCTTGAAGCATCGTGGCAACTAGTTCCTTAGCTTCCTGGCTGATGTATCTTCGTGATGTTTCCGCCGATGGCCAATCATAATCCCTCTCTCGAGCTCGGCGGTAAATTTCGTCTGTGGTCGAGGATTGAAACGGCGGCTTCGATGTGAACATGGCGTACATGATGATGCCCAGGCTCCAGATGTCAACCATGTGGTCATGCCCCTTCTTTCCTTTCTCCAGAATCTCGGGAGCAATGTAATTGGGTGTTCCGCACAAAGTTGTGCGACGGATGGTGTGCATATCGCGACCAGTCACCAACAGAGCGGCAAGACCAAAATCACCGATCTTCGCGTTCATCTGAGAGTCGAGGAAGATGTTACCCATCTTCAGGTCACGGTGAATGATGCCCTTGTTGTGCATGTACTTGATGGCGCCAGCGATCTGAACCGAGTAAAAGCGGACTTCGGGCTCAGTGAGACCTTTCCTTCGCTTCACCATATCCATGAGAGAGCCGTTCGGACACAATTCGAGAATCAGATATGTGCATTTTTCGTATGAAAAAGCTCGCAAGAATTGAACGATGTTTTTGTGCTTCATCTTTGAGTGAATCTGGAGCTCGGTTTGGAACTGAAACGTGTTAGATGTGTGTCAATGTGTCTTCTATCTGTCACAAACCTTTTGTTCCATTTTTGGAGGCATGTGGCTCTTGACAATCTTCAGAGCAAATCGCTGCTTTGTGGGCAATAATTGGCCACTGTAGCAGACTGCGAAGCCACCCTTTCCGAGCAGTTTACCGACCTGATACGTTGCTCCATCAGGTCGATCGGTGCTTGGAGGCTCGGGGACCTCTGTAGGCGGAGGTGGAGGGTGTTCCTTCTCCTTGGCGGCCTTGAGTTGGGCGGCCGTCTTTGTTTTGATATCGGTTACTTTGGGTACTCGCTGGGCGTTGGCATCCCTAGGGGACAGGGCCTCGAGATCGACGCCGCCTCGGGGCGCTAGCCTATGAGCCATAGCTGATGAAAAGCTCGGATATTGCGATGCGAAAGTTCAACGAGTTTGTGGACGGTCGTTGCCAAACAGGCGAGCGGGCTAGAAGGTCAGCAACCGCGTTGAAGTGTCGCAAGTATCGGACTAAGATAAAAGGTTAGCAACATCGAAGTGAACATGGGACGAAAGAACCGAGTGCGTGTCCAATGGTTTTATGTACAGTAGACGAGGTGGTGATTCAGTGGAACCAGTGGGCAGAACTCACGAGACTCGCGACGTCAACATGCAAGACGAATGAAAGAAAGTCGCCTATTCGTGCAGTGAAAGCAAGGACGTTAAACAATACTGAAAACTGAGATGCTATCGCCCGGTGCTATGGGTTAGTATTTGTGAGAGCAAGAAACCGACGAGCGACGCTGAGCGAAGAGAGATGGAGAGAAGTCATCAGTTGCCGCGACTGGTGGTTTGGTTTGTGTACTTTCTTAGTAGGCTGTTGCCGCTGGCAACCACAGAGCTGTAGCGGGTCGTGGAATCGTCCAATCAAATAACACCATGCCTCGTCTGTGCCTCTGGCTAGCCAATCAAGGAATTTCAATCCTTGAACGACAAGGCCAGCATTTGGCCAAGATTTGCTGAAATAAAGCGGTCAATTGGCAGGTAATTTTCGTACTTTTGTTATGAGTGGTTATCTTACATCGTAAGTCATGAATATCTAAGTCTATAGTGGAGAAGAGGCTATAATATGATAAGAAACAAAAGGGTGCATAATTACCAAGTACCAGCTATGCATTGTCCAATATTTCAGCTGTCCATGGGCGAGTCTCCCTGGTATTTCGAGGCTTGAAAAGTGCTCGCGTTTCCATCTGGTTGGCTTCCCTGCTTGCAGAGGGTTTCCGGGCACACCTAATTTGGTCGTTCGTCGATTTGAGTGTTATGATACTTGTAATGCCGGGACTAGCAATTGATTTGTCTTGGGATCCCTCAACTGGCGCAGTGTCTCCTCCAAGCTTTCATATCTTTCCTTGTGCTTCTTTTCCGCCTCTTCTAGCTCGTCTTCCCTCTTCTTCAGCTCTTCAAGTTTCTGATCCAGTTCTTCTATCCGCAATTTGTTCATGTCGGGCTTCTGTGACGACTTCCAGGTTTCGTAGACAATTAAGGCGATGGCTACCGAGAGGATGAACGCATCTCCAATGACATCGGCGAACAGATCGACCGCTTTGTTCTCGGGAAGTGGCCTGAACTTGCGTCTCCAGATGTTTTGGAACGGTATGCTCTTCTTGGGGAGTTCGGGAGCCTGCTTCTGTTTAAGCTGATCGTCTCGTTTCTGCTGCTCTTCGGTCTTGACCGTTGGTGCTTCGGCCTTCTCTTTTGCTCTTCGTTCAGCGTCTGGGTTCCGTAACAATGCGACTGACATCCTCATGTTCAATTGATGCATGTATTGTCCGTATCGGGCAGCGAACGCTCGGAACCGGGGGTGATCGTGTGCCTGAGCTTTGATGTGATTCTGAGGAGCTGTCAGTACCTGGTCCAGTTGCGACAGGGGATAGTTCGTACGGCGCCATATTTTGAGACATGCCTCACAAGCAGAGATGCAAGCTTGAATAGCGGAAGAGGAACCATGGCTGGTGGTGGTTTAGGAACTCTTGGCTCCAGTGTTGAGAGCTGCTTGCCAAGCTGTCTCGAGATCGGATATTTGATCGCTGGTGGGGCTTCCGTGGCGGAGAGTCAATTGAAGCTCGAATGCTGATGACACGTCAACAGAGCGCACAGTATAGAGGAGATCGGCTCGTTTTGAATTGTAAGAGCAAATTTGATTCGAAGACTCACTGATGATATCAAAAGCAAGTACGTCATTCTAGGTAATTAGATATTTCGAGGAGAGTCGATGCCGTCTCTTCCGGAGCCGTGATATTCCGTGCTGACATAGGTAGGGACAAGAAGCTTAGTATAGACCAGGGGTGAGAAGCTTGTAGAGCTCTGATTGGTTACTTAACTTATTCCTTAACCATGACACTTACGCAGAGCGAAACTACTGTGTTGATTGAGCTGACACTCACTGACAACAGGATTTCCTTCTTACGGTATATAAGTAGCTAGCAGATAGATAGAGGGATCTTCCTTTGCTTTGTAAACTGAAATACAAAAGTCCCCCTCCGTACCTTGGCTTCTCAGTACGGAGCCAGAGGTATTGACAGCCTCCGTGTCATCAACTGGTGATATAAAGCTCACTCTTGAAAAGGGGAGCCTTGACATGAAATAATTCGTCCGTTGCGTTAAAGATGATAAACGCCAAGACTTGCGCCAGCTCAATTCTCGTGCTGTCCATCTCTGTTGGTTGCTCTTCCTTCCCTAAGTCCCTACCCAGGCAGGCTGTACTAACCCAAGTACTACCTTAGGTAGGTAAGGTACCTTAGGTACTACTCAGCTGCCTCGCCTCCCTTCCTTGAAATATGTCTCCAATATCTCAGCATGATAAATTCGTAAGTTTCTACCAGACTGCATTGACTGATATCACGGCTCAATTCATCCACATCCTCAACAAACCATTCTAGGCCCCGCGCGATCTTCTGGACAACCATTACTCTTGGGGACTTGCACCACAAACTTGACTGATCATGTTTTGTTCATCCTTACGGAAGCGAAGAGAATGGGCACCGGCGGTTCATTCGCTAACAACAAGCTCGTCAACATGGAAAGGTTGGTTATCGATGTGACCTGTTTGCTATTAGGTATTATCACGCACGCACTCACACTAGCGTCCCTAGAAAGTAACCTGGAGGCTTGTGATATCACATTTCCGGTCCCCGTTTCCAACAGCCCACCCGCTACCTTCAGAGCAATTGTCTCGTCACTGTCTGAGCTCCAGTCTTCTGAGGGAAAGGCGCGCATGGCAAGACTGTTGCTTATGAACGGGGGAGAGCATATCGCAGTGATATTGCTTTTGGATGGTTACAAGCCCATGGAGTCTTTTTCTCGGCTGCAAATTGAGTACGCATTCACATCACTGGCTTGCCTATTACCTGTTGACTTACTCTATAGGATGCTTTGCTCAGATTGTCCCATCCCTATGATTCCCATTTCTACGACCCAAGATTTTGCAGACTGCCTTGAATCTCTCAGGCGGAATTGCATTAGGAAGAATTCCGCTGTCAATACTGAGCAACGGGCAACCCATAAGAACTTGGTATGCTGGTGCGTCGAAGGCAAACCTCTTTCAAGAGACCAGGTCAACGTCCTGACCGGAATCACCTCCGGGTTCAGAGGCTTCGCCGACCTCTACTCCAGCCCCGGCGGACGAGCTACAATCTGCGAATACCTAGGAGATAGCGATGGTGAACGAGTCGTCTCGTTTCTCTCCAATGGCCCGCCCCAAGTCCGCAAGCAACCAGGAGTCACATATGCACACAATGTGTGATAAGCTAGATAGTTGGTCCTGTTTCCAAGATGCTGGGCGGCAACGACAAGTCTGCTTACCGAAGACTTGGAATGCATTATGTATAATGGCATGATAATGGTTCAGTGCAGAATAAGATCTCACAAGGAATGTCGTTCAGATCGATCATCCGCCCAGTATTCTGGGTCACAGCCTGCGGTGCAGAGCGGTGTCGTTTAAGTCATGACAGGCATCTGGGCAAAAGTACAGGGATGAGCCATGATACATGCAAGCTTAATGGAGTGCATATTCGACCACTCGCAATTATTTCGAAGGGGTTTATAGCGAAAACAAGTTACGGGTTCTCCATATCTGCGTCGCTGAACTCGTTCGCCGTTGTTGAGACAGGGTAGTCTACTCATGTAGGTGATAGAACAAGTATCCACAGGGCAACGGAGTGAGCCAGGTGGAAGCTGAACCAATTAGAGCGATGCTGCAACCGCCGAGCTAGGTAGACGACAATGTGAATCGGGCTCACTATGCTCATGGTAGGCCTCAGGCTCGGTTATCACGCACTATCGGACGAGCCTATACCTTCGCTTGCATGTTTGGGGGCAAGTCACAGCTTGTGGTCTTGGTTGATACGGTGAGGGAAAAATGACCAAGCCGCTACTCTGTGAGGTGGTATGAGAAGAGTGATAGCCGGCACTAGCTCAAGATGATGGTCAAGAAACAGAAAGTAGAAGTGGTGCTATCCACATCAGATGATGGATGGTAGCAAGAGCTGTTGGACGCATTCTGATCGGTCCCGAGGGATAGGTTAAGGAAGCGGATCGCAGCCGCTTGATCCAAAGATTCGGGATCTCTCTGAACAAATGAAGCAATCCTGTTTCGAGAAGCGCTTTAATATGGGGGCGCAATGTCTCATAAGTTGTTAATGACAACCAACATGCTTTTTGAAGATAACCAACACCAGATCTTCCCCAGATCCTCTTCAACCAACAACTGCTCGACAGGGCAAGTTGCCACAATTAGCGTGACGAGTGGTACAAAGCGTCGTGGTTTAAAAAAAGAACACCACATGCAGCGTTTAAGTGAGCAGGGATTAAAGAAGTGGTGGGCGGGAGAGGGGCCAGGGGTCAGGGGTCCAACAGCAAGTCAAAACACCGCAACGTCGGCTGTCCCAGCATCTGCCTCATGTGGTATCCTCCTAGTCTCATGAGAGAGGCTCGAGATAAAACAAGAAATTGACTACTGATGGCTGTCGACCGAGAGATAGGTGGAAGAGTCTCTCGCTGAGATGAAGCTCATCTAAGGGAACGACGAAGTAATTGTATTCTCTTGGCTCTTCTCAAAGTTGAGTTGTTTAACTGGCTGCCCAGGGCTTCCTTTTAGCTTCATGCGACATCACTCAATCCCTGTCGCCTCTCTCTCTACCCGCTTCCCTTCTTCTCCCACATGGCTGCTAAGCACGCTCATTGGCTTGTGCTCTGCATCTAACCGCCGAGGTCATCACCAATTACCAGCCTTCACACCACTGCGACATATGAGCTTATCGATGTTTGACCACACCAGCCGTGGCAACGGCCAATCATGGTATCTCAGAGCTGCTTGCACCCGCTTTAGGTCCAAGATGATGGACGTCGGTCTGTGTGACGAGCCGCTGCATCGCATAACTTCACATCCTAGCTCTCTTCTCCCCGCCTTTCCACTTTCCATCGCACCGCCAGTCTTCAAAGTCACCTACGTACTGCCAGGCGCTTCTATTTCCTGAGGCGAATACGTGAAGATGGCCCTGAGAAATGGCGTGGCTCGTGGCCCGACGGTCCATGTAGACCCTGGTTCATTTGTACATGAATGCATTGCATTGGCCTAGATTTTCATACCAAGAAAGAGGCGCATTTTGGCTGTCGTGGTTCTTTTCTTGGCCTTTTCTTAAAAGTCTCAGGCTGCCCTCCACTGCAACTTGCAGCCTCCCCTCCCAATCCCCGGTCCACCTTGAAATCTGTGTCTCTTGTAACGTCTCAGAAGACTCCTGAGTATCACCTTGACTGGTCATACAATCTTGCGACTACAATAACTTCGGGAAAGGAAGAAGCCGCTCTTGGATGAGACAGAATCAGCCTTACAATACCGCCACCGTCTCTCCCAAGGATAACCATACCGAAAATTCTATACAATGTCGCGCGTGTGCTTGCCACGATTATAGACCATACAGTCGAGTGCGTGGATCTGCCAACCAACTTCCGCGACATCATCGGCTTCATAATCGTCCTTAAACCTTTCGCCCGACGCCAACGTCTCAAATCTCGAGCATCCGCTCTATCCTTATCCACCTCGCTCTCGGCTCAGCCTCAACCGTCGGGATCGACGACCTTAACACATTGGCTTATCCTTCAAGGGTCTCATCTCTTCCTTGATATCATCTGCCACTCGCCCACTGTTCTTCTTCTCTCACCATTCGCTTCTTTCTGTCTGCTGGCCTGACAGAGTTACTGTTCGTTTTAATACTTTCGTTGTTTCTTTTACGTTCGCTCTTTTATACCGTATCGCCGCTGGCCGGTCTGTAATATCACACCGAAAAAGGACTATTGGCAGCAGTGTTTCGGTACTATACGAATAGACGACAAGTTCAACGAGGGAAAACGAGACTGGTTACTATCCGCAAGGAAAGAGAAACGTTTTGGGAACAAGAGAAAGGCAACTTAATCTGGGCTTGACAATCAACATTCATTCATTATGGGAAAACTCATCAAGAATCACTGGGCCCGTCTCATCATCTTGAGCGCCGCAGCTTGTAAGTTGACCATGACTTGGACCGATCGTTCTTTACTTACACTATCTTACAGATCAGATTGTGGCTGCCATAGAGTGCTTCTTTTGGCCCAAGATCTTCTGGGACTTCCTTACGCGCACCCTAGATGGTGCAGTAAGACCGGTACCGGCTTTACAAATAATAAATCTACTCTTGGGGCTGGCCATGCTAGCTCTCGAATGGCCTCTCAACTTCGTCGCCGGCTCAGCTCTCCACCGCTCGCTAGAATTCCGACTTGCCATCCTTCCTCTCACAGCACTCAGTGCTGCTCTTATCTACCAAGGCACAAACGCCGCTATCTACTACCTCATCGGCATGATCGTCTACTTCTGGGGTTACAGCGAAGGCGAGGTTAGTGGCAACTATAAGCCTTGAGAAATCTACCTGTGACTAACATTAAATTTCTAGATGATCTGCGCAAAACCCTGGACTCTTCCTAATCGTGGGCGCAGCGGCGGCGTTACGCGTGCATAGTCGCAGCTTGCCATGATGGATGTATAATACTACAAAATACAGAACGGGGTATAGCATGACTTCGTAATTGAATGCCATCTCTAAACCTCGAATTTTACAAAGAGATACTGTTACACATATACCCTTTTGCGGCGTTTGGCGATTTTTTATGATATACGACCATCAGACCATCAGTACTGCGTGTGTACGACTCATCCTGCACCAAGGAGATTTCACCTCTAGCATTGCGTTTGTGTTTGTATTTGCATTTTCCATTTGCATGATCTGCGTGGAGGTGTTGGTAGACGGAGGATACCATTGGAGAGGGATATACTGTTTACGGCCGTTTCCAGAGGAACGTCGTGCAATCAGGAGACGAGGAACTGGTCGAGTTGCGTGGCCTTCACGGGCTTGAGGACTTCCGGTGAGAGTCTGCTACAATCCCTGGAGCCAAGGGCACCCGAAATATAGATCTAATACTACTAAAATGTCTTCAAATGTTCCATGTCTGTTTCTCTGCTGTTGCTTCCTTGGATACCTACATACAAGTGTATTGAGCCAAGCCGAGAGGGGAACTCAGCTTGGTGATCCAAAACAGAGTAGAAACAGCTAAGAGTCCTTTAAATATGTCGAAACCGGATCTGTTTGTGGATTTTGCCAAGTGGTGGTATTGGCTGATACTTCGAAACACCTCCTTGTTTAATAGCGTTCTCTTGAATCATAACTCAGCTAGCTTATACCTTAGGTCCACATGTGAAAGCCACAGCACATGGACATGGAGTATGGTCCAAGATTATAGAATGAATGAAAAAAAAAAAAAAACATGTATAAACAAGAAGGTAATATTTTTATTGCTGTATCAATGCTAGAGAAAACGAAACGGAAGTCAGTCAAATTTAAAGCAAGTAGTGGAAATGGCAGATGACAAGATGGTCTGCTATGTTCTAAATCACAGCTAATGAAATGGGTCTTTTCGGTGATAAGTAGGGCAACTTGATTATTCGTGATTTTACTAAATAGACCTGAGTATCCAAGCATCGACGTAGTCAAGGAGAGGCAAGAAAACTTATGACCTTTATCCTAAGTCATGAAAAGACTTACATAAGTTTTAGTATATTTCAGTAGATCTTTAGACCTACTAATTTTAGAAGTTTTATTACCCCCCGAGGGTAGTCAATGAAGTAAAGAGTGCGAGACTAATCATTTCCGCTGTTTTCTTAGCATCACAAAGCGCTACACAAGTCGGCATTAATTTCAATGTCACCTGATTTCGGGCAAGGTTTGTGTGGATTAGATCGCGAAATGAATGCATTGCAATTCCCAAGGCTGGTTGTATATCATGAAGCACTATCATAAACTGCCCATCTCTCAGAGCATCAGATACTAGCTGATTCAATCAGCTGTCAACATGATCGTGGCTCAAGCTAACTGCATGGTGACAACTTCATCAACCATTTCAGATGAGTCTTAGTTGTTCACCGATAGCACCGCTCACTGCAACATGAGCCCTTCCCTAGCAATTGCACGCCCAAAAATATGGCGGACCCCCCAAACGCCTGCTGTCCGGTACATCGTGTAGAATGTTGTTTCTTCTAGTGGGAGATCATAGGGCCCTTGCTGTCGTTCTTGGGACCTTGACGCTCGGGGAACTGTACGACCATGTTAGTCACGCGGCTAGGTAGGAATGTGTCATAAGAAGGACCTTACCTCTACGGTCTGGGTGTCGCCCTTCTCAAGAATCTGCTTGATGACATCATCATCGACAGAGGTACCAAACTCGTTCTCAAGAGCTGCCTTTGAAGCAGCATCGAGACTTCCCTGAGCTCCTTGGCTATTGGAACGTTAGCTTATGTGTTATGGAATTGAACAATGTTTTGACGATGGCTGGTAAAGGGAAGCTGAAGCCATGATCAGATGCCAGATATCTGGCAGGCCAATGCTGCACAGACTATGGTAGAATACGTGACGCAGGACTTCCGTTTCCATGCTAGCCACGAGATTGAAGGGAAAAGAGGAGATACAAAGCGGGGGTGGCTTGACTTACTTGTGTGTCAGGAAGATCTTGAAGGAAGAAATGAAGTGAGCAAGAGGAATGCTCTTGTCGCTCTTCCACTTCTGGTAGGTCTCAACATCATCGATGAAGATGATGAAGTCGTCGCTGCCCTTGTAGTGGACCTTAGTCTGCTGAGTCTCGCCGCGAGCCATTGTGATTGTTTATTGAGTAAGGGAAGTGGTGGTGGTTGTATTGGTGATGAAGAGTCGTCAAACGATTAGAGTGAGAGTCGCTAGGTAGAGTTGTTGATAAATGTTTATCGAAGCTGGATTGAAGGATGAAGATGAAGATGAGGAGAAGAAAAGGAATCGAGGAAGTGTGGTGCATTCAAAGGCTTAAAAGGAAGCTCAATGTGAGGAGCAGTGACGAATGTACCTTAGCTTGCTGGCCTGAAGCTACCTACGTCATACGTCATAGCTGTGCTCTCCCACGGCGGGCAAGTGGGTTGGTACGTACTGCACCGCGGGGCTCTCAAGGCCCTCAGGCGGAACAGGCCCCACTATAGCTTGCCGTGAGCATCAACACAGCCAATGAAGCAGCAAATTCCCGTTTGCTTGCCAGGCTCGAAGTTGCTCGTCTTGCTTCTACACGTTCCTGCATGCTTGAATCCACCGCGTACGTCACCGTATTTTGAGCACGAGGAAGCAAAAATACCCAAGCTTATGGGCTGCCATGTTGATCGATCGCGTGCTCCTCACGCCAGCCTACAACAATTTCCTTGTAAGGGATTGGCCAAGTTGCAGCGGATCCCGTCTTGTTCTCCCGTCTTCCACGTCAGGAACAAATCATCTTCTTTCTCATTGCCTTGGCAAGCCATAATGTTATTTCCTGTGAATGCTGTCTTGGTCTGTTTCTCTTTAGGGGGACATTGGCTTGATGCATGATGCCGAGGATTCAACTTCATGATATGTGCATTATCCAGTAAGGCAGGATTACGACATCTCATCAAACTCGAAGAAACTGATGGTTTGAAACCAAACAATTAATATTAGGCGAGAATCCCCCAGCCTTAAAGTGCTATTCAGAAACCACCGAGTTAGACTACATAAGCTTACTAAAGTAACGTAACGATCGACTAGTTGGACATCAGTACCTTATTAGGTACCTTAGTGATGCTAATAATAAAATCCAATGCCTAGGTAGTTTCCCATCATCTTTGAACTGATAACACAGCACAGCTTTACTAGAGATTTATAAAACGTCATAGCCAACCAGTGCCCTCATAACAGTTTCTCACCGAAAGAATCTGCGAATGCCTGTGCACTTCTTTTCGTTTTTCGAGCTTTTCTCCTTCTCCCATGGAACATCTGTGCTCTGAATGGCGGTGGAATCAGCCAAGCGAGACAGGTTCTCCTTCGCAACAGAGAGTGTTGCTGTTCTGGAATCATCTGGTGGAGAATTGGTCTGGAGCCTGTTTGTGATACAGTCTTGTAGAGCTGATGTGTTTTCTGCCTCACTTTGCAGTTGCTTGTCTGAAATAATCTCAATCAAATCAAGAGGTTCGAGTTCAGATATCTGCGTGAGCTCCAGCCTTGGAGACATGTCCGATACATGATCATCCTCCTCGCTGAGCTCTCGAGTCTCTGGGAGCGCTGAGCCTTTACTTGCGTAGGAGTGTGAGCTCTCCTCACGACCAGCCTTGTCAAAGATGTCAAAGCCACTATCGCCTGAAAAACTGGTCTGGCGGGTCTGGTCTTCACTCGATGGGTCCTCGATCATTCTGCGTGACAAGCTTCCTGACCTCTTCGTCATGCTGGATACACTCAACTTTCTCATCACGGTTGATGCTGACCGCCTGATTATCTGCTCATTCCGCGCAATGTTCGTCATGCTAGGAAGAGGAAGGACATCTTGACTCCAGACGTCTGAGAGAAGCACCTCCAGCCGCGCTCTTTCACTTCGAGATGGTACCAGGACTGGCGTTCTGACTTTTGGTGACAACAAAGACTGTGAACGATGGAGGCTAGCTCCGGAGCTGGTACCACTACTAGATTTCATGGTACTTGTATTCTTGAGAATGACATGGCATGGCTCGGAGCTTCCCACAGATGCCTGATGCGTCGATAGGCTCCTCGCGATACTTCCTACCGCTGTTCAGTATGATCTAGTCTTTTCGTTATTTGGGCAGTGTAAACATACCAGGTCGTCCGAACACAGTGCCTAGACTTTGAATGTCAAGAGAGAGAAATATTTGAAGACCAGGATATCTACCAACAGGCTCTTGACACAGAGGTTGCTGCAACCGCGTTCGCCATTCGTTCTCCTCCCTTGACGTACAAGCCGTCATTACCACCTCGTAAAGTTGATGATCGCTCTCGAAAACAAGCTTCCAAGAGAAGGGAGCTAGGTGGCATTGTAAGCCTACAAGATATGTTAGTTCCAGTCTCGGTTATATATGACATGCCTTACCGCGCCCATTGTCAGCATCTTCAACAGCTGAACAATGTACATCAATGCAGGCCAGAATCTTGTAGATAGGCTCAAACTTTCCTCCAGAGGCCAGACAAAGGACGTCTTTGTAGAGTAGGCAGATCATATACTGGCCGTCAACGCCGGCCGGTGACTGCCAACATACATGCAAGACTCCACACAACTGAATGTGACCAAACGAACGAACCTGATTTTTCGAATGCGCATCGAGTCTCTCGTAGATGGTTAGCAAAGATTCAATAAGGGAATACATATGAAGAATACCCTGTTTGGAAACACGATACGATCCTGCAATAGCCAGGTCTTTTCAAGGATGCTTTTCATCAAGTTATCCTCAGTTGAGCGATTGATCTCAGCTGTGGCCTCCCGGAGCCTCATTAGTGTAGTTTCAACTTCCATGTGAGAGTTTGGACAGTCGATGACTGGGGTGCACCTTAGTAGCTCTGCAAACAAAAGGGGGTATTTGCAAATTCTTTGAATAGGCTGACGCTGACATGTCAGACAGTGAAGCAGATATGATCAGAGGAGCATACCTTAACAAGAAGATCACCTATGGTTCGAGCCTTTCTGCTATCAGACGATGGTGATGACTCCATAGTGAACGCGAAAGCCTCAAGCCCTTTCTGATGTAACTCCCATTCGGGGAGGTTTTCCAGAGCTGAAGTGGCGTCTTTGATCATCATCTCATACTTCGCACCATATTCCTTATACATGAAGAACCGATGCATCTAGATGCAACACGTCAGTACCTATCATGCATTGAGCTGCAAGACGGCAACTTACCCCCTTCCTGAAAATCTTGGCCGCATCTGCTGCTACCTGAGGCTCAGACAACACACCAGGCTCCTTTTCTAGTAACTGGAGGCTACCTTGATCGCCTGGGGCCATATCCAAACTTGACCATCGGCGATGTCTAGTTTTGGGATTGTTTAATTTTGAGGAGGATATGATAAGATGGTCAGCTTGGCTGTACTCAGAATCTGGAACTACCCTATGTAGTTCGCCGAGTATTTCTTCGTGGAGCTGAAGAATTTGATCGAGATTGTGATTGATGGACGAGCGTAGCCGCTCAGGTAAAGTTGGGAGAGCAGCGAGCAGGTTGATGTAGGTCTATTTGCTGTCAGTTGGCCTAACAGTAGTGCTGGGCTGAACTTACATGAATAAGGAAACGAATGTCACCAATATAACTTTCCTCCGTATTGATGAGCTCCTCGATAATCTGCCGGCGCCGCAGAGAACGCTGGATGGCAGCAACATCAATGCTGACCTTTTCGAACGGAATACTGTCCTCAGAAAACCTTGGGGCAGACAGAGAAGCTCGACTGCTTCGCTCAGTCCGTGACCGACAATGTGAAAGGCGATGATGCCGGCGCGAGCGCGAGATGGCACTGGCACTAGCAATGCTGATACTAGCACTTTGAACTGCTTCGATGAAACCAAGCGAAGACCCCGAAGACGAGAGCCGACGACTGAGTCTGCGACGAATTGACCGCTGATAAGCTCCACTGCACTCGAGATTTTCCCATCCAGTATCTGGAGACCAAACTTTTCCGTGGTCTCTTTGACTCACTCGACGATGCAATGATCTCATCCACCTAGAGAAAGGCCTCCGAAGCTTGACATTCTCAGCGAAAGATTGGTTGCATGGGATCTCTTGAATAGTTTCGACTTGTATCTGCGGACAAGAAGGCCTCGTGCGTGTGGTAGTTGCTCTTTCAGAACTCGCATGCTGGGTGGTGCAATTCAAGGTTGTGAATGTATTGATATCATCAAGGCGAAGTTCATCCAATCTCGACGGCAAATGAATGTCATATAATCTGCGAAGGCTGTCGTGGGAATCAAATCGTGATATATACGGAAAGCCGGCTGTCCAACTGAAATGTCTTGAACTAGTGATGCTACGAGAAACATCGGGCAAGACTGAAGGGTTCACGAGAGCCATGATGAAAAGAGAGCGACGAGGTAAGGTCCAAGAAATTAACAAAGTGCTGGTTCCAAGAAAACCCAACTACACCAAAAAAGCGGCTTCAGACGAGTCGTCCAAACATGGCTGTGATGATGAATGATGAAGAAGATGTCATGAATGGGATAGACCAAACATCAAAGTAGAGTCCACAGCATCAAAACTCACAGAGGGGCAGGCTGGGAAACTTGCAGGAGGTCACAATCTATGGGCAAACCTACCTACCTTACTTACCTATCCAAGGTACTGGCAGGTAGGTGCGGACCGAGAGATACAGTATCTCGAGACATTCCTTCCTGGATGGCGTTTTAGAAGAAGTCATGCAAGAGCGATGAGCAACCATGCAGGTAGAATTCACCGAGAACTGCGTCCGAAACCAAAAAAAAAAAAAAGATTTTACCCATCCAGTCAGGCAGTCTTGTCTGGCCACATTGGCCCAACTGAGATTCAACACCCATGATCCTAGGCCGTGGAATTGTACAGCCGGTGACAATGAGCCAGAGTATCACGGCTGGGAAGTGGTGATACAAAGAGGCGTCTGCATGGTAATTGGTGCAGGGCGAAGCTGGAAGCACTGAAGACGGGAATATTGATGCCCGAGTCCAGGAGTTGTGATGCAACGAGACCAAAAGGTCAATCGGATCAAGCCTTAAGCTCAGTATATGCTTTGACTAAATGATAGGCCAAAAGGTTCCTCCGTTATATGAAGCCGGCATCATTACTTGCGGCCACGAGATATCACGAGCTCACGGCTGGCTGCAAACTCGTATTATTGACGGTCAAGGCCGAGGCAGCAACCTAAGAATCTCAGGGTTCTTTTGATGTGGCGACAAGAGGCTCAGAGATCAGCGGCTTGTTCATATATAAGAGGTTGGGGAGGCTGAAAGAATCTGAAACTGCGAGCATGATTGTGTGACCATCTTGTTCATGGCTTGATGGATGGACATGGACAGTGCATGGTAGTATTGAGAAGTTTGAAGAGCTCAACTTCTTACCACGAAGTTAGTACAGGAGATATGATATTTTTAGGATTGCTTGCAATTTGTCATTGATGTTCCCAAACAGCAGATGGTGTGTGTTGTATTGTGTTTATGATTTATGAACTTGCCAGTTGTTAATGACATGGATCCCAACCCAGTAACGCATTGCCGTATCCACGTAACAGCCGAAGTGAATGATTTCCTTTCAATGAATTTTAATGAGCGTGGTAGTATGATGTGGAGAAGCGTGCCATAATGCACCGTGTCTGACATCATGATTAAGGCCGACACTTGGCGGAAATAAAATATCAGATGCAAGATCAAGCACATTAGATGACAGTGCTGTTTTATATTAAATATCGATATCTGGAGAGTAAACTGGTCACGGCATAAATGCTGTTACGGTTTAGATATCTAAGCAATCCTTACAATGTATGATTCATGTGAGAAGAAAGTATCCTGAGAGTATTACACTTGACAGAAGTTATCTACTACACAGAGTCGAGCATGATGTCTTGTTCCCCCACGTCGAGGCTGTCATGACCACCAACCTTTCTCAGCCAAGCCCTATTTCGAGTCAGTCGGCGATACCGGGCCGGGATGGAATGGCTTTGACCTGAGAAGCTTACGAGTATCGCATATCTTCGTGGATAGATATGTAGTCAGTCTCCACCGACCCTCTGACTTACCCATACTCACCTTCAACTTCAATTGGTGAGAGCGGCTTATTCGGCAATCGACAACTTGGCATATATGCTCGGCAAGTAAAGACTCAACTTGTATCTTGTCGTGATGTAAGGTGTAAGCTAACTGGCTCGGCATCGTGGCGGTGCTTGCAGAGCTAGACCCAACTAAGGTAAAATCGAGCTGGGGTTTCTCGGCTGGAGAACAGTCTTCAATCGGTTTTCAGGGGACTGGTGCCTGGTTTTCAGGAGGTTTTACAGTGGTCCTCCCAGATTGTGGGGATGCGCTACTGTCACGCTAGAAGACAGGAGAGACATGCCGACTGCCCGAGACGGAAACGAACACGTTGAGCTTTTCGACCATGGAGAAGCGCCTCGACTTGAGAATTTCGAACGAAAGACGGAAGCGGAAAAGTTGATAGTCTCGCGACTCAGATTCTGTCTAGTATCTTAGTCCGATGAAGCAGGTTTCACAGCAGACTCCACCATTAGTAAGAATAAAATCTGTACTGCAAGGTTGGAGGTTGCCACGTGCGTGGGCCCTTTCATCGCCTTGCCTCTCTAGTCTTGACAAATCTACCTTACTGTAAACTGTTCCATGACAGGATTGGAAATCGGTGATTAGTTTATTGCCTCCGTGTCTTTAATCTTTCTCTCCTACACTTTCTTTTTCATCCAGGTTCTAGTCTACGTGTTGTCATTTTCTTTCTGACGTCTGCATTACCCTCCTTTCCTTGCTTCAAGGTTAACGAGACCCTTTCTCTCTCTTTCGCAAATCGTCTCGCTGTCAACTTCTCGGTATACAAACTTGATTCAGCTTCGTTCCGAGCGCTCGCGTTGCGCATCGCCTTCACCATGGAGAGCGCGTTCGCGAAACCAGTTGGCGATGTCCTCGCCAACTTCAACGTCAACGAGGCTACAGGCTTGAGCGACTCTCAGGTCACCGAGCTACGCAACAAGCATGGGCGCAACTGTACGTCAGATACTCTCGGTAACCCCTCCACGTTTTTGAACTGTCTAACTTTTGGTAGCTATTCCTGAGGAGCCTCCTACTCCTCTGTGGGAGCTTATTTTAGAGCAATTCAAGGACCAGCTAGTTCTTATCCTTCTTGGTTCCGCCGCTGTCTCATTCATTCTGGCACTTTTCGACGATGAAGAAGGCTGGAGTGCTTTCGTCGACCCAGTTGTTGTAAGTACAAATTCGCTTTTTCGATCCTGTCTGTTTCTTGTTGAGCAAACCATTGACCTGTCTCCCATAGATTCTCACCATTCTCATTCTCAACGGTGTCGTCGGAGTCTCCCAGGAAAGCAGCGCCGAGAAGGCTATCGCCGCCTTACAGGAATACTCAGCCAACGAAGCGAATGTGGTGCGAAATGGTGGTCATGTTTCACGAGTCAAGGCCGAAGAGCTAGTCCCCGGCGACATCGTTACAGTCTCCATTGGTGATCGTATTCCTGCCGATTGTCGAGTTATCTCCATCGAAAGCAACAGTTTCTCTGTCGACCAGGCAGTTCTCACTGGAGAGAGCGAGAGCGTCGGCAAACGCGCCTCTACCGTTATCGAAGACGAGAAAGCCGTTCTACAGGACCAGACCAACATGTTGTTCTCTGGAACAACTGTTGTAACTGGTCGCGCTCGAGCTATTGTTGTTCTCACAGGCCCTAACACCGCTATCGGAGATATCCACGAAAGCATTACTGCGCAGATCTCGGAACCCACGCCCCTGAAGCAGAAGCTTAACGACTTCGGCGACAGTCTAGCCAAGGTTATTACTGTCATTTGCATCCTGGTTTGGCTCATCAACATTCCCAACTTCAATGATCCTAGCCACGGCAACTGGACCAAGGGCGCCATTTACTACCTCAAGATTGCCGTCTCCCTTGGTGTTGCTGCGATTCCTGAGGGTCTGGCCGTTGTTATCACTACCTGCTTGGCTCTTGGAACGAGAAAGATGGCTGCTAAGAACGCTGTCGTCCGAAGCCTCCCCTCTGTTGAGACCCTTGGGAGCTGCAGCGTCATCTGCTCTGACAAGACTGGTACTCTGACCACCAACCAGATGAGCGTTAGCAAGGTTCTACATCTCAACGAGGACGGTAGTGGTCTAAACGAGCTCGATGTTGAGGGCACTACCTTCGCACCCCGTGGAGCCATCAAGTCGAACGGTGTTGTCGTTCAAGACCTCCCCAACTCTTCTGCTACTATCCGCCAAATGACACAGGTAGCTGCCATTTGCAATGACGCTCAGCTTGCCTATGATTCTCGATCTGCCACTTTCTCCAGCATTGGTGAACCAACTGAGGGTGCTCTTCGAGTCTTGGTTGAGAAGATTGGACCTTGTGCCCCTACCGATACCCGCCCTGAAGATTGTGTTCATTATGCCAGCGCAGCCTACCAGAAGGAACTACCTCGCCTCGCTACGTACGAGTTCTCCCGGGATCGCAAGAGCATGTCTGTCTTGGTTGGTAAGGGTAATGATAAGAAACTCCTGGTCAAGGGCGCTCCTGAATCCGTTATCGATCGCTGCACACAAACTCTCGTTGGCTCCAATGGCAAGAAGGTTGCACTCACCAAGAAGATTGCTGACCGCCTGATGAGCGAGATTGTACGATATGGCAACAACGGTCTTCGAGTCATCGCTCTTGCCAGCATCGACAAGGTGGCTGAGAATCCACTTCTGCACACTGCTTCTTCTACCGAACAATATGCCCAGCTTGAACAGAACATGACTTTCCTTGGCCTCGTCTGCATGCTTGATCCTCCCAGAGAGGAGGTTCCCAGCGCTGTACAGAAGTGCAAGGATGCTGGTATTCGTGTTATCGTCATCACTGGAGACAACCGCAACACCGCTGAAAGCATTTGCCGCCAGATTGGCGTTTTTGGTCAGCATGAGGATCTTACTGGAAAGAGTTACACCGGCCGCGAGTTTGACCAGTTGTCTCCTAGCGAGCAACTTGAAGCAGCTAAACGTGCCTCTCTGTTCTCCCGCGTTGAACCCAGCCACAAATCTCGACTGGTCGATCTACTTCAATCTCTTGGCGAGGTTGTTGCTATGACTGGTGATGGTGTCAATGATGCCCCTGCTTTGAAGAAGGCCGATATCGGTGTTGCGATGGGTTCAGGAACTGATGTCTCTAAGCTGGCTGCCGACATGGTTCTTGCTGACAGCAACTTTGCCACTATTGAGGTAGCCATTGAGGAGGGTCGTTCCATTTACAACAACACTCAGCAATTCATCCGGTATCTGATCTCGTCCAACATTGGTGAGGTAGTCTCGATTTTCCTGACGGCTGCTCTTGGTATGCCCGAGGCTCTCGTTCCAGTTCAACTTCTTTGGGTCAACCTCGTCACCGATGGTCTGCCTGCCACCGCTCTGTCTTTCAACCCCCCCGACCACGACATCATGAAGCGTCGTCCTCGCAAGAGAGATGAAGCTCTGATTGGCGGATGGCTCTTCTTCCGTTATCTCGTCATCGGTACCTATGTTGGTCTCGCTACGGTTGCTGGCTATGCTTGGTGGTTCATGTATAACCCTGAGGGTCCCCAGATCACTTTCCGCCAACTCACTCGCTTCCACCACTGCTCAGCTGACTTCCCTGAAATTGGCTGCTCTATGTTCTCCAACGACATGGCCAAGGCAGCTTCAACGGTCTCCTTGTCTATCCTGGTTGTGATTGAGATGTTCAACGCCATCAACGCGCTGTCATCCAGCGAGTCTCTCCTCACTTTGCCTCTTTGGAAGAACATGATGCTCGTTTATGCCATCGCTCTGTCCATGGCTTTGCATTTTGCCCTCGTCTATATTCCCTTCCTTCAAGGCCTGTTCTCCATCGTGCCTCTGAACGTTCTGGAATGGAAGGCAGTTGTTGCCATCAGTGCTCCTGTTGTGTAAGTTCAACTTGCTGCCTATTTGCTTTATTGTCAACTAACTCGATACAGACTTCTCGACGAGATACTCAAGGCTATTGAGCGACAGTTCTTCATGCAGACAACAACTGACATTTCCCTTAAGACAAAGAAGGAACAATAGAACGGTGTGGATAGAGAGATCGGCGATGAAAACCTGGCGAAATGTCAGCATTGACTAGAATCTACATGTATCATATTCTGACCAGTTCAGAGAGCTGCGATTAGACCTAGATGGCCACATTGGCCTCCGATATAACGAGATCCAAATTTCTGGTTTCATGCCATTCAGTAAACGAAGAAAAAAGTATATAAGCAAGCATGCAACTCATCGGACAAGGGCCATGAACATTGTTGATTCTTGATGTATTACATATGTATATAAATATCTATTTGCCGGTTGTATTTTCAAATTCAGATGTCATGTTTCTTCGTTGATCAGCTCACCAAGAGCCTTGCTCTCCTCCATAATCTCTCTAGCCTCCGAGGCAGACACATCCATATCCTCCATTATCAATTGTACAGCAAGTTCAGCAACCAACACCGACTGGATAAAGGCTGCGGAACCACGACCGGCGATGACACGATCTTTTGTAGCATTCTCTTTCAACGATTCACCAAACTCCTCCACAAGGTAATCGCACATAAGTTTGCAGCCTCTTGGGCCATAGTAACCTGGGTTGAGGTTGCCCTCCTTCTTGAGTGACCTGGCCTGGCCTGTTTCGATTTTCTCTGCCAAAATATCACGGAAAAACGACTGTTTGCCATCAACAATCTTGATCAAGTATGCTCGATGGTCATCCAGTCGGCGTTCAAGACGGCTCCAGTCAACATGAGGATAGCCTCTTTCACGCCATGTCTCCATGGCAGTTTCTTTCTTGTGTTTAGCACAGAACCTTGTTTGCATCTGCACGTTCAGTCTCTTCCCCTTGGAATAATCCTTGAGTGCCTGTTCCGACACGAGGTCCCCACACCACGGGCATTTCGTCGTTATATCTTCCAAACTGTTCTTGTCTGCGAGGGACTCCTCATTGATCGTTTCTGTGTCGCTGAGCTCATCTAGATCTGATAAGACTGGCGATGATATGCTACCTATATCGCTATTGCTGGTCTGCATGCCATCAATCTCGGCTGGCGCAACGAATGTGGCTGGTTTGTACTCGGGCGTCTTAGGTCGGTCCCCTGATTTCTTTGGAGGGTATACCGGATGCCAGATACCCGTTCGATTCTGAGACGACAAGCGCGATTTGCGAGGGCCGTCTTGTGAAAGTTTGGTGGTGTGAGCTACCTGGCTTTTTGTTAGAGTAGCGGATAAACCACGGCTCGTGGGTTTTATTTCTATCTTCCCTCTCTTTCTAGGGGTCGCCAAGTCATCCTGTGGTACAGGTCTCAAAGCAACCCCCGACTTTGTGGGACTACTGAAAGATTCTTGTGAAACAGGTTTGAAGGTCGGCTTTTCTTCCGTCTGGGAGCTATGTAAGAAGTCGTCTTCTTCGGTCTTCTCATGTATAAGCTCGTCCTTTGTCACTTTTGTCTCCCCTACAGACAGATTAATAAGAAAGTGACACGGTCGCCAGTTTGACGAACCTTTCATTACTTGAGAACTTTGCGAGCCACGAGAAGCTTGCGATCCTCGAGGCTGTGAGCTCCCATATTTTGCTTTGCTGTTGCCTGTATTGGTAAATCCCCAAGTGTCTTTGAATTGACTCGCTGAGCCATTCCCGGATTTGCCGTCAAGTTTCCTTCGTTTCACGCTCGAGGAAGATGTTTCCGCATGATTTCCCGCTGTCGATGTCTTTTCTTCCTTCTGGTTCACCTTCCGAGTGACATTCCTACGACTTTTACTGCTACTCGGGTTGCGGAAGGCTGTGCGCCTGATATCTCCACGAGCTGAAGTTTCTGGTTCGGAGTCATCAGACTGCTCGATGGGCGTTTGGTCCTGAGAACCACTTAGTCTCAGCCTTAAGTCTGCGGCTGAGGGTATATCGTCTTCGATCTCATCTTCGGAAGACATGGGTAAAGCGTTGACATCGTCAGGTTGCTGTTCAAGCTTTCGCTTTTCACAGCCACGAATCTGGGAAAGAAGTGGCGGTGGTTTTTGGTGTCTGCTTAACCCCGTCACTCTGCCAGCCATTGCAGATCGCTTCCCCCTTTGAGAAGCCTAGATGGAAAGGTAAGGGTTTTGAAATGAACCTATGTGTAGTGGTGAGAGATTTGAGGTTTGGACGCTTCCGAGGGAGAAGGAAAGAACCCCAAAAGCTAGAGCATCGCCATAAGCCGTTTCAGAGCAAAGAAAGAAATCAAAAGAATGTGAATGTACGAGCCAGGATTTGATATGGCGCCTTCCTCCTTAACAAACAACTTATCAACTGTGTTTGTTCCTTCCTTTACTGGCCAGGTAAGTTCACTGAGATGTTGGTGGAATTCCCCACCCGCCCAGTCAGCGCGCGTCTGATTAAACGCGCCTGCGCCCTGCAGTCCACCTCTGAATCCCTAGGTAGGCAGGGTCTAACGCCGTCAGGGGATAAGTAAACAGTGGGCATTAGCGCTATTGGTACGCTAATGGTCAGTGCTTCACCACTTCGGAAGCCGAAAAGGGATATAACTGGACAGTGCTTGGTTTCACTGCCATTTCCATTGTTGTCAGAAGCGAAGTACAAAGTGATACACCTTCACCTTACAACAGCAACAAGCTTGTGTCAGAATAAAGCCCTGTAACTAGAGGTATCAGTTGGCTCCTACCCAAATCTCCTTTACTAGTGGAAATGGCCCTCAACCGGAAGTACGCCGCTCTTCCAGATCTGGTGAGTTGTTGCCTTCGGCACAAAGAGAACTCAAAGATGCTAACGACCTTACCTAGGATTCCGCTCCAGACATCTATGAGACCCCGGAGCTCACAGATGACAACTCTACAGTTCCCGTAAGCTTCTTTGTGTTACAGGTACGGTTGGTACCCATTAACGTATCTATAGACAATCACTGGTCGAACCCATTCGGACGACGAGTTCTACGATATCGAGGACGAGACGCCTGGTATCTCTCGATCCCGGCTGCGAATAGATGAAGCGCGTTCTCGCTTTCTTCCCACCAACGTTGACGCGAACGGAGTCGACTTCTCGGACCGAGTTGACGGAAAGCGCAAGTCGTACAAGGTCTCTAGCCGAAGACAAAGAATACTGCAGGACGGTACTCAGGAGCTTGGCGATCTCTCTGACGACGACGACGATGAGAGCCTAGAACGCAGAATTGCCCGCCTAAAGCGCGAAGTGGAAGAAGCAAAGAACGAATATGCAAAGCGAAAAGCAGAATCACAAACAAAGGAAGACATTGACGCTACCACCGGTGACGACAGACTGACTTCCCTCAGCCAAGTCCTGGACGAGATATCGCAACCCATCGGTCGGCCAACATCGATTCGGATTCCAGGGACGAATGCAAGTTCAAATTCTGAAGAGAAGACCGAGGCAGCTACAGCAGAGGATGCAACTTATACTTTGATGTACGAACCTACGTATGAACAAAGCCATGCATTAGCCAAGGCAACTGATTTCGACCGTCGATTATTGATGCTGGAGAGGGGACTTGGAATCAATGCTTCATTGATGCCAGAGGCTGATGCTAATGGTCTTCCTCGTGCAATTCTGCCTACTTTGGACTCTATGAACAAGCAGATTTCTACGCTCGCCGAAGCTTCTACAGCCAATTTGGATGCAATCAGTCGGCGTGTACGAACATTGGCCCAAGAGCAGGACAAGCTGAATGACTCTAGGGAGAAGGCCAGATCATTGAGAGAAGAGCTTGGTCGAAATGGCTCTTCAGCTCAGAGTGAAGAGACTGAGCAGGAAGCCAAAATCAATGCCCTGTATGGTATCCTCCCGACGATTGAAAACTTGACTCCTATCCTGCCACCTCTACTGGATCGACTTCGTTCACTGAGAGCAATTCATTCGGATGCTGCCACTGCGAGTGAGACATTGACACGCATTGAGAAACAGCAAGCAGAGATGGCTACGGAACTGAAGCAGTGGAACGAAGGCCTTGTGAAGATTGAGGCGGCTGTAAAGGACGGCACTGTGTCTATTGAGAAGAATAAGCAAGTTATGGAGGAATGGGTCAAAGATTTAGAGGAGAGGATGGAAGATTTATGAATAACGATGCGTTGATCTGATACCCCAGAAAATAAGCCAAATAATCGAGGAAACGAACCAATTGAGTTGTTGATATCCAGATAAATAAAACATATAATCTTTTTTCGCCTCAAACAAATCTCATCATTCATGTCTTTGATACATGTTGTGGCCATCTCGCTCATGGCGCCCCAAGCCGCGCCACGTGGCTGAACGCTATCGGTCCAACTGTTAATCCGCTCGTGGGGTAAGGGCTTTGGAGTTTGACACACCAAATTAATTGATTTGGCAAACGAAAAAAAGTTCATTCTTCCTTCAGCTCACGTTCGCGACCACCGCCCAATCCACCCAAATTCCCAACAGTACGGCTTCTCCTCGACCCATCGCGCTTTCTATTCTCCTCCAGCTCACCAGTTCTTCAGGTCGCAACAATGGACGCCTCCAAGCAGCCCGTCAAGCTCGTCAAGGTCACCCGAGTTCTCGGCCGAACCGGTGCGTCTCTCCCCGAAATTTGATATCGATGAAGCAAGATATCAGAAGGCTCGAAACGAAGGAATGAAGAAGGGATTTTCTGACTAGATGGATAGGTTCTCGTGGTGGTGTCACCCAGGTCCGCGTCGAGTTCATGGACGACCAGACCCGATCGATCATCCGAAACGTCAAGGGCCCAGGTACGATTTGATTCTCGAAACCCCCTCGAGCGCTTAAACGAGGGTTCAGAGTAGGAATACAGGATTACAAATGCTAACGTACAACCACCACAGTCCGTGAGGACGACATCCTCTGCCTCCTCGAGTCCGAGCGTGAGGCCCGACGACTACGATAAATGTGCATTCTGGGGAGCATGGGGTTCTTGAAAGACGGTCAACGACGGATGGTCTATGCATGCTAATGCTATGGCGTGCGCGCCTTGTATTGGGACTGGGACATTGACCTGGAGCTGCACATGACACTCCAGTTTCATTTGTTAGAGGAGTCACACGGACGGATCTGGTCTGGCATAACGAAAAAATCCCAGAACAGTTGTTCTTCTGCAGTATTGGAATCCGAAGAAAAGTGAAATTCATTTCTTGTTTTCTCCGTGGTATTCTCCCTCTGTTTCAACAGCTCCGATCCTTTCGAAGCTCAGCTCAGCTCAGTTCAGGCAAGAAAAGATCAAACCGGGAGTTCTCCAATCAACAAGTGCTATGATACGATCTCAACGACCTCGGAGCTTCAGCGTTGACCTGGCAACTGGAGATATTATACCTCTTTTTTTTTTCTGACAATCTGCGTCTCCATAACTAACCTCGCTTCACATCGTGAAGTCTAGTCACGTGCAACTTCTCTGACCTCAACTTAGGCGGGGCGACCAGAGGAAATCTTCAAAGTTTCCTTCTTCCACCTCCAACAATTTCCTTTCCACAACTCAAAGCTCTCCCAACTTTCTTGGTAAGTCAACACATTTATTCTTATGCAATTCTATTTGGAATGATGTTTTTTAGCATGTATTACCTGAAACATACATTGATGTACCTTTTTATCACCAAGATCTCTGATCCAAAACCTCATTCACCACTTGCTTTTGAACTCTGTTTCTGGCCACTGGCTAACATACCAAAAGAATTTTCTAGGCACCTCGCTTCCACAATGTCTTCGGTCCCTAAGCCTCCAACCGGACATTTCAATGTTCTTTACTTTGCCAGTGCTAGCTCTTTCACTGGTAAGGACTATGAAGCTTTGCCGGCCACGATGCCGCTCAACAAGCTCTTCGCCGAGCTCGAGTCCAAGTATCCTGGCATGAAAGCCAAGATCCTCGATTCCTGCCTAGTCACTGTCAACCTTGATTATGTAGACTCGCCTAGTGAGGAGGGTGCTTCAGACACAGTGATCCAGGAAGCAGACGAAGTGGCTATTATCCCTCCCGTCAGCTCCGGTTGAAGGATATCGAGTGTCAGTTGCAAAAATCGCTCGGTGTCTGTATCGTGACTCCTTTAAACCTCGTAGTCGTGGGTCGGCCCTCGAGATTTTATCCTAGGGACCTCCATTATCCGGCCAGCTTCCTGGTAGTAGGGGTTCAAGTTCTCCAGCTCGGAACCACGTCCTTGCCCAACGTTGATTCCGTAGCCGCCACCAACCAGGATGCTTCTTGTGGTACTGCCAGAACCACCGGATAGCTCTCACAAGACTGACCATGAGCGAAACAAAGACCAGTGTTGATATAATGGTGACAATGGCAGTGAGACTCGTGATTGACGAAACTTGGCACCCGAGCGGCCTTGTCCGTAACTCCCAACGTTCGGCCCAGTGTGGACAGACATTCTCGTTGTAAGCTGGTGCGAGCAACGGGATGTTGCTAGTATTCGGTACACATGACCATGTCTGTAAGTTCAATGAGTATGTACTACTTGAAGCGATATGGTTTGCAAATGAGAGCCTACAAAAGGACACCAGCCACATTGTGAAGCTGCAAGACAACCTTTGCATGTTTGATGCTTCCAACATCTTAGGAAGTGTTCGTCATCATGGTTCCCATACAAGGTGAAGTTGGCTCGCGCAGCCTGAATGTCATATTGAGACAACCGCAAAGAATCCATAGTCTTTGATTAAAGGCGAGGGTCTAGTGATATATCAAATTGACTATAATGGCGACACCACGTTGAGTTGATGTGCTCATCATAAACTCAAAAGAGGCCAAGAATTGAGGTTGAGCGGGGAAGCATCATACGTCAACCCCTGTAGCCACTCAAACGCACGCCATGTTTGAAATCGATGCCTTAGGACTATCTACTCATAGCACAATTCTTTATTGATTAATACATGACTGAACGAGAATGCCGCAATCATACAAACCTTGGTGAGGGTTTGCCGTCTTATCTAAGCTAAGTGTAACAAATGTATCCATTGCATCCAAAGACACAGGAATGACTGAAACTGGAAGATTGAGTTCCTACGCCTCATTCACCAATCATCAGACCATGGCGCGTTCTCTTATCTGTCGAGATTTCCTCGCTCGTCGCTTCACCTCCCTGATGTCTGCCCGCCTTCTCCTCGACCTTTCTTCCTTCGATTCCCGCACTGGTTCGTTGCCCAGACTCTCAAGCGGCATGAGATCAGCCAGAAATTGTCGAATGTGTAGGCCAGTCTTCTCATGGATGAATGAATCAATCTGCTCGTTGCAAGCTGCCGAAGACGCAATATGGAGACCCCTTAGCACATCGCGATCTAGGACTCTATCTTGGTCATAATCTTGATTGGCTGCTCGAAGACTTCGAATGGATGATGTTCGCTTTGGTACGTTTGGTCGTCCAATCTTTCGACCAGAAAACCCTCGTGAACAGACAGTAACATGATTTGGTGATATGGAAGAGCTTCCATACTTGGTTCTCCTGTCCGATGATACCTTTGCTTTATCTTTATCAAGTATGTCCTTCTTCGGTGTAGATGGTGAGACATCAACAGACAATCTGCAGCTTTGTTCTGTAGCTGTTGATGACGGATCTGGGTGAGGGGGTTCTGGCAAAGGTTTACTGGACTTTTTTGTGGGATGCAATTGCTGCGGGACAAGAACATCAGCACTTAAGCTATGGCAGCTTCTGGGACGAGGTTGCACCAATATCGATTGCTTGATATCTCTCGAGGTCTGCACTGGTCTGATGCAGGGGCTCTCCTCTTCGTTTCCTTGGCTACAATTTCTGTATGCACAAACGTCGTTTTTTGCACGGGGGTGGTGTTTATTTGAGGATGGGCCAGCATTATCTTGGACTACCGATTCCAACGACACGCTCGAGCAGATCATAGGTGTCCCTCGCCCAGTGAAAAAAGCACGGTTTGATTGTCTCATCCTTTGCGTGCTTCGTACAGCTGTGGAAGTCGATTTTGTCTTCCGTTTGTCGAGGTTCTTTCGCTGGTTCGACCTTCTATCCAAAGATGTGACATTGGGCCATTCGGGATATGTATGCATTCGTGGTCTGGGAAGCTTGGCCGTAGGTCCTGTCAAAGCCTTCTCGTTGAGGGATTCTGAATATAAAGGTTTCGGTTTCTGTGTAAGCTGCAGACAATTCTAATCACTACTACATTGACACAGATCTCCCAGTTGACAAAAAGGGGAGCAAGTCTGGGGCACTTTCTGCTCAGCTTTTACCTTCTTTCTTCGATACTTATGGGGTTTTGGCTGGTCCACCATTGCATAGCTGAACTCGCCCATGTCTTTTGAGACCGGGAAAGGGGTTTGTGTACTTGAACTGGGACACCCTGCATTGCCATCCATCTGGAGGAGATGCTGTTGTTCGACATGAGATCGCGGTACTTGGTTCATCATCACTCTGTGTTTGCCAACAGGAGAACGGTGGGGGGAACGTTTCTTTTGATCTGTTGAAGTAATTGCAAGACCGGCAGCTTTAAACTCCGAACGAAAGGGCAGAAGAGCTGCTATCGTATGAAGGCTTGTGCTAGAACGCGGGGGGGTCGGAGTAGGTATCGGCAGCTTGCCTTTTGCACCCGACTGCTCAGCATATCTCTGCAGCTCTTGAGTGAATCGATTCAGAGCTTCCCTTTGACTCGGGGTTCTCGACTCGTTTCCGAGGCTATCCGAGGTCCGGGAAAGTAGCTGCTGAGTGTCACTTCGTCCACGAACGGTTGTGTCCTTGATTGATAGCATGTGTAGTTGTTGGGCTATATTTCTCGAAATGGCCTCCACGAGTTCGTCGTTTACATTCTGGTGACCTTGGGCGACAGAGTTATTGCTGAAGACATCTGTAGCATGACTGTGCAATGGTGCAGGACATGCGTCTGCCTCCGTCTCGGATAACTAGCCTCTGAGAGTCGAATGAGACACTTTTTTCGGAGGTGCTGAGATACCGACCTTGGACATATGCAAGGGACTGACATCTCGACGAGCGTCCTTTGAAGGTAGCGAGTCGTCTTTAGAGAGGTATTCGGAGCTCGAAGATATATCACGTCTTGGCCGTGTGTCACGAGTAGGGCAGTTTTTGTGCTGCTTTCCTGATCCAGAGGCGGCGGAATCAGACTCAAAATCATCCATCCAGTCTGTTTCACCATTGTAGTGCATTTCCACGGCGCTATCGTTCGCTCCATGAGCGTGACTAGAATGGTTTATTGGGACTGTTATATATGAAGTTGGATCGGGTGGTGATGAACTCGATCGATGGCCATGGTGTTGCTGGTTTGTGCTCTGGTACCTTACACGTACAGTCCGTCGTGGTCTAAAAATGGTACGCCCACGAGCCCTTGAGCTGTCGCTGGCAGAATGAGGTTTGCGTGTGCTGGGCAAGTGTGAGTTGCGAGAGCCGGGGTTAGATTCTGATATGACCATTCTGCAATACACGAGCTATAAGGGTTTAAAAGAGTTGATTGTATGAGAGAAAGGAGGCTTGGCTATGTCGGTATGGTAGAGTGATGATACAATGAGTTTGTGCTGATGATGGATGAGAGAATTCTGGTCGAGGTAATGTTGGATTTGTGAGGATTCCGAGAACTTGCTCGGCCAAGTATTGGAAGGTACTATACAGGGTGATAATTATACATCTCTTGCCACATTGTTTTAGTCGAATACATCCAACTGAACATTGGAGTGAGAGGCAGGAGCCGCTGGATGCCGCCTATTTTATGTCTTTGATGCCTGGTGAGCCGTAGACCTCAAGTTGGCGTCGTCCTTTCCGTAAGAGGAATTCAATAGCAGCAAAGTCGCGCTTATCGATAGCCAAGTTCCTAGAGAACTCATGTCTATTAGAGATATTAGAGTATTGATAGCTAAAACCCCATAAGTTTGGGAGTAGCCCACCTGGCAAAGCTCTCAAAATGTGAGCGAGTTGCCTGAGTCCGATGTCAGTCATAGAGATCCCGAATGAATAATCCGTTCATACTTGTGGCTTCTTTCGACTCTCTCTTAGACAGTTTCTGTAGAGTGCGAGGACCTCTTTTTGGAGTCCTGAGAGGCGCGCCATGTTTATTGATTGGTTCTGGTCGAGGTTAATCACGATCGAATAATTCAAGTGTTGATGTAATCACTAAAGTCGAGATACCTTTGGCTGGGGAAATATTGAAGTATCATTGTGGAGACGAGATCTACCTTCGGTATCTACCCACTAACTCTGGGGTTCTGGTCGATTGTCTTGTGAGACCCCAAGGACAAATAGATAGATATCCATCCCTATTACGCCAAGTGATAGAAGATAGTTCTACAGGTGCCAACTATCGAAATGAGATCATCAATGCTAACAACTTCCTGTATACTTCTAACATGGCCAAATCATGATGTGCCTGACTGAGGTGCGGAATTACAGGCGGAATAGCCACCAACAACCAGGGGTCCCATTACCTACACTGTACCTAGTATCTTCCACTGTCAACGCCCGATCTGCGTTGTACTGAAACTCACCCAACCACTTACAGCTACACCAAACCGCTAATATTAGTATCGCCTCACCCCTTTCAGGCTACAGTTCTCCTACTTCAGACCACGCGCACCGTTCTAAGGTACGCTAGGAATGTGAGCTGAAACTCGGCCTCGTTCCTAATGGTCCTCTAAACAGCGTGTGCCACTTCGCCCGCGACTGCGGCAGAAATCCAGACATGGCCAGGCAAATGTGAGCGTGCCACGGGATGGGGCATCTGATTGGCCACATGCCAGTCTTTCATCAGGATCTTGCTCCATCCCCAAGGCATTCCATGGCATGGTATGATAGCCTCTCTCCAAGACTGCCTCCAGGGCTGACTCTGAGCCTGGAAAGTGCCTAGTTGAGCTAGCGATGTGACAAATTGGTCATATCATGACCCTGGAGGGAACCATTAGGCACTGGAAACCCCTTACCTACAGACGCTCCCATGCTTCCTGAGTTCAACCAACATATGGATGGTTGATTAGCTTACACAGGGCCACCAGGATCGGGTAGGTTGACCTGCAGATCTAGGACACCTCTCTACTCGTCAACTCGTGTATATTGCTTTCTGTCGCATGATCAACACTATCGACCCGTTCGACCCGTCAAACATATCATTGCTTTGTTTCTCACTAGAGGCATTCTCTATCCTTGACCGCTCTGGTCGACGCCTTTTATATTTTTATCCGGACGAGAGGGTGCTTTCATGTCGACAACAATAACAGGCATGGCAGGGTTGAGTCGTGAACAACCCCTCATGCCTGGCGCCTTCGGACCTGAAGATTACATCGATTTTTATGAGGACCCCTTCGGAGTTCTTGACGGCTCTGAGACTTCTGGGGAAAAGCAAGAGCAGCGAGTTTCTTGGGCGGTCAAGAAATTGCCCAATCTTGATATTGTTGACCTCGACTGGCACAAATACAATCCACCAAAGGCATTGAGAAAGGCACCAAATATCACGTCTCAAGTCCTTCTCGACGTACTTCAGTCTTCAGTTGAGAATGTTAACGCAAGAATTATTGAAGAGGATCGCCAAAAGAAGGAGAATGAGGAGCAAAGAAAGCAAGAGGAGAATGAGAAGGGTAAAAGCAAAGAGCCTTATCTGCCCATCATTATACCTACCGAACCTCTGGTCGAGGAAAAAACGAGTCACACCGTACCTCCCCCCAAGATTAAAAAAGAAATTCTCATGACAACTTTTGGTCCTAGCGTTGTCACCAAAGCCGATGCAAGAGCTAACAAAAGACGCCTTTTTGCCCTTCGCCGTTTCTTCCAGCGCAGTGATGAGCGAGGTGAGAGTAGCGCCACGGGTGCCGCTCTTAGAGCTTTGCGAGAACAGGTTGCAGAAGCTGAGCATGCTAGTGAAGGTCTCAGCCGGTTGACTAAACTAAACTCCGTCGAGGAAGTGTGAGTTCTGGTACCGTACATGAGGTTCCCCTACTAAATACCTAATCCCAGGGAATGTGTGTCCTGTCTGGACGACTTTCATCCTAAGGACGTCATCAAAGTGCCTTGTCATAACTATTGTCGCGACTGTTTTGTTCGCCTGGTTACTGCTGCATGCCAGAATGAACAACAGTGGCCACCCAAGTGCTGCCTAAACGAGATACCCGTCAAGACCGTCATGCGTTTCATCCCTTCCGACCTGAAAAAGACATTTGAGGAACGATCTAAAGAGTGGGAGCTCCCCGTCAGCGACCGTGTTTACTGCAGCAATCCAAACTGTAACCTCTGGATCAAGCCCAAGCGGATCTATCCCGGGAAGCGTCAAGGAATATGCGATCGCTCTCATGTAACATGCACGTTATGCCGTGGGCCCGCTCATGCTGGAGAGGATTGCCCTCAAGATGTCGATATGAGTCTCACGAACCAACTGGCCGAAGACGAGGGTTGGAAGCGATGTTTTAACTGCAACGCCTTGGTTGAGCACAGGGAGGCTTGCCAACACATGACTTGTAGGTGTGGCACCCAGTTTTGTTACGTTTGCCCTCGACGATGGCGAACTTGCACTTGTACGATGGAGGACCTCCAGGCACTGAAAGAAGGGGTTGTTTCTCGACGCGCAGAAAGGCGCGCCCAAGAGCTAGAGGAAGCCGAGGAGTTACGGCATATTCTTCTGCAAATTGAGGAGTTTGAGCGTGAAGAAGCTCTCAAGGCCGAGCTTCTACGATTGGAGCAGGAAAGATTAGAAGAGGAACGCCGGCAGCGTGAGCTCGAGGAAAGAGTACGGCAGGAGAGTATCCGTCGGAGGGATATTGAAGTCAAGTATCAAGAGCTGAGGATCGTGCTCGATGAGTTGCATGACCTGCAACAAGTATTGCTCGATGTTGACCAAGAAGAGGAGGCTGAGAATATGATTATTAACATCAGAGCTGCAAAGCAAGAGTTGGAAATGAAACATGGGACAGAGCTGTCCGACTTGAAGGCACTCGCACTGGCGAAGATGACTGAAAAGGAAAACTCACTGAATAAGGACTTCCGAGTTCGAGCAGCGGAGGAGAATGAGCTTGAAGAAGCTTACCACGAGCGGCTCAAAGCATATTGGAAAGATAAGGACAACGGAGACCAAGAAGTTGAGAATTCAATGCTCGCTCTCAGAAAGCGTATGGATCAGAAACACCACGCATGGCAGAATTGGAAGGCCGACCAGCTCAAGGTCTTGGAGGCCAAACTCGAAGATAACAGAACATATCGTGAGGAGCTCATGTATAGCGCCAAACACCGGCTAGACGACTCTTGTAAGGAGAAAGAGGCGGAGATGATGAGGCGTATGGCAGCTGAGAAGAAGTGGCTTGAGGCTGTGATACTGGAGAGAGAGAAGCTGCTGAATGAATGGGAGGCTCAGGAGGTTGAAGGTGATGCAGACAGCATATTTGCGGTGGAGTCAGAAGATTCTGGGGACGGTCACTATGTTATTGCCACGGCATTTTAGATCGCGTGACCAATATACAAATAGTAATCACAACACTTACCATAGCTTGTCATCATTTTGTAATTGTGATATTTCTTTCTTGATGTGCTCTTGAGCATCTTGGTAGTAAAGGTCTGGTCACGTGCCGCGACTTGCACAAAAAACCTCTATTCTCAAGTAATTCAACTACCGTATACAACTCACTACAGACCGAGAAGCACATCACGACTAATTAGAGTTTACTCTTGGCTTGTCGTATCCTTTCTCAAAATGTCGATCGGTGAAAAGGGTGAGTCTGACCAGTAAGTTCATACCATCGTTCCGATATGTCCAGGGTATGCCTGACATTGTGAAATAGTCCACTCAAAATCTTTGATGTGGCGAGGAAACAGGATCGTTTCTTATATGCTCTTGCGCCGATGGTTCGATATGGAAAGGTATATTTCGGTGAATGAAATACTAAAAAAACTGCTCACATTTGTTAGTTGGCATTTCGACACACAGTTCACAAATATGGAGTTGACCTGTGTTGGTCTCCTATGATCCTTGCCAAGGAGTTTAATCGAAGCAGTTTTGCCCGAGACAGCGGTAGGTCACAGTATGCCTGTATAATAAACTCCAAGCTGATGTACTGGAATAGATTTGACTATATCTACTACACCAAAGCAACCACCAACTATCGTCCAGTTCGGCGCAAATGTCCCCCTGGAACTTGCTCGTGCATCAGCTCTCGTCGTCCCTTACACCCAAGGCGTCGATCTCAACTGCGGATGCCCACAGTCATGGGCTTGTGCCGAGACGCTAGGTGCTGCATTGATGAACCATCGTGAGTTGGTAAGGGATATGGTGGTTGAGACTCGACAGCGTTTGGCGAGTGATGGATGGGGTGTTGGCCTTGAAAAGGACATTGACAGCCCCAAAGGCCGAAGTGTGAGTGTGAAAATCAGGATTCACAACGATCTCAGGTACGGCCTCTCTTTCAGATAAGATAGGTTCACTGACATATTCAGGCAAACCATGGACTTCATAGACACCGTGATAGGTCACCCACAAAACCGCCAGATTGACTGGATCACCATTCACCCACGGACAAGATCAACCCCATCAACTACACCAATCAGGACCGAAGCCCTCGAGATCTTGACAGCCAAGTACTCGAAAACACTCCCAATACTTCTTTCAGGAGATGTCTTTGACCTCAACACTCTCCCCTTTCAACCCACCATCACCACCAATAACAACTCTCCCCTCCCCTCACTAGACAAACTTGTTCTCAACGATACCAACTCCGCTGTGAACATGCCACGTCCTGGTAACACTCACCTCTCTGGATTCATGTCCGCCCGGGGTCTCCTTGCTAATCCAGCCATCTTCGCTGGCTACTCGGCTTGCCCATGGGAAGCTGTTGAAACCTTCATGTGCAAGGTTGCAAAGGCCCCTGTGCCATTCAAGCTGGTACAACACCACATTATGGAAATGACAGCACCGGGCATGGGGTCTGACAAGGCATCGCTTCTAGATAAGAAGGAGCGCGCAGAACTCATGAAGTTGACCAACACTTGTGAGATTATGGACTTCCTCGATGAGAAGATTGAGCAGAAGACGGGGAGAGCTGGTGGCATGAGACGAGACCTATGAACCACTTCTCCGTGTTACATCAACAACGGCCCTTAGACTACGGAAAGAGAGCATGGTATCTCATTCAATGCATTCATGGCTACAAAAAACAACTCTGCAACCCATTCTACAGAGTTTCCCATGATCCGCCTCTTGCACCAACGCTCAAAGACCACTCAAAACGCTCTGAATACCCACCGTCCCCGAGTCATCACGCCTCTGCACAAACGCCCTAAAATCTGCCCTGGACAACTTACCCCTTATGCCCGATGCCGCCAGTGTTCGTGTCTTTTCACGGAGTGCTTCGGGGCCGACGATAAAGAGAGAACCAATCTCAGTGAGCATCTCGACAGCGGAGCCAACTTCCTTAGTCAATGGCCACTCGCGCATTGTGGAAACGTACTTTGCAATATCTTGCGTGACCATCAGACCCCCTGTGGCGTTGACCTGGAACTTCTTGAAGTGCTCAAAGAGCAGCTTCAGAATCACCAGAGCAAGTTCGGTAAAGAACTTCTCTGAGTTTTGGCCGTCGATAGCTTGACGAGCGAGACGCTGGACGCGGGCTAAGAAAGTACAGATGCTCAGACACGTCTGTGTCTGCAATGAGTCGAGCTCGACCTCTTTTGGTCGGAAGTCCTGCTTCCGCTGACCAGCTAAGGACTTGGTCACCCAATTGGACACAACGTCGATAGTGCCCTTCATGACATTGTTTGTCTTCTTCTCAATGTTACTAATGGCCACCCTCTTCTGCGCCTCCATACTACGCCTGACTGTTGTGTTTGATTCCGCAAGCCGGATGAGCACGACTGTGATGAATCGATCCATGAGACTTGTGATTGTGACAGCCGGCTGTATCGTTGGCAAGTAAGATAGATCAGGCTCAGTCTTTGTGTTCTCCTGCACAGAGACTTGGTCAAGGGCAGCATCGAGAGTAGTCTCGATGTATACCTGGCCCAGGCTCGTCAAGAGCAGGTTCAGGAGAGTATTCACATCTTTGGGAGTATCGGTCTGGGTTCCGAGCTCAAGAGTACGCTGGACGCTCTCAGCCAACCACTTGAGCATGCGCTTGGCATTAGCAACGCTCAAAGCGCCGTCCTCCTCCGAGACCTCGATTTCGTTCTTGTTATCCTTGTCCTTATCTTGAACGCCAGCAACACGCAGCATCATTTTCTTCTGTGTGCTTGTGAGTTCTGACGAGTCGAGACGCTCGATATAAGCATCCTTTGCGGAGGCAATCAGTTGTGTGCCTTGCTGGGCCAGTGAAGCCATGAAACCAGTAGGCGCCTTTTTCCGCCTGGAATGGTATATACTGTACTTGAAGAGCAGGGAGCTGTACATTTCTTCCAGACTCTTCCTTTCCCGCTCGATGTACGAGTTGCCTATCATATATGGCACAAAAAGCTCTTCCATCTGCTGGTCAAGTGTGTGTGCTATTTGGGCGGAGCAAGGCTCGGGGTGTTCTGTCAAGCCATGGGACTTGAGATCTTCGACCAATGATCCGAGATAAGTTCTTGAGGAGTGCAAGGCTCTCAGGAAAGCCAAAGAAGAGATTTTGAGAGTTTCATCCAATACCATTTCGAGCCTCTGTTGGATTGACTGCTGAAATATTCGTTGAATGAACTTGATAAGCACTGTTTCGTAGTATGGAAAGATGAGTTTGATCTGGTTGGACTCGTCTTGCATGACGATCTTGATCTCGTCCAAAAGATTCTGCAGGCTTGGTTCTACCGTTGGCGGCTCCGAGTCAGGGTCTGCCAGTTGTTCCCAGGTGTCGCTATCCACTTGAACCTCATCGGCCAGGAGTTGATCGCGGTCCAAGAAGAAGGCATGCTGGTTTACAAAGGTCGCAATGACACTGGCACCTCCGTTGAAGTCGTAAAGAACCTTTGCACATTCCATCATGTCGCTATAGTTGCCCTTTTTGTTGCTGTTTTCGAACTGTTGAAGCAGATCCTGCTCGAGCGTCTCGCAGAACTTTTCCAAGACTTCCCTGGTGTTGTGTAATCTTATATTTCCAACCACGCCATTTGTTTGTCCCCCGTTTCGCTGGCCGTTCGTCTGCCCCCATGATGTTGGATCAAGTCGCTGGCTGATGCGCATGAGTTGTCGAACAATCATTGCGCATCGTACTTTGTGCTCAGAACCAGCCTGTCTTTGCACGTCTTGTAGGAGTGATAGCTTTCCCGTCTCGCTGACCTCTGTCCAGCACTGAATTAGAAATATGGCATCGTTCGCACGCCGTCGTTTCTTGTCTAGGTCCTCGAGCTTCTCGCCGATTTGGAGCGCAATGTTGCCGCCAGCGTGTGTTTTGATGCCGACTCCATTTTTAAAAGAATGTTCTTGATTGAGGGATAAATCTAACTGTTCGAACGCCCTCATAGACTCGTCGAGCTTCTGACCTAGGGTCTCGAGTGTTGAATCGTGGGCTACCTCTGCGCGGCGCACATGCGACATAAGCTCCGACTCCTTCTCCTGGAGTTCAGCTCCAAGCGAGCCGAGTTGATCAAGGGCATCTAACAGCTCGAGTCAGCACGATTGGCTCTGAATATATAAGCCGAAAAGTGTATGTCGGTCATACTTTCAAATGTTCGAATAAGGGGTTTTGGATCGAAAGGTGTTTGCGCACTGCCAGACCGGCGATTCGAGGGCACGGCGCTCTCTGCTAGGCTATCGACAAAGTCACGCACAATAAAGTCCTTGTTGGAGAAGTCGTCCAGAGTGAAGCTTGGCCCTCTCGGGAAGAGAGTCTTGGGGCCGGAAGCGGTGCGCTCCATGTTGTTGTTTCTGATGAGCGTAGAGGCGCTACATGTGGAGAGGGATCATCGACAGTCGATACTTGGAAAAGGAGGAACGTGGTAGTAGTGTGAGGTAAGGCTGCAGCGTGGACTGTTTGCTCGCGTCGTCGATCTCGTTTCGTTGTCGGTCGTCAAGGGTTCATGGTATTGCGTTGCAGGGCGATATGTTAGGATACCTTGCCTCAGAGTAAAGCACCTCAAGCTTAGGTATGTTTGCCCGCCCACTGTCGCAGCTCCAGAGGCTCAGCTTACAGCGCCCAGCCCCGCTATCAGCTGCCGATTTCCAGTGGAGGAGGAGCTGAGCCACAGGCACATACGTGACCTGCAAGGCCAAGAGCTACGGTGGAGAAAAGCGACGTAACCCGTGTCGCACCGCCACGACTTTTCTTGCCATGGCCTTGTCTTGACTTAAATACACGTCTGCCCACATTCACCTGTCCAAGCTTATAAGCCTGCCCATCCTCGGTTGTTTGCGCGATCGCATCCCTGTTTGAGTGTTTACAAAGTCGGAATACTGTCGCCAACATTTCAATCCCTCGGACAAATTTTCGCAGCTCCAATCGCCTGTTAGACAGCCTCGAGGCTGCACATCAATAGCCATGCCTATCATGACGACTCGCGATCGTCAGGCCTACAGGGCCGATGAAATCAAAGACCATACGCTGTTATCAGAGAAGGAGAGGCAAAGGATGCTCAATGTATGGTCGCAGAGTGCGCATGATTGTAGTGCGCCATGCTAACTCATCGCAGTCTTATCTCCCCAAGCCCAACGATCCTCCGCCTACTCTAGGCTCAAACTCTCGACCACAGCGACGGTCGCGGTTAGGACTTCGTCGCTTCATCCTGAACCAAATCCACGTCCTCATCTTTGCCATTATGCATGGGATCTTCTCTCTTTACATAAAGATACGCCAGACCTGGAACGTGGTGGGCTACCAGATCTCATCCGTTGTCAAATATCATCATGGTACACCGCAATACATCAAGAAGGACCTGGTTGGTTTGACGAAAAAGCCAAAGCATCTCAGTGTTATTCTGAAGCTCGAGGAGAATCACCGCACAAAGGCTGATGTCGAGCGGCTCCTTGACGAGGTAGCCGAGATTGCGACATGGTGCGCCTGCGCCGAGATTCCGATGCTTTCTGTGTATGAGAAGACAGGTTCGTAGTGGCATATGTGATACTTTTGTACATCCTCTAACATATAGCAGGGATCCTCAAGAAGCACATGCCCCGAGTCTACGATGCTGTCAACCAAAAATTTGCATTCTACTTTGGCCCCGAGCACCCTGGTCTTAGTGTTACATCACCCCATAAAGAGGACCTCCCAGCGCCCTTTGGTGAGAAGCCCAAGGAGCATCTGCGTCTGCACCTCATCTCCGAGCAAGACGGCCGTGACTCCATGGTCGATCTCACACGTACCTTGGCTGAAATGTCGCAGAGGGGCAAGCTTTCTCCTCACGATATCTCCATGGAACTGATTGATGCTGAGCTTTCTGAGGGCATCATGGATGAGCCTGATCTTTTGCTTACGTTTGGTCCCTACCTCGAATTGTCGGGTTATCCTCCCTGGCAGATCAGATTGACTGAGATTTTCTGTTTGCAAGATAATGAGAGAGTCGGATACCAGGTCTTCCTCAAGGCTCTGCAGCATTACGGCAGAGCCCAGATGCGCCATGGTAAATAAGTTCCCTGTTGTCTAAATTTCCCTTTGTTGTTCATATTTCATATACCTTAGAAATAATCATATCTGGACTCATGGTTTCCAGAGCAGCATTTCTCGGACCTCCCTATTCCATCTGTACACTGGCCCTGTTCCTACATTGTAGTTGTAGTAATTATCTGTTCCTCCTTTGACCATCGCTCTCCGAAAAGTTATGTTGATCCTTCCGCCATCTTCTTGATTCTTCCCTGTTCGCTTTGGTATAGAGTGCAGCCAGTTAGACTGTGTTCTCCTTCTCATTAGCACCATGTCACCACTTCCCAATGGTAGTTTGAGCGGTTTCGCGTTCACAGAAGGGGGACTAGGAGCATTCGGAGGTGGCGGTTTGTGCTTCATAAGAAAATCACGACGTGCCCCTAATGAGAAAGAAGCAATAGCTGGATCACGACCCAAGAATTGCTCATCATCACTGTGAAAGCTGATGCTGTCGGAGCCAGAGGCGTAATAGTTGACGAGGCAGAAGTTATATTTACAGCCTGTAGCCAGCTCTGTTCTGTGACGAAGTTCATCGAGGCATTTTGGTATAGGCCTAGGAGGATATCTGGCGTATCGTTTATCCAAGGCTCTCGAGCCTGTGTTGGCGTCTACTGGGAGACCTTTGTCATCGAACTTGGAAGTCTCATCAAGACCAAATACAGTTGTCCATCTGATAGCCTGTATTAGCATCTTTTCTTCCGGGAGCAATGCAGCCTACCTTGGAGTTCTTATCTGGGTTTCTATGCCACCTCGCTTGATCTTATACTCGACTCTGTAGAACGGGAGTTCTGAACGAAGAAACTCAAAGAGTCTCCGAGATACAGAACCTGAGATGAAGGGCTCAAAGTACAGGAGGTCAAGGTCAGGTTGATCATTGATCTCTCTTCCGGGTTGATCTGGCAGAGTAGACAGCTCCTTGCTTAAAGATGCTGGTAGGTTCTTGATGGGATGAGGGTAGAACTGATGCTCAGAATATGTGGTCTATGGCCGTTAGAATTCATGTTGACGAGTTCTTGTGTGCATTTTATGTGGAATTATCTCTCACGTCTTCTGAAATCACGTCGCTAGAAGTGATTGCTCCAGTTTCTGTTTTGGGTTTCTTTACTGTCGGACTGAAGAAGGCATCAAGAGTACGCTTCCTAGACATGATGGCAGATGTTGCAATAGGATTGGTTTTCAGATTACTGCAGCCTCAGACTTGAAAGTTGATAAATTATCCGAATCCGAGTTGCTCTGCACAAATAACGATTGACAACCGTGAATATGTATCTTGAAGTCGTGACATCACTCCAAACTCCCAGCCTTGCGTATAAGTGAAAGTGTGGCGCATACATGTGGCTGTGCACAACCATTTAAATTCGAGCCCTAAAAAGCTCAACCAGCCTCATTTCTAAGGTCTAACTAAGGGACCAGGGAAATAATGGTGAAGACCCTTGTTTGACTCATGTCAGTCAGTGCATTTTCGCCAAAAATTCAACAATACCTGAGGTCATTATGGATGTTAGTTCTCAACCCCTGTCACTAGATACAAGATAGAAGAAAACTAATGAGTATCAAAATATTTAGAAAAATTCACAGTTGCGAGAAATGAACCTCTCCCGAGCACCAGCCGCTCGTGCGGCAAGGACACTCGATAGGTCCCTCTTTGCAAAAACTCTTAACGCTGCGGCGGCTTCTATCAAGGAGAATAAGCTGCTGTCCAAGTATCGAAAGGAGCTTGAGAAGACAAACGAGGTTTTATTTATGGAGAGATTTAATCCCATCTTGCCTGATCCAGACCCGTCACTTGCTTCTCAGGGCAAAAAATGTATCGTGTTGGCTCCTCAGATTAAGTCTACGTGTAAGTTGTAGAATGTCCGACGAAATGGTTGTCAAGTACGCTAATCATAAAGACAATAGCCCCAGACACATGGAGTCCCATCCTCAAAGAAGCCTCGAAAGTCGGTGACATTACGGTGGTGCCGTATGATATTGAAATCGGATATGATTCTTGGTCTTATCGTACGTCTGCACACATGCCTTATTCACAGGCGGACACTGACAAGTACGAGTTGATGTTATGAAATCCATTCTTCCGGATGAACTTCACGAGGAAATCCCAAGCGGTTTCAATACCGTGGGACACGTCGGTATGCTCCTCACTCATCAAACGACCAGCGTCCTTGTTAACATATATGCGCAGCCCATCTCAACATCCGTGATCAGTACCTACCTTACAAGAACATTATCGCCCAAGTACTTCTAGACAAGAACCCTCACATCAAAACCGTTATCAACAAGATCGATAATGTCGGCTCAGAGAACGAGTTCAGGACCTTTGCCTACGAAGTCCTTGGTGGTCCTGATGATATGAACGTGGAGGTGAGCGAGGCTGGCTGCGTTTTCAAGTTCGACTACTCCAAGGTATACTGGAACAGCAAGCTCGACACAGAACACAAACGGATTGCAGGACTTTTCAAGCCTGGAGAGGTTGTTGCAGATGTCATGGCTGGTATTGGACCCTTTGCGGTGCCAGCTGGCAAGAAGGGCGTCTTTGTCTGGGCCAACGACAAGAACCCAGAGAGTTACCGCTACCTTGAGGAAGCGATCCGCAGAAACAAGGTGAGCTCATTCTGACTGTCGTCTCATAATGGTTCGATATTAACATTTAGATGCAGGTCTCGGAGTTTGTCAAGCCCTTCAACTACGATGGCCACGACTTCATCCGCACATCCGCAGACCTTGTCCTGGAGGCATCAAAGCGCGGTGACTGTGCCGTCATCAAGCCTCCAAGGCAACCAAGAAACTCTACGGCTCCGCCCCCGGAGCCTGTCCGAGTACCCGTGCCACCAACGATCTCACATTTTGTCATGAACCTCCCGGCATCCGCAATTGAGTTCACTCACAATTACCGCGGTCTGTACCACGGCCACGAGGAGCTGTTTGAGCCTCACACCGAGACCAAGCTGCCCATGGTGCACGTGCACTGCTTCTCGGTCAAGGCTGATGACGAGACACCCCTCATGGACATCTGCGAGCGGATACGTAAAGAGATTGGCGTCTTACTCAGACCGGGAGATCCCGAGAACCAAGGTGAGGTGCTCATCTACGATGTGCGAGATGTCGCTCCAGCAAAGAGAATGTTTTGCGCTTCATTCCGTCTACCACGTGAGGTTGCCTTTGCCGAGAGGGCTTAGACGGGGTCGGTCGATGTCGATATTGATGGCGCCGGCAGATCTCGGGCCCCGGGTGGGACTTGTCGGCCGGGCGAACGGCCGGAGGGGTCTTCCCTGTGCGGTGTGTTGTGTGTCTGTCACTACTCTACTCTACTGTACTGTAACGTATCCGCGCCGCGATAGGATATCGATTGACCTACCAAATGCAGTACGAGGCCGGAAACTCAAAAGGAACGGACCAAGGCGCCTAGACTTGCGACGAATGCAACTCTACTGTACAGTCAAGAATAGAGTCGCATTTGTCGGGATATGACCGTCGATAATGAGGCGCTTACTTATCGCTGATATCTTGTCGTCTCCAAGACCCCCAGCCAAGCCAATTAGTGGCTGGGTAAGTTTTACCGTGATCCGTTCAGGCACGATGACGCTCTCATGATAGATGATAAGTCAATGCGGTAGGGAGAGCCGCGATAACGGTCCTGCGGGGATCCTTTGAACCGTTACAAAGCAGAACATGACAGAGCCAGAACAGATTTGCGTGCAGCCGGTCAGCGCAGTTCGGGGGTATCCTGGCAGATCGACGGTGCATCCAACTTATGAAAACTCCTCCATTTGCTTGTTTCGTGAGCAAAACAAGCTCACAAGGCGCCATGCGTGGCTGACAAGGTCAAGACGTGGCACCCCCCTCACAATTGAACATGAGCATGAACCCCTGGCATCCCTGCTCACACTCGCACTCGTTGGTGGGAACGGGTTGTGTTGCCCATCTCATCAGCGACGGCATCTTATCTTGGACACCCTTATACGTCCGGACACCTGACTTCTTGTTGAACAACGCAGACACACCCCTCAAGCTGCTCTGGTCTGCATCCTCGCACTCTTTGGTTTCACGGCATCACCGTTGGACTGCAGTCTGCAGTGTAGTGCGTCGCGCATGCATTGGAGCTGACGCGCGCCCCTGTTGTGTAACTTGGAAGAACCGAGCCAAGGCTGCGGAGACCATCAGAGATCGCAGAGGCAAATCAATCGCTCTGAGACATTCAAATCGACAGCGAATGACAAGACAATTATTCAGGGTTCTTCTGCACGTTCTGAAAGACACACATGCTGTGGGCTCTGGGTGTGGCTGCATATTGTCAATGTCAGTGTTAGTGTTAGTCATGTCATGATATCAAATTTCAATTTCGCAACCTTGTTGAGTATCTTTTTCCTTCATCAGGGCCCCTTCTTCAAAGGAACCATTTTTGTTCTTCCTCTTTCAGTGATGTGCTTCCATAACATCTTCGAGCCCCTGGTCTTCCCGCCATCCCGACCCCAAATCCAGGGCTACCTCGAAATCTAGGCGACCTCGGTGTGGTATTCCGTAACCCTACGCGCAGGTAGGGGTGCTGCCATCCCACGCAAATTCCCCTGACCGATCTGCCATACGCACATCCTTCAGCCATAAATCATGTCTGCAAATGCAAGCCATGGTTGCGTTGCGTTATCAGCAAGATACCAAAACACAACACCATGAGGCACGGTGCCATACGATCTTCGCAGCATCGATTTGAAGAATTGAGATAGCACCAAGCTGGAAGCTTATCAACTCAAGTTGAAAAGGGACAGTCTTAAATACTTGCTGAATTGACAGGGTGCACTCGGCGGAGAATCTCAAAATCCACAAAGAAACCGAAATGCAAAGCAACCCGAGCGTGATGAGACATATTTGGCGAAATGTTACCAAATTTTGCAAATTCTAATGCCAACTGTGTAAACGGTGGCGAGAAATAGCCCATGCAAATGATTCCTTAAGCTTGTCGTCCAAGCCCTCGGGGCGGGTCCGGGATTTCTTCATCAAATGCAAGAGAAGCCATTCGGAAATCACAAACCTCATACTCACACCCAATTCAGTCCAACTCGTTGATCCTCTGAGGCGGCCCGTCGCATATCATCTATAGCTCAGGTAAATATATGGTTGATATTTTAACCTGGTGGTCTCTATCTTCCCCTCACAGATATCAGCGCAGGGCCATGCTGCAAGTCCGAAGAACGGGTTGCGGGAACTGCAACCCACGGAGGGAGGCTCTGGATGGAATTATCTGGTATTCGGGTCCATATGCAACGCACATCACGCATCTACATCAAACGGCCATCTCCAATTAGGCTCTGCTGCAGCGCCTCGGGAACCAGGGTCTGCGAGAATGGGGTGTGGAGTATAGTATCGAGATGAGGAAGCGAGAAGTGGACAGTCAAGCCAGTTATGAATGAGGCTGAAGACGTGAGTACACAGAGAAGCGACTCCCTTCAAGATAGGGTTGCAATGGAGTTGCCGTGGGTGTTTCGATAACATGGATCCATGACTGGGGTGATAAGTCAAGTGGTGGCATGTCCTAACAAGATTCGCTGGCTTCGCGCCAAGTATGAGAGGATCGAGCTCGTCACGATCATAGGGTTGAAAGTTCCCGATTCTCCAGGGGCTTTCTCGCCAACGGGTATTGGTAATATCCCAATTCATGATCCTGTTGGCCCTCGTATCGTGGCATACCTCACTGAAGGATGCACATGAATGAACCTTCACATGCCAAAGTGTGGCTTCTATTGATAGATCCGAATCTTGTTGGTCAATCCAAGCACTGGAGCCACATCACTAGGAAGAAACGAGTGTCGAATGCAGAAACTCCAACAGGCAGCCACTTTGGGGCCATTCAAGAACCACAAATTACCCATATATTTCTAGTTCTCTCTTGTCGTTCGAGAGAAGTTAGCAAGTTCCACTCACTCGGTCCGAGACGAGCTCCTTTCACAACCTCTCGGCCGACCCGACCTAGACTACGTACTAACAACGAGGGGCAATCGTGCGGTCTGATTGGCCCGATTACCTAGAAATCGCTACATATTGTTCGAGACTCGATTTCTGTACTGGGAGGAGCAGTTGTTGGACGACTTAGTAAACTCCTTGGCAAGCGACTGTAACCGTAAGAGTCCAGCAACATGACAGATCCCTCATCGAGGGGGAAGTGAAATCATTGGACGATGTATGCGCCTATGTTCTGATACTGTATCATAGGAAGTCTCATAAGCAACCATGACACCGAACTGGGCTAACGGCATATTAACATGGACGTCATGAGCATAATTTCCGTATCTGATCATGAATTTGCGGAGCCAACCAAAGGTATACCTACTTTGTCTCGTCATGACACACGAGATGTGCTCTCTCTAAGGGTGAGAACAGGATGTCTTAACGGGATGCCTCAATGCAACTTGAGAGCTATCACCTTTCGAGGCCGTCACGCAATGAGGGTCATGGTATGGAGAACCGACAGACATCTTGCCTATATTGGTATCCCGAGAGCATCAGTGGACAGTGACATGCTTGTTGCTGCACTCGTAAGCCCTGGCGGTTCTGCCCACACGCCCATTACTGATATGCCTTCAATCACAAGAACATATCTCAACCCTGGAGACCGAGTATGGGACCGATACATGTGTCCATCGCCGACAAAGAACTCTAGGATCAAGCTACAGCACACCTTGAGAAATACCTCAATGTTGGATTGGCTGGGGGAGTGTCATTTCTCTACGTATTTGGAGTGTTCAGGTGGAAACCGCCAATGATGCTAGGCTAGCCAAAGCTTATGTCTTCTCCAGTGCGGAGACAACATGAAGATCAGCCCGAGGCCCACCGTGATATGAGAAACGCTCGAGATCTTGCGTTAGTACGGCCATGTCCATAAGCTGTTTCGGAGTCGGGGCGAGAAGTGGTGATCGATCTCCATGTCGATCAGGGTCTTCACTGAATTGCACCATGATTCAGCATTCTAGCCTCGAAGCGGGTATATCCAACTAGTGATTCTCTGTTGGTGAGCCGATGCGAAGAAACATAAAATTACTTGTGCGGAGGATGTTGAACTCTCTTGGCTTTCATAGCTGGTGCGAGTATGACCGAGGCAGACCCATCAATGGAGACCAGTAGGTTTCATCAGACGTTTCCGTCGATACATCGATCCAGGTCCAATAGGTATACCTGGAAAATATAATCATAAAATTTCAGCCATGGGAGGATTGTCCCCAGGGGTCATGCCGCACGGAAGTTCTTCGAGCGGAAAGTCTCAAATAATAATGGCCAGATTATCGCAAACCTTTAAACAGAGCCGCAACTCGCTTGTGGACCATAGCAAGTCATGAGCTTTGCTATATTATCTCTCGCAGAACTACGGAGTACTGTGCCGGTTTTAGAAGTTACTCAGTGATAAGCTAGAATACAATGCCGAAATTCCTCTGTCTTGCACAGCTTTTTGCAGTATTTTACAAAGATAATGAACAGCACCCGTCCCACAGTGGCATAGGTAAAGGAATGCGCTTGGCGATCCAGATATCAAGCAATTGTCAATGCTGATAAGAATCTGCACAACTATTGAGCCATGAACGAAGCCAAGGCTGATGCTGGCGTACACGTAACCGCGTCGACGATCTCGATGTCCATGATTTCGGTGGCTGCTGGGTAACAATTCGACATTCAGAATTGCAATGTCGTCGTTGTCGGCCTTGCTGGCAACACCTTCACTTGAGGTTCACTGAGAGCGGAGACATTCTGGGCATCGTAGCGTGCGCTACTCTACTCCAGCCACATTCGTGCTGTCCCACAGATGCAAGCTGCGAGGCAGATGATGCAAGCCATTGCAGCCAATGAGTTGAGGCGAGGAGAACATGAAGCCGAGTTGGAAGTGTATTGGCCCTCAAGGTCGCCTGCAGGGCGTTCCATAGCAGAGCCTTCACCGGCCCACTCCTAAGACGACTGCTGTCAGCAAAATCATGTCTGTACTAAACTTGACCAAAACAGCGACATTGATGGGTCTGATGGCGGAGCATGGCTGATGGTTGATGGGTCATGGCGTAGAGGGTCCGAGGACAACCTGGTGTTTGCTTGATTCGAGTTTCGGTTTTCGGGTTTTAACGGATTGGATGCTTTGAGAATCCAGGGCTATATACTGCTAGATACGTGTGTGGCGAAGGGAAGCATATCGGAAACCGACCGAGATACGAATGAAACGATACGACTGGCATCAGAGAGCCGATCCCAGTTGAGAGGAGAATCATCATCAATCATTATTGTCGATAAGCGCATTTGTGCTACTCGGCGAGGGAGTTGAAGACATGGCGGGCAGACGAGATATGGGAAAGTACTGATAAGAGAGATAAGCCCTCATTCAAGCGGAGGAGTATTCTCTGATACGCTGAAGGATCGGATATCGAGAAGCGGTTCATGGTGAAGCTGGGGTTGCATGGCTAGTGGCTGTAGGGGTGTTGTGTGTTTGCGAGGGGGCGAGATGGATCTTCATTGACCTGGGGGAGATTCTGGGGTGAGGTGAGGGGGTGGATTTGGGGCTGTCCGTGTAAGTGTGGGCGGTGGCTTTCAGCCAAAGGCAGTGAAGGTCTGAGACTCAACAACAACGCCCGTTACTATCTGATCTTTATCTTGGGTACCTTGCGTAGGCAGGGTCATTGTGGTGGTCTTTCTATTCCGTAGTATCACTTTTTTGAGGAGTCATAGATTGTCTGAGCAACCGAAAGCACCTCATTGTGCTGAGATCCAGCTACATCAGCCCTGGCCTTGGCCTTGGCGATTTGAATCGAATATGACAACCAAGTGGCCAACTGAACAATAATGGACAAGGCCCAGGCTCGGGTTCTGTAGCCGTTGCTCAGAGCTCAATCAGCCAATCGACATGGCGAATTGAGCACTCAGTTACACACAGACATTCAGGTACGACATACAACGGCCAGGGGAGTAAACACATGGTTGTTGTGTGAAGGGGCCACTGATGTGTCAGTGGGTTGGTTGATCGGTTGGTCTTCGATTATTGTCTCACTCACACTCCCTTTTCTTTGTTTGTTTGGGGAAGCTAAGCATGCATGCCATGCCTGACGATTGATACCAAGAGTCTTGGGCTATGCGCCAGGGCATAACACGGGAAGAACATGCACCTATTAGATTGCTCATATCCGTACTGTATCACCAGTAAACCAGCAAAGTGCTTCCGCCATCGATCACGGGACTTTTGATCTCCAACATGACAGACCAAATCATAATTATTCTGTGCTTGCTTGCACGCACCACCTACGTTAGAATGAATCAAGTTACCCTATGGCCACGAGGTACCGTTTGGCTAGACTCAAGCGTCGCATTTAACTCCCAACTGTGGCAGCCATTGCAGATCCATCCCCTGGAAATAATATGCCGTTTGAAATATTGTAAATTGGAGTTTCTGTACCAATTGTCAGCACTCGTGGGTTGTGTTGGTTGTGGCCGAGTTCCCGGAGTGAGACGTAACCCAAGGTAATCGGAATGTCATAATGACGCTGGACATGTGAAATCGAGACCAAACTTGCGCGTTCCGGGGAGCAACAACCCTGAAAATGAGCCGTTACACAGCTCGGCCAAGAAAGGGGTGAACGGAGATGCAGTAATTTCCATCATGCACAGGGTACTCCAGTAGAGAATATTCCTCCAGGTTTTTGATATGGAGGGTTGTCGATCCTAGAGGCAGCTAAACGTTGATCAAAGACCGCACGGACCGTACCGCTTATCACATCTCAAGCTGACGTCCTGGAATGCCGTAAGCTTGCTACGATGGCCACAACACCACAGTTTGGGTTGGGGGTGCATTCCTGTGTTGCAGCGAGGGGACTGTGCTGTTCTGAGCCGCCGAGAAATCAACGAAGCCACATACGGGCATTGTAGATGCATATCGACTGATATGGCTGAGACGTACGCTCTGTTGTCGGTATGAGATCCATGGACTCTGAGACAGAGCGTTGGACACGTTGGCTTGAAGCCGGCATGCAGATGAATCACATCCAGGTTTAGACGATCTACGCTTGGATGACAGCAGAAAGAGCACGGATCACGACACGAGCTTTCAATTGGCCTCTGACCAGGCACAGGATGAAGTGAACCCTTTGCATTTCGGAATATTATCCTGCATCCAACCGACGTATCCATTAGCACACAGAATCTCTCGCACGTCCAACGCCAGAAACAATGACCAACACTATGGCGTCTTGACCCCCAAAGAATTGAGTTCTCTGGCGTTAGCAGAGTTCTGGGCTGATTCTCTAAAGCCCGCCACCAATATCTCTCCGACGACACAATTGATAGTGGAGGACACAGCCAGCTCTGCAGCTTCAGTTTTGAGGGAGCACTGGGTGCGATCGAGACCTTGAATTACGGGGCATTTGCATGAATTGATGTGAGGGGAATTACTTCGTCGCCGATCGCAGCGCTTGGTAGTTGACGACTCCTTGACTCTTTTCTCCAGAAGTTAGGGTTTGTGTCGTATTCAGCCGCGAGGACAATGGCTGTACGTAGGAGTCAACGTAAACGTCCCTGGCAATCAAGCGTGAGTTTTGAGCCTCCTATAGAATTCCCTCGTCGACCCTATCTAAAATTAGGATATGATGAAGGGCACTGTGCAGCGCAGCAATCATCCATGTCCAGAGACGTTTAATTTTTAAGGGACCCTGGAATTTGCCTATATGAAATTCGTGATCGAGGGTAGGGCACAACGCCACTGAGAAGAATATTTTTGAGCACAAAACAACTGATAATGACGTTATCTGGATCAAGCATGGTCAAGAACGAGCCCTGCATTGGAGTGAGACATGTCATAGCGTGAGGGCATAAAAAAAAAAAAACGTTTGGCAAAGCAACGCATGGTCGTGTGGTTGCTGTTGTAAGTGGAGTGGATCTCATCAGGAGGAGGCTCAAAAATTTCGACATTTTCTCTCAGCATGATTGATTATCACGCATGGGCCTGGTATTCGGGGTTTCTCTGGGGAATTGACGATGACATCCGATCCAATCAATTCCGCGGATGACACTAAAGCAAATAAAACTGGTTTTTCCTCTGGATGATCAGGGGCGTGAGCAGCTTCTGGAACTTATCCGGCCCTCGATAATCCCCGCTCTGTTCTCGGGCAGTTGCGAAAAGCCCAAGCGAAGGGCAAAATTGGAAATAGGAACATGAAAATTTAGGAGAAAAACCAAACCGAAGATGTTCCCCTGCCCCTCGTTTCTCATGGCCTGGACTGGCTGATAGACCCTTGCTAGCATTAGGCTGTCGTCCTGGGTCTTGGCTTCAGTCTTTGTCCCCTTGTTAGGGCCCAAAAGTCTAAGTTGTCTGTCCAATGCAAAGCTCTCGTCTTACTCGGGGGAACTATCCGTGGGCCCCCGGGGGACATGGTCGGCTGTCTAGGTTGGACCGTTCCGCTGGGCCCTCCAATGAACCACCCCCTGAGGTAACTTAACCCTGGCTCTTCTTCTTTCACTGTCCTGTTGCTGGGGCTTTACACTTCCACGGACTCCGCTTTCACCCCGGCTGTCTCGAATCTGGTACCCGAGCCCATTCCAACGGGGGGCCAGAAGAGGCTGAAATTACGGGCATGGGAGAGATGAGGGAGGATGAAAAGTCTGAATGCGAAGTTGCTTTTTTTAACCGCGAGTCGAGCCGAACTGATATGTGAAGCCATCGTGACTCGAGCATCTTCTGGATGTGGTGCTGGTGTTGATACTGGATATCTTGCTAGTCGAAGTCTACGGTCTCCATGATCTTCAAGGAACCCCGATAGCAGACCTTGTGTCTTTCGGGATTCACTGATTGTTCTATCATCAGAAACCGACTGCTTTCATTCATTGACCATTCTAGACCTTTGGCACATGAGACTGAGACTCGTGTCTCCTGTTCCTGGTTCAGGAACGGGGGCAAGGACTTTCGATTAAGCCGAAAAAGAGCAAGGAAGACATCTACGCCCGGGCCAGCTGAAGGCGCGTAACTTATGAGTCGCATAGACGGACTCGAATGTCGTGCTTGTTATGTCGTTCCGCTGTTCAGGGTGAGGCTCACCAAGGACGGACTTGGGATCGATTCGTCTCAGTCGGTTTGATCACGCGCACTGCCCTGGCTTCCTCACTTATACCGTTGTGCCCCTGTCCGTCAGGAGACAGACTGGTGATTCTGCATTGCTCGTGATGGTCGATGGCCAAGCTATCGCCGCTCGCTACCAGAGAGTGGGATCCAGTTCTCCCCTGCAACGGTCGCTTCTCCCTAGTGGATATCTACTCTCGAAGCAAATTGCTTCACAGAGTTGGGCTCTAACCCCGCAAACAACCTTGTTGATTCATCTTATTGTGTACGGATCAAGGTCAAGGTCAAGGCCTTCGCATTTCACAGGATGGTCATGGGGTCAAGCCTACGTCGTAATTACATTTTATCGTGGGCTTTGAAGCACGGTTAGAAAATTGAATTTTGGGCAGAGTTGAGGATGCTTACGGTGGAGTTTACGAGGGCAATGCGCCAATTTGGTTCGTAAAAAATCACATCACGTTGCATCAACCACCAAGGGCTCTTATCGGTTAATGATAGAAACAGAAACATGATACATATGTACATACATACTTCCACTGGCCCATTGTTTCGCCGACTAGGTTTGAGCCTCTTTGATCTGCACCAAGAGCTACAAACGGTAAGTCAGGGCGGGTGAAGATGAACTCAATTCAAGGGATGAGCTGTCTGGCGGTGTTCCGCATTGGGCCCTTTTTTGTTGGTTGTTAAATGATATCTCTGGATTGAAGTGTCGATGGCTGGCTTGCGGCATGGTTAGAGAAATGCCAACAGAGTGATGTCCGAAACTTGACGTCTTGGTTGACTCAGACTATACGTCTACTGTAGACCAGATGTTTTGTTACGCGTTCCGAACTCACGCTTTTTACCCGGTGTATCATTGAGAGAGCATGATGCTTACAGGAATCATCATATTGCTCTCGGAATTCAGACACACACATACGCGCGCAGGCACGGCAGCTTTTTACAGCCATGATGGAAAACTCGTCAACTGTCAACACTCTCCTCTCGCTTGCGCCCCCCATGTTGGCTGGAAGCCCACGCTGGAACCTCCCACGCTTTTAAGAGACACCCCCCACGCCCCCCTTCTCTGAGGCTTCTCATCTTGTTCTACAGCGCAGGTAGCAACTCAGTATGGTGTATCTGTACAGAGTTGGCTGTTGTGATGCCACGGATGGAATTGCCAATCGACCTTTTGCAATGACGTGAGTTTGCATGCGACCTTATAAGATTGTAGTTATTGGTGCACCGGAGCTGTATGGCTCTGATAACGAACGGACGAACTTATGCTCTGTAACACTGAAAGGATATTCCCTGACAACCCCACGTCTGGGGCGAGCTATGAACCTCGATCACATCGGGCTGAATTATCTTTCCGTGTCTCTGCTTTCTCGATCTCGACCATATCGCTCCTGAAGTCGATGTAACTAATACGTTTGTAGCTGTAGAGTCGGGATTTATATGAAAGTAACCTGAGACAGATGCATGATACGTATCCGTTCTGTTTCCCCTCAGGGTCCTCACATCAGTCTCCAAAACAAGAAGACAGACACCCTCGTTACCCCAGTGGCTCATCACCGCAAGCCGAGCATCCAAGTCAGACATTTTAAGACATTCGCCAATGTTGATGTAGGTGCTTGAGAGCTGTGAAAGATAGATTCTACATACTTGTCGAGTCTCCCTAGATTTGGTCTAGGAAATAGATTGAGAATGAGACTCTCGCCTAGACTTCTGTCGCCATCTCTAGCATATACTGGACGTGCATGCGTGTGGAGTACATATGCATGCATGCATATACGGTACGGTAGATAGATACGTTCACCTTACCTGTGTAGATGCAGTAATAACTGGCTAGCTGGCTAAACACCAAAGGGGATCAACTGCTCGCCAAAGCCTTGATAATTGACCGACCAGCCCTGGGCACATTCTCACCTACCTTAGCTACTGCAACGCGATGCCGCTGGACTGGGGAAGATTGAGGAGTACCCGGAGATGGGATCGGATATCAGGAAGATCATTGGATCTAGGCAAAGGGTCCCGTCTTCACCCGCCAGTCGTAAGGCAGATAGATGCCCCTCTAGTTACGGTAGCTCATGAGTTGAGTTGCTTGAGTTGCAGCAATACAGTTTCTGTTGGTCACCTTAGTATTGCGACACTGCACTCCCCTCACCGTTCCCCTCAACTACCGATAATCTGACCGTAGCCGCAGCAGCACTGTATCTGCATCCGTCTGTGTCTGTATCGCAATCGTAATCGTTCTCTGAAGTTTGAAGGTCCTCTTGGTAGTGGAGGTAGGAGGTAGGTGACTGAGCGCCACCCAGAATCATCTCATCGGTCCCTTGACTTGATAGAGTTTATGGATTTTCGCCAGTGTCCTGGACTACCATCTACCTAGGCAGGTATGTACTCTACCGTACTGCCATACTATAATTTTGGTAGCAATTGACATGCGGTCTCGAGGATACCTTAATAAGGTGAAGGCCGTCTCTGGTGGCTTCTTATCTCCCCCGCTCTCCCTTACTTCTTCCCACAGTTATTGACCTGCCCGTTTCTTAGAGTCAAACCCAAATCAGTGCCTATTCCATCATCTCTCCCTCGTTTTATCCCCGCTCTTTCTCAGGCTCGCCATGCCTTCTGACTACCTACCTAAAGCTGTTGTACTAGTATACCCTTCTCATCGCCTTCCATCGTTGCGACTTATTCGTTTCTCCAACTTCATCCTCCTCCTTCTTTTCAATAACCACCCAGTTGAACCTCGTCGAACCTGGGAGGCAGATCAGCCACCACTACGCTAAACACCCACTGTAACCGCCTGCCCAATACCATCGCAGCGGGCGCAAGACTCCGCTATCCGGCCGGTGACCGAAGTGTCAGTGCATAACGAACAGTGACCAGCGACGGGCAACCAAGCGCCAGACCAGAAGCACACACTGGACTCGACCACACCTGGACGGTCCCCACGAAATTCGTCACCGCAACTGGGTCTGGGGGATGTCTTGGTCGCTTCAACGCCACCACGCCTCGACCAGGTTTAGCTCATCCCTGGCCTGCCATCCATCCCTCGTACAGTACACACCCAGAAAACACACACCCACAACACCAGCGCCGGGTTACGCTACGTACTCCTCCGGTACGCTAGAAACTAGCCCCAAACAGAACCTGTCCACCTGCCCCCAAGGACCCCGGCTACGGCTATCGCCTGCTGTTTGCTCAAGCACTTGTCCGGCTCTTTAGGTTGACTCTACGCCTGCAACTACAAACTGCTATAAGCCTGCCCCCCACCCACATTGTGAAATCCATTCTATCCTCTATACTTCATGCCCACGCTAGATCTTGACACTCTCGTCAATTCATCTCAGATCAATAGCATAACATAACATCCGTTTTGTTTGCCTTTCGACTCGTCTGTACCCATGAGTCTCTAACCTCGAGCCCTCCCAATTTCACCTTTCCTGGGTGCTTCGGCATTGACAAAGATTCCTACGGTTTTCCTCAAACTCCCATCATGGCTGTCGTTCTTCCATCCGACGACAACGGTTACTTCGCCGGCTCCGGCCTACGACGCTCACATTCTCACTCCAACTTCATCTCATCGACTTCACCATTTTCCACTTCTTCTCACCTAAGCGATCATTACAAGCCTACATCCAAGTCTTACGCCGAATCTAACTCATCATCTGCTCCCTCGTCTCCCCGTACCGTCCACGCCGACTCTGTCGATCTTTCCTACGCATCTACTCCTGCCACTAATCTCTCTATTGCCTCTGACTACGACGACAACATTGGACTTGCTGAATCACCTGAAGACCACTTCATGTTTCCATCCTTTGCGCAGGAGAAGTTTTACGTTCACCCAGAGATCCGCCCTGAAATCCACCATGATGACAACCTAGAGCCACCACCCAGTCCCCGAACCGGCGACTCTTATACTGTTTCTCCCGCAGAACACGAGAACTCTGAAGAGGTATCTGATGATACATCAAGGCCCGAAACACCTGAACATGAAAAGTCTGAACATGCAGAGGACGACACTGCAGTGTTAAGTCGACCATCCCGCCAAGTGGATTACCTATCTCATGAGTGGAGAGAGGAGGATATCTGGTCATCATGGCGATATGTCGTCACTCGACGGGGGGAGTTCCCCAACAGTGCTCGGTTAGAAAATGCTTCTTGGAGGACCTGGATGAAGGCCAAAAACAACCTGAAGACCATCTCTCCCGAATCTCTCAACTGGTTTGTTTCCCTCAGAATATCCCTTCTAGCTCTACTGAAATGCTTACGTTCCCTAGGCTTAAGGATTGTGATGTCACCTGGCTCTATGGCCCATTGCAGTCAGGACCCAAGAACCTCCATCCTACGCATACTGAGCCTTCAAGCGTGTCGTTATCCAAAGCTGACTCACTGGTCAACCTCAACAAGAAGCCTATCCTCAAGAAGAGAAGCATGTCCGAAGTGATGCTTCAGCGATCACTGTCTACAGCTTCATTATTGAAGCAGGCCACTGCAGCTGTCAAGGCCCAAGAGACAAGAGGAATTCTTCGACCCCATCTTGGTCGCTCATCAACAGATTACTTCGCATATCCCTTCGCATCACGGCGGTTGAGCGGAGACAGCAGCAGCGTCGCTCCTTCAGTCGAGTCATCTGGAATCATTTCTCCCAACTCGGAGCGAAAACACATTCATTTCAATGAGCAAGTCGAGCAATGTATAGCTGTCGAAGCCAAGGGTGAAGATGAGGATGAAATGATTGATGAGCACTTTGGCTCAGACAGCGACTCAGATGATGGTGTCATGATGAAACGAGTCAAGACCAAAAAGAGGCCCATTTCTCGACGCAAGACTATGAAGTCAAAGCCAGCTGCTGAAGGCAAGACAATCGCTATGCTGCCGTCCACCACCCTCAAGTACCGGGAAGACACTCCTGAGCCACGAGAGACTGCAATGAAGCACTCCCGAAGCCCTCTCATGTCTCCTTCATCTTCACAGGAGACACTACGACCTACGAAACAATCAGGAAAGTTCTTTTTCGGTGAGGAAGACCACGATGATGGTCTTGACGACGCTTTGTTAAGTCCCCGCTCAGGGTGGGCATCACCTCCCAACGAAGGTGCCAATGGCGGTCTGAGCAGATCCATCTCGTCAGGCAGTCTTTGTGAGGAGCCTGCGGGTATGCGACGCACACCATCCGGTATGTTCATGCCTTTTGAGGAAGGCGAAATACAATCCGGAGACGGCATTTTCGGTCGAGTTATTGACACAGTCAATACAGCCCGTGATATCGCCCACGTTATTTGGAACGTTGGCTGGAGGAAGTAATGGGTACACAAGCGTTCGACTTTCTTTTAGCGACGCGATTGGAATTTGAACAAGCTCATAAGCTTGTGACTCACTTAGTGTGAGCTGAAACGACGCCATGACAACATAAAAAAAAGCGCATCTATATATGGGAATTTCGGAGATAATTGGCATTGACCCGCCATACTACCGCGACTATCACGAAATAAAGGCTTGTTGACAGACAGCCTGTGCCAATGTCACGACGACATCTTGGAAAGTGGCCCCGGAATCGCATTTCTATCTTTCATACACGGTCTGTAACAACGAATGGATGGAGACGAAAAGGCTAAAGAAAAGCACCGTGTTTATTGTGGAAAGAGCTGGGTGGCTGCGAGGGAATTTCATGGGTAAAGGAGAGGACCATGTATCAGGCAGCTCTCACCAAAGGCGCCATCATTGGTTTTCAGGCTTTTCTTTCTACGAAGGATCAGCCTACCCCGTGACGCCCGGGTCCCCGGGATCCGACTACGAAATCGGGGCAATGGGAAAAGCCATTCTAGAGGTCACAGGCCCGGGGGATATTCGGCGTTATAATTTTTTGTTCCCGTCTTTCTTTTGTGGCAAGGGTTTTGTTTTTTTACTTCATGATATCCCATGGGCAAGTGGGTACTACGGATCACAGGCGGCCTCGGGCGGTTATGGACGGATCAGGAAAGGGAAGGGTATAAGCCATGGGGACAATTGATTTTTTCGGCGACTACGGCGACTCTACGGGACGGTAAGGCCAGGACAGGGACAATTTAAACAAAGGAACAAGAAGAAGAAGAAGAAGAAGAAGGACACAAACGGCAAATGGCAACAGGACCGGGTCTTCAGTGCGTTGTTGAATCGGTCGTACATAAAGACAGGGGGTCGCATCTCGACGTACTCACGCGGACCGCACGGAAGCCGTTACAAAACAACACAAAAGTATTCATGATATAATAATATGGTGTTCCCATCATCTCGATACTTTTGACTGTCCGTCCAAATGAGAATATGTGCATGCTTCCCAATAGCCTAACTTGGCATACATTTCATCAACACAATGGAAGGTAAGCAAGCTTGACAAGGGACAAATGAGGGTTTTGACTTTGCCGTCCCTTGCTGATCATACTGGCCCTGAAAACTTAGTCGTTCTAGCTTTTACCTCTTGCAGACAGAATTCGACTTTGCCACATCCGAAGTGCAGCTTGCGAAACGGTCCAATCAACGTCTCGTCTATGTCGATCACCAATTGAGATGCAAAGCAGCGAAATTGTTGGGGAAACAGGACGCGGGCTGGTCTGTTCTCTCTGCGCGCGTGACCTCATTCCACGTGCCCTAGCGAAGTGCCCCAGAGTGTCAATTATGCCAAAAAGACGCTGTAATTCGTGATATGGATGTTTTGACAGGGATATGGGTTGTTCGAAAGGATGTCGTGTGAGCGTCCGTGAGGTTATTAGCCGAGGGTGTGATGTTGCTTATGTCTAACAGTAAGGGAAGACTTCCGTCGATGGTCACTTGCGACATGCGGTATTGGCATCGATGGAATTTTGTTAATTGGTGGTTCTATAAATGGATGATCTACTGTACATCTCATGCTTTTGATTTCCAAAGCTATCGCAAGTTTGTGCTGGTCATGTAAAAATATGGTACAGGTATGATACAAGTGACGTGCATCGGGCAAGGGGGAGATCTGTCGTCAGCTATTCCCCCCCTTAAGATGGGTATCGTACAGTGCATTTCCAGCACAACACCCCCGAGGATCACGTCAGGGTTCTGTCAATCAAGTCTCTAGCAAGAGACCCCATGTTTTATTTTTATTTTTTACGCAGGGGGTGACTCGATGGGATTTGCGAAAATGCGGGGGAGAGATGGGCGACTCCACGTCAGTCGATGGCTGATTGCTGAGAGCCATTGAGAAAAAGGCGGAGAGACGTTGGAGCATGGGGACAGAGAAACGAGATGTGAGACATAAACAGCGCCAATCTCACTCACGATGCTGCAAGCCATGGCTTCGCCGTCAAGGCGGTGACGCTCAAACTTAGTGTTTCTTTCCACCCCAACAAAGTCTTGCTTCGAGAAGACCAAAGAAGACCCTGCGGCGCAGCTCACGAGGCCGGGGCCAGGGACGGGGCGTCCGGGGAGAGTGCCGGCTGGCTAACGTCATGTAGTTCTGCCCGGGTGTTTGGATAGTACTTGAGCGCTTTGACAAACATGCTGCGAGCGTGAACGTTGATATTTGCCAGCTCAACGTCGAACTTGTCGCCCACCTTGATATCCTTGAGGAGCACGAGGCCATCGATACCGTCGGTGGATAAGAGGGCCGACATATCGAATAGGTCTACCCGACCGGACACGCCTTGCTTCCAACGAGCATCAACGGTGAAACTCATGCGCTTCGGTGCTGTCCCTTCAAACTGCCAGGCCCGCACGACCGCCATGAGCATCCACTCTTGGGTGCCGCGAGACACAGTCCGGGCCATTCTCTCGCGCATACGCAACAGTGAGAGTGTGTTGGGGAGTGTCTCCTCCGTGAACGGCAATATGTTATTCAGATCATCAGTCTTGGGGTCTAGCCTGCGGTTCACCTGCCGCTCATGTGCCAATGCTGCGTGAATTTGCCAGTGGACAATGAGGTCAGAGAAGCGGCGAAGAGGAGAAGTGGCTTTGGTATACATGTCCAGACCGAGCATGAAATAAGGGCCGGGTTCTGTCGACATCTCGATGCCACCAGTCAAGCGTGTCAGCTCCTGGCGTTGCGCCCCTGAAGGAGCGATGCCCTTCTCGAGCAGAGGGTAGAGCTCTTTCGTGGCGTATTCGAGAAGTTTGGTCTTATTCTTCTGCGAATGGGCGTCCCGTCGGTATGGTAGTGGAATTTTACGGTCAGAGCTCCATCGAGCAGCAATCTCACCGGCAAGCACCATTGTGTTACTCACCACAGAGGCACCGTTGAAGGCATCGTAGCCGACCTTGATGTATGGGTCAGCTGGCAGGACCTTGGTTCCTTCTGCTTGCTCCATGGGGACGTCTTCGAAAGCCACAGTAACGGAAGCGCCTGGCAAGAAAACAGGCCAGGCCCCCTTCTCCAGACGCCTTTTCCTGAGAGCCTGAGACAGACGGTGAAGGATCAAAAGGTCCTCTTTACTCCTTTCATCTAACTCCTTAGCTGACATCAAGGGGCGGTTTGGTGTCACGTCCAACTTGTTAGGTGGCTGGCCAACAACAAGAGTCTGGTCAGATACTGGAGGGGGTGGAGGCTCGTTACAAAACTCAGCAACATCTCTTGGATCCAGGTACTTGACATTGTGCAAAGTACCTGGCTCGATCCTGTAGTCCAACAGATCTCCGTTCTCGTTAAGCCTGGCACTAAAGGTCAGAGCTGGTCGACCATCGGCAAGCGAGTATTGTTCAACCAAACTTCCAGACTTGTAGTCTCCTGAATTGTCCAGACCCAGATCGTTTGGAAGCATGGCCTGAAAGTGGCCAGGAAGGTAGATATTCTCAGGTATCAGCTCGAGAAACCTGCCCAGCTCAGAGTTGGGTCGAATACCAGATGCTGGATCGGCTGCATGCACGTGAATCCAGAATTCGTCAGGTTTGTTTGTTCGTTCTAAAGAGACACCATCATCAATGAGTATTGTAGAAGGGGCGTCAATACAGAAGACGGGGGCGTCGGCCCAGTCTCGTCTGGCATCCTCCGCCACGTCTGGTCGAGTTGAGTCCTCGATACTAACTGGAGTCTCTCGAATGAGGCCGCCTCCACTCTGAATCTTGACTTCAGGGAAACGGACTTTATAGCGGGATGGTATTTCCCATGGCGGGATTATCCCCAGCTCTTGTAGGAAGGTCCATGCGCAAGACTGATTCAGATCAGCACCTTCATATAGATCCAGAGCTCGCAGAATGAGAGAGCCATCAGCGTGGAAGTGTGAGGAATCCTCGAACAAGTCGTAGCTTGCCCACCACTCAAGAAAGCGGATGAATTCTATGTGCTTCCTGGACCATTCACCGGTTTCAAGAGTGACCCCTTTAGTAGGAGCAAGGATTCCGTAAGGTGTCCACGAGCGCTTCTCTCTGTTGGCAAGAACGATTTGTCTTGCCTTCAGAATGAAAGTACCAAATGCCGTTTCCGACATATCAGAAGACGTCATATTTCCTGACGTCTTTGCCATTAGGTGAATATACTCGCGGATCATGAGAGTCACCCGGTTGATCATCATGAAATCCTGATACGGGAAAATCTCGAAAAGATGGTCCTTTCGATGGCAGTCAGCCGAAGGGCTTAACGGCCGAAAGATAAAGTCGTTTCGTAAGAGCGCTGTGTGAACTGCGTATAAAGCAGCAGGAGGAAACTGGGTGCCCTTTTTGAGTGAATTGGGTAACAACAAGTCGGCAAGCTCGAACAGACTCAAATATTTGGTCTTTCTCCCATCTGAGACCAGTGATCTTGCCCTGTCTAAACTGTTAAGGCTTGTCTGGAAGGCCTCGTCCGCTTCCAACATGAATTTCTTCATTTTGTTGATCAGATGGGCACCGACGTCTCGCCCGGGGCCCCTGTCTCGTTTGCGCAATTCTTCGTACTCGTCCGCCGTGGCATTAAGAGGAATCAGAGAAAGAATTGGCTGCAGCTCCTTGGCGGCGGCGAACTTAGACACAGAGAAGAGCGCGGAGAAACCCATGCTGATAACCCATCTTCCAGTATTGGTATAAAAGTGATACCGTTGGCCAAAGAACCCCAAGTATATAGCAAATAAGGGTGTCCGGGAGCCAGGCTGCTTCATTTCAACAAGATCGCCGGGAGCGTGGGACTTGTGCCCAACAATGGCAACTTCAGCATCCTCCTCAGTGTAGTTCTCATCTGGGCCCACCATACTCACTGGATCAGACTTGAAATTATCCAATTCAGATGAGCCAGTAGATTGAGGACGTGTGTTACTGTTGGTGACAGTGCACCAAAATGTAAGGTCTGGGACAATTGGGATTACCTCCCTATCAGGGTCGTTGATAGCAACCCATTCTTGCAATCTTTGCCGAATTGGCCTCTTGTCTACTGCAGGGGAAGTTTTGGGAAGAGATGTGGGAATGTTCGTCTTTCCAAAGGCACCCTGAGGGCGGTTCTTAGTTGAGGTAGCGTACTAAGATTTGTTAGTCCATGACATGTTTGACATCGTGTGAGATGAACAAACGTTATGACGTCCAGTCGAGGACTGCAAAGGCGTAGAAAATGAAGATCGTAATCCATTAGGGCAGTTCGGAAGACATCTACAGCAAATGTACGGACGACCTGCGGACCGTAACATTTTTGCAGTATATCACAAATACCCTGTATCAAGCAAGGTATTACAACTCAAAATTTTGAAGCCGACGCGAGGCTGAAAATTTTACTATTGCGTGTTGGCAACTTTCACAATCGCGAGGTCACATGATATGGCGCTTTCCACTTTAACTGAAGGCTCTTAGCCATTCGTTTGGGCAGGAGCCAACACGGAACCCATGGAATGGATTTCTCGATAACCTAAGGTAAAGAAGGTATTGACTACAACCTGACCTTAGTACCTTTACTTAGACTTATACAATTACTCATCATGAATACCTAAATAAAACCATCACCGAAATGTTGCATCTGTGTAGATACGTTGGTGCTCCCCGTCTCGCCGAAAGTTTCAAGGAAACCTAGCAGCAAAAGGGGCTCGATTTAGAAGGCATTGAATTCGCTGCTATTATTGGCAATAATCCAAGTCGACAATCAATTCACCCCGGAACTAGCTAATGGCGAGTAGTTCCATTCTGAGAGATGTCTCGAGAGAAAGACCTTCTCTAATTGGAAGGGCACCCTGCTCTGCCCGGCTGCCGAGCATAGCCTAAATAACGACGGCTTGGAGCCAAGAAGCGCGCGAGATTCACTTCATTTGAGCAAGAGATGATTCCGATGGATCGACATTGCAAATCCTATACAGGGGCTGCTATTGATCCAGAGCCTTTCATACATATGAGCAGATCAAATCAAAACACGAGAATATCAGTCAATTCACTGTCTATTGACTTTATGCCAACTGACGCTTCATTGCAGAGTACAGCCCATCAAAAGCTGGAAAGGCTAGAGCATCTCCGGCAAGACGAACTGCCGTGCGATGTGACGGTGAATACGAAGTGCAATTATAAGATTGAGGTTCCGATATTAAGCCTAGCTGTTTCGACCAGCGAGGACCCGACCGCCGACTGACAAGCTTTTGCCCCGGCTTTCTCGGATCACTATATCTATTAATTCCCCGCATATGGAGGCTGCAAGATGTCTGTTGTGCCGAGGGGGGCTTTGAGACAGGAACTTCTGGCCCCGTTTCCAATAAGAGACAGCTTGTTAATTACGCCAAAGGCTCAGAGAAAGTGACGACACGGCGACAAGGCGACTCGCTGAGTGTCACTAAAACAAATAGAACGCTTGAACGGAAACCCCTGGGTCCACAAGCGCGAAGCCACCTCCGCTAGGGTAAATTGGGGGACCATGGCAGATGCAGGAACAATCTCTTGACCCCACTCGCCGATGAACCGACTGATTCGAATTTCGAAAGGCGAACAGAGTCAAGAATTGGTATGATATGAGGATCGTTGTATAGATGGAATTTTTTTTTGAAGCAAGATACCGCGATAACCGGGGCGCTGCACTTGGAGGCAACTCTACTTTTGAAGATGCTAAAGGCTATTCTAAGCATGATGCGCAACTTGAAAGCTCATCTCCCGCGCGGGGTTCACATCAATCGCGCATCTCAATCGAGGTCAACTCATCTCGATTCCCCTTGTGAATAGTCAAGTGACCAACCAACGGTCAGAGAAGCCTCGTCCTTGGACTAATATCGCTTCTTATTCACCACAGGTTCTCGCAACAGAGGCAACCTTGACCGCTTAGCTAGCTGATTGGTCTCGAACACTCGACCCCCCCTAAACCACCTTATTTGGGAGAGGCATGGCATCGGCAACGTGAGCAAATGCCCCTTGGGCTGGTTGAGCCCACGAGATTGCATCGTGCCCCGTGCTCCGCAGCCTTCTCCTTTTCGTCCATAACCCCGGCCAAATGCTGGGGTTTCTAGCGCTGTCAAGGCAATGATAGACATATTGCACCAACAATGGTCCGCGTTTGGGACTGGGCGACTAGCACCCCAGCTCATTTCATGAGGCACAGGGCACATGAGGACAGGCCAGGGACAGACGGGTACCTGAGTTTTGGCCTTCAAACGCCGCTATCGTGCATCATGTCAGGTACCATCTAAACCGCTATTCTCGACTAGGGCCATCCTTTGTCAATGCCATGACCCTCTGGGCACTGCAGCCAAGGCAAAACAGACAAGGTTGCAGGTAGAGGCAATAACAGTCGATCTGCTCATAATATGCCGCTCTCCTCCTCCTCCTTCTCTGCTTTTCCTTTCCCTCACGGTTCCATCCTTCGCGAATCTAGAGAGCATCTCGTTAATTTTCGCTTTCGTCCTCTCGTTTTCCTCTATTCCATTAACCGCTTCACTCTTTTAGCGGGCATTCGTTTCCTACGCCAACTACAAACTCTTGCATTTACGTACAGTACTTGAATTTTCGGAGCTTTTTTCAATATGAAGGGAGGACTTGCTGCTGCCGCCGTTGCGGCCATGGCCACTGGTGCTCAGGCCGCTTACCCTCACCACCGCCGGGCTCATGAGATGTTCCGACGTGGTGGAGAGGTCTGCGTTCCTACCTGCACCACCATCTGGACTACCTACTATGGCGAGCCCACTCGTATGTCAACATATCAGTATTCTGTAGGATAAACGCTAATCGCGGTTTCAGTTGTCCCCAACCCTCCTTCTGCCCCCAAGCCCACCAAGGAGGCTGTCACCACTCATGAGGCCGTCAAGCCCAAGCCCACCACCGTTCATGAGGTTCCTACCTATGAGGCTCCCAAGCCCGTTGCTCCCACCACCACCAAGGTCGTCCCGGTCATCCCCGTCCCGACTCCGGAGGAGTACAAGTGCCCTACTCCCGGCACTTACACTTTCCCTGCCACCACCATGACCGTGACTGAGTCCACCACCGTCTGCGTTGGCGAGACCACCAAGGTCCCTGCTGGAACCCACACCATGGGAGGTGTCACTACCATCGTTGAGACTGCAACCACCGTCACTTGCCCTTACGCCAAGGAGACCGAGCACGAGGGGGTCGTTACCAGTGTCATTGAGACCACCACCTACGTCTGCCCATCTGCTGGCACTTACACCATTGCTCCTATCACCAAGACCTGCGAGGAGGAGACCGTCATCGTCTACCCTGTCCCTACCAGCTACGCTCCTGGTACTTACACCGCTCCCGAGCAGGTTGTTACTGTCACCGAGACCGACTACGTCTACGTCTGCCCTTACTCTCAGTCTGGTGTTCCCGCCACCACCAAGGCTCCCGAGTCCCCCAAGCCCCAGCCTCCCAAGGAGACCAAGCCTGTCTATGAGGCTCCCAAGCCCCAGCCCGAGGTCACCAAGCAGGAGCAGCCTACCAAGCCTGTTTATGAGGTTCCCAGCAAGGTCCCCGAGACTTCCAAGGCGCCTGTTTACTCTGTCCCCGAGACTCCTGCTTCCACCAAGCCCGTCTATGAGAAGCCCTCCGAGGCTCCCAAGCCCAAGGCCCCCAAGAAGCCTTCCAGCCCCGGCAACCTGAAGGGTGGAAACGACCACTACGGTATTACCTACACCCCCTACGTCGCCTCTACCGGCAAATGCAAGGGTGCCGACCAGGTTGACAAGGACATTGCTGCCCTCAAGCAGGCTGGTTTCCAGATCATCCGATCTTACTCTACTGACTGCGATACCCTCGAGACTGTTGCTCCCGCCTGTAAGAAGCACGGCATTGACATGATCGTTGGTGTTTTCGTCAAGGCCTCTGGCTGCACTTACGAAACCCCCGAGATCAAGGCTCAGGTCGACGCCTACGCCGAGTGGGCTCAGTGGGATCAGGTCAAGCTCTTCACCGTTGGTAACGAGGCTATTATGAACAAGTTCTGTTCTCCCCAGCAGCTCAAGGAGCTCGTCACTGTCGTCAAGGAGAAGTGCTCTGGTTACACCGGTCCTTACACCATCGCCGAGACCCTCGACATCTGGGAGCGTGAGGATGTTCAGGGTGCTATCTGCGATATTGTTGATGTCACCGGTGCCAACATCCACCCTTACTTCAACCCCAACACCACCCCTGACATGGCTGGTGAGTTCGTCGCTGGTCAACTTGAGATCCTCCGTGGTATCTGCAAGGGCAACGATGTCATCAACCTGGAGTGTGGTTGGCCCTCAAGCGGTAACTGCAACGGTGTTGCCTGCCCTGGCAAGTCTGAGCAGGCCAAGGCTATCAAGTCCATCCGTGAGAGCTGTGGTGACAAGACCGTCTTCTTCTCCTTCGAGGATGATCTCTGGAAGGAGCCTGGTTCTTGCAACTGTGAGCGAAGCTGGGGTTGCGCCTCTTCTTTCACTGGCTACTAAGCAGTTCTGGAGACTCCAGTTCTGATTGCAGCGTGCCCAAGCGTCCTCTGTACGATTCAACCCTCGGAGCATGCTGAATGTTGTACATAATCATGACCAACACCGCCCGGCCATTAACTTCTTCTTTCTTCCTCGTGCAACCCTCTTCTCTTTTTCTCGCCACCGTCCATGCGGTGATTCACATCATTGACATCCAACAAGAGCCTTCGGGAATGGAGTCCGAAAGCCGACGGTCTTCTCTCTCTCAGGCCAACTCCAGACATCCGCCTCAGGGGGCAATGCATCGTTGCGCGCGTGCATGGGCGCAATAGATTGAGGGAAACGAATCTGGCCGGGCGGTTGAGGACGACCTTCTTGATGAATCCTGTTTTTCTTCCACTGTTCAAACGACATGTGAGCTCTTGTTACTATGTCATCTTTCCATATGTGTTATTTGCGGCAGCACTTCTTTACGGCTCTTGAGCGGCGGGGTAAGCGAAAGCCTTTTCTTGGGAGAGAGATGATCTGTATGTATGATCTATACTATAGCCGGGTTGTCATTCAGCCTCTGCTTCATAATGCTGTAATTCACTAGTATATCTTCAGTCGCCATTGTGCTATGTCTCGTGAGCTATCGTATAAACAATCCTTCCCTAAGTCGTCTCATCCTGGTATCAACTGATGACCAACACCCCCACGCAATTACATTTCAAATTACCTAAAACATCATGAACAAAAGCAAGGTCTCTTCAGGCTCATGGTGTATGTATCATAGCAGCCACTAAGGCGCCAATAATATCAGCGACGGGTGCATGTATGAGACATCCAGCACTTTAATCACTTAGAGCTCCTAGAATAAGAGAGTAAGCGGCTTTATGATCATATCGATGATAAGCTCGAAGAGCTGGAACCGCAGGATCTTATCAAAACGATCAACGTTATATCACAACCGTGCTTGATACACAAACGAGCAAGATATCGGTGCTACACCCCAATCGGCTTTGCATTCTTAGCAGAGACCTATAATAATAAGAACATGTGAGCAACAACAAGTAAAATGGACGTGACACTTGGCCACGTCAACGTAAAATAGTCTAATAGATAAATCAAAAAGTCTGTTGTGAAGCTATCGTAGTTCTAGCACAGCGTTCAACTTGGCACACTTCGAATTTTCACCAGCATTCTAGCGGTCAAGGAGTAGATGAGACACGGTATATCTGGAATGACGATGAGACTCGCGTGTCTCGGAGACTGTACCTGTATCGGTAATCACCGATGCTTTACGAAATTCATGTATGTCTCAGATCTGACTGAGCATGTGGAACATGCCTTGTACGTTAACTGATATTGTAACTGAAATAGATGCGGTGTGTAACCATCAAGGGAATAGAGAACATGCAAATAGTGATGTCCATATCGGGTAGGTAGTCATTCAATATCATCTTTGCAAACTACATAGATATACAGCTGACTTATACTTCACTCATTTGTCCCAAAAATGAAGATCCCGTCGCCCATGTCCTGATATCTATAGTCTCCCAAACAAAGTGACCGGGCTCAGCCCTGAGCCCCCAGGATAATGATGTCGGTGATAAAATAAGAAAATGATGAACGAAACCCATGATGAATAGCTCTGTAGTGAGGGTCTGTGTAGTTTGTGCCCTCAAATAAACCATCGCCGCCTATATAGAAGTGACGTGTTGTGAATGGCTAATGGTAATTTCTCAACAGATCATAATATGATAAGCCAAAACAAAAGGGGTATAATGCTAAGGAGAAAGATGCTTCGAATGAAGGAGAGTGACCAGCGAGGTCAAGCAAGTATAAAGATAATTTGTGAATCAAACGAAGATGCTTTGTGTATCTGATTCGAACGTAAGCCATCGAGAAATGTTTTAGAAGATCGGCAAGGCATCCCTCGAAACTGGAACTCGACGATAGCATTCACCGCGGCGTGTAGTCTCATCGGCTTGATAGCGCCATTCATCAGTGTCAGCATCGAGATAACGTTGCCAGGAACTAGAGAAATAGGGCTCAGCGGTACGGCCACATCGTTCAAGCTGGAGAAGGCCGCCACGATGACGGTCACTCGCCAAGACATTGAGTTCATGTCCGCCGTTGGTAAATGCAACGCCGCCGATCTCACCGAAGAAATCGACTGTCTGCTTCTTGCCAAAAGTCTGAGCATTAATGATGTTGACAATGTCAGCGTCCTCGGCAGCAACGAGTACTCTCTCGCCACTGCCGACGGGAGAGAAGCGCAGATTTCTCACACCAGCCATATCGGATCTGATAGTGCACAGAGGTGTACTGACACCCCGCGCGTCACACCAACGGCGAGCATCCCAGACCTTGACGCCCTTGTCCTGGAAACCGGTGGCTACTGTCCAACCATCATCGGACCAATCGCAGGCAAAACCATAGTCGCGGTGTCCGGACAGTTCCTGTTGAATCTCACCGGTATCGGCGTCGGTAATAAGTACCTTGAAGTCATCACCGACCATGACTCTCAAGCGGCCATCAGGTGAGATACGCGAACAGTTGAGTGGGAATCGATACCTGCTCTGCATCAAGAACTGCTGTGTAGAAAGGTCTAGAACGCGGAATCCCTCGTCGTTACTGGCAATGGCAGCCACAGGACCAGAAGATCGTCGGGGTTGGTAGATCTGGACATGATTGGTGATACCTCCCATATTTGAAGTAATGAAACCTTCTGCAAAGTCTCTCTTGTCTTCAGAATCCAGGCTTTTGAGATAGTATTCGCCATTGCAAGTTCCTGCAAACATGGCTCCGTGGTTTGCATCAAGGGCAGAGATGAGAGCTCCCAGACCATGTATATGACTGTTGTCAAGTACGAGCTCTACTTTTCCTGTGACAGTGTTGATTCGGTTGATCCCTCTCCTGCCAGGATAGTAGACCTGCGATATTGAGGGGCATGCTAGGACGCTCCGTAGTTGAAAATGAGCTAGGTAGACATCTTGGCGGATAAGGAATCTCTTGAATCTCATAAAGTTTTGAGTCGGGGGGATAGCTACGTCAGCCATGTGAGGCTACCTTGAGGTCAGCTGAGAAGACTCAATCAAAGGCAACTGGTACTTACACTCCATCTGTCTGAACCTTGCTTGTTGACATAATTCCTGAAAGTGGCACATCGTATTTGCCGCGCATACTCCCTGGTAGTGTTCATAGATGCCCAATCCAAGCCTTGTATGTCATAGTCATCGCCGTGAAGGTCCTTGTACTGAACATCGCGGATGTGTGTATTTGCTTGACGGCGAATGTCTTCTGGACAGGGTGCGTTCACCCGCGAGGCGGATGGACAGGAGGAAGAACGAGCATGGAATGCCCAGTGTCTCAAAAAGTCAACCAGGCACAGATTTTCAGACCCAAGCATAGTCGGGTTGGGGTTGCTAAGTAGTGGCAGGCCCAGGAGCCCTGCCGGCAAAGGAGGCGCATTATCCTCCAACGTAGCTGCGTCTTCGGTCAAGACAGCACCCCATGGCGCAGGAGGCGGAACAGCATTCATGATTAGGTCGTTGTCAACTATGGTGGGCGGATGGAAGGCGGCTTGCGAAAGATAGTTGGTTGAGTTATTGATAGGGGATGATTCATCATTGTCACCCTCAGATAGAATAGATTGGTCGTCCGTGAAGTGTTCAAGTTCGTCGAATGCGTCGTCGAGAGGAGCGCCACCTTCGCTGTCGCTCATATCAATATCATAATCCACGTTGTGGTAAGGGGGTATGTGGTCAGAGTCCAGGTCGAGATATGTGGGAGGTGTCCAATAGTCGTCCAAGAAAGGTGGGTGGGTGGAAGTGTCCAAATCAAGATCAATACCGTCCTGATGCTCTTGATCTGGGTCGGACTCGGACTCCGGGGGTTCAGACTCGGATTTATAGGTCTCGATGTAGGTGTTAGAGGAGAATTGGTCGTAATTGTTCTGGTCTGAGAACTCGGTGGCGATTGCAGTAGAAGAGCCGTCAGTCACTATCGCGAAAGTAGGTGTCTTGGTAGCGGAGATGGTATTGTCTTCGACGGGGAACGCATCTGTCATAGGCGAATCGGCCGTCAATTCAGGGATGTTGTATGATTCCTCTGTGCTGGGTAGGAGAGGTGAATTATATTGCTGCTGGCCACCATGAGGTTGTGAATGAGCGTGGGCGTTGAAGCTATTATAAGAGGCGTCGCTGGTAGTGAGTGAGTCCGCAAGTTGATGATGCTCAGGTTGGAGACCCTCATCCCGCAAGAGAGCCCCAACAACGTTCACAGATGAATCGGCAATGGAGGCTGTTGTATTTGTGGCCGGCGGGGGGTTGTCTCGTAGGCGGCTCTTAGACTTATTAAGAGCGGAGTGGCGCATCGTGAGGCCAGGGTCCAGCTCCGCGACGGAGCGAAGGGGAAAGCCGAAGCTTTTCTACAGTACGGCCGTGCTAGCGAGTCGAGGCAGAGCAGACGGCTTCTGCATACGGGCAAGCTCCAAAAAGGGGGCTGAAGAGGCCAGAGAGACTTGGGCTATGGCTCTGACTTGGATTCTGAGTCGCTCGCGTGCTAGAGGCGCGCTGACGGTCCAGCAGATTGGCGATTGCTTGCTTTTGATAGAGAGACAGGAGGCGGAAATGTCTCTGATTTGGACGCCGCAAGATGGACGATGGAGGGATGGGAGGGGGCGGTCCAGTTTAGAGCGACGGCGAGGGGACAGGCAGTCCGTTTAACAGTGGGAGTGGGCTGCAGATCGTGTTGGACTAGGGCAAAATAGTGCGGTAAGCTGTGGTTGGGGCCTTGTTTCGGCGTCAAACGGCTGGTAGTGTCGAGATTGATGGGATGGGGGCTGAATTGAACTCGAGGAGCGGGTATCGTATATTATTGTATTATGGAATGACTATGAATTGTGGTCTATGTCGAGTACAAGTGAGGCGTCATGCTAGCAAGGGTGCGGCGGGCAGGGACAGGACAACAGCAGCTGAGATGGACGAGGCAACTCGCAAGTACCTAGAGAGGAGGTCTAGGCAAGGGTTAGCTAGGTTGCGGCGAAGCAGAGTCATGAGTGAGAATGAGCGGTATAAGATCGAGCGATTTGTTGTGGAGGGAATGTGGTCATTGTTTGGTCGAATGTGAGATACTCGAGGTTAACATGATAAATGATGAAAGGTCCTCCGTACTTACCTCTAGGGAAGGGGAACTAGGCCCTCGGTCAACTAGAAAACCTAAAGTGGCTGCCCGCATTTAGCATTCGGGGACATAGACAGGGGGGGTGGCAGATCACTAGAGGTCTCCGGGAAACGCCGTGGGTTAGGTAGGGGATGGAGGTTCCTTGTTTCAGCATAAGCCATGCCGTGGTGTATTGGATGCCAGAGAAATACCAGCCTGACGCCTCTTTTGTTTCTGCTGATCGGGTCAAGATTTGGAGGGTGATTGATTGATGATGATGGGTGAAAGTGCAGGGGGTATATACAGCTTAGGTAGTGTAGTTAGTGGAGATGTATTAGTGCTAGGTAATGCTTTATGAGATGGAGGGGAAAGATCCATGGATATGGGATGAGCAGAACGGGGGCTGTTTTGACAAGCGAGAATTGAATGTTGTTGCAGAGTCTGGTATACATGATTGCTTTTTTCTTCTCCTTGTTCTACTGTTATTTATGCTAGTAAAGGTAGCAGAAGAAATATTGGTGTATACGTAATGAAACAGCAACTGACTCGAAGATGATGCTCATCAGTTATCATCAGTAACAAAGGCCGTGCCCTTGTTTGTACGAAGACGAGAAACAGAATGAATGGATGGTCAGTCAGCCTCTCCGTACTTTAACCGTGCCCTCAGCACAGACAGACGCTAGTCAACGATCTGAACGATTGAGGGGAGCGGGTGAGCGGGCTGGCGCGCGGTAGCTTGGATCATATCTAGAGGAGAGAGGAGGTCTCGTCAGAGTGACTTGACGACTGTCCTCTATTCATACACAAATTAGAGTGCACTGTACACTTCGTGTCTGGAATACTATTGAGGTCCTCAACGCCGAAGCCCTTGTCCTTGCTTGTTTTCAGGCTACATATCACAATATTTTCGTATAATCATGCATACAATATCCTTCTCAGTTTAAACCAAGGTTATGCATCTGTTTCTCCATACATACATAGGTACGATTGCCCGGCTCCCCAGCATTTAAGTTGCCCGATTGAGAGATGGATGCATGCAGACATGAATTGCATGGATCTAGGGGCTTGACCAACAGTGACAGGGGCCTTGAATGGGGAATGCAACCCGATCTTCATTCGCCCTCGGCTAGGACTTTTATCAATCTTTCTCCTTTTGCGTAGTAGTTGAGCTGTCGACTCCTCGCTAAATACAAACTATATCAACTATCTGTATACTACCCAATATAGGAACGAGAAACAGGTCTTGTGAACTTGCCATATACCATTCTTGGTAATGGAATACCCGCGGTACTACAACGCATCTGCGACATCTGTCCACACCGAGCGACCTGCAGATCCAACCATTGCGATAGGCAATGCTCCCATATCCATATCAGGAGATTCCTGCCTGCTTACACACATCACTCGAACCGCTGGTAATAATAGACTGCTTATTTCGTCAAGACCACAGCCTGCTTCTCGTACAACCCCAATCTGACCATAGACAGCCGGATATTCCATTATATTCTCGCAAACTTGGCCAGCTTGGATGACACTGAGATCCTCGCATTGTACAACCTACAACCCTGGTGAAACAGCATCAGCATACGATGTTCTGTGTCACCCCAGACTCACTCACTGCCCAAGGTCAATATCAGGTCAATATCGATCGGGCAGATAAATATTATCTTAGGGATCTTTCATGCCACGAGGGACGCTAAGCCCACATAATCATTCATGCCAACTATAACCGTACAGTTGGTTTGATGGGAAATGACAATTGGGGACTACGGACCTGGCCTCCATGTCTCGCACCGAACTGGGCTACTGTATGAAGTGCTTGACCGGTCTGAACTGGCCACTGGCCAGTCAGAATACCTAGGAAATAATGAGGCCCTCTGTTACGTACCTTACAGCTTACTTTACTCTCTGACTGTCTGTCACTGTCTCAAATCACGGACCCTCATGTCGTTTGTTATCTGAGCTGGGTTTAGCTCGATTTGACTTGAGTTGGCCGTTGCAGTAGTGAATGTCACCAGACCGGCTTCCAGATGCAATGCAGTACATACATATATGCCTGACAACGGAATACTACGCCATATTACACCTTGAGAACGACTCACTTGCCCACTAAGCTGATACTGAAGCTCACCTCATTGGCATCGGCGCTGTCTCATCTTTTCGTGCCACCCACCAAAATCAAAAACCCCCATTCGACGCATCCCTCCAGCGCGGGATGCACACACGCAATCCCACGGACCTGGAACACAGCAAAGCAAAGTGCTGTAATGCGTGACCTAGCACATGGAGACAGAGACAGAAGGACGTATTACGTGACGCCCTGCTTCTTCTCACCTCGATGATACTCTAGAGTCGCAGGCGGATCTGACCGAGCAGGCATTTGGCTGCCAAGCCCGACCATGGGTGGCTAGTCTTTTCCTGTAGTGGTTGTAGATGCAGATGCAGCTCAGGTTTTCTTGCCGAGGATGTTTGTGTTCGTCACAGAATTCGAAAAACTCCGAGACCAGGGACCGCAATAAACAATGGCTCGTACGTACGCCCAGAGCCAAAAGAGTCAAACTGTACTGTATGGGTATTGGGTGTCAACTCAGTTCTGCTCTCACCGTGGCCATAAGCATGTCTTGCTCTTTTCCCTGCATGGTGGATGTCTCTCCTACAAGGCTCCACTATACATGATCTATCACCAAAGCATCAAACACCAGCAAAACTGCGAAATTCACGCTGCCGCCCTGTTATTTCCATACTCATAGCCCGACATGTTGTCATAGTCCCGTCTTCTATTTTCTTTTCAGCTACTAAGAGCAGTGCTTATTTGCCCAGCACTCTTACGTGCTGTCATCGCTTCTTCTAATTTATCGTAGCTCCTCAAGTTACTCAACCATCTGTTGGCTGGCACACAAATTTGACACATCATAAACCATCCCGTGACTCGTTTAGACGCGCCGCCTCATTGCTCATCTCCCTTTAGTCGGCCTCGAGAATTGCTCTTTGTTCGTGCGTTTATTAGCCTTAGCCCACAATCTTCTTTCTCTCACCAGCTTCGTGGGGCCTCTCTTTTCTTTTTCTATCAGAAGTGATATATCATGTTTTGCCCACTTCCACTCGACGCCATTTTTCACCGGCAAATAAACCGAGCATGGCCTCCACTTGAAATACTTTTCAGACATAATCAGTGGCTTGGGTTCTTGTGGTCTGGAGTCGGCAATGACACCCATACTGAAGTATACCTATGCTGTAAGTCACCGTGATATACCTAATTACCCCAAGTGTTATTCAACTGTGTTTATCCTCAACTTGTGTTTCTCCCACTGCGTTGTCTTGCGACCTGATCCAATCTATTACTAACCCGCCGAGCCAGCCTCGGTCCACTAACATTCATAGTTTTTCCCCGAATGCCAAAACCTTCTTTTCTCAATTTGCCTTTTTCCTCCTCTTTTCCCCCTCACTTCCCCTCCTTCACCCCGTGATAGCCCTCGATTCTCACGATAGAATATTTACACTATCAATTCAACTAACTCGACCGCGCATTTCAACTCCATAAACCACGCCCAGTATGGGCCGTTGCCGCCGCCCAATGCGATGCTGTTGATAAAGGCCTGCTGTTGCCTCGATATGCCCTGACCCCGTTCCAAGCGATCGGCTAGGTCTTCCAACGCCTCCATCTGGCCTGCGATATATTCGATGAGGGATGTATCTTCCTCGATACCGAGGAGCTGTACTTGGCAACCGAAGATTGCTAGATTAACTTGCTGTATTGGTGGCAATTTGTCAACATGCGGCAGGGATTTTCTTGTAATTTTATAACGCCGCAGGAAGGAATGCAAAATGGGGATATGCTTAAACTTAAGCCTATTAATATCTGTTGGAGGACCGGTTATATAGTCATTGACTACCGAGACCGGATAGCCGTGGCCGGGTTAACTATTGTTGATAATAATTGCGCAGCGGCATATCTTATGATAGAAGTCGAGGTTCTTAGCTTGTTTTGATGCGGCCTTTTGGCGTTAGAGCCTTGGTGGTAATCGCCTTAACAGAGTAATGATAGAGAGGGCATTCGGCCTTCCAAGGATAGGGAAAACATCTTCTTTATGCTTATAGATTGAGGCCACTTGTTCAGTTGGATCTTAAGGTTCAAGGCAGCAGCTATGTAGTCTGCTAAGACTTAATATTAAGGTTATTATGTTTTTTGGCGTAGTATATAACGCCTTATATTATATTGTATTAAAAACAAACACCTTATTTTATTATCTTGCTTTAACGCCTTTGGCTTCACTCTACGCGTTGCTAGATGGGCATTTTGACTTTAAAATACCTAATTACAGGTACTTCAAGGCGTAATCTTTTACGCCTCAAATGACATGTTCATTCAACTCTCGGTCTCATAATGTAGTAGGTCAGCATACCAAGAAGCTTGAATATCCTATCCAACTGCCCCTATTCGTCACGCTGAGAAAACGCAACTTTCGGCAGCTCTTCTCATCCCAACTCAAGCCATGATTAACCAGCCTTACGCCCGGGAAGTGGCTTAAAATCGGGAGTATCGATTTTCTTAAACTTTCAATCAGCCATCGTCATGTTACACAACGAGGCCAACAATCCCTTCGACTCGAGGAAAACACGGCTTGTCCGGCTCTCCTTCGCCCGACCTTTGACTGTTCGTCACTTCTCATATTATCCCTGTCTCCTCTTCTCGACATGAAGCTAAAAAGGCTTCTATTGTGGATCTTAGACTTACACTTGTACAGCCTGATGGATGTCAAGTCTCTTGTGGCTTGTGATATTCGCTAGGCAGCGATCGAGCTCGATAGCCTATCTCACATTACCCAATTCTCCCCCAATCTCATTGACTAGGCACCCCAAAACATCAGGATGCATGTTGCTTGTCACATCAAACTTCCACCTCTAGCTTGCGGCTATGAGTTCATCCCGTGGGATCTGACACCAATCAACCACCAGCCAGCTTGTTCAAGAAGCGTTCTTTTCTCCATTGACCGCTACTTTGATATCTGTTTCTGTTCTTGACTCTACCTCTCCATGCGGGTTCCCGTGCCTGTCATCATCTAACGTGTCTCATTTCGTTGACTGTGAATTCATATACCCTCTGCTTTTAATCTCACCCTCTGTACGCGCCGTCCCTTTCAGTGTCATAGCAAACCTATCACATCCCTCTACAGCTTGTTCACAAGTCCTCGCGAAGACTTGAGCTGAACCATCTTCTCAAGAGCTTCGTCAATAGGAACCAGCTCACCCTTCGCCTGGGTGGCCTGGTCGTCTCGGTTACGGATGTTGAGGGTGCGTGAGCTGGCCTCCTCGGCACCGACAACTATACAATCTGGTTAGCCATTGGCCTTAAACAAGGCAGCTTTCATTCCAAACTCACCAAAGATAAAGTTGTACTGCTCCAGCTGACCGGTGCGGATCTTCTTCTGGAAAGTGTTGCTGCTCAGGTCCACATCACTGTAGAGTCCCTTTGCGCGGAAGATCTGCTGGACCTCCTTGGCGTAGTCGTTGGCAGCAGGCATGACAGGTACAACCAAGACCTGTCGGGGGCTGAGCCAGAATGGCCACTTGCCGCCAAAGTGTTCGGTCAGAATACCAAACATTCGCTCGAAGCTGCCTAGAACGGCTCGGTGAATCATGACAGGTCGTGCGTATCCGGCAGGGAGATCTTCCTCGGGGTTGCTACCATCACTGACTCCGGTCTCGCCCTTGTTAGCGACATATCGAAGCTTGAATCGTCGAGGCAGGTTGAAGTCGAGCTGCATAGTACCGCATTGGTGCTCACGCTTCAGGGCATCGAACAGAGCAATATCGATCTTGGGTCCATAGAAAGCACCATCGCCGGGGTTAAACTCCCACTTAGCACCGGTTTTTTCGGAGAATGAGTTGAGAGCCTCTTCAAGCTTCTTCTCGGCGGAATCCCAGGTAGCGATGTCACCAACGTACTTCTCGGGTCGGGTGGACAGCTTAAGCTTGAATGTGAAACCGAAGATACCGTAGACACTGCTCAAAAAGTCGAAAGCAGATTCAATTTCCTCTCGGATCTAGAGTACGTCAGTAGAAGCATGGGGCAGTTAGTAGAAGTCATCATACCTGGTCCACGGTACAGAAGATGTGAGCATCGTCCTGTTGGAAACGACGGACTCGAGTAAGACCAGAAAGAGCACCGGAGAACTCGTTTCGGTGCAAAACACCAAAATCGGCCATCCTCCAGGGGAGGTCCTTATAAGTGACATCGGAGTGGGCAAAGATCTTACAGTGTCCAGGGCAGTTCATGGGCTTCAAACCAAACTTCTCCTTCTCAACCTCAAAGGTGAACATGTTCTCCTCGTAGTGGCCCCAGTGACCTGATGTCTTCCACAAATCCGCCTTGTACATGTTTGGAGACATAACTTCGTCGAATTCACGTTTTTGGTACTCGCCTTTGATGAGCTCCATCAAGGCATTGTAGATGCGCACACCGTGTGGTAGGAAGAAAGCAGATCCAGGAGACGCCTCGTCGAAGAAGAAGAGCTTTTGATCTGTGCCGATCTTTCGGTGATTGCGCTTGGCAGCCTCGGCCAGGAAGTGCTTATACTCTTCAAGAGCCTTCTTGTCGGGGAATGAGATACCAGCAATACGCTGGACAGACTCGTTGTTGCTGTCACCAAGCCAGTAGGCAGCGGAATTCTGTTGAATATCAGCTCAAGCCCGTCGCGTCAAGATTAGGAATCGTATATATCATATTGACATACCCTGAGAACGGAAAAGGCCTTGATGTTGCCAGTGGTGGGGACGTGAGGTCCTCGGCACAGATCGATCAGGGGACCGCATCGGTACACAGTACTCTTGGTGCCATCGGGAACACGCTGTTGAATGAAATACTCCTTGTACTTGCTGTACTTGAACATCTCAAGGAGTTCGTCCTTGGTCATTTCCAGACGCTCGAAAGGCTGCTTCTGTTTGACGATGTTGTTGGAGAGCTGCTCAAGGGCCTTCTTATCCTCATCAGTGACGACTTGCCTAGGGCTTTGTCAGTAAAGTCTCCAGAAAATTAGTCGAAGCCTTCTACGCACTCTCCCATGTTGGCCATATCGTAGTAGAATCCAGGGGGGTCCTCAGTAGGGGGACCGTTGCACAGATAACAACCAAAGCGTTTCTCGGCGGCCTCTCCAAGAATATGGGCAGAAGAGTGCCAGAAGACCTTCTTGCCTTCGGTGTGTTCAAAGTCAAGGAGCTCGAGCTTGCAGCTCTTCTCGAGCGGTCGGGTCAGATCCCACAACTCACCATCAACTCTGGAGATGACAGTGCGCTCGAAAAGAGACTTGGAGATGCCCTTGGCGATAGCGCCAGGGGTGGTCTCCCAAGAAGTTCCCTTCTCCTCTTTACCATTGGGAAGCGAGATGGTGATTTCCTCGCGGGGTTTGGCTATGATCCTTGTCAGTCGATTCGAGTCGAGGGACAGAAGCGTGGGGAGGATTTGGATCACCCACCAGCGATTTCGGCGTCCTGTCGGGCCTTGATCTTGTCGAAGAGATCGAGTCGGTGCTGGATGAACTCGGGAGTCTCAGGGAGCTATCATACACGGTTAGCAGATTCCAAAACAGTGTCATGATGCCCTGCAATGTATCGTCATGTACACCGCAGTCAAGAAAGGGACACCAACTTCGAGGCCAGCAGACTTTCCACCCTTGGCAGACTTATCCTTGGGTTGCTTCTCTTTGGACTGCTTAGCAGGGCGAGAAGGCAAGCTCTTCTCAGACGCGCCCTCGGCCGCCTTGGCAGCATCAGCTTGATCGGACGACATGTTGAGAACTCTCGCGCGGATGTTGAAGATTTGGTGGGAGGAAGTTGGGTACTTGAAAGTGGTCTTGTCTCGTCGATGGCGGGGCACAAGGGGCATTAAACACGAAGGTGGGGTTAGAATTGAGTCACTGCGAATTTGGCAGGGGCACGGGAATAGTACCGTTTGGTTGGGCACTTTAGTATCAAGAGATGTAGCCTTAGAAACTTGCCTCAATATCAAATAGAGATGCCATTGATGTATCAGTTATCCTATCTAAGTTCAAAATAGTTATTTACTGTATTTTGGCATGCCCCAATAAATTTGGTTCCTCTTAAACAATAGTCACATGCCGAAAACCGAAAACCAGTCTCTTCGTCCTCTTCAGCTCACTCACACGACACTTGGGCAGTAGAGTCAGACCGAACAATATATACCACGCAATGAAACTCATGATGACCAATGCAGAAGGACTCAGTCCAATTCCGACATCGCAGGTTTCGACTCACTCACAATAATCGTCTTGTCCTAGGTAAATCAGGGGTATCAAGCTATTTTCCAACCCAGAATCCGTAACGCCATGCCATCCCGTTTCCGTGTCATAAATCGTGCCAAAACCGCATCCGCAAACAAGAACAAAACAGACAGTATTCAAAGTCCATAGCGTGTGACACACTCTTCCTTATGCGCCTCCAAACAATCCAGTGCGCAGACTCTTGTTCCGCACTTCATACACCTCACACGTCCCCAATACCCGCAGACCTCACAGAACGATCTAACGGGATACTTGTTGTCTCGATGGCCCGTCACTTCGCCATAGTTGAAGGGAGGGTGGGAAAGGAGCCTGCGCAGCTCCTCATCAGATGGCATGTCGGGAACACGCGACATAAGTAAAGGATCGTTGTCGCCAGGGTGGCTCGGTGGTGAAGGCCTCGATGATTCAGGAAGAACAGTCGGGGCATCGGCGTCGGCCATCGCCATGTCTTCTTCTTGCGGTGGTTTGGAGGACGAGGGAGTATCTCTTCGACTATTCGATGGCCGTTTGTTGTTTGCGCCAGAGGCAGTGGACCGAGAATTCGTAAGGTTGGCCTCTGCAAGTGCCTGCATCGCGAGGAAATCGTCTAAGTGGTTCCCAAATGTCTTCTGCGATTGTAAAATCTTACGAACATTAGGTGTGTGTTTTCCTTGCGCTGCCAGAAGTCAATCTCTCGTCTTTCACGTAATGCTGAGGTCTCGCACATACTTCTTCCGCTCTTGACTGGCAACGGTATTGTGTTATCCTTTCCACCATCTTTATCTAAAGCCTCGGCTTCTTTTCGAATTTTATTATCTTGTCGAGCCGTCAAATCGCTATATGTAAGGCCAGGAACATTCCTGGCGCGCTTCCTGTTGGTAGGCGCTGTCGGGCGGCTGATTGTATTGTCGGGGACATAAGCCCAGCCTGGCGCCGAGGTTGTCTTTGCGCTGGCAAGCTCGATGACCCCGAAATTGTTCATTGTTGTTTATAATTCAGGAGAAGAAGAAGAAGAAGAATATGACGAAGGGAGAGTATCGAGGACCTCCATAGAAAATCCACACCAAACCGCTGGTGTCGTGACATAGCCAATCACGGGCCAGAAAGCTCGAACAGCACACTCCAATTCCCGCCGAGCTCAGAATATTCCGAGCACCCGGCTCCGATAGTAGCTCTGCCGTAACTGTACCTCTGACGTCCATCGCCATCGATACCTATTGCTCTCACGAGATAAACACCGCACAATCCGACGTCCACCACCGAAATCGCAGCAATGTCTTTCGCCTCAAGAGTCCTGTCCTCCAGCAGCCGCGCGCTGGCTACCCGATCCTTCAGCACCTCTGCCCGACGGATGGCCGATTCGCCTCTTCCTGCCAGGAAACCTCTGGGAGCTTTCCGTGGAGGGTTAGTGATGACAGAAACAGCCTTTTGACGGGAATAATGTTGTTGACTTTGTTGTCAGTCTTTTCGGCTTCCTTCTCGGTAGCTTCCTCGCCGGCAGCGCCGCCTACAGCTATCTCCTCAAGGAGTACAAGATCGCCAACGACCTGTTGACCGAGGATATTTATGTGCGTAACGAATGAGATGAGGCAATTGATAAGAGAGAGCCTCATCTAACTTTCCTCCAATTTCAATCGCTTGACCAGGTGCTAACATTTTTCGACCAGACTCTACAAGCCTCCGTCACCCGTCTGAGCAACCACGTCCAGGCTCTGGAGACCAGGACACAGGGCAAGAAATAGACGGAAAAGACAGGATAAAGACATAATTGTATAAAATAGTCGGAGCTAGGGGGCAGAATGAGCTCCGTTGGCTCTCTGGTGGACGCGTTGAGATGAGGATGGCTCCCATTGCATTTCCTATTAGTGTTTGGGTTTGAGATTGTCATGCAAGGCGATTGGGGAGATTTGTACGATCATGTGCTATGTTACGAGCATAACTGCAAGCCCAATCCATAAGATATCATGCGGTCTGTGTAAGAGAAACATCAAAGTCACGGTGAAGTTGAGACAGATATCAATATAGTAGTCAAGTCATGAAATGGTCCCATTGCCACGGAAACTAAAACCTAGAGAGGTGCGATCAAATGTGAGCACCCAAAAGAACCCGCGCCCAAAAAATCAGATATACCCCATTTTGTGTACTATTGTTGTTGACATCAATTCTTTACAGCTCATCATGGACATCCTCTTCCTCGGCATCCTTCTTCTCCTCCTTCTTCTCCTCACTAGCGGCGGGGGCGGCCTCCTCAGTGCCCTCCTCCTTAACGGGGAGCTCGGCCTTGTACTTGCCGTTCTCCTTGATGAAGTTGGCGAGGTCCTCGACGGTGCGAGAGCCCTGGTAGGTGACGGGAGCGTCCTTAGCACCAGCGGCGTAGAGCTTGATGGTGGGGAATCCCTGGATCTCATCGGGGACATCGTTGAGGGTAGCGTCAACCTTGGCGATGACAACCTTGTTCTTGAACTCGGAAGCGGCGAACTGAGAAGCAAGGTCCTCGTACTTGGGGGCGAGAGCCTTGCAGTGACCGCACCAAGGAGCGTAGAACTCAATCAGGACATCCTTGGTGTCATCGAGGACAATGTCGTTGTAGCTCTTGGCAACGACAACAGTGACGGGGCCCTCCTGGGTCTCGGGAATGGGCTCAGACTTGATGCTAGGCTCAATCTTGCCAGCGGCGAAGTCCTCAACGAACTTGGCGATGTTGTCATGTGTGATCTCCTTCTCCTGGTCGAAGGGGAACTTCTGGTTCTTGACAACCTCCTGGATGGCGAATGAGGGGAACTTGTCAGCCTTGAGGTTCAGGTTACCAGCGTGAGCGCCGAAGGCCTTGGCGTCAATTGTGGCGAAGTTGATCTTGCCCTTGAACTTCTCAGCGATGGGCTTGAGGGCATCGCCAAGCTCCTTGCGCTCCTCAGGAGTCTCCGAGAAGATGTATGCAAGGGGAATGCCAGCGGACATGTAGCCGGCGTAGGTCTCAGGCCCAACCTCACCAATGAGAGGGGTGGCAGAGGTGGTAATGAAAGAGGCAATGGCATCCTCCTCGAACTTCTCGGTGAAGGTGTTCTTGCCCTCATCGAAAGACTTGTAGACAACCAGGGCGGGGGCCTTAACGCCCTCAGCCTCGGCAACAGCAGCGTCGTTGACGCCACCGAAGAGGTAGGTATCACGGAGACCCTCGGCGAGCTTGGAGAAGGTCTCGTTGGAGCTCTTATCGTCGGCGTTCAGGTAAGCGACGACGACAACCTTGTCGGCGGTCTTGAACTCCTCGAGGGTGTCCTTTGTGAGAATGGAGACAGCGGGGAGGGACTGCTTGATCATGTAGGAAGTGATACTGTAAAAATCGGTCAGTCGAAATCTCAGCTGATCATGACAGGTGTCGGCTTACCCAGCAGCCTTGCGCTGGCCAGAGTAGGGAGTGACATTCTCAAGGCCACGGAAGACCTTGAGGGTGGGGTAACCCTCGACGCCCTGGTCTTTGCAGAGGTCGGACTCCTCAGTGCAGTCAATCTTGGCGAGCTTGATGTTCTTCTCCTTGAGGGTTGTAGCGGCCTCCTCATACTCGGGGGCGAGGGCCTTGCAGTGACCGCACCAGGGAGCAAAGACTGTGGAAAGAAGCTGTTAGCGACGGATGGAGGGGAAGAGAGGCTTCAATTGGGTCTTACACTCAGCAAGGACGAGATCGTTGGACTTGACGAACTCCTCGAAGGTGTCCTTGGTCAGCTGGTGAACATCTGAGTCGGCAGCAGAGGCATAGGCAGCCAGAGCAGCCATGAAGCTGCAAGCGATCTTCTTGTGGTGCATGATGGGCTGTCTTTTTGTTGGGGTATCCTATAAAACACAAAGAGAGGGTTCCGCTGAACAGGACAGGACAGGCAATATAAAGGAAGGAGGAGGAGGAGGAGGAGGAAGATTTGAGTTGGGAAGTGGAGGGAAGATGGAGGAGAGTTTTGTAGTTGGAGCTTGAGGACAGGTAACGTACATCTACACCCACATCCACAGCCGCATGTACCGTACTGTAGAGAAAGCTACGGGAGGGTACAATGGTTCGAAAGAGGTTGGAGCCAACTAACAGCAGTCAACCCCACTCGGAGACAACTCCCGCTGAGTCTTGCGCGGGTCAAAGGTGGAGGGGTGAGGGATTGCCCGGGGGTCCAACTTTCAATTGAACAAGTGTCCCTTTTGTTTGGTGGCACTGGACTTTCTCTCGTTGATCAAGCACAAGCCCACAGCCCATACCGCCGGAGCACTCTACAGACAGGCACGGCCCCTCCAAAGCGGCGGAAAGCTAGTGGGCTTCCTTACCGGGCTCTAAGCCCTTTTAGGCTGTAGTGAGTGTCCGGGGCTACTTGTCATTGGGCGAAGCTGCCCTACAGGAAGCGCCAGAGCCCCTCAGCTGCTGTAGGGTCCCTGGGTCCACAGGGGCAGGACAACCGCCGCTGAACTGCTTATGGATCATGGATCGTCACATAATGAGACGGCGCCGAGGCGCTGAGGCATTGAATGTTGGCTCAATGTAATACAGATCTTTATACTTAGTTAAAGGATCGTGCGTGAAACAGACTAGACATCTCACTATGAGAAAGTACCTTTTCTTTGGCTTGCCATTGTTTGTTAATGTTTATGTTGGACTATCACGGTATCACCTCCACCACATTCCCATGAAAGTTGAAACTCTGATAATGACGGATTAGGGAAGTGCAAAGATAATTGCCCAATTAAGCTGCGATAAATACGGGATTTGATGCTCCGAAAGGCTCAGAACCCCTGGCTAAATGAGATGACATTTGGAATAACAATTACAGATCAGCATCTGTTCAATGTGGCAACACCTTCGTCTCAGGCCAAAAGGCCACGTCTCTGTGACAGCCTAGGTACATACATACACAGCCCAGCCTTGCCAATGTTGAACGTGACATGGATAGAGGGGTTGCTCACGGTGTGCCGTAGTTAAAATTAGAGGAATGGCCTCCATTATCTGCTTATTGATCGATATTCTTTTCCACGAATTATTAATCCAGCCTTCTTTTGTCCTCTGACCAATCCCAACGGTCATAACATTCTAAGTTCTTAGGAACTCCTGGACCTCATTCATGCCCTGCCATTCACCTTCTAAATCCACCAAATGCTCCGTAAAATGAATCCACCAATGCTAAGTCCAGCTAGTCAGCCTATCTGTATGTAGTTGAGTCAAACATCGACAAGCGGCAATGTGTGATCCCCATGAGAAACAAGGACGTGTCACAGGAATGAGGCGAAACATGATCCCGCTTTACTCAGCTCATCGGCCCCACGGGACGGTCAGTTTACGGCCCCACCATAATACTTCCGCCGTCACATACCGGATAATACTCCTACCCAACTTTATTAAATACAGAATTATCAGCTTCTGAGGTGGCGGTGATAATCAGCCAATGCGTGGATACCGCTGATATAGGATTTCAGTTCCAAGTCAAGAAAAGTTCGACCGAGGTCCCCAGCTTTCAAAGTCGTAATCATGTTGGATTCAATGCTATCTTTCTATGGCTTGACAGTGCTCAGTGCTCAGTGCTCCGTGTATCATTATATCTGTCTCCTCCTTTTCTACTTGCTGTGAGGTCCTCGAGGTTTAGGTGGTGCACGGTGATACTGAATCGGCCACTTGACATCAACGTCCAGCTGATGAGCAGCACTGAGAACAAAGTCGGGCTCTCTGAGGAACTGTCTTGCAGCAAGCACAAGATCAGCCTTGGGATCCTCATTCTCCTGGACGAGTGAACGAGCAAAAGGACCATCTGTAATATAACCAACAGTTCCAATCAGAAGCTCTTTTCCATCAGCACGGACGGCATCGCGGATCTTGCCTGCCAGGTCGGTCTGGACGGTTTGATGGACCTTGATCTTTTGCGCCTTCAAGTTGCCTCCGCTGCTGATGTCGAGAACGTCAACTCCTGCGGCAGGAAGCTGTTTTGCGAGCTGAATACTGCTCTCGAGATCCCAGGAAGGCTCGTTATTCCATTCCATCCACTCGGTAGCAGAGATCCGCACCCAGACGGGCATCTCCTCAGGAACAACAGCCCGAATAGCTTCAATGATCTCGAAGAGGAGACGGGTACGGTTCTCAAAGCTACCTCCGTACTGGTCTGTTCGTTTCTGAAATCATGTCAGTTGATGAACTATTCTCAGCGAGTATCAATACTACTTACGTTGGAGAGAGGCGAGAGAAACTGGTGCAAGAGGTAGCCGTGAGCCGCGTGAATCTCAATGACATCAAAGCCAGCCTTGACGGCTCTTATAGCAGAATCCTGCCATTTTTGCACAAGATGCTTGATCTCCTCAGTCGTCAGCTCGTGAGGTGTACCAAAGTCTTCAGCGAACGGGAGAGCACTGGGGGCGACAATATCATCTGGCCAGCCGCCGACTTCTTTGGTAGCAAGTGCTTTGTTTACAGTACCGCCGATCCAAGGCGCAACTGTGCTCGCTTTTCTGCCAGCCTGGAGGATACGTTAGCTTGGGAATGTTGAGGCTTCTCCTGAAATAATGAACCTACATGAGCGAGTTGGATGGCAGCCTTGGTATTTTGGCTATGGATGAAGTCTGTGATACGCTTCAGAGGAACAATTTGACTATCCTCCCAAAGACCAGAGTCCTCAGGACTGATCCGACCACGAGGTTCAACGGCGGTGGCCTCAACAAAGACGAGGCCAGCACCTTGAAGAGCGAACTGGCCAAGGTGAACAAGGTGAAAATCTGTTAGATAGCCATCCTTGGCGGAGTAAGTACACATAGGAGAAACGACAAAGCGGTTCTGCAGCTCAACGCCACGAGTGCGGAGAGGCTTGAACAGCGTCGGGGCCGAATCGGTCTTGAGCGGGGTTCCGGCCGGTGGCTCCTGGGCCGGGGTGAAGTAAGGAACCCCGGAGGCTGCCTTGTTCTCGATGTTTGTGTTGCCCATGGTTTTACGTGCCCTTGAGGGGAAAACTGTGCTGTCTAGGTTGACAGGGTTGTCGACGTTGTGAGTATTTATGCTGAAGTCGGATTTGTTCAAGGCTCTTGACCTGGTTGCAGGATCATGCGCCGTGTTGATGCAATTCCACTGGGTTCCACGTATCCACCAAATCAACAGAGAATGATCACGGAATATAGACTCAATCCTAGGGGTTTGTCTGTCTTTATATATAAGGAGGTAGAGCGTGGGGAAACATGGTATTTATATCACCAACACTAACCATCTTTCATTTTGATTCATTGACACCTCAATGGCGATCTTGCTTCGTGCCTAGCTCTCTATCATCAAGACGGTCATAGTTTGCTCAGCTAAGCGAACGATGACGTGCGAGCATAAATTTTCAGCTTTACTAAAGTTATTGCAAGCATTATCGCTCCGTTGTTCAACTGTGACATCCAGGAATCGTTTCCCTCTTGGGTTTCTAGTGTCCAATTTGCGAGCAAACGCTGAATAATCAAAACAGTTAAGCCGAGCCCCTCTTCTACGCCTTTGGCTGATAACGTTATCATTCCAAGGTCAAGCATTCAGCTCTCATATGACACATTTACAAGGCAGTTCTGGTTAACTCATGTTCCTTCATCTCGATATCAAGGGCACAGAACAAAAGGCTGCCCGAATCAAATAAGTCAGGATTATTCCTATTAAATAATAAGACTTGCCACAATAAGTAAATGTCTTGATCTTTCGATTTTACAACTCTTCATGACATTTTCAGTGCAAGAGCTTGCTCTGAGTGATACATATATTGCAAATGTTCATAATTAGGCTTTAGAAAGTCATCTAGTCTTTCCGTCCCTCGAGACTGGCATTTCTGAGTATCTGCATCTTCACTTTAAGTACATGAAGTAGAACACACAAAACATACCTTATGGTATAGCCACGAAGCTCAATGTCTTGACACCGCATATATGTTTAGTTTCAAAGTTTTGGTACAATCATCAAATAATGATCAGCAACGCTACTTCGAAAACAATCTGGACAAAGTCAAATGCCTGGTGCGGCAGATGCAGGAACAAGCCCAATGATTATCAGACCCTTGAACAAGGCGCCGTCATCAAGCGTCATGGCTACAGTTGCGGCCCAGGCCGATCTCACTCAAACGACACATAATACATATTACACATTATAGCAGGACCCGACACAAAATTTAAAAAACTATAAATTTTCTTCTTCTTTTGGTCTCTGCCGTATAAGACGGTAGACACCTTAGTCTATTGACACGCTCATGTTGTCAAAACTCATGACATGGTCTATACCTAGGCTGGCGATCTTAACCAGCACCCAAATAATCACAACCAAAACTCCGGATATCGCTCTTCTTCAAGTTCATCGATGATATGATGACCAATTTCAGTCGTCGCATAGTTCCTTCAAAGGCATCTCAAGCCGCTCTCTGTCGTATTTCGACCACTTATTCCTGGTTTGTGGGCTTAAAGGTCCAGCGCTGGTTCTCAGTGCCCTGGGCGAAAGGAACACCGAGCTCGAATAGTCGGAGAACGACGTCGGAAAAGTCCTTGAAGAAGGCATCGTTATCCTTGGCGTACTTCTCGACCCAAGGCTTGAACTTCTTGTCCTCGATCAGGGCAATGTCGCTAGGAAGCATCATCAGAGACTTGGTAGACTTGTCTTCGTACTGGGCAGGGCCGTTCCACTTCTTCCACTGCCACTTCTCTTCGACAAGTAGGCGGAAGTAGTCGTTGGTCAGGACGGTAGGGGAGAAAGTCCAGGGACCTTCGTAGCCGGATCGGTCAGTGTGGCAGCGGCCAAGAGCGTGGGCGCCGGAGAGGGCGACAATCTCCTGGTCGTTGAAGCCCATACGGTAGAAAATGTCTCGGAGATGTCCAGAGCGCTTTGAGGCGTCGGGAAGACGTCCGTCGGGTGTGCAACCAGAGACATCACGATCAGAGCGACCAGGTCGGTAAGGAATGGCAGGGCCCAGCATCTCCTGGATAGCGCAAACACCAGCAAGGATCCAGAGGTCAGAGTAGGTGATCCAAGGGAACTTCTCCTTCACGGGTTCGAGGAAGGTGCGGGCAGCAGCCAGACCAGCATTGGCGCCGTGGTCAGCCTCAGGGGCGAATCGCATGGTGGCACCGTTGCTGCCACCAGTGCCAGTCTCCTTGTCGTAGGTACCGCTGGCGTGCCAAGCGAGACGTACGAGAACGGGGCCGTAGCTGCCGTCATCATAGTCATCCTTCTCCTCCAGGCGAGCAGCAATCTCGTTGTAAACCTTCTGATAGTCGTCCTTGGTAGGGTTGAAAACCTTGGGGGTAGCGGAAGAAGCGCCGTTGGCGTAGAAGTAGTAACCAGCACCACCAGCGACAGCGGCACCGGTCAACCACACCCAGGCGGAAGATGACTTCTGCGCGGGCTCAGAAGAATAGTATCGGCGACCCTGCTGGCGGATGACCTGTCTAGGAGCAATGGCGAAGCCGTTGCGAGTGGCGCGAGTGGCCGCGCGGGCGAACTGTCGGGTAGCGGAGGCCATCTTTAAGAGCAAACGTTAGTTACAAGTTGAAAGACAATGTTGAGTGTGCTTTTTATCGAGGCGGCGAAGGGGGAGCAAGCTTGTCTCAGTACTGTAGTGCTCAAGTTTGAACGTACCTTGGGTGTGTAAGATTACAAAGTGGTAAGACGCTTTGGAAAAGTGACTCCAAGGAATTGTAAAGAGAGGATGAAAGAGGAAGAAGAAAGAGTTAAGACGAGAAGGTCTGTGGCATCTATTAAGAAGGGATGCGTCGGATGAAGTGGCGGGAAGCCGAGGGCGAAACGGGGACCTGCCGTGTCAGTGCCAGGAAGTCAGGCAGTCCCGACCCTAACTGATAACCTCTGCCAGGGACACGATTCATGGAGGGTTGCCGAACGAGGCAAGCAGCTTTTGTCTCAAGCCCAAGCCCTTTCCATTTCCGTGCCGGAGTGTTTCGATCTTTGACATGTACGTGTTCCGAGATCGGGGAGGCCATGATGGAATTGCTGCTATTCACTGAGGTACTGGTTTGGAGAACTCTTCCTTCGGATATCACTGCCATCGATGTACCACAAATTGATTCCTAACATCACCCTCAACTTCCCCAGGTACTCTCGCCTCGGAGCTGTACCCGGCTTCATGGACCGGCGCGATGTCTTGAAATTGAACATCCACAATTGGCCAATTTGATATCTCAGCCCCATTTCTTTTATCAAACCTGGCGGGGATGACGCTCTTATGGACCGGGTGGAGTCGGTGGAGATCCTTGGTAATGAAGATTCTCTCGCCTCTGAGAGGTTGCTAATACTGAGGCCTGTCGAGGGACAGCAGGGGTCATTCTTTGAAGCATTCAGTGTTATGCCCGCTTATGATTTAGCAACACTTCAACATGAGGCTCATGAGACAAGTCGTCTAAAAACGGTTTCCATGTGTCAGGCCAAAAAGGGGACACCCTCTCGGCTGTGAACCACGAGGCGACCAACCATCAGGGTTCGGCTAGTCGAATTTGGAGAGACAAGAGAAAATTTCTGATGGATTGGGACCCTGAAAGTAACCCTCCATTACAGAATCCCAACACCTCATCAGCTAACGCATAGCGATCATCAGTCAGCACGGCGTGGCACCCGAATCGAAACAGGGCCTCCGTCTCCGATTGTTTCAACATCTATTATGGCACCGAGGATCAGATCAGAATGTCGTTGTGGTGCAATACCTTTGATTGGATTGTTCTCCATAAATGAAATCTTTGATGTCGAAAGAAGATTTGTCATATGTTGCTTTTAGGTACAAGCGAAGCAATGCCCTCCACAAGCGGGTACTTATGGAATCTTTTCTCGACAACAGGGGTCTACCCCAAAGATTCCAAATCGCTTCTCGCATGTGATTTCGTCATATCGGCAAATTACAACTTATTCTGAACTCTTTAGTCTGGTCGTAACAGCCACCTTTAAGCTACAGTCATATTCTCATACAACAGCACATGCCTGATCACACGAATACATCCAATCTCTTTAGCCCCAACTCTACTCTCCAAGGAATCGTCTACAAACTCGTGTGTTTCCCGTTTTCCTAGACTTGCATACTCTGTACCTATCTACTAAGGTAGATTAGTAGCCATGATTGTAATCTCATCGAATGATTGAACATCCCGAATCCCGGAGACAAACTTTCTCCGACAATCCTCCGGTGGAGACAGAACATTTCTATCAAGTCGGCGAGTGCTGCCAATGGCTTCTCCTAATAAGAAACTAATGCAAGTGCTCGTTACCCCACAAGATCTGGACCAGACACCAGTTCAATGTTCCACTCATCAACAGCTTCATGCTCAAGGATATATATAGATTTCTTCTACAACTTGTGATATGTCGTCAAGAATAATTCTCTGCCCGCCAAATTAAGGCAACTTCCAACTTCCAAGACTCAGCAATATGCTGAATAGCCGTACCTTATCCTCCAGGTTCATCCAAGCCACCTCTGCTATTGTATATGCAGGGGCGCCGTTTCGTTTATAGTACAACTCGAGTGCCCCACAACTTGATTAAGTCCTCCTGGATACCAGCGCCTCGAACACCTTTCACGTCCAGTTCAGTCCACCATATTTTTCATCCTCAGTTGAAGTCTGCGTTGCCCTGCGCATCAGCGTCTGGTTCACCATGAGTCTCGTAGAAATGAGAGTATTGGGCCTCGGCCCTCTGCTTGCTAGCCTCGTCCAGCTCTCCCTTTGCAGCCCCATTCTCCTTGCCGCTGCCTGTAGAGAGTTTGGCTACCGACGATGGCCTTTAGACTGTTAGTTAGTATTCAATAGCATCGGAGAGCATAGCAACTTACCCAAAGATTTCTCTATCGATTTGCAAGAATACCTTCATGGCATCCTTGTCGCCTCTCTCGACCAAGTACGTGAGATATACTTGGGTCAAGTCCTTCTTGACTGATGGGGAGAGTCGGCTTCGTTCTCGAAGCTCGTCGAATACTTTCTTCATGCGCTCACTGTGTTGAGCTTCATTCTCGGCGCTCGTTGGCTGATCCAACTCAAACTTGAACCATCGATCCCAGAATAACCTGCTGTCCGCACACCACTGTACGTTCTTCACAAAAACCCCGCGAGCCTCTTCCACCAAACCCTTGGCTTTCAAGAGCAACAGAGCCCATTCTGCAACCAAAGCAGCCTTGGTGTACATGTCTACCGTAGCAGAGTCGATCTGGTCCTTAAACACCTGAATAGCAGCGTCAAGGCCGTTCTGTCGTCGCTGAACATTGGCCCATGACACAATGACCTCGACGCAGTCCGGTAGCCTCAGAAGGATTGCCTCGTGGATGTCAAGAGCAACGTCAACTCGGCCAGCACTTTCTTCGAAGTAAGCCCATTGCAGTCGAATGCCTGGTCGACTAACAGGCACGAACATCGTCGAAGCACGTGCATAGATGTTGCGAACTTCCTCTTGCTTGCCTTCCTGGCCACTCATCCACCGGGCATATCGGAACCAGAGGTCATCGTAATAAGCGCATGTGACAAGACATCGCTCATACAAAGCAACGGTTCGTGTAAAATCACCTTCAGCTTCCTCGAAATCCAGGTATTTGCGCCAGTTTACCAAGTCCTTGTGTTCCAAAGCGGTAACGTGAAAGTAGGGTCTTTTAATCTCCGATTCGTAGGTCCAGCGCTTCGATACCTCAGTTTGCGTCGCGGTGAAAATTTCGTAGTACATGGCATCGATCTTTGCACGAACATCGCGCTCAATCTCCAGCTCAGCCTTAGGACCGCCGCCATAAGCAATTGTTTCAGCCTCAACCTCCGCCCTGAAACGTGAGAGATCTTCGGCAGACACCACCTCTGTGATGGGTTGATTGTGGGATAGCGATCGAAACCTCTCGTAGTAACGTGCATACTGGTGCATTGGTATGCGAATGATTCGTGCATGGATGGCGTAAATTTTGTCTTGTGCTTCCTGACGCTCTTCGTACTCAATGTACTTGTCCCAGAAAGGATGGGCAAGAAAATCGAGTCCCACAAAGGCTGATCCTCGCTCAAAGAGTCTAGAGAAAAAGGTTAGCAAGTGAGCTCATTGCGGAAGGGATAACTCAGGGGAAAGGGTGGAGAGGATCAATACAGAGGGGAAGATGGTTGTGCGAGTGAGTAGCAAAACCGATATCATGTTCTACCGAGCAGGTGCGGGTGACGTGTAACGCAGGGACGACTTTGGAGTTTAGAACGAGCACGGATTGAGCATCAACAGAGCCTGGTAGGGAGCGTGAGAAAGCGTCCCGGCTAAAGGGGCTATCGCAGGCATATCTCACCATCAGACACTTTTGATAGTAGAGTGTAGAGCCCTCGCGGATATGTCGACCGAGACCACTCAGGTCAAGCGGGAATACTGCGCCAGAAGGCATGTTAAGGGAAGGGGAAGGAAACCATCCAAATGGAACTTACTCTCTGACGAGGTGTGGGTCATGGGTCGTCTCCATCTTGAAGGAGCAGTAGTCCGTCCACAAGTCGACAGAATTGGTGATGCTCGCGCATCCTCTCTCGTATACCTATAACACTATGTCAGCCGTGTCGTAGGCAACGTCTGGAGTGTACAGACCATCTCAGCAGACTCGGGGCCGGCAATGTTGAACTCCATGTCGGCATATTTCTTCCAATAACCAAAGAGCAGAGGAAATTTAATGAGGAATCTGTCGTAGGCATCGCGGAAGGTTGCTAGTGCTTGAGGACTTGAGTTGCGATTCAAGCCACCCTCCAATGTCTCACAAGCTTTGATGAGGTTCTCCCAGTGCTCGAAGTTATCGGGGTCGGACTCCTGTTAGTGCGTCAAACCGTCAGTATTCAAGTTCGAGCTTATGAAAGAAGCGGATAAAAGCGAAAGCTTACCACCTCAGCATTGTGCTTGCGCACAGTTGCGTACTCCTCATCGGAGCCGAAATGACCGAAGTCGCTCATGACGTTGGAGTGTTTAGTGCTTCGTCTCCCAGAATCGCGTAATTTAATTGATATTAAGAAATTAGCGATAAATATTCGATCTCGCGGTGCGGGTTTGAAGCTGAGAAGTTTGTAGATAGGAGATGACGCTTGAGGCTCACGTCTGTCGCGAAAGGCAGGGGCTGGTAGTTCGCGCCGCAGACAAGCTCTTTTTTTTCCAGGTACTTTCTGGGTTAGTCACTGGCTAAAGAACTTCCGATGCACGTGCTCAAGTCAAGACGCGCAAAATAGCCGTAAATCGGTGCTACCAGGGAATTTGATGCAAGCAGGTCTGTACTTGTCTAGCAAGTCTCCGCAATTGACATGGGTCTTCAGATTCAGCCCGGGCCAACAATTTGCCGTTCTCAGGATGACTCAGCGTCAACGAAAGCTTGCAGATATTTTTGGCGAAGCGGTGCAGGAGAAGCGTTCTTCTTCTTTTCTCTATCCTAAAATGGGCTTATGATGATTCTCACATAAACATATGATAGGAAGAGAATGAACGCTCTCTTTTAGAGAGCATGATCTCAATTTCGAATCTGAAGCTCCCTTATTTTTTTGGTTTCTATTGTTGCGCGACGGTCTCCGATTCTTCGGCAATATCATATATAATCTTGTGTCCCATAACAAGATCGCATATCACGGATCTTGCGCATGTCTTAGGGGCTACCCTTTTCTTTGAGATACCTCACATCTTTATGTTATTATATGGCAATTTTTCAACGAGCTGGGCTGTCTGTTTGGAAGTGTTCCTGCCTTGGTGTCTTTCGAATCTTGCTTGGCAACTCTTCTCTCCAAGCCAAATTAAGCACTTCGGCGGGTATATGCGAAGCTTGCTGGTCCGGCCAGAATTCGTGGCAAAGTCTCGTGGCCTGAAATGATGTTTTATTATGACCCTATGACTTCCCAAAGGTTGATGTTTTGTTTTAACATTGATAGCAAAAAGTCTGTCAAATTGGAGGTATCATGGGCGCAGAGGTACATTGGCCTTGACCCATAAAGTAAAAGTAAATGCGCAAACTTCGCGCTCTTGACTTTATCCAAAAGTCTGTCCCCAGTGCATCATGGACAATGGGTCTGCATGATAATAATGTATTGTGTTCAAATGTTTCATGCTAAAGCTCAAAGATCCAGCGTTTGGCTATCCATAGATGTCACTGGTGGGGCTTCGTCCACTGGCTATTAGCATTCAGGGGTCTCTCATCATGGTACCCCAGCTGAGAAACGTCATTTGTAGAGCGTCCAGTCCAAGCCAGCGCCTCTTACATTCGTCTAACGCCCAAAGCTCAAAACTTCATCCAAACATTGGCTGAACCCTACAGAGCCCAACTACGCCCGCCCGAAAGTCTCTTGTCTTTAACATTTATCTTAAGTGCTTCCAATCGATCATGGGTCAAAAGAAATATTGAAATCATTTCGCAATCGCAAGCGCAATCCTATCGTGGACACGTTGAACCTTGTATCCTCTATCCATTCCATGTTATCCTACTGAGCAATACACGATGGAATATTCCTCAGGAGCCTATTCTTCCCAGGCTCCCTCTCCCGAAAAGTCATGCGAGCTCTACATACGCGACTATCCTCATCGATCCATTGCCATTGTTTCAGCTTCACACACTCTGATTCTTCGATATACTACCTCCACCAGTGAAGCCATCGCGAACGGCTCGCTTACATCCTTAGCTGCGTCTACGAGGAGCCGCGGAAACCCCGGCGAAGCCTTGGTATCGAAATGCATGGTCGAGTTCGCACCTGTGTCGAGGCATTTACTGCAGGACTATCGCCGTCTGACACATCGACCGATATACGGGACACTAGGCTTGATCACAGTTAACAGCGAGGTCTTCCTATCTGTCATTACGCATGCAACACGTGCTGCCACCTTGCGGCCTGGCGAGACTGTTGAACGTATAAATGGAGTAGCGTTCTACTGCCTGAGCAGCGCGGACTACGACGATGTTGTTCCTCTAGAATCACTTGATCCGGAGTTTTCGGATTCTGCATCGGTGCAGTCTGCTCCCTATGGACAAGGCCTTGGTCGAAGAGAAGTTGCCATGGAGCACCCATGTCATGAGCTTCGCAACCTACTAAGCAACGGAACATTTTACTACAGTACAGATTTCGATCTCACAAACCGGCTTCAAGACAGGTTTGTTGTTATCTGACCCTGTATAGCATTAGACTGACAAGAAATAGACCAATCAATTCCAACTCGTTCGAAATCGACAATTTCGACGATGGGTTTCTCTGGAACTCGTTCATGATCAGTCCTCTTGTCCAGTTTCGTTCTCGTCTCATGCCTCATGAGCGAGCTGCACTTGATTCGTCACGAATACTGACATCAGCAATTCGTGGTTTCTGTAAGACCATGACAATTCCGCTAAGCTCTTCGCCCCTGAAGAATGTCAAGTCAGGAATGCCTTCTTTTATGACTCTCATATCTCGCCTATCCTGTCGCAGAGCTGGAACTCGTTTCAACTCACGAGGTATTGACGATGATGGGCATGTGGCAAACTTTGTTGAAACTGAAACCACTTTCTGGAGCCCGGCGGGAACCATGTTCTCCTATGCTCAAGTGCGCGGATCAGTACCTGTGTTTTGGGAGCAAGCAGCCGACCTTATTCCAGGTCGGCAGAAGATCACAGTCACCAGATCTCCCGACGGGACACAGCCGGCCTTCAACAAACATTTTGAGGAGCTCGAGCAATCGTACGGAGCTGTCCATGTCATCAATCTTCTTAGTGAGACAAAGCCTGGCGAGGTTGAGCTCAGTACACTCTACCACAATGGTATCAAACACTGTCCATTAAGTCGTGCTGGACCAGACGGGTCTTCGGACCATGCTCTCTTGCGAGAAACCAATTACGATTTCCACGCAGAAACAAAAGGGCCAGCGGGATATGAAGCTGCCCGAGATATCCGCCGCTATATTGAGGACTCTACCGACGGTTTTGCATACTTTCTTGCGGAGGAGACAAGCGAACCGAGATACGATCATGATGGCTCTGGACAAGCTCGTATGGTGGTTGTACTTCAGCAGGAGGGTGTCTTCCGAACCAATTGTCTGGACTGTCTTGATCGAACTAATCTTGTGCAGACCATGATCTCACAGATGGCAGTTGAGGCCTTTCTTGGACATCGGGGTGAATTTGCTGCCTCTGACTTCTGGATGAGACATTCCAGTCTCTGGGCAGACAACGGCGACTCTTTATCCAAGACCTATGCTGGGACAGGCGCACTCAAGTCATCTTTTACACGTCATGGAAAGATGTCTCTTGCAGGGGCTGTGGCTGACGTGCGAAAGTCTGTCCAACGTATCTATCACAACAACTTCCTCGACCCTTCTCGTCAAATCACTATTGACATGCTTTTGGGTCGCCTCGTTGGGCAAGCACCGGTCCTTCTGTTCGATCCCATCAGCGATTTCGTTTCAACAGAACTGTCCAAGAGGAGTAGCGAGTTCACGTCATACAATAGCATCACCATATGGGTTGGCACGTTCAACCTTAATGGCCGTACCGAAGGCGTCAATGATGATCTTGGCCCTTGGTTATTCCCAGAGACCTTGGGAGATGCCCAGCCGGACATTTATGTCGTCGGTTTTCAAGAAATCGTAGAGCTCAGTCCGCAGCAGATCATGAACAGCGACCCATCACGGAAGAACCTATGGGAGCAAGCCGTGAAGCGCAATCTTAACGATCGACAAAAGCGATTGGGAGGCGAGAGGTATGTGTTGCTACGGAGCGGGCAGCTGGTTGGGGCAGCCCTCTGCATTTTTGTAAAGACACCCAGTCTGGCCAACATTAAGAACGTGGAGGGTAGCTTGAAAAAGACTGGCATGTCTGGCATGGCTGGAAACAAGGGTGCTGTGGCGATCCGATTCGACTATGCCAACACTCATATATGTTTTGTCACGGCACATCTGGCTGCTGGCTTTTCAAACTACGATGAACGCAACCGCGATTATGCAACAATCCATCACGGTTTACGCTTCCAGCGGAACCGGGGAATCGATGATCATGGTAAGTGCTCTTGGTACTGTGTTCGCTGAAGCCACATATACTGACAAAAACAGACGCCGTCATCTGGTTGGGCGACTTCAACTATCGCATTGGCCTCAACTTGGAAACTGCGCGTGCATTAGTGAAGAAGCGTGACTTTGAGACGCTATACGAGAATGATCAGCTCAATCTGCAGATGGTAGCTGGATTATCGTTCCCCTTTTATTCTGAAGCTCGCATCACGTTCCCTCCGACGTACAAGTTTGACATAGGTACCGATGACTATGATACCTCGTAAGTCCACTTTCATGTATCGGTGCTTCTATTCACGAATTCTGACGAGTCTACAGTGAGAAAGCTCGCATTCCTGCGTGGACGGATCGTATCCTCAGGAAGGGTTCCAACCTCAGGCAGATCTTGTATAACTCGGCACCTCTCAAATTCTCAGATCACCGACCTGTCCACGCTGCTTTCGAATGCAGGGTGAGCATCGTGGATGAACAGCTGCGAGAAAAGATCAGTAAGGAGTTGTATCAACGTCGAAAAGCCGAGGTCGGAGACGCAACAGCTCATCTTGGCACTGGCGAGGACAGCGATGATGAAGATCTCATTGGCTATGATTCTATCGAGCCCGGGCTTCCTCCCGCAAGTTCGGATCGCCAGAAGTGGTGGCTCGACAACAAGCAGCCCGCTCGCGCCGCGGTACCTGTGCCCAAACCCAGAAACGGGCAAGCCGTAGGGCTCAATCCCAATCGTCCTTCAAATCCTTTTGGCCTTACGGAAGAGCCGGACTGGATCTCTATTCCAAGATCGTCGTCAAAGGCATCTTTGTCTAGCATGTCAAGTTCACCATTTGAAAAAGTTAACTTGCCTAACGTCATGGCATCGGGGTCGAGTATTCAACCTCGAAAGCTGCCACCCCCATATGACCCATCAGCATTGCCAGCCAAGGTCGGGCGCATGAATCTTCTAGACGACCATGCTCCTATGGGCCATGTCGAGACGCCACCTCCGCCACCACCTCCGCGACGAGGAACATCAGGAGTAGCGGCAATGGGACAGACACCACCGAGCAACGGGTTTGGTCTTAATAGGGTGCAGACTCAACCGCTGCCTCCACCTCTTCGACCTACATCCGCAGCTTCTCATGCTTCCCAGTTCTCGCAGAACAGCAAGGCCGGGAAACCTGCGCCGCCAGTAGCAAAGAAGCCTGCACATCTGACCACGACATCGCCAAGCTCAAGCCCAGCACTGAGCCAGAGTGCCATGGAAGATGACTTTCGGCCACCGCTGCCAACGAGGGCTAACACCGGAGGTCTCACGGGAACCCCTCACTCACAGGACATCGGAGCCGCCGCACGGAAGCCCGTAGCACCTCCGAAGCCTGGCATGAACGGAACTGGCGTAAAACCGTCTAGCTCGATCGGAGCGGTAGGACTGCCCGGGATGACGGGCGGAGTGCCATCCCGCCGGGCAGCGCCACCAGTGCAGCCCAAGCCGCAGTTGCCGCAACAGAACCAAAACCAGCATCAACGACAAGGGTCTACGGATCTATTGGGATCTCTGGGTGAAGGTCAAGAGGTAGGAGGATGGGAAACGTTGAAGCCGAGCACAAGAGCATAGGAAAAGTGAGTTGGTTTGCCGCTATAGGTTAGTTTAGTACTTGGATGCGAGGCGTTTGGAAGCGTATCGATGGGCTTGAATCACTTGGGGAGGTGTGTCTTGGGACTTGGCTTGGGTTATGACTATGGTTATGCCTTTAGCATAAGAGTAAGAAGTACAAACACGGCTTGGTTATCATCTCAGAGATTCGCCGGCTGATGGTGTTTATGTTTCACAACATGTGAGCCAACAACTGAATCATGTGTCACCCAATTCGTCTAACCACGAGTCGGTCAAGAAAAGCCCCTAGATCGGAGTAGTGGCGTGTTTCGGCGGTGATTTTTATAGATCGCTATCGCCAAGACGCACCTAATTTAATTGTGCCTCTCGTCGGGTGATGCATTACTGTGGCGGCCACTTGAATCAAAGCTGTGAGGTGTGAGACTGTACGTAGTAGTTGTACTGTAAAATTGCTACCCTGGAGGGGCAAGGTGGAGGGATTTATTGTGTCCGGGCCTCATGACCAAGCCCCGCAGATGGAGACCTCCAATGAAATAATTCTCGGTATCTGGTGGGCGTGAAGGTGCTGATCTGATTGTTCTGTCAGAAATACTCTGCTGACTCTTTGGGCTTAACGTTAACTGGTGTTGAGTTCGGCACGAACCTTTGGTCCCCGTCACCGACACTTTCAATACCTTTAGGTACGGTATCCACAGTTCAGTTGAGGTGACCTGAGCCTACAGTATGTGCAGTACCTACCTAGCATTACTGAGGCTGCAGCGCTCCATGCACTGCACAGTAGAGAGGTGCATGCAGGACCTGGCTGCCGTAGGTTACTGTTCACGCTGCACTCTCTCTTCCCTGTCGTGAGCACGAGACCTTGGTTGACCTTGGACGATCTAGACCAACGCTGATCATTTTATCAATCATATCACACCCTCGACCTCTGGACCTTGCAAAAAACCACTCTCTTCCTTCGTCTCTTCGTCTCCTCTCCCTCCACCTCTGATGCTCTCCTGGGATACCTTCAATTCCAATCTCAGTCCTCGATACGTCAAAGAACAACTCCCAAGACCTACAGCTATCGTACCTATTTAACCTAATTCATTTCTGGCCCGCGCTCAGAAACCCACCCCCCCCATCGAAGCCAAAGAGATCGTCCCCGGTCCGTGATTTCCTTAGCTCCAATCACTTTTGAACCGAACCTACCTTGCTTGACCTCGCCTTGCCTCTTTTATTTCTGAACCTTGATCGCAATTTCTCCTTTTCCCTTCGCACGGAGAGAACCTTCAGTCTTGTTTGCTTTTTCTTTCTTGGTCCTTGGGACATCATCACAGGTCATCGCAATTAATCCTCATCTGGTCTTGTGTGTTCGAGTCTTGGAGACAACCCCCAGATCCAGCACGCTCAGGCCCTTTGATAGTACGATTTCGTACGATCTGCGCGAGTCATTGGCGTACACGGATGAAATCGCTGGACGACGCAAAACAAAGATTGTCAATGAGCTACTGATTTTTGAGGTCCTCATCGTCCGCTTCTCATCATCACGAACGGCAAATCATTGATGGCAAGCTTCGCAATTCCGACTGGCCTCGGACTAATATCACACGATACGCATTGAGCCTCATAATCCAACATCTCCTTACGGATCCCATTACCCAATCACAAGAAATTAATTGCTCCTATCAAATCGCAAGCCATCAGCTTCAACAGTAACAGAACCAGCCATGGCCGATAATTCAGATCACCGAATCAAGATCAACCCCCTCATGCCTCCTGCGAAGCAAGAGCGCATTCACATCTGGCGCACCGAAGTCGCTTCAGCCCTACACCTCCCCACGGCCCCGTCCCTATCATCATCACTATCGTCTTCATCCGCCGCCACTCCAGACCCCGACCCAGATACTTCGTTTGCTACACCTCCATCACCTGCTGGTTCCAAGCCGCGAAGCTTGTGGAAGCGCATTAGCTGGCGTTTTGGGCCCAAGAGACGCACTGCTGTCAATATGGCTGCTGCTGCCGCCGAGCTTCCCCCAGATGGCCGTACCGCTATGTACCGCGGACTTGAGAACAGGGTGGCCCGGGGAGAGGACGTGAGGGATGAAGAAGGCGGCATTCTGGAGAGGGATAGTGAGGAAGGAAATGGCTTGAAGGAGAAGCAAGAGAGGTTGGCTCGGGCAGCCAGGTTACTCAACCGTCGCACCGAGGAACGGTGACAGCGTCGCTAATGGACTGACGCATCAGCAGTCGCTACCAAGGAATGCGTCTGTCCCGTTTGCTTACGAACGGCCCGGTGCCAGCAATACTTCTTAATACGCAGCCGGGGCCATGCCGACATGTGTCATGATATAGCATTTATTCTTCATTAATCAATGTCCTTAACAGACAATTCCACGCACCTAGACTAGCATGCACATGTAAACCAATCTTTCTAATCTTGGGTACGAGAGACTATCACATTCGACGCTTGTTCCACCCGACATTAACGTTAACATATGCAAACTTCGGAAAACCCATAGCAGATGGTTCGCGAACGGAAAGACGGAACACAAGCGCTGGGAAATGCAACAGTTCAACATCAGGAAAATGTCAGTAGAGAACAAGTGTCACCAGTACAGAACTCTGAGAGGCTTCAGATCGGAAAAGCCAAGGGGCAGCTTATACCACCACTTTGTTCTCGGTACCCATGAACATAAATGTAGAGGGGTTGATTTTTGGGGATAAGTCTTTGTTTAGAAACAACAGGAAACAATTCATCTCTCCATTGCCTCTCTTCAGGGGGGTTACGTTTGAGAACGAACCAGTAGACATGAACAGAAAACATAAAAGACATAAGACAATGGGGGAAAAGCGTTAACATGAGAAAGCCTTCTTCGTGACGATCCATCAAGACGGGCTAAGCCCTGTCCACGTTCTTAATGACCAACAAGACGGGGATTGAGAGATACACAAATGCCAGGTGCGGAAAGTAGGCTAAAGAAAAAGATGTATGAAAAGGGGAGGAAACTTTGCGATTTATCTGCCAGGTAGAAAAGAGAGAAAAAAAGACAAATAGCCGTCATCACCGAGTGTTGGCGGATCGATTTCCCCCCCTCCCTTCTTCCCTTCTTACTAGTCCGACGGACAAACAAGACGAAAGATTCCACGCCGTACACTCTCCCTTGCCAGAAACCAGACCCTTTGTGATTCCTCCCTCTCCATCGCCATGGGAAAAAAGCAACGCACCGCGCAAAAAGAAGAAGCCTCGTACTATCATCCAGCCCGCCCAAGACAGGCCCAGCTATCCGTGTGTCCGGGGGCAGACAAGTGTAACCGGGGCAAGAATACGTCTCGGTTCCTATATGCCGAGACGCATGTGGTATCGAGGGGGATTATTGACAGATTTAGGAGGCGGCAGCAGGCGCAGGCTCCTCAGCAGGGGCGGCGGCAGGCTCAGCGGGCTTGGCAGCCTCGCCCTCCTCCTTCTTGGGAGCATCGGCAGCACCAGCGGCCTCGCCCTCAGCGCTGTCGCTAGAAGTCCAGAGGGTGAGGTTGTCGCGGAGGAGCTGCATGATCAGGGTGCTGTCGCGGTAAGACTCCTCAGAGAGAGAGTCGAGCTCGGCAATAGCATCGTCGAAGGCCTGCTTCGCGAGGTGGCAAGCACGGTCGGGGGAGTTCAAGATCTCGTAGTAGAATACGGAGAAGTTGAGAGCGAGACCCAGACGGATGGGGTGAGTGGGAGTGAGCTCAGTCTGGGCAACATCGGTAGCGCTCTGTGGTTGGGCAAAACTTGTCAGCGAGGGGCACCAGCGGCCCGGATCTTGCGGCATGTGACGGTGGTGGGGGGGTAGTTGGGTTTTAATTTAGCCTTACCTTATAAGCATCGTGGGCAGCGGTAGCAGCACCCTTGCGCTTCTCACCCGAGGCGAATTCAGCGAGGTAACGGTGGTAGTCACCCTTCCTATTCATCAGAAAGAAACACGGTCAGCTTCTCGATAACTAAATAAAAAAAAAAAGGAGTGCATTTTCTTTTTTTTTCGGTGGAAAAAGCACGCATGCAGCGAGATGGGTGTAGTGCTGCGTGAGCACAAAAAGGGCGGAAAGACGAGGGGCCTCAGGCTAGAGGCGGGGAAGATAAAAACGCACATTTTGTGGTAGAAGACCTTGGACTCGCCGGTGGCGGCGTTGGGGATGAGGAAGTCGTCGAGGACATCGAGAACATCCTGGCAGACCTTCTCGAGCTCGGTCTCGATCTTGTTGCGGTAGTCCTTGATGGTGGATACGTGCTTGTCGGAGCCCTTAGATTCCTCCTTCTGCTCGATCGAGGAGATGATGCGCCACGAGGCACGTCGGGTACCGACAACGTTCTTGTAGGCGACGCTGAGGAGGTTACGCTCGTCAACGGTGAGCTCTCCGCCCAGCTTAGCCACCTCCTTCATGTAGGTGACCATCTCATCGTAGCGCTCGGCCTGCTCGCAGAGGCGGGCCAGGAAGGTCTTGCTATAGTGAGGTAACACGTACGATGTCAGCGATACGACGTCCTTCGAAGGGGTTCTGATTTCTGAACGAGCTGGACGAGCCAAGGCATTGGCGGGGCGCCGATAGCATCGGAAGAGATTCGGGAGGGGATGATATAGACAAACCTTTCACGCTATCACACCATGAGAGTCAGCATCAAGCATCTTGATTAGAGAGATGGGGATGAGGAGATGAGCAGGGAGGGGGGGATCGAGTAACACCGCCTGATGACAAGTTGAGAGAGCCTCTAGAGAATCGCAAGCTACATAACCGAGAGTTCAAGGCCATGCAAGAATCGTGAATTTCGAGGAGGAACCTCATGGTGTTGTCACCGTTTGTCCATGTTGGGCTTCGATTGAGGAGGGGTTGTGCGGCCTTCGGCGGGACAGGAGGCCGAGAGGGAAAAAGGGTAGAACATCTCTAGAGAAGAATAGAGAAGCTGGCAGGGAGAATACATACCTCGGTGGCCATTTTGGAAGATATTGGGAATTGTTTGATAAGAAAAAAGGAAGTGGAAGTAGTCGTGACAGGGAGAAGAGAGGTTGAGTGAGAGATTGAATTTTTGAGGTTGAGAGTTGGGGGGCGCGTAGGGAGAGGGATGAGTAGAGGTAAGGTAAGGTAGAGAGACCAGTGACTGGATTGGACTGAGGTGTAGGCGGGTCAGGCGTTGGGTGAGCGAGGTAGGTACGTATTTTGCGCATTAGAATTGGATTTTGGCAGCGCCCTGTACTAATGGGAGCCAGCCGGACAGGCAGCGGGCAGGCCCCCAGTGCGGGCAGCTCCCCCCATCGTTTCTAGGGGTGTCTCGCCTGAGGAACAGCCTGGCCCGCCCAATCCCAGGGTCGCCTTGGGCCCGGGCTGTTGGCCTTTGGCCTTTGGCTCCCACTTCTTGGTAACTGTTTAACCCGCATATCTACATTAGTGCACCACAACCCAGTCACCGCTCTAATAATGAATGGATCTTTTCAAGACAACCGACAGTGCCATTAACTGGAGAGAAAGGAGAAAATAGGGGAGCCGATATGATCTCCCCGTTTAGCGGAACATGTCCCCGTTAAAAAGTCCAGACGGAACCCGGTGCGCCATAGCTGCCCGCCTCATCTAAATTGCAGTGCATCCAATACTGAAGGTAGCTTGGAGCAATCTGAGTGTCCGCAGTCTCAAATATTGCGGAGCTGGCGTGCTAAGTTAGTAGAAACTCAAGGAACCTGGGCTTGTCCTGGCTGGCCCCAGGCTGCCATGCCATGCCATGCCATCCATGCCAGATGTAAACAATGCACAGGTAGCCACGTGAGCGTAAAAAAAAAGTGACGACAGAGATGAGCCCCCTTCCATTGACTTCACCCCTCTTCCACCAAACGAAACAGTTTTCTGGCCTTTGTTTGAAGCTTGGTGCTCGTTAGCCCTGGCAGTTGACGCCAATCTCTCCTCCAGTTCATTTACGCCTGTGCAGACCCCTTTACTTTGATTCACAGGGGATGGTGCTGATATGCACGTGCTAATGTCTCCTTTGCGGCAAGCTGCTTTTTTTTTTACGAGAAATCACACAATGCTTGTTGTTGTTGTCTCTGCATCATAATAGAATCAGCCTCATTGGGGCTGATGAGACGACTTCTATTGGGCCCTTGTCCTGGTTATCTCCAAGCCCGCCACAGACGGCAGCACGCATCTCACACACGAATCATGGCTGAAAGTCTGAGATCGGAGAGGCTTTTGACCAGTGGTAATCTGTTGTTGTCTGCCTACGACTTCCACTACCGCCAGAAGGCACATGAGAGTCTACCATTCATACGCCTTCATAGTTAGACTCTCACAGAGCTTACCAGCACATGACAATTCTATTTTGCTAGATTACAGGCCGTGAGAGCTTCGCACGAGATGAACTCATTTCCTGGGATCGTCCGTTGTATTAACCGCCCACTCCAGCGTCTAAGAGCTTATCAAATCCAACCACTCGATACAGTCTGGACTTTGTGACCCTGATCCTGACTCTGAGACGCCTGTTGCGATATATGTATCAAACCAAGACCAAAACCACTATCTGAAACCTGGATCAAGATTTCTTACACAATCCATCCACAGCACTCACACTCGTGTCCATCAAGAAACAGAGCCCTATCTATGGGGTTCGTCAGGACTGATAGATACAGTACTCTTTGCTGGCCTGGCTGGGCTGCATCAAATCTCAAGATCTGCCCATCTCGCTTTGGACGGGTCAAATCCCTGCTTTGTGACTTGACACTTGACATTCTCATTCCGCTTGCTTGCAACCCCTCCATGTCATATCGTACGCCTCGACTTATCCATCCTTGACCAGGAATCCGCGAACCTGGATGCGGGAACTCTTTAGCTGCTTAGAGTTCGGTGATGTCCTGCTCGTTTCAAGAAATTCCACTTTATGGGAGCACTGTAGCTGTCAAGTTCAACTCACTTGTAGTCTTGTTCGTAACCAGCCCTGGCCGACTTCAATGGACCCCTTCTTTTTGCAATCTGGGGCTAAATAGCTGCTCTGTCGCTCATCAAACCCCTGTTGAACTGAACGATTTCTCCTCTGATCCCACGGACCCATCTGCAATCATCCGAAGCCCACGTTCCACCAGAGCCGAGGAAACCGGTTTTGCCTCATACAGTACAGACAGCTCAGCAGCAGGAATGTGGTGTTCTCCTTTCTTATCTCGTTCTTATTATAGTGGGATTTCGAGATGATAGATTGTCTACATAGAAACAAGTCGACCAGGCTGGATAAGTCTGAGTTCCAGTAGCCTTCCCCAAGGTGAATTCTTTCTTTCAGGGACCTCTTTTAGCCTGGGACCCTTCTTTATCACTTGACATGACTTTGAATAATCCTGGTTCGGCTTGTTTTGGTGGAGCTTTCCGCGCGGTCTAGCCCGTGGTCAGCGGGACTGGCTGGACCAGGTCACCAGAAAAACGTAGGACTCTGAACAACACGTTAAATGTACTGGTTGGCACGGGGTAGAAAACATGATCTCTTTTGTCCATATGGTGATTCTGGAATGTGAGTCATTGGGTTTTAGACGCTTGAGACTACATCGGATTTCTTGAATATTTGATGAATTACATGACAGATTTGATTACAAACATGTTGATACTCCAGCCCTTCACATGTGTTAATCCATTAAGTTCATATGCATGAGGTATCTTAAAGCAGGCTTTTCCATATCATCAACGCCTGTCAACTCCAACACAATAAGTTAAAACTCATAACTCCTCCGTTTCCGGTGCTTGGTACCGTCCTCTGCCCCAATCTGCAGGGTCGCCTCCTGGTACACAGAGGCCTAGTCTCCAGAAGTAGTCCCGATGAGCAAACAGCAGTTGCCATAGCTTGAATCTGGAAGGGTATCCATTCAACTCCGCCAATTTGTCCGAGGCCGTTAGAAGGCCTTTGACATGGAACAAGCGGCGTATCGTCATCCATAACGAGTCGTCTGCCCCCGATATGCATTTCGGATCGTTGTCGCCGATGCACATGTAAATATCGGCTTCAGAAGGGCTGAGCTCCTGTTTGGCGATGTATATCTCACCTGCGTGTGACTTGTAACCCCATTCGCCCAGGGGAAGAAGGGGCACGGGGTCTTCCTTGTGAGTAACCCGCCTGTATTCTCGCCCCTCGAGATCATCTTGGCCATCTAGGTGGAAGACCTCATCGACGAAGCGAGCGAGCCCTTCATTCCCAACTCGGGGCTCACCAAAAGTCGTGACTATGACGTCCTGCCACCCTAGAGATACCTTGAGCTCCAGTGCAGCGAGGCAAGCGACGGAACCTCCTAGGCTATGGCCTACAAGCTGAACAGGATAAGAAGGATATTGGAGCCTCAACTGTCTCAATTGTGGAAGTACGAGGCGTCGAGCATTCTTCCAGGACTGGAGGAACCCCATGTGCACCGTACAATTTGTACATTGATGCTCCGGTTCGTCAGGAGGTTCTTCTCCGCCGTTGTCAGGAGACGGGTACGGCACATACTCTTGCGGTACAGTACTCAGATCGACAATCGTATTGGCGATACTGTAGGTACCGCGGAAGGCCACCACGATAGCAGGCTCACCGGCCATGTAAGCGTCATTGTCTCCGCGTTGTCTCACACCGTGATCAACAGCGATATAGCCGCAACTGTCGCTGAGTAAAGGGCCGGTATTCCACGTATTGATGAGATCGAGACTGGGAAACTCGCTGCAGCGCGATACACAGTCGAAGGGTTTCCTGACTCCTGTGGTGCCAATACAATAGGCAATGTCGACGAGCCGCGACAGACGCTCGAGTGTTGCAAATAAGGGCACTGATATGCCGTACGGCTTAGTATCAGGACTATTATTGCTGTGCCTGAGTATTGATAATGGATTGCTCAGAGCGAGGCATGAAGTGATGAGAACCAGCTGAAGAGTCAGTGTCCTCATCGTGTTGACAGGTTTGAGTCGCATGGTGTAACGTGGTGCCTTATGCTGATAGTTGCAAAGTCTGAACAGTTGTAGACGCGTCCATAAATGCGTTAATCTTTTTTCAATATTGGGAAAGGTCCCCAATCCTCGCTCTGTGTTGTAGAATCAACTTCTGGTAACGACTCAGAAGTTCTCCGAATTGAGAATGGACGAGATGAGGGAAAAGAAGCAATGCATCATTAACAAATTGTTGAGGACTGCTTGATTTTAGCCTCAACACACATAATGATGAGAGCTGAAATAGCAGGTAGATTAAGTGAAGAGGTCAAGATCAGGGTTGACAGGTCTCGTGAGTAACACTTCAAACTGTTGAGGTCATACGGCGCATGTACTAGAACCGGCGGTACCTGTTTAGGCCACCAAATGACCAATGGAAAAGAAGTGTCACTTGTTCTCTCTGTTTAGAGCCGAATGAGACACTCTGAGTGGCCAACGAGACTACACTACCCCGGATTATAGACCCACTTTACATTCTTTCACGTTGGAGGCGGAAGTCGGCTTTTGTTCCTGAATAAACGATCTTAAGAAATCATGAACAAAGTACGTTGCTCAGATCGACGTTTTGAGCCGATTCTCTATTCGGTCGTAGTACTAATAGGGCCTTATCGCTGTCTTTTCCTCACTTCACTACCATCCTCATACGTCCAGTTTTGTTTTGTACAAGTGACAAAGTAGCACGCCTGACTACCAGGCTGGATCCTGCACGACTCAACATCACAAGATCTAACTTATCACAGACCGTTTTCTTAGGAAGGAGGAGCCTCCCTCACGGGTTGAAGGCTAGTGAAGGCCGACTTCTGGTCTGTCGAGTTGCTTGAGCAGCTGCCAGTCCTGGCGCACTTGACGTTGAGAATGATGCTACCACTGGCTTCATATGGTACAGATCTATTGGGTTACTGTCAATACATGTTGTCTCTTTAAGATCAAGGAGTCAAGACTTACCCATCCTGTTGTTGACAGACCTTCTCCATCATCCATAGCTTCTTGGTATCATCAGTCCAGATGAACTCCACCGCGTCGTTGTCACACGCAAAACGATCTCTGCCCCCCAAGCCCGTGATGGCCTTTGAAGAAGCGTTCTTGTGGCAAGGAGTCGTCAATTTGGTGTCCTCGTCGAAGAATACGAAGTCAAAGGCACTGAGCGTCTTGCCGCTGTCTTTAGACTCTGCCTTGAAGTTCCGGATGCGGTAGGTATCGGGGAGTGTGCAGCCATTATCTTCAGCACTGGTCTCGAGAAGAGAAAGACTCTGGGGAACTGCGTAGAGATGTGCGGCCCAAGTCGCGGGCAAAGCAGAAAGAAGCAAAAGTCCGAATTGCATTGTGAGAGTATTAGAGGAATGTAGTATGTGTGTTTAGTACGAAGTGAGAGGTTGTATAATTATAAGACGTATGTTAATTCGTGAAGTTTGATGTGGTCAAACAGCAGGTTTTCAACTCGAGACATGACTAGCGAGGTAGGTAGTTTATAAGTTCATCAAAAGCCATATGGAGAACACGACGTCAGAGCATCAACCGCCCCGAGTGGTTTCTCCTTGCCTTACCGAACACGCGGCCTAGTAACCCATTAAATCGGGCCTCCTCTAGATTCCAGTGCCGTCGTGCAATGCGATCCAATTCCACCCGCAGATCCTTCTGCATCCGTGAGGAGACATGGAGTTGACGGGATCAGAGGCGAGGATCCAACAACCAGGCAGTGCGATTGATTGGATGCCGATCATGTTTCATGTTTGCTGGGTCGGAGCCTCGGACGTTTATTATGGAATATCCATGTGCCAACTCATTGTTTATGGTAGAGCCTCTGTAACCAAGCGTCTGAGCGTCAAGTTATTCTTAGTTACAGTACAGATGGCCAACAAGGCTGTTGCTGTTGAGTGACACAAGAATAGAAACGTGATCTCGTCATGCAAAAGTGTTGGACTGAGAAGCGATGGCTTTCCGAGTTCTGCTGGTTACATTTTGCGTGTTTCGCTTTAACACGAGGAAGATTGGAGGATGCTCCCTTGAAGACTCGGTTGTCGATCGCAATGCACAAAGGATCGTCGTACCTTATTTGACCTCCTTTGTGGATTTGGAGGCATCCAAGATCATACAGCACCTGGATGAAGATGGCCTGTTGCTGGATAAGGCCAAGTAGATATTCATGCTGATTCTGGGCTATATGGGATTGAGTATGGCAAAGACTTCCCATGATGTTAATCTTGGCCTTCAAGATATGATGCCACATCCGTTTAATTTGAGCATGATCGGCATCATCGTTTCTTTAGAGAGTCAAAGTATGTTTCAAATTTAGAGTTGACGGTTCATGATGCCAAGTGTAGTTCTTCATTTGTAGATATCTGTGTTAGTCTGACGAGCCGTCTCACGCAACAGATCCACTCGGTCAATGGAACTTGATGTGGGGTTCGCACAAATGCAAAAACCCGTTACCCTTCGGCACGTGACCCACAGCTTCAGCAAATTTTGGTACGCAAACTAAGGCAACTAAAGATCCCCTCGTTTTTTCTGATCCTGTTGGAAATATTCTCGTCACCTCACGATCCAACTAACCCATCCAGCAACAATGGCCGCTGAAACCGCTCGATCTGGCCTGGCCGTCGGCCTCAACAAGGGTCACGTACGTCTTTCTGTCGCAGTCTCACCTCGTGGAGGATCTCTGCTTTGTCTTCGCCTTCGCGACGGATGAGGGCTCGACAACCACCCAACTAGCAGACGATGGACGCTGACATTTGTCGCCGATATTACAGAAAACCACTCCCCGTGTCGTCAAGCCCCGTGTTTCCCGAACCAAGGGTCACCTGAGCAAGCGCACTGCTTTCGTCCGTGAGGTCGTCAAGGAGGTTGCTGGGTAAGTCAAATATCTTTATTTTGGGGATTAGAGGTTGGATTGGGAGGCGATGGATGGGAGATGCTGGGCATTTGCGCCGCATGTTCAAGGCCTCGTCGCCGACATCGACCCTATCCATAGGAGGAGTTCTCAAATACGTGCTCGGACTTTTGCTAACCACCATTTTTCATAGCCTTGCTCCCTACGAGCGCCGAGTCATTGAGTTGCTCCGCAACTCCAAGGACAAGCGTGCCCGTAAGCTCGCCAAGAAGAGAGTAGGTCGAACCGAAACACTGCAACCACCCCACGATATAAGTACTAACTCGCACCGCAGCTCGGTACCTTCGGCCGTGCCAAGGCCAAGGTCGACGAGCTCCAGCGCGTCATCGCTGAGGCCCGCCGTACTGGTCACTAAATCAACTCGATTTGATCTGATTTTTGGGAATCTGGCACCGAACGGGGTTCGCATGGATTGGCGTGGTCACGATTTGATCGATTAAAAAATTAACGGCTTGGACGCGCCGTGGCAGGGATTTAGCTGCGGATCACCGGAATACCAACACTTTCAAGAGACTTATGGCGTAATGATCAAGCCATGTTCCAATCTGTCTTTCGTGATAAGTGACGCTTCACCTTTGTTTTCGAACTTAGATCCGTTGAATGCAATATGTATTCGTAACCTATGGATTTCGCTGTTTTGCGCTATGAAAAAGCCCCCTTAAACCAACGCCACCAATGATCATTAATGCGAACACCGTAACGTTTCTAAACTGCCACTATTGTCTATTTCTTGCCCAGCTTGAGCCACTTGGGTATCTTCTTGCCAGTCTTCTCTTCTGAGCCCTCACCCTTCTCTGCTTGTGCTGGCCGAGCAAGAGGTACTTCCTCTTCTTGATCATTCGAAGCGATGAGCTCAGGCACCTTGACCCGCTGGCCCTTTTGAGCAATGTTGGCCTTGAGGAATGGCTCCTTCCGTACGGCTGATGGTACAGCATCATCCCAGACCAGGTTAATCAAGGTACGCCCAGACAGTTTATACGCCTTGATCAATCCGTTGCTGGGGCTTGGATCGTCCTTGATCACAATCTTGGTCCCGGGAAGAACAAGATGGAAAGGTTGGTTGTTGTGGGCCATAACGTGCCGAACAGCATCGTAGAGGAACTGGCCACTGTGAGAGGGACTTACTTCCCAGTCGCTGCTTGTGTTGTCCGGAAATCGGACTTTGACGAGAATAGACTTAATTGCGTTGATCCTTGCGGCCTCTGCAGCAGCCTTCTCTTCCAATTCGCGGTCTGATAGCAGACGCTTGTTCCTCGAATCCCCCTGAAGCCGAGCTTGATGAAGTTGCGCATGAGCAATTGTAGGGGCAAAGTCAGCATCGGTAGCAGGAGTCAAGGCTGCAGCAGGTGTTGACCCTGAAGGGGCAAGGAAAACGTTGATAGGTGCCAGAGGATCCCCGGGCTGAGAAGAGTCGATATCCATGTTGTCCTCATTAGCAGCCTTGGGCTCTGTTTCTTGTTGAATGGGGGCTGGGTCATGTGTCCGTTCTACTTGATTATCCGTCATCTGTGAGTCCTCCGTCTCCCTTTGTGCTTGCTGTTCTGGTTTCTGTACCCCTTGTTCTGGTGCAAGCTCTACCTTTGCAGCTGGCACTTCTGCCTTCAGGCCTTCATCCTCGGTATCTTTGAAGAACTGACCAATTTCTGTCATTGCATCGTACAGTGTCTTGTCTGTCTTTCGGTAGTCCAATCTAATCAGGACATTCCCTGAGTTGTATCCTAGTTGCGATAGTGTCTTCTGGAAATCGACAAAGGTTGAAAGCTCTCGTCCCATAATGTTGAGAACAGGTGTTTCATAGTAAAGCTGTCCACTACCACTCCCCGTATCACCACTCATTTGCGCAATCCCGCGGCCGGTAATATTGATGTTTCTTCCATTGCTGGCCTCTCCGCTCTCGAACTGGCGTAGAACCTTCCATATGGTGAGATCGCTGGGGAATTTTTGAATCAACCGGCCACCGGGTATTTCGCGGCCCTCGGGAGGAGGAACCTGGAGGGCGACTTGGATAGCAGAAGGTGTTTTCGACTTTTGGACAAGTTCAAGTTTTGCGCCTGGTGACAGACCGGAAGTTCGGAAGGGAACAGATAAATCTACTGTTTTTTGTCGGTGTCTATACGTCAATTTCGTTAGCCATTCGTTCAGCGGCAGAGCCTAGCCCGAGCATGTGGTACCTACTTGACAAGATATTTATCACTGGAAAGGTTGAGTCTTCTACAAGCTTCCTCCAACACATCAATAAGGTAGGTTCCAGGGTTGACTTTGATAGTAGCTCGCCGTAGGTCGGTGGCTATCACCACGACGTTGGTCGCCATTCTTCAGAAGGCTTAGGTATCAAGACGATGAGGTGTAGGGTTGAAGCTGCACCTGTATTAGGCTAACATGAATTCGTTAATAAAGGATGATCGCGGGGGATGGATGTTGAGCTCGGTTGGCGGTGATGTAAGCAGCCAGTGTGGGTGAGTCGAGTGGTCAACGGTGGGGTTACTTACCTTAGAGAGGGACCTCAGCTACCAAGGACAGCTCCAGCAGGCAGCCAGCCACGAGTTATGAGCACCCTCGAATAACTCTCTGAGCTGCTAGAAGCTTCTAAACGAACCTACCAACCTCAGGTACTTTGATTAGGTGAAGACGGAGGACTCGAACCCTCTCGATTAGAGCATTAAACAAATAACTACCCACCCTTAGGCAAAATCTGCTGTTTTATGCGCAACCAAGGTATGTGCATTATTCTAAATCTCGATTGTCTACTAAGGTATGTTAAGTAGTTCACCTGGAAAGATCTCCGGAGTATCGAGTGCTCGGAATTTACGGCACCTCTATATGATCATTTGAAACACATGGAAGCTTCTGTGAATCAGAGTCTGAAATAGCTGTTTTGTACTAATCGTTCCTCTCTTCTCCAAATGCGATTTCGAACTCTACCATATGTTCGCTTATGTAATTCAAGTAACTGAGCCTCAGCCGCCACAGCTTGTAGGCTGCTCTAACAGACGTGGACCTGCTTGTACCCGGCCACGCCAGACCGTGTTTGCCTTGCAGCCCGCCTGTACGTACCACGGACCTTAGCAGCAACCTCATTGCACTGCACCTTCTGTAGCTCCAACCCAGTGACGGGAGCTTCAACTGTCCAACTCGCACTCCATCCACTCCACGCCGGCTGCTCTTCTACAACCCCACGACGCGAAGATACGATACGAATTAGCGACTGCAAAGCTTGCGGTTTCACATAACGAATCGCCGCCTCCCTTGTTCCCGAGTTCCTCTCGATAAGACGGCCGCTGGTTGACGTCGATTCCCCGACCTCGCATCTACCTTCCTACCTTCAAGAAGTCATCATGGTAGGTTAACCTCCGGCGAGCCAATCTCTTTGTCACACAAAGCTAATCATAGAACTCAATCAATAGTCATCTCCTTTCTCGATAAGTTCGTCTCGGTCGCCTGCCATTATACCAGCCTTCATCCATAGCTAACCTCCCTCTTCTTCCAGACGGCGGCGCCTGTGTCGCCATGGTCGGAAAGGACTGTGTCGCCATCGCATGCGATCTTCGCCTCGGTCTCCAGGCTCTGACTGTGTCCAACAATTTCCCCAAGATCTTCCAGTACGGCGACGTCTTCTTAGGTCTCACTGGCCTGGCTACCGATGTTAACACCGTGAGCGACCTCTTCCGCTACAAGGTCAACATGTATCGCCTGCGTGAGGAGCGCTCCATCGCCCCTCGAACTTTTGCCAACCTCGTTTCCTCATCTCTCTACGAGCGCCGTTTTGGACCTTACTTTGTGTCTCCTGTCGTTGCTGGTCTTGATCCTAAGACTGGCAAGCCTTTTATCTGTGGTTTCGATAGTATTGGCTGTATCGACTTTGCCAAGGACTTCATTGTCTCTGGCACCGCTTCGGAGCAGCTCTTTGGCATGTGCGAGGGTCTCTGGGAGCCTGATCTGGTATGCAAATAATGACAAAGCAGCTATACATCGCCCGAGTTCGGCTGTTGCTCCGCTCAAGAGCGAAATGCTGATAATAATACTTGTAGGAACCCGATGCCCTCTTTGAGACCATCTCTCAGTCGTTGCTCAACGCTGTTGACCGTGATGCCCTTTCGGGCTGGGGTGCCCACGTTTACATTATCGAGAAGGACAAGGTTACCAAGCGATTACTAAAGGGACGACAGGACTAGAGCGTCGGTGTAATGGACAAATCCACACGAATAGAGCGGGACAAGGAGTGGTTTATGTACCTTGTATGAATAGATACTCGGCCAATATCAACCGCTGGGTAATGAGAATGCACGTCTTCGTCTTGCTGTCAACTCTCTTCGTGCCACAAGCTTCGATACTCTATGAGTGAATGAATTCACGGTTTGATTTAACTCTATCAATTGGCCAGTATCGTCATTGCCCTCTTCTATGGGGATCAAATCCATTGCGAGACTTAATATTCAGCTCATTCTACTCGAGCAGGACCGCAAAGGCTTCGCAAGGTGCCAGTTTAGTCTCGCCACTGTTTAAATCATCAACTGCCCTTCCAGCAGAGCTGACCAGCACCTCTCGAGTCTTGCCAGGCAAAGACCACGCAACTGTATCAGTTGTGAAGTTACATACGATGAGAGCAGTCTCTCCGTTGCCGGCCCTTCGTGAGTATGCAAAGACCTTCTCGTTGGACTCGTCAACGAGTTGGAAGTTTCCATATACAAATATGTCTAGGAACTCCTTTCGTCTCTGCAGAACCTTGCGGTAGCAGCCATACACAGAGTTGGGGTCTGAAGTCTGGGATGCAGCGTTGATTTCCTTGTAGTTATCATTGACTCTCATCCAAGGCTTAGCATCAGCAGTAGTAAAGCCAGCGTTGGGGCTTGCGTCCCATTGCATGGGAGTTCTGGCATTGTCACGAGACTTCTTTTGATACTCGACCTTGTAGGAGTTCCGAGCCGCCTCATCATCGTTTCTGTGAAGACTATAAGGGATGTCAGTGAAATATGTTTAGCAGCTGGATTCTCTGACTTACTCCCAATGTCGAAGGCAGTCAAGGTCCTTGTATTCTTCCAAGTCCCAGTCCCTAGGGACATTGGTCATCCCAATCTCCTGTCCTTGGTAAATAAAAGGGGTGCCCGACTGGAAACCCAGGAAGATGGCGATAAGCTTCGCACTATCCACCCGATGCTCGGTGTCATCGTGAACAAAGCGGCTGACAGCCCGTGGTTGGTCGTGGTTCTCCAAGTAAAGAGCGTTCCAGCCTTCATTGTCGTACATGAACTTCTGCCACTTGAGGGTGGTAGATTTGAGCTCAGAAAGGTCCCAGGATCTAGGTGTGAACTTGCCGCCGACGCCATGATCAAGATCCATCCTGCGAGTTGATCAGCAACTGATATAAGTCTGATGTTGGAAACCTTGACTTACAACTCAAAGTGGAAAATCATGCTCAACTCTCCACGGTCACCACGAACAGCCTTAATCAACTCACGCTCATCGTGCACACAGGGCATCTCACCCACGCTGAAAGCATCGTACTCTTGCAGAATAGCACCAATCTCTTTGAGAAACTCGTGACATCGGGGACCACAAGCATAGAATTCATGACCGCGAAGTACAGTCTTGTCAGAGTCGGGGAATGCCTGGTCCTTACTAACAAAGTTGATAACATCCATGCGGAAACCATCGGTGCCTCTGTCGAGCCAGAAGCGCATGACATCGTGAACTTGTTTTCTGACTGCAGGATTCTCCCAGTTAAGATCTGGCTGTTGCTTGCAGAAGAGGCAGAGATAGTATTCATCTGTGGTCTCGTCGTACTCCCAGGCACTTCCTAGAAATTCGTCAGCTGGGGCACTCAGAATTAGAAGCCATAGTGCACCTACCTTGGAAATGGGCATCCCAGTTGTTGGGAGGGTGTCTGTTTCCTTCGGAATCGTACTTTGCAGGCTTCCAGATATACCAATCACGATAAGGGTTGTCCTTGGACTTTCGAGACTCCCTGAACCACTCATGCTGATCACTGGTATGATTCATGACCAAGTCGAGGACGAGCTTCATGCCTCGTTCATGGAGCTTGTCCTTGAGGACATCAACATCTGAGACATCACCATATGGAGGGTCGATTGTGTAATAGTCGCTGATATCATACCCCTGAGGTTTGTTAGTATACAATGCAATATTGCTGCTTTTTCGAAAGGGAAAAAAAGGTGGTAACACACCATATCAACCTGAGGGCTCTTGAAGATTGGTGAAAGCCATACGATATCGACCCCCAAGTCTTTGAGGTAATCAACTCGAGAGATAATGCCCTTCAGGTCTCCAACACCAGAGCCAGTGGAATCTTGATAAGATGCAGGGTACACTTGATACACCGAGCTCTCTTTCCACCAGGCTCGCAAACTTTGATCCGTGCTACCCATGATTACAGAGAGCTGGGTTGATGCTGGCTCTGGAGGGTGCTACGGTAATATCGTCTGCAGCCTGTTAGTTATATACACATCCACACGAACTCTCAGCACGTGAGACGGTCGCTCGTGATCAAACATCAACTCACGATGAACCAATTGGGCCACTTTTCTTCGGTAGTACCGTGCACTTTCACGGGTGTATCGACAAGGAAACAAAACCAGTGTCGTATCCGGGACAAAGATGATATGCAACAACGCAAGTTCAGTAATGAGGCTCGAAAACAGCTGGCGTCGAACTGCAGGGTGTTATGTGCTGTCACACAGCGTCTTGTTAAGCTCTACCGTGAGACAGTTTTTACAGTGAGTTGACCAGGAGAACGACATCGGTAGCTATTATTCTATTTAATAGGCTTCACGGAGTAATTCCCGGAGAGATTCTGCGGATCGATAGTGGTGACTGATCCGCCCCTCTCTCCAGGGTAAATTGTTCGCTGGTGAGTGAGATATTTACAACCAGCATGATACGAGATCTGCAACATCATGTTTTTGAGCAAGCTAGGATGTGTTCTTATCAGGTTGGTTTGCTTGTACGGTGTGATGTGGAGCTCCATGTGGGAGATGGTTTACTGTGACTTGGGAGGGGTTGGCAGATGAAGCTCAAAGGTATACTGTGATAGATCATGCTATTGTTCAGAGAGGAGCAGAATACCTGGATGTGGAAGATAGGACGGAAAGAGTACTCAATCCACACAACTGGATAGGTAGTGGCTAGGCCAATGAAAGAAAGAGAAATCCCCCAACATGATATTCAATTTCATTGTCGCCGACCAAGTTCCGTAGGCTACCTTAATAGTACTATGCGGAAAAACATGATATACTTTCATAGTCACACTAATCAGTCGTTGTAGTATTCCCACATAGGAAAACAAAAGCCAACTGTCGTCCAAACTCAAAGCGTTGAGTTAATGATACAGCATGTAGAGGCTGAAAGGGCTTTCCTTGGACCATAGCAACATCAGCATCCGTGTAACCCGTCTTAGCTGTATTCTATTGCAGCCATTGGATGCATCAGATGCAAAAACAAGGCCCGTCTACCATTGACCCGCAACGGGGAGGTGATGTATAGAACGTGCACATCCTCTTGGAAAACGACAAGACAACAATAGTCACCGTACTGTTGCTGACGAGTAAGCATGGTGATCAAAGAACCGACAATATGTGCCGAATGATTGAAGGATGAATGGATGCGCTATAACATGGACAAGACCTATCAACGTTACAGATCAGAGTACGCGAGTTTTCTCGTTTCACGATGTTGCTATAATTAAACTGGAGTTCTCTCATCAGACCAATCATCCATACAGAGATGATAGAATCTGTTTGAGCCATGGAGCATTTCAACTTATTTCCTACCATGGTCTACTTCACTTTAGTCGTCAGGGGTCGATTCGAGTAATGGTAAATTGCTCACTGCATTCAATTCCTAAGCCCAAAATATGATTTTACAACGCAAGTAGGTAGCTTTTAGAGTTACAGCAACCAACCCAACACCCAGGATAATGACAGTCTCTGTTACACAGAACTTAACGTTACAATCGACTCATGAAGGACCGACCATAGGATCGTGGCACGTGAAATCTGTCTGCAAGGGCAAATACCGATCCCAATAAAGAAACAACAGCTGATTTGCGGAACACGAAAACCGAGAAGACACTATCACAAACCCCGGTCCAATGCTCATTACTGAGGTCTACCAACAAAGGAACCGTCAAAAAGAAGCGGGAAAAAGCAAGCAGCGCCTTCAAGACCCTGAATGGGACCGGAGCATGGGTCTCGTTTGTTCTGTACATGGTTAGTATGTCATTTGGTAGCTACTGCAGCCGGGATATTGAGATTCTTTGCGCACACAAAGGATATGATTTGGGGATTGTTTAATTGTGGATTATTTTGCGAGACTGAGAAGGCCCATGATGTACAGGGTTTGTTTCTCTGCGAAGTCTCATGGCTCAAGATTGTCTTTGATTGTTGTGCAGCAGCATGTATTCAGCAAACTGGGATTTACTATAACTTACAAGACAGGTGGAGCCGAAGCAAGTTCAGTTCGTGAACCATCAGATTCAATATGTAGTGAGCGGCGAGCGTGTGGTACGTGCGATGCCATTTCCGTGTACCTATATGAGATTGGATGACGCTACTTGAGGGTACCTGAGATTAAGTATTTCCGTATCCGTACAGCTCTCAGTGTTGATTTGCTCTGGCTATCCGTTAGGGCGTATGCACATGGAATTAAACAATAGGCGCTTTGCATTTGCTACTGGACGGGTCATGGACAAACCGGAGACACAGCATCTGCCATTCGCCTGAAAAATATGCAACGGGAAGGCAAATTAATCAAAACGGCAAAACATCTTCCTGATAAAAGAGGATCGATTTAGGAAAAATAACGTTTATTTAGACCTTGTATGAACAACAATCTTGTCGATTGTGCAATTTGCTCCACCACAAACAGGGGACTCAGGTACACCTGAATCTTGAATCGGGCGTAGCCAGCGAGTACCTTACCTTCAGTTTACCTTGCCCTGACCTTGCTCATCACACTTTGAGGTCGTTAGCTTGCCTTCCAGAGGACAGGGACAGCGGTTTAGTGGACATTGCCCCTGGAACCCAAGACACCTCAGAGACGGAGGGCGTCACTCTACTCAACCATGGATAACGCTAAGAACCAGCCTCTCTCGTCCTTCATCCGGCCCAGACACAGCGGACAGACCCCGGTCAATCTCACTCTGCCCCGGGCGAACGAAGCGCCAAAGACCAAAGCAGCCAGCATTGCGGACAGTTAGTTCCCATCTTTGGCGACCACTGGGCTGCATGCTATACTGAATGTCCCCAAGGTCTCTTTGCCTGCCCTTGGACTACACCTACAGACACTAACAATAAGTTATACTAAGGTATTCATTCATCTATACCAAGTACCTACACTGTACTGCACAATAGTTTTACCTACAACCAACTCACTCGTTCACCGGGCACACTCTTTGTTACTTGCTTGGACCTGATTGCCCTCACCCTAAGCCCCTAAGTGTCCTCTCTTGTCTTCTCATCCTCTTGCCCGGACATCGCCAGGAACAGGGAGCTCCAACTCAGCCTCATACGCCTACCTCTTGTTTCCAGACATGACGTGAACTCACCTACCACACATTCGGTCTGCTCCGTACCTTTACCTTAACCTTACCTTGTCTTGCCTAATACCTTCCAAGGATATCTCATCTCATCTCAATCTTTAAAATAAAACGACATACCTCACCTTTCCGCGTATGTCTCTAGCTACAGAGGATCTACCAATCTCACCCACCTTAGTAGCTTTGGACGTCCGTTCAACCCCGCCGCTCACAGTCACGATTTGCAACCCCGAACCCGAACTCGTCTCTTACCCATTCTACTGACTGGGCACCTATGAACGAAACTGAACCGAACTGCACTGAATTGACGGGGTCTTGTCTGTTCTCTCGCTAACAAGTTATCCACCGTGTTTGCTTATGCTTAGCTGCTCCGTGCCTGTCGTCTGTCCTGTCCTCATCCGGACCCTGCCTTACCCATATTATTCCCTATGGCTTAGGGCCTTACCATCAACGCCATCCACGCCCCGGCGACAATGACCAGGAATGAGCCCTTCAACCGCATCGGCTCGATCACGAGCTCTAGCAGAAGCAAAATCAGAGGTAGCAGCAGCAGCAAAAGCAACGATAACAGTCCGAGCGCCGCAAGTGCCGAGAGTAGTACATACTTTGCGGTCACCGTGAGGTCCTCGTCTCCATCTCAATCGCAATCGCAATCGCCCTCACCCTCAACTGCCTCCACTACTCCCGCTCCCGCTTCCGCTTCTACTATCTCCACTCCCATTCCCACTCACTCGCCTACTCCCAATCCGGCACCTAACGTTGATACTCTAACACCAACTCCATCATCCTCCGCTGCTGCTCCCGTTGCGACAGCTTCCCCTGCTGCTGCTGCTGCTACCACCTCTAATACCTCGACATTCTCCTCGACGCCTCGCCAGCAACCAACCCCTACTCCTTCTGCTCGCCCAAGCGCTGATGGCAATGCTTCATTGAGCAACCTTTGGTGAGTTTATAGTTGTGATTATGATTCCGATAATATGCCGTCTCCCGTCTCCCGATCCCCTGCTGCCATCTCCCGCCCTGTCGCCGTTCATCTCGCCTCCCACCATCCAGCTAAACGCTTTCCCGCATCTCACAGGTCCTCCTTCAAGGATGAGCCTCTGCTCTCACCAACTGCTACAAACTTCGCCCCTCGCGCCGGCGCCAATGCCCATCCCAAAGACCGTCGCATGAGCGACCTCACCAATTATCGACGTGAGCTCGCCGTTCTCGAAACCTCCCGAGTCCCTCAGATCCACCAGATTCCGCCCACCGGCGGCGCGAGCCCTCAAATAGCCCCGTGGATGAACCAGCCTGGTTCCCCTACGACCTCTTCCAACATGCCGACCAGTTTCTTCAACGATTCGAGCGACAACCTCTCCCTCGCCTCCCAGCTTTCTCCGGGTCATCAGATCAGTAACCGCCAACCACATCAGCACCAGTATCCATCTCATCCTTCGCAACACGATGCCCCCGAGGCTTCATATTTCGATGGCAGACGCCCATCCGCTGCCAGTATCCTCACAGCGAGCAGTCAGGGTAGCAAAACTAGTATAACCAGAGGTGGTTTTCGCAAACTTCAGGGCTTCTTTGGCGAGGAATTCCCTGGGCGCGATAGCTCGGATGGCAGCCTACCCACTTCGCTCGCGGGCAAGGACCAGCGTGGACGCTCTTATAGTCACAGCCGCCCCACACATAGAGATCGCAACTATTCCAATGCCACGGATCACACTCGCGATGCATCACCATCATCTTCGAGACCGAGAACTCCAGTTCCTGCACCAGAGGTGGTGCCATTTCTATACCAGGACAACAGTGTACGTACAACACCCGCCTCTGTCTCATCATCCTGAACCCCCGGTGACCCCCCGGTCTGGTCTACGATCGACACATTCCTCTCCGAAATTATCCCTTGGTTTTGTTTTTAGTGCCCAATTCGATTCAGCTGTCATCTCACTCACATAGCATTCTCACCAGCGTGGCTGGCACACTGACATCCATCTTATAGGACATCGCTCGATATGGCGAAGCTCCCGTCCGAGACATCATGACCGGACCCGATCGAGAGCGATATGTGGGTGATGGTTCCTCACAAATTCCCCCAAAGACATCGTCATCCTCGAGGTCGGGTCATTCTATAGTTCACTTACCCGGGCATCACCGACACCATAAGAGTAATGATGATCCTCGGACACTGCGGCCGACAATGAGTAGGGACGATACAGCGATTGGCACGCAAATGTCGCGCGATCGTGGGGGTAGTAGCGCCGTGTACTCAACCAAATCTAGAGGCCAAAGCCCGACACCAAGTACCAGAAGTGCAGGAATGACTTGGAGCACGAAATCCTCCCAAGTTGATGGACAAACTTCACCCGGTCATCATCATGGCAAACGCGGAATCTTTGGACGACTTAGAAGGCATCACAAAGATAAAGATGACATTGCTAAACTTCGCGACCTACCTCAATCAACAAGATCTCTCCAGCCGAAGACCTCGAAGCCTGACTTGCACCGCCCCAGCGATGTATCGACGACTACATTACCGTTCTCGGGGACCTTTGTCCCTGGGGAGACGAGCGATGTGCCTGATATGCGACCAATTCCGGGTCAACGTGGCGCAACTTTCAACAATAAGTTCCCTTTCGCCAAGAAGGGACGAACTCATCGGCCTCAAGACTATGTTGACGATGCAATTGGACCGACAGATCGTAACGATCCTAACAACATATATCATCTCGATACCAACCTGAACGATATGGAGGGCATCCTAACGAAACCTCCTCCACTTACACCTATGGATACTAGCTTCGTTAACAACGTCGAGCCTGAGCGCCACGATTCCATTATCTCCACAGCGCCTAAAGGCCGTTGGGATGCTCCTGACAGTTGGGCAGTGCGACGCAACACCGAAGATAACTCATACCATGGCCCTGAACCAGATGAGATCGGTAGCCCCCCTCGCCCAGAAGAGAAAGCATCGCCATACTGCATTCGAATCTTTCGCTCAGATGGTACATTCTCTACACATTCGATGCCTCTGGACTCGAATGTCACGGATGTCATCTCACAAGTCATTAAGAAGACTTATGTGGTTGACGGTTTGGAGAACTATCATATTATCATGAAGAAGCATGATCTTATCAGGGTTTTGACACCACCTGAGCGACCCTTACTCATGCAGAAGCGGCTCCTGCAGCAAGTCGGTTATGAGGAAAAGGATAGAATCGAAGATCTTGGCCGCGAAGACAACAGTTACCTCTGCAGGTTCATGTTCTTGTCTGCGAGGGAGAGCGACTTTCATGCCAAAACAACTGACATGGGCCTGGCTCGGGCTCAGAAGCTTAATTACGTGGACCTCTCTGGTCGCAACCTCGTCACAATACCTATATCCCTATACTCAAAGGCCATGGAGATTATCTCTCTGAACCTCTCGCGTAACCTCTCGCTCGACGTCCCGCGAGACTTTATACAGTCTTGTAAACATCTTCGAGACATCAAGTTTAACAACAACGAAGCTAGGAAACTACCGCCCAGTCTGAGTCGAGCAAACAGATTGACCTTTCTGGATGTTGCAAACAACCGGCTGGAGCAGTTGGAGCATGCCGAGCTCAACTCTCTTACAGGGATGCTGAAGATGAACTTGGCCAACAACCGGCTTAAACACTTGCCTTCTTACTTTGGAGCATACCAGTCACTTCGCTCTCTCAATATTTCTTCTAACTTCCTCGACAAGTTCCCCACTTTCTTGTGCAATCTACCAAGTTTGGTTGACCTGGATCTGAGTTTCAACGCCATTGCAACGATTCCTCACGAGATTGGCGGCCTGAAGAACTTGGAGAAATTGTTGATAACTAACAATAGACTTACGCACGCTGTACCAGCGTCATTTGGACAACTTGTCAGCCTACGCGAACTCGACATTAAGTACAATGGCATCTCGAGCATCGACATTATTTCGGAGCTCCCGAAGCTTGAGATTCTTTCCGCTGATCACAACTGCGTCTCTGCCTTTGTTGGACAGTTTGAGTCCCTTCGCCAACTCAAACTGAACTCGAACCCCCTCAACAAATTCGAGATTGTTGCCCCCGTTCCTACACTCAAGATATTGAACCTATCGAACGCCCAGCTTGCCAGTATTGACTCATCATTCGTCAACATGGTCAACCTCGAGCACCTGATCCTGGATAAAAATTACTTCGTTTCGTTGCCCCAAGAAATCGGTACCTTGAGCAGACTCGAGCATTTCAGTATTGCGAACAATTCCGTTGGAGAGCTACCAGCTCAAATTGGTTGCCTGACTGAACTGAGAGTGCTCAATGTTCGAGGAAACAATATCTCCAAGCTGCCCATGGAGTTATGGTGGGCAAATCGACTGGAGACTTTCAACGCCTCGTCAAATGTTCTGGAGCACTTCCCCAAACCTGCTTCCAGAGCACCACGGATACCAGGAGAGGAATCACAACCGGCGCCCCCTCCTGTCAATGGAAGAGCTGCGCCACTCGCAACTCTGTCGGCCACAGCAAGCTCCGAAGAGTTGTCGGACGATCGAAGACCCAGTCAAAATTCGAGCACGCTTCTCAGTGTCGGACCGTCTCCTCTTAACGCTGGCGACCGCAAGAGCTCTGTCGTGTCTGTCTATGGGAAGGGTGGCCGTAAGACCTCAGTTGTGTCTAGATCAGCAACTCCGTCGGCCCCTACGCAAACAGTCAACACCAGAAAAGATTCCGGGATGTCATCAAGGCTTAATAACACATTTGCTGGATCCCTTCGTAATCTTCACTTGGCCGATAACCGTCTGGATGACGATGTTTTTGATCAGATCACACTGCTCGCGGAGCTCCGAGTGCTCAACTTATCTTACAACGACGAAATCAGTGACATGCCACAGAGATCGATCAAGAACTGGCCTCAACTAGTTGAGCTTTATTTATCCGGAAACGCTCTCACGACATTGCCTGCCGATGATCTAGAGGAGTCGAGTTTACTACAGGCACTTTACATCAACGGCAACAGGTTTACCAACTTGCCAGCCGATATCTCACGGGCCAAGAACCTTGCTGTGCTCGATTGTGGCAGTAACTACCTGAAATACAACATCTCCAACGTGCCCTATGATTGGAATTGGAATCTCAATCCGAACCTCAGATATCTGAATCTGTCTGGCAACAAGCGCCTGGAGATCAAGCAGACGAACACAGGTCCTCTTGGGCCTGGCGCCGTCAACCGTGAGGAGTATACAGACTTCAGCCGTTTGCTTAACTTGCGTATCCTGGGTCTGATGGATGTCACTCTCACTCAGCCCAGTATTCCCGATCAGAGTGAGGACAGACGTGTCCGTACATCTGGATCACTCGCTGGCCACCTGCCTTATGGTATGGCCGATACTCTTGGCAAGCACGAGCACTTGTCAACGGTTGATCTCGTGGTACCAAGGTTCAACTCGTCAGAAACAGAGATGCTCTTAGGCTTGTTTGATGGACAAGCTTTGTCCAGCGGTGGATCCAAGATCGCTAAATACTTGCATGAAAATTTTGGTCACATTTTCGCTGGCGAACTGAAGCAGTTGAAAACACGATCGAATGAAACACCGGTTGATGCACTACGACGCTCGTTCCTCCAGCTCAACAAGGATTTGGTCACTATTGCTATCCAGCAATCCGAGGAGCGGCCATTGAAGACGCATAGGGGCTCTGGCCAGCCTGTAATACTCACCAAGGAAGACCTTAACTCAGGGGGTGTGGCAACTGTGGTTTATCTTCAAAGTACGGAATTATATGTTGCAAACGTCGGTGATGCACAGGCGATGGTGATCCAAACAGATGGTACACATAAGATGCTGACCCGCAAGCATGATCCTGCCGAGCCCAATGAGAGATCGCGCATTCGCGAAGCTGGTGGATGGGTTTCTCGCAACGGCAGACTGAACGATCTACTCCAGGTTTCACGCGCCTTTGGATACGTTGACTTGATGCCGGCCGTACAAGCAGCACCCTATGTCAGCAACATGACTATCCGAGAGCAGGATGACATTATCCTGATTGCGACTGGCGAGCTCTGGGAGTACCTGTCACCTGGTCTAGTGACGGATATTGCGAGAGCCGAGAGACAAGATCTCATGCGAGCGGCCCAGAAGCTTCGTGACCTGGCTATCGCATACGGCGCCTCGGGCAAAATTATGGTCATGATGATTAGTGTTGCTGACCTAAAGCGACGGGTCGAGCGATCCAGACTCCATCGCGGTGCTAGTATGTCGCTTTATCCATCTGGTATCCCTGATGACGCCCAGGTTCTCAATACCAGGAGGGGCCGAAGGACGAAGGGCGATGTTCTCGATTCATCCCTAAACCGACTTGAGGCAGAGATCCCAGCACCTACGGGTAACGTGTCGATTGTCTTCACCGATATCAAGAACTCGACAACACTCTGGGAGATGTACCCTAGTGCCATGAGATCAGCTATCAAACTCCACAACGAGGTCATGCGTCGACAGCTGAGACGAATTGGTGGCTACGAAGTCAAGACTGAAGGTGACGCTTTTATGGTCTCCTTCCCAACAGCCACGTCCGCACTGTTATGGACGTTTGCCGTTCAGATGCAGCTCCTCGATGTGAACTGGCCATCAGAAGTCTTGAACTCAGTGTCTTGCCAGCCTGTTTATGACAAGGATAACAGTCTTATCTTCAAAGGACTGTCGGTGCGAATGGGCATTCACTTTGGAGACTGTGTGAGTGAGACGGATCCAGTTACACGACGCATGGATTATTTCGGACCCATGGTGAACAAGGCGGCTCGAATCTCTGCGGTCGCAGACGGTGGACAGATCACGGTCTCGACCGACTTCATCTCGGAGATACAGCGGTGCCTGGAGAATTATCAAGATACAGATCGCGGTAACGCTTCTGGCTCTGAGGATACCTTTGACGACGAGACATATGCTAGTGCCATTCGAAAGGATTTGAGATCCCTCACCTCTCAAGGCTTTGAGGTTAAGGAAATGGGCGAGAAGAAGTTGAAGGGTCTGGAAAACCCTGAGGTTGTGTACTCGCTCTACCCTCATGCATTGGCTGGACGTATCGAATTCCACCTGCAGCATGAGAGGAAGGAAGAAGGAGGAGGAGGAGGCGGCGGCGATAAGCCAGCCGTCCTTGCACCCGGAGCAGAGCTCAGTATCGACCCAGATGCAATTTGGACTCTTTGGAGAATTAGTTTGCGACTTGAGATGCTTTGCAGCTCGCTGGAAGGCAATGAAGCCCCAGGGCTACAACCACCGGAGACAGAACTGCTCGAGCGGATCAAGCAGCGTGGAGGAGAGGTCACAGATCGCTTCTTGTTGAACTTCTTGGAGCACCAAGTGAGCAGGATAGAGGTGAGTTTGAGCTGACCTACACATAAGTGGAGCCTTACTGACAACGTTAGACCTGTATATCGACACTGGCGATGCGTCACCTTGCTACTGGTGGTGGCCCTATTAAGGAACTAGAAGATCTCCAGGGCCCAATGACTGCGATCTTGGATATGTTCATGGCGCAGAGGAAGGAACTTGAGCGGTACAGGAGGAAATATGGTGCGCTGCCAAGCTCCTCCAGTAGCGAAGATGAAGACGATGACGACGACGACGACGATCCTGACACAGAAGAAGGGAGCGACACAGAGCAAGAGTTGTGATTGGGTTCACACGATTGGTTCATTGGAACATTACCCGAGCACTTATATATGCTATAATTACCCACGCGACACGAGGAACACGACAAGGGGAGGGTAAACAGAACGCTTTTTGCTTGCACGATTTAGGGATAGCAGGATGCGATGGGACTTTTGGATGGGAAACTTTGTCTTTTGATTAGGTGCTGGGTTTGCTCTCTATCCCAGACGCTTCGGTGCGAGGTGCTCACGATGTGTTTGCGGTCGGGTCGGGTCGGGTTGGGGTTGGGGTTGGAAAAGACATTGGGTTCGAAGACGGCAGGGCAGGGCAAGGCAAGGCAAGGCAAGGCAAGGCAAGGCAAGGCAGTACGTGGCGTTGGGCTATGGAGAAAGCAAGAAAATATTGATAACTGGCTGCTCTGTCTGCCAGGAGGCTCACATACTATACTTTGTTGCGCTCAGTGTAGATTGGGATGATGGGTTCTTGTCTTTTCAGGGGTTATGGATGGCATCGAGGAGTCCACGCAGGCATGTATGCATTGTTTATACGATATGATAGGGCATTACAAAATCAGATGATGTAGTATCACAAGGCACGGCCTCACACTCACACTGACTAATTATTGAACTGTGATGGAAGCAGACACTTATTTTGTCTCGTCTTGACGATCTAATTAACTGACACGCCTCAAGATTCGGATTCGGGGTGACATTCGAGGTCCAACCCACCAACCACCTGTATAGCCCCTAACCAGATTTCTGAGAGCAGCGACATTTGCGCCCAGTCCAAGTATTTTCTCACCACCGATTGTTCCCTTTTCAATCTCATCTCCTGCAGCAGGAGAGCCAGGCTTGAGAATCTCAACACCGTCGTAACCCGTGACAACTCCTATAACCTGCCAGCCACCCAACACCTTGCGTGGGTTCTCTGCGAGAGTATAGTCGAAGCGCTCCCAGAAACGCGGCCAATAAAGTTGGTCTCCCTTTTCGGTCTTGTCGAAGACTAGAACAGGTGCCGTAGAATCAGGGTGGGGGTGGATGGGGAAAGCGATGGGATAACCAGATGGATTTTGCCCAAACAAGGTCAGCCCCGTCATGCAACTCAAGACGTCGGCGTGGACGTCGATGACGGGAGTAGGGTCATCACGGGTGATGTAAGAGAGTTGCTGAAGTGCATCGCCGCCGGGATAGTTAAGTGAAGAGAATAGGAGCATGGCAGTGCTGCCTGCGAAGCTGACGAGGACTGACAGGGCGATAACGGCAGACAAGCCACGGTAGATGATGGATTTAGAGGCGCGAGAGGAGACAAAATTAGCGCCGAGAGCTGCAGCGGCAGTCAGAGGCGGCACAACATAGAAAATGAAACGAGCCTCTTTATGAGGCTGAGCAGAATAAATGGCCACAAAGAGCAAGTTGGGGATCAGCAATGCCTGCGTAGCCCGTGATGTGCCAGGCTGGAGTAGTGCATACACTGTCAACGCTGGCACGAAAGGGTTGAGCAATAGCTTGGGAAGCGCTGAGGTGAAATAGTAATGCCATGGAGAAATGCCCCATTCTGACGAAGATCCAAGAATAGCGTTGAAGTAGAAACCCCATAACTCAGGCCATAGGGGCTTCTGCCAGAAATACGAGTCAATAGGTACTGAGATAAGCAGTGAAGAGATGAATGAGCCGAGGAAAGTGAGAACCAAGGGGCGCAGACCGATACGACGCGTGAAAAGGAGGTAGAGTCCTGTAGTGCTGAGAAGAACAGCGACTTCAGAGCGGAAGATGGCTGCTGCGATAACCAAGAGGGCGATGGCTTGTTTCTGACGAGCAGCAGAGAGATGAGGTGACGATTGGGGAAGTAGGAATGCTGAAGCAAGGGTAGCTAGTCACAGTGAGTTGATGCTTTTAGAATCGATGGTGAATGAGATGACCTACTGAGACAGAATGCATACATGTTTGGCAACGTCCGGGAAACATAGTAGTTGATATGGAACTGACTCGCCATAAACACCACCCACCAAGCTGAAACACCTGATCCATAAGCTCTCCTGAGAGAGGACCTGAACGTCAAAAGCGCAGCAACATTAGCCGCGCCAAGGATTCCTCGAACTACAAGCTGTGCATGCTGAAAGCCAACAAGAGCGACGATGGGCTGCCCTAATCCTGCGAGGAGCACAGCACCGAGAAAAGTACGGGGTACGGCGCCGGGAAAGGTGAAGTGGTCGTAAGTATGAGAGAGGCGTTCATATATGTCCTGAGTGGGTGTTCCGTAGATCAGGATGTCGTGGGCTGCTTGTATATTGAAAGACTCCTCCACTTTTGTATAGGGGGACACAAGTAGATGAACGAGTGGGATGGTGATGAGAAGACACGTTAGGAAGACATCTGGGAATATTTAGTACACCTTGATTTCACAGTGCAAAGAGAAAACGATGTACCTGAAGTCTTCATCTTGGCTGATATAGAGCTCTCGGGACGAGAGCTACTGTAGGTACCTTCGAGCTTGGTCGTATCTCGAAATGCTTGGTTTTCAAGCAAAAGGCTGAAAGATCTGAAAGGTGAGAGAAGCCACCAGATCAACAAAATCTCTCCATGCCAAACCAACCGCTATAAATGAATGGGAATATAATTCATTACAAGTCTATTGTTCAACATGAGCGAATGAATGAATTACCCATGAGCTTGTTACCTCTTTAGGGGTCCTCGGATCGGTCTAACAAATCACCCGCCACAGAACACTCGTCACCCCTTCCCCAGCTCTTGCATCGACCGTTCAAGCCACCATTGCAAAAGGTACGTACCTCGAAACCAGTCAAGGTACCAGCGAGTGCAAGGCAAGTCCTTGAGATGGGATAGTTACACATCATCGCTGACTACCTTAGCTACAACCAAGACCACCAATTCTCAATCCTTTTTGACCTTCAGCGCCGTCGCCCAAAATGTGGTTCTTTGGTAGCTTCCTCTACGGTAACAATCCCCCTATCCTCCTTATCCAGAGCGCAGCAGCTAATATAAATTTCAGTTTGTATTCTACTCATCAACGCCGTCGCTGTCCTCTCCGAAGATCGTTTTCTCGCGCGCAGTACGAAATTCTCCCTCCCTGCTCGAGTCTATATAGCCCCGCGAATTTCATATCTAACCTGATCTCCCAGTCAATCTCTCTCCCGCTTCTTACGACCCTGCGTTCGGCGCTGGCCCCGATGCCAGCGTCAAAGCCAAGATCATCAATCTCATCGCGAGTGTCCGAACCATCATGAGGAGTACGTTCAACGCCCAAACCCACGCCGCGCAAACATAACGAGCTACTACTGCGCCTTCTGCAATACGAGGAACTAACGTAGCAATAGTGCCACTGATCTTTGTCAATTCCGTTATCATCCTTTATGAGCTCATACTTGGTTGATTAGCGGGGTGCCACAATACAAGGCGCAGCTGTAAAAAGAGGACACGGTAGACTTTTCTAGGCATCAATGGAGTCCGGCTAATCTTGGAACTGGAGTTTTTGTTGTTGATATGAATCACGGGAGACCATGCGTGGGAGTACTACTCTTTGATATGGATACGATATGGAACGAGACAGGACGAGATGCGGAACCCTCTTCATGATATAGTAGTGAAGGTAATCTTATTGCATACGTGTAATGCTGAACATACACATAATGTTTCAGACGTTATCTCCTCAGTTCGCTCATAGGCGTCTTGTCTTGTTCAAAATATACCAAAATAGCTAAATGCACAAAGGCCTGTCTAAGCTTACGAGGGCTTTCGACCAGGACCTCCAGACACCTATGTATAATACAACTGCCACGCTATGGGTGGTCTTATTCGGCTCTCGGTCAACATTTATCGATCAAACAAGCCCATTCGAGCAGTAATAACCAAGTTTGCCTTCTGCTCCATGCACCCGTGTTCCATCTTCTACTTGGTACCTTCTGTAATTAGGCCGTCTTGCCTTCACATAATGCAGGCTACGGCAAACCTGTTTCTCCTGAGGCTCAGGACAACAAAATGCCAGAGACCCAAATGCTGAATGCTTCTGAGGACCCCCGTCGCCTTATTATGCTCTTGTCTCATGCAGTGAGTGCTTCATTCAAAGCGCAATGGGTATCCGTATCCTGCCATCCACTAACACCCCCGGAACACAACGATGTAATGCATTCCGAGTTCCCCCTTCCCGTATGTAGACGTGATAGGGTACGCGCATGTTGGAATTACGAAAGCAAATTCGTGCTCTTTTTACGTCCCAAGCTGAAGCTGAGGCGATCCTTGAGTTTGTCGTGTTTATCGCTTGCATCGCCGTTAGGAGTATCAGGCGTTTGCCCAGCCGACTTGTCTTTGTGGAAAAGCGAGAAACTTCTCCTTGACATCGACTTGCTGCCGCGTTTGGTTCGGTCGAGAATTCCATTGCTCTGAGGTGATCCGTTTTCTTTCTTTCTTGCTTCCTCTTCTTGTGCTGCAGACTTCTTGCTGGCTTCCAACACTTTGGCTAGTTCATCGTTCTCATTTCGTCGTGCCTGTATCGCTTTGTAATTATCTTCTCTTCGTTTCTTTTCGTCAACCTTGGCCTGTTTCTCTCGCTCCTTTTCCGCAAGTTTCTCGGCCTTCTCAGCAGCTTCGCGCTCCTTCTTCTCTCGTTTCTTGTCCTCTTTCGATTTGGCTTCTTCTTTCTGCGTAGTGACACGAGCCAGGCCATTTGTTGTAGCTGCAGCTGCAGCGGCTGCTGGGGGCGTAGGATCCGGTTGGGGAGCCGAAGGCATGGCTGGTGCCGTACTGGCATGGGCAAGATTTGCCATTGACTCGTGATGCGTCAGGGGCGACATGGGCTGCGTTGCTTGCCGTCTAAGAGGCGCCGTATCTGATTTGTCCCCGTTCTCCTGAGCCAGATTCGCTGCTTCGCTAGCGAGTTTTACCTCCTCCATGCCCTCCTTCTCTTGCTCCTCTCGCACTTTCTCAAATGTCGTTTCCTGGTAAAACAAAACGTACGCGGTTGCCATCCCTGGCTTGTCACCGAAGAAGTTGCGGACAAAATTCTTGTCCACCGGTTCAACCATCTCGTCGTCAAACAGGATCCATCCCCTGCCCGGAACCTTGATGATAGACACGTAGTGACCATGGTAGGCATTACCACCAATGTGTACCACTACCGCATACAGCTCATACAGTCGATCCGGGTCTTCGGCATTATCTGTCGTGTTGAACATGCGCAGGTGGTAGGGATACACGACCCTGTGAAAGAGCTTTTGCAAACGACTGTAATCCTCGGTATACTTGAACCGCTTTAAGTGGAGCGTCAAGATCTTGGGTAACCGCTTCACCTTCATTCGCTTCTCGGCCTCCTGAAGGCCACCACAATGGTCGCAGTGGAACTTGTTTCTCTCACAGAGCATCTCCTCGGCTGAAAACTTCCTTAAGCAAGATGTCACTGATGAATGCTCTTCCAAGTCAATGGACAAATCAAGAAATGTCTCATCGCGCTGAGAAGCAGTCTCGCAAGTCAAGCACTTGGTTTCTGATGTGAGAACGCCTTCAAAAATGTCATGGACCCATCCTGTTGCCGGGGAACTTGACCCAGCTACGTGATTTACCATGGCAGATCCAAGAGCGTGTCCCACTGAAGTTGCCAGCCCATCAATGCCGTCAGCTGGCGCCTGCAACTGCATCTGGCGAGCTGTGCTCTCAACGCTGTTGATGACATCATTCAAAACCAAACCGTAGAACTCATGAGCGTCTTGGTGCATTGAGTTTCGAAACATTTCATTGTCGCGCTTGAATATCTCGAGGAATCGTTGGGGACTGAGGACTCCTGTGTGGGTGTTGCTTTCCAACAATGCCAGAAAAATGTCCTTAAGTCCAGTAAATGTGCATTCATTCATGCCATAAGAAGTGGCATTCTCTCGTGCCAGTTCCAGGATAGGCCCTTTGATCATGGCTTGTTTCTTCTTGTATTCGGGTGTATCAGGTTTGTCTTCAGGTCGAACGCCAACCTGTCCAGGCAACTGTTGATTCATGGCCTGTCGTTGCTTGATCACTTGGGATGTACTAAGGCCCTTTTGTTTTGGCAAGGTCTCGACAGGGTCAGTGGGCGGAGGTCTGATGGTGATGGGAACCTTTGGTCGGCTGCCGTTTGTCTCCGAGGGCATAATCGGGGGATAATTGACAACATTATTCCTGAAAGATTCGGAATAAAACAGAGCCTGAACGATCGAGTTGCAGTAGCTACACAAAAAGTCAGCATCGTAATTTGGCTGTGTGATGTCTCACCCAATTCGTACCATGTGTTCCCAAACTGTTTTCATGTTAGCCTAGTTCTTGCGATGGTAAGGTATTGACGATGATGAAAAATAACAATAATTCGGGCGGGAATAGGTAGGGCTCGACGTACATTCTCGAGGCCGAAAAAGCGATCGGCGCCGTCGTCTCGAAGGGGAGCGGCATTCTGGAGCATCTTCTCGAGCGGCGTGAGGTCGAGCACGGGCTCTTCTTTCTTCTTCGCGACAACATCTTGCTTGTTGGGTGTAGTGGTCGTGGCCTATGAACCGAAAGCGAGCGGGATTTTGTCAGTCATGAGAAGTAATCTTGGCGCAACTTAGAGTGAGCGAGAGGAGATGGGATTGGGACAGTCCAGGGCAGAAATGGAACAAGGAGCGAGTCCAAGACATACAGTGCCAGAACCCTTTATTTTGTTGAAAAAGCCGGCCATGGCGATGTCGTGATCTCTCCAGTTGGAGCAAGTAATTCAGTCGGAAAGCCGTGGATAGGTGAGCCGATCGAGGAACGTTATCAAGGCCGACCCGCACGCAACAGCTGCGCAGCAGCAGCACTCAGCGAAGACGATCGCAATTGAGACAAGTGACCATTCGCGAATGGCTTCGTATCTTCTGAAATGGCCAAAGAGTCGCGCAAGACGGGAAAAGCTGAGAAATCGCAAGCCAAGTCGGTTTTAGAGTTGCCGAGTTGTGAGCGAGGATGGATTATGGCGCTGGTGTTGGCTGCTGGGCGTCCTGGGGAAAGCGAGGCGCGGGTGTGTGGCGTGGATGCGATAGCGCCGGAGGGAACTACTTGCGGTGATCTAAAAGCCGAACCGGAGACAAGAGACAATCGATGGTCTTGGCTAGAGAGAATCCGACATAGGTCGTTACCAAGGGAATTTGAAGGCACCTTGAGATAGATGCAAAAGAGAGGTGTTAAGTTGCTAAAACGGCAAGAGAGAAAAGGCAGGCAAGACAGCTACCAACTGCAGAAGGACTTGGGTAGAACCACAGGCGCAGTCGAGGCAGGTAGGGATGAAGGTGGCGGGAGGATGCCCTAGTACAGTAGAGGTCGAGTCCGGGGGAAGTAATAGTGGAGGAGGAGGAGGAGGAGTGACCTGGACCCAGGTCAGGTTCAAGAAGGAGAAGGATGGATCAGTGGCCTCGTGGTTGGATGGTGCCGTGCCCCAACATGGTAGGTGCTGTAAGCTTGTGAGGTCCTTGTTATCGATGTTTTGGCTATGTGTCTCTCTGCAGGATTTCACTTTCAACGGGCCTGGATCATGTATAACATGGACAGTACGTAACGGTCTCCTGGGCAAAACAAGTCATGATGAGATTAGAGCCCAAACAAGCCGACTATCGGTACGTACAGAACCCGTTGACAAAGCCCATCCGGATATTTCCTCTTTGGCGCACAATTATTCGACAATGCTAACGATAATGGTTGGATTGGGTGATCGATACCTCCAGCAACGTTCTACAGCCGGAAGTGCTGCCGCCTCGACTCTCCTCTCCTGCATCGAGCTACGAAAAGGGCCCAGCTCGCGCAAACCCCAGTTTGCCTAGACCAACGGAGCCCCCAAATGGCCCCCTCCAACTCACTAGGCCGCCATGATGGTGCCTCGCGAGTGGGTCCCCCAGAAACTACCATCCCAGAATCAGAGCTAGAAACGGAGCGCGTTAACTCGATTCCTGTGTTCCTGTTAGATCATGAGGTAGAGATAGACACCGTTCTCGGGTTTTCAGGAGCTGCTTGTCCGAAGAGCTGGTAGCTTACCGCTGCCAAGAGTCTTTGATCACATAAGATGACATCTACACCGTTGCTCCCCAGAGTTGCTAAACGACATCATTGTTGAGGAGGGTCCTGCTTGGGTTTACGTTTACTGGGGTCCAAGGCCTGGCTGAAGATTAAACGTGGTGTGGACGGTTGATAGACGCCAGACAGTGGCCCCATGTCTGGGATCCATTGGCTGTTACGGTAGAGCCAAACGCTACCAGGGCTAAAAAGTAACGACATGGATATGGAGTTTGGAACAAGCTTCGGATTGACCACTGCGAGACATCGAAACGAATATGAGTGAGAATTGGATGATGAGTCCAAGATATGAAGAGTACCAAGATGGGCCCTTCAAAGTACAAACGGGAATTGTTTCGATGGAATTGAGTTGATGGCCCCAAGCTCAGGGTCTGTCTGACCCTTTGGTTTGGCTGGAGGTAGAATTCGTGAGACAGGTAAGGTTCCATCGGAGGAGCATCGACCATGTCTCCTGCATCCCCTCCCGTCCAATCTTTCAAATCGTTAACGGCAAGACCGATGCAAATGATAGTTACCTGCTTCTAAATCAGCAAATAAACTTCTTCCACGATAACTACAGAAAGCGAAAATTCTTCATCCTCTTCCCATCTGACATCGATAGTCAACATCTAAACAGCCCACATCGGCATTGATCACCGAAAACTCCCTCGCACATGTTCCCGGTACGTTCTGCACTAACATTTTACCCCAACGGTTTTTGTGATTCGAGAACACTGTTACAATTAGAGGGAATATGATAGATAGTACAGGTACGAAAACTGTGTTAACTGCCTTTAGCCGCAACCGACGACCAATTCTAAACTAGCGGGTGTATTTGAGTCTCAACATGACATTGTCAATCTAAGCACCAACTTACACTGCTGCTGTAGATGCGGTAAATAATGAACAGCGCCACAACTCTTCGGCTACAAAGCCCCCGGCCAGGATGACCTGCAAACCCTGCTACCGTGAGAGATCGTTGCCCTTTCACTAGTATCACTTTTAGCCGACCCGAGGACAACGACTCAGTTTCTGACGGGAGGCTGAAAATGGTCGAGCTTTCAGCACTCTGCCACAACCGGACGCCGAGGGAGACCAGCCACCGCCAAGTCGGATACATTTCTTGGGCTCCGTGATGCTGACTGAAGCAACTTTCGCCTCACTGGAATACCTTTGGCCAACCTTTCCAGGCTGGACACCATTCGATATGTCTGTCTTGTTCCTGAGGTGGGCTGGACTAGTTAGACTGCGATCCACCCTCCAAAATGTCATGTCTAGGTAGTCTTGGATTGCTGGCACAGCATTTCTGTTTGGTGGAAATGTTTGTCTTTTCTGCAAAGGTGTCTCCTCATGCAAAGCAACGCGCTCTTTATTTAAAGCATTGATCACAGGCGCTCCCTTCTGTCATCCTCCTTGGGCAGAGCAAAAAGTGATGCAAGACCAGATTTACACCCTGGTCAAACCCTTGCTCCTTGGCATTGTTAAATGTCAACGAATATGAAAGCTGACTGACAAATGATTAGTTCTCTGGCTACTCTGGATTTCATCACTTTTGGTCATCTATGAGAAGAATCTCAGCATTGAACATGGGTGCTACATACAGCTTCATCGTGTTATTGATCAGGTCGCCGCTACCATGAGTATTTCTATAATTCATCAACATTGATGCTCACCAACCGAAGACAACCCCTCATTCGAAGCGTTTATGTAGTTAGACTCAGATTGTGGGGTTGCCATGCGGCACATCCCCCGTACCCACCCTGCAACTGAACTGTCACCAATCACTAGATCACTCGTTCACAACCGCGGTGACGGTATCCTATCAGTTTGGTCTGCCTCCCATCCTGATCGCCGTCAGTCGGCCCGTTACTGTTGACATGCCTTCTTATGCTTTGAATAGGCACGGATGCTGGAAATAGCAAGACAGCAAATGGTCTCCTGACTGCATCCACCCCATCCAAGTGGCACGACAGCCTGTGTTGGTTAGGAAATTAGGTGCGGACCTATAGTCCTCATTTATCTGCGAATATCCGGGCTACTCACGTGCGCCGGTCCCGGAAATGTTGCTGACTGCTGTCTGGCTGTCTTGGATATTCGCTCATCTCACCGCTGTTGGTTGGCTGACTGATAACCAGAACAATCCCTCGGCATACCATCTTTTCCGACTTCCGAGGAATTTCGTTCAAGTGGATATTCTTCTCCAGTATACGTTAATGGTTAAAGCCAGTGTTGCCAGTTCATCCTGACTGTGTTGGTTCCTCGATGCTGATCCAACGTTAGGTTGCGGAGAGGGAATATATAATATCGGCGAACCAATGCTACGCCTATGGCTAGTGATGATGCCGCCCAAACTGCACCTTCACCAAAGGGAGCAGTGTTCTGGAACAAGCGCCAGTTCCACTAGCTCTCTGTAGTTTCGTAACCGGCCGCGCATCGCATTGCATCAACGCACACAAACCGCGCCGCTCCCCGCGGTGCCCACCCATCTCGATCATGTACCATGACGGCATTAGACGTGCCCGTTTGGGAAAAGTCTAGATTCGCTCCACCACAGTAATACCTACGTACACTCTCGTAGACATAGCCGCTCACTGCAGCTCCGATATTGAACACAACCAATGTCAAATAGAGTTGTCAAGCGCTGGACTTGATATGGGTGTTGACATCATGATATTGGCGTTGACATCCATTCTGCTAAAGTGCCCTATTGCCTCAGTGCCATATTAGACCCTCAACCGGAGACGTAATGCCGGTATATACACCAGACCCTCTTTTGTCAGCTCGCTCAGGTTTCCATGTTAATTATCAACCAAAAATGTGAGCGGCACAGCCGGCTTTCGTTATAGCATACAGCTCACATAGCAAAGGACCAGGTACAGAATTATTGGCCGTAACATAGAAGAACCCGAGTTCACGTCCCTTGGCGATTATCAATTTGCCCGGCTGCAAGCTTCAATGTATCCTCCAGATCGCCCATGCAAGAAACTACTAGCGGGATGACATACAAATCCCTCTCACGGATCGAATCGAACCAAGCGTGGCATGCTTCCGTCTACAACATAGCTGCTCGAGACCCAAGTCGTATTCAGACAAGGATGGCTGCTGATAAGCTGTGTACTCCCAGGGTCCAGGCAGGCCGTTCCACATAGATGCGATTATCCCGACGATAAATATCACTCACCCTGTTGCTTGGAATCCAGCACTCTCATAGAAATGGTTTGTTTATTGGCCTATCAACACTGTCTCTTGCTTCTAATCCACCTGAACGAACAGAAAACGAAGTCACACCAAAAAGTCCTTGACAACTATGGCACAAGCGACTCATGCATTTTTACAAGGGGAGCCGATATAGCCTACTCCTGCTTCTGGGCTGGAGGTGGAGCGCCGCCAGTGGTTGGAAGACCCATAAAGATCTTGAAGTAGTCCTTCACACGTTGTTAGTAGACAATTCCGAAGGTATATCTAGTCGCCATCGAGTTTGCGCAGGAATACTTACATAGATCATCCACTGAAGTCCGGTAAGAGTACCGATCATGACAATTCGCACGGGGAGACCATTCCATAGGCCACCGAAACCAATGTCCTTGTATATTCTGCTCATGGCGCCGCCGAAAGCCTCACCAGGTTGACGGTTGGAATTCAACTTGCTGACCATAACATCGGCGGGGTGGGAGACGATGGCGCACAAGATACCGGCCAGGTAACCACCAGTAAAAGAGACACCAGTCTGGGCAGCCTTGCTATAGTCACTCTTTTGACCGGGCAGGCGATCATAGATCATCTCAACAATGGTTTCAAACGAGGCAAACTTCATCATTGTATAGGGGATTTGGCGACCCCATAGCGGATATAAGCCTTTGTATAGGCCAGCGACGCCTTCCTTGCCTGTGATGGCGCTGATGCCTTGGACTGTTCCGGTGTAGGGGTTAGGGATCGAGCCTTGCATACGGACCTTGACGGCTTCGAAGGGGCAGAGGGCAAGATCAGCGAGAAATTCAGCAGAGGCAGAGGCTGCAAGATATAGACCGGTCTTGTACTTTTGTGCAGCCTCAGGACCAGCCATATCAGAGTACGTCTTCTTGAAGTATTCGTACCAACCATACTTGAAGGCGCCTTGGGCAGAGTAGCCAAAGAGGGTTGGACTCCAACCCGTGAAGATACCACGAACGCCTTCAGCACGGTAGATCTTGCCCCAGGCCTGAAAGTTACTGGTGTAGAGTTTTGAGTCAACTTGTCGACGGGTTTTTACGAGATCCAAGGGAGTTACGGCAGCGTGAGTGAGACCCTGGTTCTGATGAGTACAGTTTCTTTATGCTAGAAATTGGTAGACGGGGAAATATTCCTCGGCTGAACACTAAAATGGGCACTTACACAGGCCATCAGACCACCAAAGGTGCAAGCGGCATAATACTTTCCAGAGTATAGCTCGATCTTTCCAGCCTTGGCTTGAGCTTTTGCGCTCGCCTTTTCAAATTCGGCTGTCGCCTCGGCGCTCAGCTCCTTGGCTTTGCCCTTCACATCTTGTACGACGGAGGAGTAAGCGGGAAAGAGCTCAAGGTGAGCCTCATAAGGAGTACGGGGCTTTGCTGAGAGAGGGCTGTAGACCGTTCCCTGGAGGACGTCCTTGGATGGGTGCAACGGGGACATTATAGCAGTCCGATGCAGGCGATGATGTTCTACCAGTCCAGTGTGTTAGTGATACTCATGTAAGTCAAGGGTGGAGCTCATCAGTTGATACTCTAAGCACGAGTACCACGTAGAATGATTGCAGTGATAAATAAGGAGGAGACAAAGAAAAGGCGCAAATATAGGTGCACGAAATATGGTCTGCCCGATTGAGCCGGCTGTTGATACAATGCGACTCGGGGAAAACGGTTGCTGCTATTAAACGTACCTGATATGACCTTTCAGCTCCAGCGAGAGAGCTTAACCCACAAACTAACACGCCGTAATAGGTATCGTGAGAAAATATTGCAGGATGATATGAAAGAAAGAAATCAGGAAACGTCCAAGGAAGGTTGGTGTAGTACCTTATCTTGCGGAGTTAAGGTGGTATGCGACTCCCAATTCCGTGAATAACGGGAAGGATGACGCTCGTAGCAGGTACATTTGAGCGGGTGGTGACATCACGCTTATCACACCTACCTTCCATCTTAGATGCGCTTTCTCATATCGTATTGGACACTGGTTTATCTCACCAATGAAGTGCATTCATTCTCTGAATACTGGTTCCCACCATAGCTCAACCATTTGCTTCGCCTTTGATACACATACATTCCACTTAGACGGATCTCTGTTGAACGCTAATTAAGAACTCTAGCGGGAAGATCCACGGCCTGCAGATGGGGCTTGTTCCCGGAGCTGTGGGGATAGCTAGAGCTCTGTTGCTATCAAACCCCGATGTATGATTTATTTCGACACTAGCTAGAAAACATATGCGATGATAGAATAAATGATGCAGAATCCCGCTCATATCCGTCACATTCTTGTCATCTCGAATCAAGCATGTTTAATTATTGAGCTGACAACAAGCTACCTATGCCCCTATTAGATTACCTAGTTGCAGTAACACCAGTCATAGAGTCTCTTGGCTGACGGAGAAGTGTTTGTCGATTCACCATCGAGATGACCCATGTCATGATGCCAACAAAAAAGCTCCCATTTTTTCCTCTCTGCCCCACCATATTAGAGCATTTTGCGTGACCCCAATAGGTGACTGGCCGTACAGAATCCTGCCCCGCGATCGCTTCAACTCCCCAACCTTTCAACTTGAACCAACTTGTGCGCCAATCACTGCCAAACTCTTTTCTTGCACTACTTATAATAGCTATTGCATATACAATGGCTACTGCTACTGCTACCACCACAACATCGGGTGCGACACAGCCCCTGGTCACAAAGTGGTCTTCTCGATATCGTGGGGTATGTGCTTCTCATGACACCACTTTGCGCTCCGGGCTATAGGCATATGGCTTCTATAGAGAATACTATTCCTTCGAGTTGTGGCTAATGCATCACAGGCCACTGTCGAAGACCTCGACCCCCCAGCCGCACTCTCACTCAACCCCTCCGATGCCATCTCCCTCGCCCTCATGTCCGCCTTTGAGCGCGACTACACGCACCTTACCATCGTCGATGCCGACACCCGCGCGTTGCTAGGCTACATATCCATTCCTCACCTCCAGTCCCTTCTCGACTCAGGCAAGGTCAAGCCTGAAGATCAGCTCTCAGCCGCCATGACACGCTTCCAGCGCAAGGGCCGTACCTACCAGGTCATCACCATGGAGACGACCCTCGAGGAGCTTGAGAACTTCTTCCGTGGCGGCGTACCTGATGGGCCATGGAAGCAGGAGTTCGCCGTTATCACGGATGAGAAGAGGAGGTTTGTCTTGGGCGTCGCGACAGTACAGGACCTCGAGGAATTTGTAAAGCGAAGACCCGAGTAAAGTGGTATTTTTAGCATGTGATATGCCAGAGCTGGGACCTAAATCCCGAGGAACAAAGGCCGCGGGAATGTAGCGCAGGGAACAGAAGAAAACAAGAATCAAGCATCATGGATGGGCGTTGGGGGAATAATGGCCTGAGCATCATGGAGACTACGGCAGGCTCATAACAGCCAGCCAGGCAGGAAAGCTGCTTTCAACATAGCGCGATATGTGGGATAATACACATTGGTGAACACAAATGTTGTGTGGTGCAATTGGTGCATAGAAATTCAGTTTAGGATGACTTCATTTCGGTCTGTCAAATTATATTTGTCTCATGAGCAACTGTTGCATGAGTCACTGAGCGATAATCAAGCATTGTTACCGTCAGTCGTCTATACTAGGTCAAGTAATGTTCTGGGGCAATCCCATCTCTAAGCCTGGTAGTCGTAGATGAGCTTGGCGGTGACCTTCTTGTCACCCTTGGTCACCAAGATGTGCCTCACATATCTCCTTTCGCCGTTGATCTCCTCGAAGCCCCAGATCTGATTAGCGACCCAGCCGTTGTCGACGCTTTCGGCGATGCTCTGGATGAACTTGCCATCGCCCTCGACAAGCCAGCCAGTCTTGAGGAAGTCCTCCTCAATCTCATCGAGAGTGACGAACCTGGATCGACCCCTGACGGTGCCGAAGAGCCAGTCCGTGTGCTCACGGTTGTTGAAATCAAGGCAGCGGTTCTCGTGAGTGCTCGTCAGGCCAGAGGCAGACTGGGTGATGTCGATGTGGGTGAAAACGTCGGTGGATGTGTTGGGGGGCTTGGGAGGGGCGTTGTACTGGTTGATGTCGACGGTGATGGTAGCCAAGCCAATTGCCTTACGAGTGAGGTATCCGATGCCCTGTAAGCTGAGGATAGGCTCAGAGCTATCGGAAAGAGTCTTGTTCTATTGCGAACCACTGTCAGTGACAAGATACAGGGGTGCATTATGTTGAAGCGGGGGAGAGTGTAGCATACGAGAACCCATTTACCACTGAGGTCAGAGGTGGTCTTTTCGGCGGGAGCAGCCATTGTTGCGTTGAGGTTGATAGGAATATCAAGATGTGGGTATTCGTGTAGATGTTGTTTGAGGAGAAAGAAAAAAACCACGGTTTAGTAGGTTGTTGGTGGTATTGACAATAAGGCTGTGTTGCTGGCAGACGGTGGATCGAAATGACGCTATCAAGGATTCAAAGCGCAGCTGTATGGTCCTTCCTCAGAGTATAGACACGCCACGAATAACCTGTACTACAGTTGAGACACGTAACAATTTCACTGAGTGGGAAGTAGGTAAGTCCAATGTCGAACCAGACAACTGGCCTCTCCTGGAGAGCCTTATATACCTATCTTTTGTTTGCCAACAACGAGGCCGAGTGAATGCGTTTGTTTATCACAAGCAACGCCGAGAGAGGCGCATAATCGCCGAGGTCAAAAATATGGCTAATTACAGAGCCACGTTTCATTGAATTCTGTAAGGAAAACCACGGCCCAGTTGAGCTCTGTTTCCAAGCATTTACCAAAATAGTAGGTGTTCAATCTTCACAAGACAGATAGTAGGGGTGCGTCTATGAATTGTAGTCTATAGTGCGGGGTTGAAAGCTACGTTAAAAGAGGCTGAGCGACGATGGCACAAGACAAAAGACGAGACAGGAATCCCATTCGAAACTTGAGAGGACGGGAATAATTCGAATAAGGAAGTTGAGCCGCGAATGGGCATGCAGTAAAATAGCTTCGGATTTGCCAAGAAGCGGACTTCTCTTTGGTCCCGGTGGCTCGAAAGGCAAACAGAAATCCCCTTCATTTTACCATAACACATGCTTTACTTGCATCATATCATGACAACTTAAGGTATAGTCACCTGTAGTAACAAACGCAACCATGAACAATAAGGTAGTAGATTCCCTATCCGTACTCCGTACTACCTTATACAAGTTTCAGTTGTCGTTGCAAAGAATGACGTCTTCCCTCTCACTCATCTTATGATATTACCCCTTGCAGGAGGTGCTTATTCACTTGGCATGGATCTCATAGCAACATCACCCCAACATGTCAAACCCTCATATTCTCAAAAGTTCACGACGTCGACCAAGAAGTCTCCCCCAAAGTCTCATCCCCGCATTGCTCAACCTCAATCTCCACCTTCGCATGGGTACTGCGACTCCAACTTCACCATTTCGCTTCCACATGTTGTTTAACCATCATAAGCCTCGGCTCAAGTCACAGCAAGCATTCTTTCCTATCATTTATAGATCCCCAGATCATCCTACCCTTGTCGGAACGATTCCCATGGGCAATGCTGTGTACACATAACTATGCCCGACATCACAAGCAGCGAAACCCCCATCTAACATGTAACTAGTATATTTGCCTATATTATTAGCCTACCCTCTACTCGGGTACACTCCATCTCCTACGACCTTTGCCCTCCGTATCCCCTAGCATCCAGGTCGTGCATGTATAGCATCTTCATCTACCTCCCCAGACATCATCATCACCTGTTAGCTGCGCCAATTCTCATCTGACACTAAATCAGCTGAAGCTCAACCCTTTCGAGTCTTGCTGGCCCTGCTCCTCATGCCGTTGGCTTTCGTCGTCCCGGGTATCGTCCGTCTCTTCCAGCAACAGGCGGGTTCTTCGCTAAGTCGAGTTCATGCAAGAAACAAGCCAAAATCAATGCGAATCTTCATCCATGCATGCATGCATACGCACGCCATACAAATCATGTCATGTCACGTCGCATATGTCGTCTTCAACCATTTCCCGGCCCCGCTCAAGGCCACCACTTCATCTTCTTGTAGCTCTCGATCACCTCCTCAATCAACTCCTTCGTGAGGGCAGGTTTCTTGTACTCAAACCCCAACAGTGTCTTGAGCCGCGTTCCGTCCATACTGAGATCCGTATCCTTGAGTAATTCCTTCTCCATGAATGGAGTTAGCGGGCCCGGTCGTGTAATGCCCGCATCTGCGAGGAGGTCGGCCCATGGTCCCAGAAGCTCGTCATTAACATCGTCCACAACACTATCGAGGTTGAGTCGAGCAAATGTGCTGATAAGCTGGCCCTGAAAACCTGTCTCAATCTTGAAAATATCACCAATAATTGTCGCTATGGTGCCCTGACTTGTCGCACCCTCATCCACGATGTTCAAGATGGGGATCTTGCCCATACTGGCCTCGTCCCACTTCGCCTTGCCTGCATCAAACCATGCTGCGATTTCCCACAGAGCCCGTGTTACATCGTCAATGTGTGCTGTGTTAGTTCGGAGGTCCTTGGTCCAAAGCCACTTCATTTCGTCTTCAAGGTGTTGATAGGTGCGAGCCATGCACAATGCCGTCGCGACCCACTGAGAGGCATAAGGTCCATAGACGTGTGGTAAACGCACGATGATGAGGTTGAGGCTGCACTGTGCATTAGTGAATTGTATGTCCAAAAGTCATAGTCGCACTATACCCTTCAATTTTAGAGAGCTCCTCCTCAGCCTGCAACTTAAACACAGCAATCCGGTTCCAAGGTTTGAGCTTATCTCCCTCTTTGCTTGGTGATGAGTCGGACTTGTACACCATGCCTGTGCTCAGCTCAACAAAGGCCTTGACTCCTCTTTTGGCCGCCTCTTTGCCCACTGCAATAGAAAGGTTCAATGATCGAAGCTTGTAGACCTCATCCTCCTGTGAGTACCTCGTCTCACCTCCACAGTTGAAAACATAGTCCCATTGTTTTCCATCTGGTCGGTCAAAAATTCGTGCCAATCCTTCTGGAAAGAGGGGAAACATGTCGTTAGCCAACTAGTCATACATAATTGGGAGCCACCTGCACCAGCAAGCGGGGCTGCCAGCAACAGAGTAAGCAGTGTAGAAACTCACCAGGTCTGCTGGCATCAGCCTGCATAAACTTGTCTTGTGAACAGGCTTCGGAGAACTCAGGAGCCAGCCATGCGAGTTGAGGGAGGACTTTATCAACGAGCCTCACATCAGAAGCGAGCTCGTTCTGGTGGATGTGGAGGGCCAGGAAGCGGCCAATGTAGCCAAGCCCTCCAATAATCAAGACCGAAGGCTTCTCGGCCATGGTCGCGAGAGTTATGTTATTCGGGTCGTGATATAATCGTGCGCAAACGTGGGGTCAAGGTGACGGTGCAGGTGCCTCGACGTCGGCGGCGCGAAGGCGATATATGGGAAGGTGTAGATGAAATATACAGCAAAACACGCTTCAGCTCTGCAAGTCTAGTGAGGTGCCTTGGCAAAGCTCGCTTCTAATGTGAACGAGACGGACAAATGGTTGCTGTGCGAGGAATATTGAGCCCAGGTGCTAGGACAAGATTGTTCGGCTTCAGGGGGTAGAGGGTTGTAGCTGAGTAAATGGAAACCGGCCAAGAGGTCCCACGGGGTGCCGAAGGTGGACGGATATGCGAGACTCGGTGTGATTTAGCGTTGGTCGAAGCGAGGTGGTTCGGGTTTCTCGTGGATAGAGAGCGGGCTGGGCAGTGACCTAGCACAGTAGTTTGAAAGAGCAGGGCCGTAACCTGGCATGGAGTCACACAAGTAAGTATATGTTAGGGCGCCCATGGGGCAAAGGAAGTGCTTGGTTCGGACATACAATAGCACTGATCTAGCACTTTTTATATCGAGCCCCAAAAGTGCTGGTGCGGCGACGGCGTAGAGACGATGTGCGGGAGCAAAGGGGAACAAGTTTGATCCAAGGCGGGAAGGCAACGGGAGGACGGACGGAAGACGGAACCAGATGGGCGGGATGGTAGGTGGGAGTGGAGGGAAACACGATCAACAAATGTAGCAATTTCAACTCTGCGAGGGCACGAGGCGGCGCACCAACCGCTCTCTGGGACGAGCGATGGATAAACAGGGGTCTGAACTAAAGTCAAGAGACCCAACTTTGGATCAAATCTTTCTTGAACGAGGCCACACGACCGAGCCTGAGCTTGGAAAGAAATAGCTAGACCCTTGGGGCCCTCGAAATTCCGTCGATGAGGGGTGGACTTGATAGACTGAGAGGTTGTGAAGTGGATCTCTTGTTGAGAAAGACGAGGGGGAGAATCGGCCAGTGTAAGAGTGAGTGGGATGCAATGTGGACTCCTTTTCCAGCAAAGGGGGCCCAAGTCTTGATGCTGGCTGCTTTCTAGTTTAATGAGGGGCGTGCTGTGGGTTTATGGGCGTGAAAGGCCCTGTCAAAAGCTCGATATTGTGCCCTACCGAATATCAGGCACCAAGAAGTTGCTCATCTTACATGTTATTCCATCAGCCGGTTCTGGGACTGAGACTCGTGTTTCACAGTATCCCGTGGGCGACTATGCCTTCTTTTATGCCCTAATTTTGACTAAATGCTATACATATCAGAGCAGTTTGCGGTCATACATGTATAAGATGCATGGCAAACCAAAGGGAGCCGTGGCCTGAAAGATGAGTTAAGAATGCATATGTGGGCGGCTTGTGGAGGGGTCTTTCTACGCCGATGTACATGTACAGTACATGGGTAAGTAGTGTCAAGAGGGAGCCCGCTCCCATCAGTCCATTCCTAGACTCAGGTCAAGGCTCTGGTCAGAACAGTCCTTTTTGGGGCTTGAGCTGAGGTTCATTGCCGTTCTGTTAACTCGAGATCGACTCGAATCTTCCTTCTTTCCTATCAGTTCCTCAAAGGAGCCTTGGCAAGAGGCTGACATTGACATTTCAAGATGCGAGTCAGGGCCAAAGAAGGCTTAAAAATGCTGGGTCGGTGGGGGTAGCCGTGCCGTAGCTGGCGGAGACACGATGCGAATTGGCGGTCATGCGGCTGGACAGTTACTGTAATTCAGAGCTGCAGGACGGATTTGCAGGATGCCCCGTTCATCATATCGCCGGCCTAGCACCTAGCTACCGAGCCTGCAGTGGGCCTCCATGTTCGTCATTGTTACTGCGACAAGGGACCAGGGACATGCCGACAGAAGGGACTGGGGTCAAGGGTCAAGGAGCATAACAACCGCCGTCCTTGCCTGAGACTACCACTACTAGGCCTTTGCATTTTCTTGTACTCACTCTGTGAGTTGTCAATAGCTTGACAAAATTCAAGTCGAGCCGAGCGAGAACTGTGAGCCTGTGAGGGAACTTTTCGTTTGTGCTATGTATCAGGCGGTGGTTTCGCCTGCTTGTGAGTAGTCATAAAGTATCTGGTCAGACTGACCTCATCGGTGGTAATTACCAATACTGTTGAACGACAATAAACTCATTACCCCATGGATAAGAGTCAAAAAAAACTCAGCACTCGGTTGGCGAGGGCACTTAATTCTTGAAATCCATATCTGGCGTCCAGCATGGCGCAAATCATGTTCGCATTGGGTGTCACTTCCGAGTACACATAAACGACGAGGCTTATTTTGGTCATGCCACAGTACCGAAGGATGCCATGATGCCAGACTGTTGCAGGTCGTGGTCGATATCCTTCAAGACACCAAGCCACGACTCCTTTGTGAGGGTAAAATTGGCGATATATTGACTGTCACTTGAAATACGTCCTGTGCATACACCAGAGACCTGATTTTAGCGCTGGGTGCCGGCATGTGCGCCGATCCAAGATCCCGTTCGGGCCGCCAACAGGGCTATCTTGATCTTTTCCAGGCAGAGCTGGAGGCGCTGTACATATGTACTGTAACCTGGGCAGCCAGTCAACCGACGCCAAGGTTGGACATGCAATAATCAATTCTTGCCAGCGGTTCGCGGCTTGCGGTTCTGCCTTATACTGACTGTACGGCTGTACCTGAATTTCAGGGGCAGAGCACGCGAGTCTGTCAGGTGCGCATGTGGCAAGCGGCAGGAACGGGATCAGGAACAGGAACAGGAACAGGAACAGAATGATGCGGGGCCTTTTCTAGAATTCTTCCATTTGGGTCTCTACCAATGACGAAAAGAAGAGGTATAAAACAAGAATTGGTGACGACTGTAGTAGCTGGAATGGTGGAAGAGTGGTTGTGATAGTTGAACCACATATTATTCCGAGTCTTACAACCGGCCCAAGTGTCAAGAGCGCAGAAGTCACCGTCATGCCCGCCTTCTCAGTCAGATTGTACCGATATCCTGGGCCTTGGCAGGTACAGCAGGGTACCGATCTCATGTAAGTACCTTACTGGTAGGTAAGTATGCACCTTACTCCGTCGTAGGATCAGCCTCACAATGAACATGGAAAACAATATCCAGTGATCAACAATCTTAACTCTACCTTAACACTATCATGATCAGGAGCTATCATCTTCCGTCTTCCTCTCTGGCCTATCACACAATCAATAGACCCTCGTCCCATCATCTTTTCCTCCACACTCCAGCACTACAAGACGGCTTCTACATATAGCCTCGTCAACGCTAACGCCTAATAAACAAATAGAGCCAACAACACCAAGAGCCCAGTCCGAGCGCTAGCATAGAGCACCAGGGCCCCAAGATCCGTAGCTTTTGCCTGCATGTCAGATGCACAACACAGACCTTATTGCGGCCATGGAGTACGTGGGAAAGAAGAGAAATCGAGAGTATCGTGATCCTTGTCGCTCTCAGATCACCGTTAAACATGGCTTCGATTTACCGCCCCCTCCGCCGACTTTCATACAATCGCCAAAACTCATTCCACGATTTCGAGTGCCCTGTCCATGTCTCCTTGATCGTCTTCTTCAGTTCCTTGCCAAGGTTTCACTGTCTCTGAGACTACCGTCTATCATATCTGACATAAAAGTGACTACTGCATCATGCAACCACGTTCCCCATCTTCAGCCAGGCCTCAAACTCACGCCCATCTCGAGTCAAGGGTGGATCATCCTTCATCTCTTGGATATTTAGAATGCATCGGGTACCAGGCTCAGTGAAAAGCTGCGGCAGGGCTTCTGCTAGCCACGCAGCCTGTCAATGCATTTCTACGGCAGTGCAGAACGTGTCATCTACCTGACTCAGAAGGTCCTGAATCCATGTCCCTAGCGCACCATGATGCTCGTATGCTGCAACTATGATAAGCCACTATTTGTCGTCTAACAGAGCATCACGGGCTAAAGACCACCTCGAAGAAAGCCGCGAACTGATATGGGCAAAGATATTCGCAAGCTGTAGTCCTCCTGAGCCTGAGAGTCCACATGGTAAGAAGTCCTCTACTATTCGGACATCCCACGCGGTTGACTTTATCCTCAGTCGGTGTCCATGAGTTCATGGCGGGCCAGCAAGCCCATTGGCTTGGGAGAAAGAACTTGATCGACGTCCAGGGTCAGGCTCGTATCAATTAATCGTGCTAGCCTATACAAGTAGGTTGAGCCAAAGCTGGCTGCCTTGCTTGGAATGTGTCGATATCTTGTCATCTAGGATAAAAGCCTGTGGGTTACGGGAAAGCGGGCCGGTTAAGAGGCTTTCCAGCTGCTCGATTACGATCGAGCACTCATGTAATTATACATGAAACTAGAGCTAACGCTATCATATCGTATTGAAATATTCAAAGTCCAATAAGCATGTTTCTGTAATTTCTTTCGTCATGATAGGGTTTGTAGACACTGCCCAAGGATCATGTTCTATCTCCTGGTCATGGCCACGAGTCCTTCAATGCAAAAGCTGGATGAAAGCAAATGAGTATATCAATCAATCGGCGCATCTATCAAGTCTCGCTCCTAGTGCAATCAAAGGTCAATACTCGCACAGGATGCCACCACGGTGTAGTACATGCATCTCGAGACAGTCTATCAAAGGTCTTGCTCTTCAAAATATCGAGTGAATTGGTTGGGGCACATATCATCTTCTCATGCTTCCGATGAGTTCACGCTGAGCCTCGCGATCCCGTGCCCCCTCACTCAAGCTTCCAATGCTCCTGAGATCGCCCACCACGTCCTTGGCTTTGCCAAAGTACACCTCCTGCAGGAGATTGCGCATCTTGAGTTCCATATCCTCAACCAATCGTCCCACATTGGCAATGTGGCTGTCATCGTTGTCAACAGGGAGATCCTGCTCAACCTGGCGTGTCATGTTGCCGCTAAGGTCCATCTCGCCTAGGTTGCCACCAGCAGTAGACAGGGTCAGGATCACTGTCGATGTGAGCTTATAGTGTGTGCTTCTTCCTCGCTCAATTGCCTCGAAGACATGGATGGAGTCCCATACACCTTCGGAATTGCCGCCTTGGGGGGAAGCTAAAAGGGGATATCTAGTCAGCGTTCACGGTTCGAACACAGTGTTGTCAGGGGAACTTCATACACTTCTTGAGAAGCACGACTCCTGCGAAGCCATCATCAAGGTTCCAGAAGTAAACACTGCTCACACCACCTTCATAGTATAAATCGCGATAGACATCGAAGGCCTCGTTCGCCTTGACCTCCATCTTGCGAACACGCTCGCTCGGTATCGCACCCTCGCCAGCGCCTTCGTTACCACCAGCACCTACACCACCTGAGCCAGCTTCATCCAGAGGAGGGTCGAACTGGTTTGACCACGGTGAGCGGTAGCTGTCTCCATCGCGGTTGTAGTCGCAGAGCAGGTAGTCTCGGCCGGTCTGCTTGCAGCGGCGCACGGTTAGGGGCTGATCGACGGATGACAGAAGGTCTTCGGTCAGATCTGGAGCGATGGAGATGATGGCGTTGAGGTGGTCTGTCGTCTGCTTAGGGTTGAGACGGCGGAGAAGGTCTCTGTGGGTTGAACGGTCAGCGATACGGGGGGGACGTCATTGCGCGGGAGGGTTAAAGTGCTTACAGAGCGGAGTCAAAGGGATCGACAGCCATGATTATGGACTTTCGAGAGCTTTGACTGTGGTAATTGAGAGACTGTGTAAGATTGAAAGGTTGTTGTTGTTGTTGTTTAGGTACTGGAGACGACTAGTGGTTCAGGCGGTCCTTAAGTCGAGGTGAAGCTCTGCGACGTTATGGAGTAGCGGGGTCATGGAGCTCCGTGTGGAGTACGTACTGCAAGTCCATGTAAGTGGAGGTAGTAGGTAAGCTCATGGAAGATTAGACCCTATAGTTATTCCCAGCTGAGAAGCATTGCAGACCGCTACGAGTTTAAAGGTAAGATTTATTGCAAAAGATTAATCAAGGTAGGCTGACAATCGACAGGAAACTGGACACATACCGAAAGCATCCCACCAGTTCAAGTAATAATGCCCATCACTTAAAACTACTAACACTCTTCAATGGTAAAAGGGTTCACCAGGGTGTCATAAGATAGCATCGGGGATTTAAGACTGAAGCCGCAAGTTAAAGGAAAGAAAGTCAATTAATGGAGACAAAAACCCTCTCAAGAAACAACAACCCCTTGATGATGCCTAGCAAAACAAAATAACACTATAGCACAGCCCAGAGGCAGGTAGCCACTAGCACCCTAACCACTACCCAACTCGGCACCAATATAAGCTAATCGACCTACTTCCCGAGTTTCCCTCTCAGTCTGTAGGTTTCCATGCTCTCCCCTTACCCATCCGGCCCAGGAGACTATACTACCTCTGCTCTTTTGCGTGGCATTTAATTGAACCTCATAGATAATAGCAAAACAAACGCATCTTCCTCACCGCTCGCAAGTTCCAAGACCAACCAGCCCATCTTCCAATCTCACAGCATAGCCATATTCGCCTCCAACGCCGCGCCCGTGATGTCCACCAGTGGGCGAATCGCCAAGAAAGTCACCTCGAAATTTTCACAAAAGAAACCTTAACCATTGACCATCCCGATGAGCCGTATCGAGTTTACAGCTGGGTCGGGCCATCCATGTTGTCCACAAGTCATCAGTAACATGTTAGGGCACCGTATGGCCCCCCTAAGCAATGTTGAGTTGCACCTTGTAGACTCAAGGAGCCTGCTTACCGGAGCAGACTCGGGGTAGCTACGTGGTCATGATATTGAATACTTAGTCAATGCTGGAACCACACAGCAGACAATGAGCTTTCTCGGTCCAGGTCTTGTCACCACCCGTTACGTTCTCGCGCAGGTCACGAATCTCCCACGCTGTGGGGCCGTCTTGCATCTTGAGTGTGGCCTCGAAAAGTCCCAGGTATGGCTTGGAGTCTGCAGCCTTCTTCTTGCGACCTTTCTTGGCCGATCCTTTGGCTGATGCGGTGGTGATAGACCGGGACGGCGTTGGCCCAGGTGTAGGGGTTTCTGTTTCGCGAGGTGTTTCGCGAGCAGTCTTTTTGACGTGGACGTTATCGCTCGTTTCGCCGGAGCGGACATCGATCGTAGGTTGTGTCTCTTTCTCCCCAGCGTCAGTGGGCGATAGAGGGCGCGTCGCCTCCTCGGGCTTCTCTTCCTTGACGGCCGATCCCTCGGTTCGATGGGGCTTATCTGTTCCTAGTCGCTCGTAGACTTGCAGGAGAATTTCGTGAGCCATGCATTCGTGATGCATCCACTTCCCGCAACTCGGGCTCGTGCACCCAATCAGGGTCTTGTCAGGGTTCGCAGGAGTTTGACATTTGCACATGAGCTCAACGGACTAAACGGTCATCAGTACTTTCGGAAACCAAATGAGGTATCGAGAGACATACCGAAAGTTGCATGTTGCGGCAGTCGTACGCTTGACGCCAATAAAGCGCGTCTTGGATCTCCTCGTCATCTGACTCTATCCATTGGTTGACGGTAACGGGTCCTGTAACACTAACAACATTGATAATGTCCACTAGAAAAAGGGTTAGTCGCATTGCAGCATGGTATCGGTCAGTATTCTAGAACATACTATGATTAGAAGCGATCAACTCATTGTTGCCATGGTACGGCTGGCGGCCTTGAACAGTCTTTTTGCCGTCGAGTGTTCCATACGGGAGTTCGTCCGGCCAGTACATCCAATAAACGCGTGCATAGACGTGGTGCTCATCGGAAGCACGGATCTCGAGGATACGCGCGACCCAGTCATTATTGCTCTTCTTGTAAATACCCTTGCCATCACCTTGAGCTTTTTGTTGTTCAATTGTTACCTCGTTGGCAACATTGACAAAGCCTTCACTGTAATACTTGACACTGTTGACTGCCAAGAGTTAGCCATAAGCCCGTACAACGGACGGCGCCGAGATTTCATCGGATACTTACGGACGAAGCTATTGTAGCGCGTCATATCTTGCCATCGTTTTCCTGGTTCGACAGTGTAGTACAAGTCCATGTTCTCGTGCGTTTTGAAGTTGCCCGTTGGGGAGAAAGGGGAGATTTGAATCTGGACCCGTTTATCGTCATCTTGGCCATCGCGCTTCCGCTTCTTGTTTTTTTGACGGTCCGCCTGAGTAGCCGCAGGGCCAGTCGCGTAAGTAATCGTGAAAGGGCACTCAGCGCGATTCTCCTCCCCGACGGATCGCGATCTCTTGCGATTGCTCATTGTGGCGGTTTGATGCGGTTGGGTATGACCGCGTCGGGAGTGGAGAGAAGGAGGGGTTTGCAGAGGAACGACAAGGCGCGCGAAGAAGCGACGCGGAAATGGGAGAAAAGGTTATATAAAAATAGAAGGAGGATTGATTTATCTGGTTTTTTCGATGTCGCGATCTGTGCTGAGCCGAGCCCAAGCTGCCTTTGAGCAACAAGCCGCGGCTTGCGATGATGTCCTGTGCGCAACGAAAGAGACTCGATTTGTCTGGGAGAGCAACGTCGCAATCTGCGGAAGAACTAAGAACTGAGCCAAAAGCCCAAAAGACTAGTGTCACGTGATCGAGCTGGCACTGGGGCCACCTAAACACCTAAGCTGATGGACGGAGTTCAGTCCTACGGAAGAGCGACTAGCGCCCAGCGTTAGCCAACGCGTCTGGACAAGCCTTGGCTTAGTAGCTTATAAGAGGCGCAGGATGAAGGAGTCTTGGCGCGATTCAGTTAGGTTTTCGGAACGTATTCCGGAGATGAAAATCGATGATAGCTTTGATAAAGGGTAAGTGATTGGGTGAGGCGCAAGTGTAAGGTTTTGAAGAGTCAAGGTTGTTTGTTAACTGGAGTCTGTTTGTTTCAAGGTGGAAAGCAAGAGTGAGGGGATAGAGAAAAAACTGCAGGCGCGTTTGCGTTACATTGAGCGTAAACTTAGGCCCCGGAAATCCGTGCAGGGAAGTCTGCTTCTAGAAACTCCGATCCAATAGTTTATAAAGCTCACGCGTTATTCATCTCTATGTAGATATGTACATAAGAGCGCCCCAACTCTAATCAAAAAGGAAAATACTGTGGTATATTGATTAACTTAAGGTATTGATGATGCTGAATTTAGTTCGTTGTCTAGCACTTATAAATCGTACCCAAATTATGATATCACCAATCATCTAAGTAAACGCCGCCGCTATGCTACCTTACCCATCCAAGAATCAACAGCCATCTGAGCTAGGGTCTTGCGTGTTCATCGACAACACCATCTTCCTGCTCTCTCTGATAGTCGGCCAGCATTCCACGACGCTCAGGCTCATGTTCATCATCGTCTGCTTCCTCCACAGAAGATCCTGCCATTGACTCGGCGAGCTTCACGCCTTCTCTTCTACCGCGCTCGACGTTGATGAACCAGATCAATGGCGCAGGAAAGCCAACTAATGCTGCTAAAAACCAGAAAGCCGGGCGAATCGTGCCAGTTCTATCAATGATAGCACCGACGATCGTCGGGCCAAAGACACTGGATCCCTTGTCCGTTATAGCGTACAAGGCGTAGAACGCTGCCTCGGATCCGGGTGGAATAAGCTCACCGTACAGAGAGCGGCAGTAACCACTCAAACCTCCGAGCACGACTCCATATACAGCCGCCAGTGGATACATCTCCCATGGTTGTTGGAGGCCAAACACGCCCCATTCTTTAACAAAAGGAAGGTAACCCAGCAAGCCGTAAAGGGGGATTAACTCAAACAAACCAATGCAGACAAGAATGGTTTGATGGGCTTGGAGGTTAAAGAGCCGTGAGATCCACGACCATCCGAAGGCGCCGAATACCCCTGCCAGAGTTGAAATGACATTTATCATACCAAGTGCCCACGGCTTCATGTGGAGTTGGGTTTTGGCGAATAGAATCGCGGTAGATGACGTGGTTGCGATCGCATCGGACAAGAGAAACCATCCGGCAAGGAACAAAACGATGTCAAGGAGGCGTCTAGCCTGTTGAACGGTTTTGAATAAGCTCTTCCATGAGTACAATATGTACGCAAGCCCTGCCATGATGCCTTTGCGACCGTCATCAGCCAGCGGAGGCCCGGGGCGGGGCCGCAACCACATGGCGGCGGGAATAGTGAAGATGGTCCACCAAAGTCCGACCATGAATAATACGACTCGTTGGCCCCATGTGGTGTTATGCATGGCGATGAGAACACCAATACAAACGCATTGCAAGAAGAGCGCGGCAATATAGCCGGTACCAATTCCGATGGCTGAGATTCGCGTTGACAGCTGCAGTTCCTTGGAAGTGATTTCCGCGTGGCTTGCTGTTGGTTTCAGTCGCTCGCCGTCTTGAGGTTGTAACAGAGGTGAGGTTGTTGTAACTCTAGACGCCTCGAGCTCGCCTGCTGAGTCATCCAAAGGACGTGACTCGAATTCAGAATTGGCAAGATCTGGAGTATCAGCAACGTTAACCTCGATAACATCGGGATGATATCGCACAAGTAGCGGAAGAAAAGAGTTCAGTAATACAAAGGATGCGCCAAAGGATGTGTTGGAGATGATGGTCAAGAGGGCGCCGAGAATGTAGTTGTCTTTCGTAATGAAGATGTAAGACATAACGGCGAAGCTCCCAATCCAGGCGAAGCTGAGAAGAAGCTTCTTGCGGTAGTTTCCATGGTCAGCAGCGCAACTGATGCTGACAACGAGCAGTGCTTGAATCAAGACGCTCACTGAAAATGTGTACATGGCGAAGCTTGCAGTGTTGATCTCTACTCCAAACACCCAGACAATGCATTGCCCATCCCCCTCTTTCTTACTGTCGCTAGACCCGCATGGTGTTTTTCGGTCAGAGAGTAGCACACCGTTCTCTCTGGCGAGAGTTTCTAGAAGGATGGGAATAAAGGAAGCTGGAGCATGCGTATCAGTAATGGGTCTTGACGATCTTCGGGTAGGTAGCCCAGAGATATTGCTTCACTATTAATAACCTACCAATTCCGCAAATCACATACGTCTCAGCCGCAAATGCATAGGCGTACCACCCTAGAAGCTCCTTTCGACTCGTCGGGCGAGCATCATGGCCAGAGTGACGCGGCACGATTGGCCGTCGCATGTCAGCTTGGCTATTGCGAGGGCTCATATCGCCGTCGCTAGAGGATCGCTCGTCGTCGGCCTCGAAAGCAGAAGTTGCGCAAGATCTAAAGGATCGTTTCGAAATATTAGAGAGTCCGGACCACGGTCTATGGTCTTGGAGGCGCGGACGCTGAGGAAGAGGTTGAAGGTTTGGCGCCATGGCTACAGGTAGCTATGTCGCACTCGTGATCTCACTGGGTGCACGTGATTGTCGTCACAAGGCCGAGACTGGTGAGCTTGAGTCCCCCCAGGCGCATTCAACACCAGACACTTTTCCTCACGAGATTGAAGACGGTTTTGGATTAGTAAAGAGAGGCTTCTGCTCTCGATAAGTCGTGAAGTGCGCCATGTACTCTGCCAGCAAGCGTTGAAAGACAATGGATACGTGGACGCCGACAGTCACGGTTGTTGGATTGATTATACAGCAATGAGCAGAGAACAGAGTAACAAGAAAAGGCTCACAATTATTAGTGAAATGCGCATCGTCGTACTCTTAAACATGGCTGGCACCCAGAAGCCAAGGGCCGCGGCCATTACCGTCACATCTTGTTCATCCCATCAACTTATGCGCCCCTCCCATGCGAAAGAGGACTAACCAGACCATAATCACAACGGGGTATCACGATGCTTATTCGCCATGTTTGGGTCTCTCTTGGACAGGATCGCTGCAAGCCGGCTTAATCAAGGCTATCTGTGACGATCCATGGGCTATTCGGGCTCTTATCAGGGTCTTTTAAGGACCATTCTAGCACTAACAAGGTGCTTGCAGACTTCCAGTTTCTCTTAGATCAGAGATGGGTTCGTTCGATGCCAAATTGGTTTAGCTTCGGGCTTGGGACTCAAGAGTCCACAGGTCAGAGCCAATCCTGGATTATCATGTTTCTCTTTTCAGCCCGTCCTGCTCTTTAGCGGAGACACGGGCACTCCGCTGTCCGAGGGATCTCTGAGCTTGTCGACTCATTTCATTACCAAAATGTCCATTAAAGAAGCCAGAAATGAGGGGAAGTGGAGCATGGGGTATGGAAGACTATGAGGGATGATCCTTGATCAGTGGAATAACGTCATGGCAGCCCAACTTGGAGGAAATTTTAGCACATGCATACGCTATATGGTACATTTTTGCATGTTCTTTTCTGCTTACTTCTCAGTGAGTTAACGCAATCTCCAACAACACAGTTGCCAGCAGCTGTCAGATCTTTATTTGGAGCAAGGAATGCAGGTCAGACACAGAAATATCAGAAAGCTGGGGGTCAATGTCACCAACCACCCGTCTACACTGGGTTGTCAGGTTTTATCCCACATGCTCGCGCATTGCGCGATAAAGCAAGCGACACGATAGAAATCAAATTATTCAGAAGAACAGTATGGCATCAGGGGTATTTCCACAATAACCAATATCAACGATAACGCAACCTGAGAACGATAAATCCCGCCTCCTCAAGGTCAAGTCGCAATTCGAGACTTGTCACGGACAATCGAACAGGAGCCTACTTCTTGTGGCCAAAGATCTTGGACTTGAGCTTGTCAGCAAGACCAACAGGAGTCTTGACCACAGGCTTCTCGTGCTCCTCGGACTCCTTCTCAGAACCTGCGGTCTGCGCGTTACCAGCGCCTCCACGACCGGTATGGTAGTCTCGGCCGTCTTGGCTTGGTCGGACAGCAGTCTCGGGAATGATGTCCACATCCTTGCGCTCGGTGGTGGGTGTGCCTATGTCAGCGATGTTGCCAGCACCTGATGGAGTTATATTAGCGACTTGTCTGAGTTGTGTGACAGTTGATAATGTATTGTGTAAATGCAATGACAGAACATTGCGCAAAGGGCATTATGCTAGTAATGACTTACCTCCACGACCAGAACTGTACGCGCCATCACCGTGGCTTCCAACAACGCCAGTTCGAACAACCTCGCCGTCGACATACTCGGTATCGTCAGGCTTGAAGTTGCCTGCGCCGCCGCGACCATGAGAGACTTCAGCAGACATGGTTACTGATAAGAAGACAGGAGTCTATGATGCGTTCAGAGAGTTTGAGTCGACAGTTGAGTAGAGCTAAGTTTATAACGTCGAGTCTGACATAAAAGACAGCCGTTCAGGCGTCAGCGTGGCTCCAGGGCATGGCGACAACTTATAGCACCCATCCCGTCATCGGCCGGACGGGCAGCACAGCCATCAGGTTAAGCTTGTTTGTGTGCCTGAGACGTCTTTGATAAGAGATACATGGCATCATGAGAAAACCACAGCAGGGCTGTTATCTATCGGCTGCCGTCCGATATCACTATCACTCAAATGGACTTCTCTTATCAGTCCGCACAACCAACCCCCCAGAGGTTCGCCAAGGACGCCTAGAAGACCGCTAAAAACAACTAAACTGTGGTGAAAGGTCACTAAATGCGGGTTGATACAGTGCATTTGAGATCTGGGCGCCAAGCACGCGCGATGAGCGGCAGCAGGGTGTGACGATGGTTAAATCGAGAGCGACCAGTCAGAAGCCGTCTTGTGTTGCCTGTTTACGTATCGGAATTTGCTGATTTAATGTGGGGGAGAACGGGATCGTTCAACTTATCGATCATCCAATGCCTCTCATTTCCACGGCCACGGGTCAAGAATCCCGTCTTATCAGGGACCCTGCATTTGTATTCGCCAGGTTGGGTGGGATCTTTCTTTCAGCCCAATTTTGTACGAAACCGGCCTTTAAGTATTGGATTCAGCAGGAATTTGGTCAAAGAATGTGCTCTTCTGATGGCTTCTGATGCAATTGTGATGTTGATTGTTCAGTCTATTCACATGTTTTGACTTGTTGCAAGTCAAGCTCTCGGCTTCGTCAACCTCAATATTCCAAGTCTTGACAGCCTAACACAAACTGTTTGCAATCATCTAGCAACTCTATCCATGTCATCTATGTCTAGAATTTCAAGTCTATACGGAAACCAAATTTCTATACCCAACACATACGGTACACACCCCAGCACAAAGCAATACCCAAAATAGACATCTTGTCTGGCAGGACTCGTCTTCCAACCCCATTTTCTTCTCGCTTTGGGTCATCACCAACAGGCTCCTTGATCCATCCCTTTGGCACCTGTGTTATAAAGTCATACCAATAGTCCCCCATGATACTATAACCTTCATTTGTAGGATGCAAGCAGTCTCTCAACTCGCCCAGATCAAAGGTGCTGAAATCCACGGCAATAACATGATCACCATCCTTTCGTCGCTGTCGCACAAGTCCAGGGATCAGGGCCCTGTAAATAGGCATCTTGGGTTTCTCAGTGTCACAGGATGCTAAAGGTATCGCGACGAGGATTACTGCATCCGGGCAGTACCTAACAATCTTGTCAATGAGGTCGCCGAGACGAGTTGCAGCATCTTTGGGGTCGTTTCCTTCTTTGGAGATCGACGGTCGTAAATCCATGTCATTCGTTCCAGCGTGAAGGAGGACAAGATTAGGTTTTTGTTCCAACGACTCTGTGACGTGATCGCTTATATACTGAATTGTCTTGCCAGACCAGGCCGCCTAAATACGTATAAGCGTAGTATCTTCATTCAGTGGCTGGTCTCACATAATAACTGTCCTCCATGGAACCCTTGTGTCTTGTACCCGCAAAGACAACTTTTTCTCCTGAGTCAATGTCAGTATACCCATCAATTAATATCATACCAAATAATCAAAAAGCAACTTACGTGACGGGTGTTTCGCGAGAGAAAGCCTATAACCATTCCCATCGCCGCCATCTGCATCACTTCCCCAACCTTCTGTTATAGAGTCTCCGACACAGAGTATGCGAAGAGGAACTTGCAGTTTCCAGGAATCGTCAGAATCAACTTTGGTATAATTCAAAACATCGTAAACCGTGAAACCCGAAACATTCCGAGCTATTTGTGCAGCATCCTCTCGTGGTTGTAGCGTTGAGGCATGAGCTGCACTAACAAGACAAGCCAGTAATGAATACCACATGATTGTTTACCACGACAAACGAACGCTTATTAGAGAAGAAAAAGATAGGAATGAAACCCAAATAGGGTCGTAATACTAGGAATCAGAACATATTTTAAAGTTACAATGGGAAGAGGTGAGGTGATGTGGTTGTTGGTTCTGGCAAATCTAAAGTAAACTAGTCAGCATTATCATCCATATTGGTTCCACCGCCTATCATTCCTGACCCATGATGAAACACCACAATGCAGGGTTTCTGGAGGATTTCTCGGTATTAAACGTAAGTAACGGAGCAGTCACTTCAAGCAGCTGTTGGGTCACTTGCTCAGTGGATTGTTTGCAAACTTGAGTGGCGCGGCCCTTCACGAAGTCAACACAAAAGGACAAAGATTCGAGCGAAGCTGGTAACCATGTTGGAAAGGAAAAGATCATCTCAGATCGACTCAAAAGAACGCTTGTGTAGCAAGTTCTTGTTACGGATGTTAATCTCAGTTCATGCCGATGCTCCATAGTCTCTACCTCGCTATCGCTAGTCCATTCTTAATTCTCAGCAACTCTGCGAGACACGACGTCTTGTCTCATCTAAAATTCTCGTCAACGCCATATCGATCACATAAACTCCATATTATGCTCATTCTCATGTATTCTCATAACTTACGTCTCCCATCATGCCCTTCCAGCACGGCCGACCTGAAGGATCTCGCCTGTCAGGGCCTCGTCTCCTCGCAACACTGGCCATGAAGTGCCGTCAGATTTGGCGAGGACGAATTCTAGCTTCGTGCCGAGCACTCTATACGATGACTTCTTTGGGTCGATCGACGCATAGAGGGGGACTTCCGCTGTATAGCGCTTGGGGGGCGAGTCGGTTGTTGTAAGGTCCAGGTTAAGTTGCTTTGGCTCCAACTCGATCTTGGCTGTGCTTTTGTCGATCTTCTTCAAGAAGAAGGACGCAATAACATTGACTGGGGTCTGGTAAAAGTCATGCCTGTAACTGTTAGCACGAACAATCATAGCATTTGACCGCGGTTTTGTTTCGTGAACTCACCTGACGTTGGAAACGACCTCCTCACTATTGGCGCCATCCTTCTTGCCACTGCCGACAAACAAGTGTCTGTTCTTCGTCTTGCACCCCTCAATCTTCATGAATTGATCAAACTCCAATACTCGCCTCTTGCAACAGGAGTATCCCTTGCTCCCCTCATGGAAGATTGGTACTCCTGGATGGTGAACACACTCCTCGTCATCTCTTGAGCTACCCTTCTTGTATGTTGCGCCGCATGCCCTTCTCTTACAGCCAACACCGTCCGCAATCTCAAGACTGGGATCATCATCTTCCGACTCGGGAGCAGGTGGGGGTGGAGTAGGAGCGTGCTGGGCAGTTGGAATCGGTGCGCGAGACGGAGTGGCGGCGTTCAGAGCATCGATCTTCTGGGCGAGGGCAGCATCATCCTGCTGGGGTTTCTCCTCAAGCTGAGGCGGCTTGTCGGTAGTCGAGTGTGTGCCAGTCGTACAAGGCGGAATATCCATAAACTCGTCAAAGGTCAAGACACGAGGCTTGCAGCATTTCCATCCTTTTCACGGCTAGTTAGTATGCAATGCAATGCACAATGGCAGGTTAAAACAGCATCTGCTCTGCCGGGTCAACCTACCTTTCTGCCCCTCGTGGAAAATGGGCGGACCAGGGTGGTACTCGCACTTCTCATCTGGATCGGTAAACTCTTTCCCGCAACCCTGATGGACACATTTTTGAGACATTTCGCAAGTAGTATAAGGCCTGCACTCTATAGGAAGAATTGATAGTTTAGTGATTGTCTAGAAGGAAGAGAAAGGGATATTTGACTCGGACTTTGGTGGGGTGGGAGCTTCTAGAATTCAAGCTCTGCCGTGGAGGCGATGACGATGCTGGAAACAGAGCTATATTCTCACCGCTTTCCTATTTGGATGCGGGGTCACATCTGATTTGCTCGTGCAATTAGACGGTTGCATGCGTTTCACCTAATCTCAGGCCATTTTCAAGACGGCATTCCTTTCATATATCGAGCCATTGAGACACTTACTTCCACGGGGCTCCTCTAATCTCGTCACCATGTTTGCTACTCGTCGTCTTCTCTTTTCAACAAGAATTACGTTCTTCACTCGGGAAACTTGTGGTCTCTGCACCCAAGCTAAGCATGTATTGTCAGATGTTTGGGATAAGAGACCCTTTGACTATACAGAGGTTAATGTCGATCTCCCAAAGCCTGAGTCCAAGCAGTGGAGAGATATATACGACTTTGATGTCCCGGTGGTCAGCAGAAATACTTACCTAAAGACACTTCAATTCTTGTTAACATCCATATAATACAGATTCACATCAGTAAAGCCTCCGCGCCTGAAGAAGAGCCAAGCAAAGTTGGTAAAGCAATCAAATTGATGCACAGATTCACTGCCGAGCAAGTCGAAGCTCAAATGGACAAAGCAGAGGAAAACTAATTTCTCATTGCGGCACACATCAATACCCCTTTCCTCTGGTTGGTGCCAAGCTTCCATCAGCGAAGCTGAGCTGCTCTTTGGCTACCAGTCCCAAGGACGTATAATCGGTTACTACATTCATCATGTCAAACCCCTGATCAGCGTATATCTTTGCCTGCTCACCCCCTGTACAATATACGCCTGTCTTCTTGCCTGCTTTCTGACCCGCAGCAAGGATCTTGGCAATGGCGTCTTTAAGTTCCGTGGCCATAACTCCTTCGATAATGGGATGGCCGAGGGCGTTTCCTGTTGTGAATCAATACTTTTCCTTTGGGCCAACTTAGTAATTTATGGAAGACATACCAAGGTCGAACGGTCCAATGAATAACACATCGATGCCATCCACGGCAGCAATCTCGTCGATAGATTCAAGTGCCTCCTTGGTCTCAATTTGAACAATGGTCAAGAGAGAATCATTTGCTTGCTGAAGATACTCTGAGAAGCTTGGCTCAGGGTGGAATCGCTCTGGAGCAATGGGTGACCCGAAACCTCGACGGCCTAGAGGCGGAAACTTGGCAGATTGCACAAGTTGTCTCGCTTCTTCAGGCGTTCTCAGCAAAGGCACAACAATCTTTGTCTAGTCAGCAACATGGCATGGCTTCAGAGAGATGGCAACTTACACCGTGAGCTCCACTGTCAAGTGCACCTGAGAAATGTCAACACTGAGTTCCCAAGCATGGATATCTCTGCAGTCTCACGCTTTACCATCCATCCTTGCATATCAGGCAGTCTCACAATGGGCGAAACCCCTAGAGCCGCAATTGCAGGGACGGCATCGTGCATTGCACCATCTGGATATGTTAGGCCTATATTCAACCATCTCAGTATAGGTTCAACTCTTACCATCCAAGTTCCCATGCTCGCAGTCTACCAAGACCCAATCAACTCCTGACCTTGCTAAAACTCGCGACACATTTGCACCGGGAAGCATCTGCCAAGCACCAAATGCCTTCTTTCCCTCCAGAAGAGCTGTCCGTAATCTATTAGATGCCTGCATGGCAGACAATCCAGACATGTTTCTGGTTACCACCCGTGGCTGTAACGTGTTGGGCGTCAAGGCCGGTCGTAACCGGAGGGTTGCTGAAGTCCATACTCTACTCATATTGTCTCGTTTTTACCTTGTATAATGGTCATAGATTGTGCAGAAAGCCAACATGCTCGGGGAAGTATCCTCCGAGAACCCAATTTATACCACAAATATCAGACATTTCCCCGGAGGTCCCCGTCCCCAGTCCCCAGCTCCTAAGCGGGGAGCTCTCGATTGCGGGGTCTCGTGGGGGGATCAAGCTGCTTCAGGAAGCCGATGCCTATCTATACAGCTTGTAATTGGCTGTCAAGAAGACTTATTGTTGTAGGGCGGATGGCTTCACTCATAGGGCGCATATAACTTGGAGTGTTATCGGGTATCTGTGCTTTTATTGTCTTATTTGCAAACTGCAAACTTGCGTGTAATTGTCTATTTTGTTCGCTGTCTAAATCTGACAGAAACAAGAATTCATTTTCCTTATAGCAAACTGCATCCATTATGTTCAATTTTGCGATCAACGTGATCTTGACACCTTTTTATACCAATAATTGTACGTGCCCCAGAACAGCCACTGTTCGGCTTGAGCATGGATCCGACTCATCTGCTGCGGGCTCTATTGTCGTCAATTCAGCGGATTTTTCTCCTCCCTAATGTGGTGGTTGATAGATTTTTGTTTGAGTCGCTTTTGCTGCTGCATCCAGTAATTTAAGGGCTGGTTGCTGTTGTAGAATCGCATAATTGTTTATATCCTTCTAAGGGGCTGCGGTTTTCTTGGTTCCGACTCCGTCGAGTACTGCGCTCAACTTAAGAAGCTTGGAGGCATCTGAGATCAGCGTTAGCAAAGAAAGGCAAATATATTGACCAGGCGTCAGCATACCCCAAGTAATCCTCCTTGATGCTACCAATGGCCCACATTTCTCCAACCTCTGTTCGAGTACCGATAATTTTGACGCGAACGTGAGTTTGTGGCTCAATAGAGGTGTCCTCGTTGTTTGTGAACTGAGGTGGCGTCGCATTGGGGTCATATTTCACATCACTAGGAATCAACTATCGTAATGGTTAGAAAATATCACATCACAGCTATGTGGTGACGTACATGGGCTGAAACAAATAGCTGCAGAGGCCCTGCATGAGCGAAGAAGCCTTGTGGGTTTATAGAATGTACGACTGCATCGACCTGACTGAAGTCAGACTCCTAGGTCATTAATCCTCGGCAGTGAAGGCCTTACCGTCTCGCCTTTGAATGGCCGCCAAACTACGGCGCGATATCCGACAGTAAATTCAGCCATACCAAGACCGGGGAGAATTCGTCCTTCAGAAATTTCGAAAGCGTCCATGATGGAAATGATGAAGTAGCTGCCAGCGCATGTGCCTTCAACATCCTTCAAGAGCTTCGCGGTCACGAGGTCGTGCATGTTGCGACCCATGAAAGAAGGGTGCAAGGTGACCTTGCGCTCCAAATTATAAAGAAAAAACATGGTGAAAAGTGATTTCGGGGAGAAGCGAAGATATCGATGGTAAGCGAATGGGCGGTTTAGGTTGGATGCAAAGTTGCGATATTGCAATACGTTCGATGGCCGACTAGAGCACGAAAACGGGTGTGTATTCGGTCAAGCGAGAGATTAAGCTAATAACTACCGCTTCGTAGAGTTCTGCGATCGATGGAGGGAGGGCGCCGGGCTAAAGCGCGTACGAAAAGGAACGAGACGTAGTGACAGCTTGGCGTGGGCTTAGAAATGAAACGCGCCGAGTTGCGTATCGCTCGCTGAAGAGAGATGAGAGGAAACAATATATTAAGAGAGAGCCCCTGACGTGTCAAGTCAAATATGACTGCTGACCTTCTTGACGCGAGCGCAGAGGGAGGTTGTTTGTTCCTTGGGTGAAAGACTGCCAAGTGAGGTGGAAGTTTGGACAATGAAATCGGCGAGGCTGAGCTGGCCCATGCGTTCCTATAAGACTTGTCCAATCAGAGTTCGTGAGCCTCTCAGCCACAGGTGTGGCGTCTAAGCGATAGCTGCCTTATCATACTTTAACCTCAGCGACATGGGATTCTAGAGAATATCATTTTCGGATAGGTACTCAATGTGAAATTTGAGTATGAAAAGGCATTTTAAAGTTTGCTAAGTCGTGTGTAGATAGCAGTAAGTAGTTGCTGCTTCGAACAAAAATCACTAGCCCCCCATCTATACTCTCACAAAACACCTAGCGTCAACTTAACTGGCTGAGAGTTTCCATTGATGAAAGCTTCAAAACAGACCGGCGGAGTAGGTACTTAAAAGGAAGATTACCTGCCAAAGACGCAATACGCCAGCACACTATGGCCCATCAGGCCGAATGACCATCACCGAAAGGCATAAACGAGGTCTTGAGTGGAGGTCTCGGCCTCGGCTTCTACCTCTCGCAACCGGACTCTTCCAGAATAAGACCCGGATGGGATGTGGTACGATTCGAGGGAAGCGAATGGAAGCCTCTCAGAACCTTGTCCTCCTCTTCAGATTTTAATCGGCACCAAAATTCTGAAACCTGGGGAATAAGCAAGGGCGATGAGTTTCTGACCAATACAATGAGACTTCGTATATTCCTTGCCGACATTGACTGGCTTCTGTTTGATGGAAGGCGTAATCATCCAAGTAAAGGAGACAAGCACACGGCATGCTGGAAAGGCATAGGTAGTGTACATGGGGCAAGGGACGAAAGAAAGGAGCTCCAAAATGGAAGTTACTGTACGGACTTGTGACCCACCCCGAGCAGCTGCGGCGGTGCATTCAAGCGGGTCTTTCTAAGGTTAGGGAGTTAAGGATCAGAAGTGGTAGCAGCCAGTGGACACAGGCTCGCAAAAATGGAAAGCACATGAAAACGAACAACTCATCACTGTAGAAAGCCACTCACTCTCTTTTTACCGTACTGTGCCTGCCGTGCCATACCTGCGTTGTCTTCGGCCTTTGGCAATCGTCGATTTCTTGGCTTGTTTTCTTCTACTCATTCTTTATTACTGCGGGATCCCGCCTTTTGAAGCCTTTACAGCGCGTCTGATTTGACGCACCTCCTGCATCAAACGAACCTGGGAAGGGGGTCATCCCGTCATCCCGTCTCGGACTGTGATACCTCGAGGTAACTCACAATCACCTTAACTACCTTACCTACTTAGGTACACCTACCCAAGTTGTAATCATCTTCATCATTCATCCATCACAAGAAAGCATCCTTTACCCCCGCAAACTTCCATACCTCAGGGCTCTATACTATTCTTCGGTCGCCCTGAATCTCTTCTTTTTGGACTCAGATCCACAACTGTAGCCTCAGAAATCGCCAAACTGCATAGACCAGCTCACGGACCACGTCAAGTCGAGTTGATCGCTCGTCAAATTATCAAATTCAAAGCAGCTTGATAGGCTTTTTGTCTCCTCACTCTTTCACCCTCAGTCTGCTACAACTGTCGTATCGTCTTTGTCGAGGGGGCCCTTACTCATCATGTCTCTGGATCTTGAACAGCACCTCACCTTTGTAAGTCACATTTCGATACGCTATTTATCATATGTCGAATCATACTAATCTGCGGTAGTATGGTGCTTACCACCATAACTCGGTTAATGTCGCCATCCACATGGTTTGCGTTCCCCTCATCCTCTTATCGGGGTTCTGTATGGTTCGTCTCATTATGTCCTCGCCGGCTTATGCATGTTGCGTTGCTCTGCATCTGCTTTCTACCTAGTACTCCATCTAACATTTCTCCAGGCTACATACACCGGCACTCTCATTCCTACACCATCTTGGATTACTCCCCCTTATCTGGACCTCAACCTTGGTGTCATTGGTGCCAGCCTTTATTCCTTGCTCTATCTGCTCTTAGAGCCCTTTGCGGGCTTCCTTCTGGCTCTTTTCTGCATGGGAGGTGCAGCACTTGGCAACTACCTCCATCAGCAAAACCCTGACACAACTTTCCAAGGTGCTCTGGCTATCCATATTGTCTGCTGGATCTTCCAGTTTATTGGTCATGGTAAATATGAAGGGCGTGCCCCTGCTTTGCTCGACAACCTCATCCAGGCCGTCTTCCTTGCCCCTATGTTTGTGTGGCTTGAGATACTCTTCAAGTTTGGATACCGACCAGAGCTCCGATCTCGTGTCAACAAGAAAGTCCAGGTCGAGATTGAGAAGTTCAAGTCAAAGAACGGCAAGACCCAATAGAGCAATCATCTCAACCTAATCTACTTCCCTGATCTTGAGCATATAAGATGGTCCTTCAGACGACCAATGCTCCGGGTACTGTGTTGTAGAACCAGCTTCAACATCGAGACAAAACACGTTCTGACGTGTGCCAACTTGCATTTCAGATACCATCAATCGATGATCAGTAGCGAGCACCCAATCTATCGTCATTGGGCCTCATTGCACGGAATACGACAGTATTCTTTTTGCTGCCGCGGGGACGAAGGTGGCATTGGTGATCTCACCCCTTTTGTTTACTCGCGCACTTGATGTTCCTGAGAGCAGATTCGTTTGCTTACACGACCGTTAGGCTGTCCTGAGACTCATATGAAATCGGCACGTAAAATACAAGGAGAAGTTCAGGGGGTGAATCGGTCCAGGTAACCGTCTCAGCATCATATGGAGTGTATGGAGTTGTTTCATTTGCAATTAAATAACAGTTAACATCAAGCATGTAGTAAATTCGTCAATAAATTCGTATCATTTATCAATAGGCATTATTGATAGTATATTTATCCAGGAACAAATGTTACATTGCTATCTGATCTTTTCCACGATGCCATTCCCAAGGCCATTTCAGTCTGTACTGGTCTGCTGATGAAGGCAGGGTTGCTGTATGTTGCTTAATTTAGAGCTCATCCTCGTCATCAACATAACAAAGCTGTACCTCTATCGACTTAGGTCGTTCAACAGGATGGTGAACATGGACCTGATATCCTCAAGCATGATCTAGACGCTTGTGAGTTTGTTCATCTCCCCGTTGGGTAAGAGGCAAAATAACGTGACCGCCTCGATCAACATATATGCCTTGTGGAGGCTCCGAGGAGGAGGGGGGGGCACGTCGAAGCTTGTTGGGGGCACCGGCCTCGTCTAAGCTTTGTGGTGCTGGGTTCTGGCAAGCCCTGCGTAGGCAATTCGTTGCACGACTACGTTGTAGGTTTGGTCGACCGTGAGCTTTGCAGTGTTTTGGTGGATATAGGCGTCGTTGATTTGGACGTGTCCGGTCGGTCTCCAACCGGAGTTGCCTGACAGTTGTTCAAGATATCTGGGCTGTCCTTTTGAGTCGCCATTTCTTAGTGTTTCGTAGAGATCGGCTCTGCGGTTTATTCATCTTGAATGCTCGTTCAAGATGGTCTCCCAGACCTGCTGATAAATGCCTGTGGCTTAGGATCGGATCTGTTGTTCTGTTGCGGTAAATGACCGGGCCAAGCAAGTATCACAGGGATGATCCGGACGTTGTTGGCCTTCTATCTTGCTTTTGCAAAGCCTGACTGGGCACAGCCAGTCCAGAATGGGTCGAAGAAATTGCTTTTGTCGGTCCTTGATCTTTTGGCAAGGAACTGGCATATACTTCATGTGATGACACTTGAAGCTGAAGATCTGCCGGCACATGTTAACAATGGTGTTTTTAAGTTAATGTAGGGAGCAGATGTTAAGTACTCCTTTTGTTGGTTATCTTGTGACGATGGAGGCATTGGCTTATATTATACTTGTCTCTAGTTTATCTTGTCGGCAGGTGTCAGATGAACATCTCCTTTGTTCGGGAGTAATTACAAATGCTATAGAGTGAATCTGCGAGAGGCCTTGTCTGTGTGTATGTCCTTTTTTTGTTTTCAGCTAATTTCTTTGTTAGGGTTATCACTGTGCATTTGAAAGGGTTCAGGCTTTTCAATGACATGACGGGCTGTTTTGGTAAAATCTCTCCTGTATTCTGTTGAGAATATGAGAAACTGAACTAAGAAAGAAATCAACGCAAACAAGCTCCCATATCAATAAAATACGGGTATGTTCGCCGTGCTAACTCCCAACCCATAGTTAGTTGACTAGAACAACTAGAGTCCAGCAATTCATTCGTCCTTTTCGGGCTTTGACGCATTGAACTTCATCTCATTCTCGTGCTTCAATATACTATGCACCTGCTGTAGTTTCGCGTCCATTTCCTTCTGAAGCTCATGTTGAAGAATGTCCACTTTCTGCTCCCTCTCTTGCTGGGCCTTCTCATGGCGATTAGTCTGTAGGCTTCGCATATTAGCATCGTATACGTATATAAATATGGTTGCTGTATAATTGTATACATTCACTGACCTCGTTGGCAAGATGTTGGGGAGTTGCAACAGCATATTGCTTTCCCTCGCTGGAGTACAAGTATTTGAACTTTCCATCTTTGGAGGCCTTTGGTCTGTTGTGTTCTGGCCATAAATATGGCTTCTCCTCCTTCTCGTCGTCTCGCTTCTGAATCATTCTGAATACCTTCTCATCCTTCTTCTTTACATCTTCCTCGTCGTCGCTGTCATAGTCGCTGTCATCCTCCTTGTGTTCCTTGTCCTCGTCTTTATCTTCTTCCGTGTGTAGCTTGACGGAGTCACGCCACATGTATGGCACCATCCGGGGGTTTTCGATAATTTGAGTATGACCGGTGGGATTTTCTTTCTCAATTTCTTCCAGGGGCTCGTTGAGAATTTTAAGAAGCGCCTCGATCAAAGCCTTCTCATCCTCAGGATCTTCCATCCTGTCGAGCGAGACATCCATGTGGCCGTCAGGTTTTGGGGGCTTATAGTCATGTTCGGTCTTGTTGCCAGACTGGCGAATCTGGCTATACCTTGGCTCGTTCTCTTCGGTGTCTGGTCTCTTTCCTATGATGGGCCTAGCCACAAGGGAGCTGTTTCTGGTCACTGGAGCTGCAAACAGACTAGGTTTAAGAGGAAACCTAGGATCGTCCCTATAAGGATCAATAGGCTCAAGGCGAGAGAAGTCGGTGCCTTTGAGCTTTTCGCTCAGTCCCTCAGTTTTTTTACGTTTCACCAATGGTGAAGCGAAGACAGCTCCGACCAGGAACCAGGTCAGCACTCTAATGAGATTGATCGCCATTCTGGTCAGCGCGTGGGTGTTGTATGGGCTGGATATGGTTCATTCCTTGCAGCCAGAGAAGAAACAGACGGTTTGCTAAAGCAAAGCAGTAACATCTTACTTATATATGACTCTGAAACTTGGAATAAGTTTGACTTCGATCTTCTCATATCACCTCAACAAAGCTTGTGTGATTCCGAAGCATAGACACGGAAACCAAATTATAGAATCAAAAAGTTTGTCTGATCCATCTTGTCCACTTATTGGGCATACTGATCTTGGTTTCACGTTCTTGGTGCACGCCTAAGTTTGACTATGTCTTCACTATTGGATGCATTAAAACTGTGTCGGCGTTACTCAGGAAACATTTGGAACACTCTTTGAAGTTGAGTTATGTCGAGGTTGGTTGGTATTGGTATTGGCCAAGCAGACCCGTCATGTATTAGCTGTCCTTGATGAGCTTATTGTGAGGGCTTCCAGTACATATTTTCTCGCTCAGTAGATACTTATGCCACTCCCAGTTGTAAATGTCTAATTAGGCGGGTTTCCCTATTTGGTACGAGTGACAGATCATACAGGGAGAATTTCGATACATCATAGCTCAGTATCTCAACTGGGCCGTGTTGTCGGACGGAAGAAAATGCCAAAAACCAGTCGTGTCCCAAATCAGAGAATTACACTTGTAGGAGATCTGCAGCTTAACGGAATAGCCAATGGGGTCATCATTTGCTCGCTTTTTTGTCATTTTGGTGATAATTTTGTACTCGATTAACTGAGTTCGCTACTTATAGATTTGCACTTTTGAGGAACACTATAGTTACTCTGTCACTATCAAGTAATATTAAGTTTATAGTTATGCAGTTCGAATAATCTTAGTTATTGGCTAGGATTCCATCGCCTTCCTGATTCTCAAATCTTCAATCATCTTCTGTTGTCGATGTTCACTCTTGTAGGTGCTAAGTCTTGTTGAGGTCAGTTTGTAGTATGTGTGAATAAGGAAGCGGTTACATTGGCCAATAGCATGTTAGCAAGTGATATAGGGTAAGTCCATGATAGTTCCATATGATAGAAACTAATGAGATGGCATGTTTTGTCGTGTTGGGTCAAGCACGACGTTATCAGCGGCGGATTCGGGATTCCGGCATTTTTCTGCCAGTCTCGATACCTTTTTTGACGATCGGGTTGTTCAGTGTCTATCGGAGTATCGCGTTCTCAGCGGATCCTGTGGGCTCGGTGCATGTTCCCGCACCTAGCTCTTATGAAGCCTAAATGCACCTCTGTTATCCTCATGCTTAATATCAACACACAGTATGTACTAATCAGCAGCTTAATATAGCCAATATAGTACTATTGCTGTAGACTTGAGAATAAGAGGACCTACATTTGATAATTCACAACCTTACATCGGACTCACTACTCGGCAGTCAATGGAATTCGGAACCTCGCATGACTCAGAAAACTCCGCCAGCGGCCCTATCACCGCCAAAGCGCAGAGTAGCGGCGGCACAAGCGGTACATATCTCCGCTGATTCCGCCGAAGCCACCAAAGTGGACGGCGATGTCGGGGCATTTCATCATTAGCCTGGAAGAATACTACACCGCATTGGCTGTTTTACTTTTTTTCAATGGGTCAAAAAGAACTTGACACCTCTTCCAGACGTCTGTGAGCACCAGTAGAATTATTTTCCTTGCTGCTGACAACCGTTGCTCTGCTGTGTCCCTGTTTGTTTCTTGTTGGCCAGGGTTCAAGCTGTACTTGAAGGGTCGCCGTAACCGGACCCATAAGCTTAGCTTGGCTTGGTCCGGGGAGCTCAGCAAGGATGATAAGCTGTGAGGTGATGTTCGGTATCTGGCTGCAGGTACAGTCAATGTGGGATATACTCAACAAGATACACAAAAATTGATAAGAGGAGTGCTGATTGTCAAGGCGATAACAGAATGCATCAAAGTTGGGTGTTACGGAACTCGTGCCTTGGATTCTCCACGAAAGACCCTTGAACAAGACACTAGTGAGGGACGATCTCTATCGAATCTTGGTAAATTTTCTCATTTACGGCCGAAATGTTGGGGCAGTCCATTTAGTCTGTAGATAGCAATCGGAGGTATCTATCCACTATGGAAGTGGTATGGGGCTACTTTGTTAGCTGTTCCTGGGCTGAGGTGCGTCACAGCCCAGCCCAGCACAACTTTTTGTAGAGTCACACACCAAAACCAGAGAATAATTTTCGGAGGTTCTTCTTATCTTATCAGCCGTGCCGCCATTTTTCTTCACGACGGGCCGCCCTACTTATCCCCCTCCCCTCCTCCTCTAGAAACCATTTCCAACAGAGTCACAGTCTCTTGTGTCCTTCACATACATCGACATCCTAGACGCTTGACTCGGGATACAGAAGGGCAACCTCGCCAGCGGGACGGTTCAACTTACGCATTGATACGTGCAAATTATCCGCTGCAATGCCTCTCAACTTCAACCTGGCAACCACTCTCGCTGGTCGAGCTCCGGCCCTGCTCCGTCATGGACGCAGGGTCCCGCGAGCTTTGCCCTCTCGCTCATTCTCCTCCGTGAGCCCTCTCTCAGCATCAGCATCATGCCGAGTCTCAATCGCCTCTGCCCGCCCCGCCAACTCGAAGCGCCTGGGCACCCTCAAGGTTATGCGCGCCTACAGCTCCGCCGCTGTTCAGGATGCACCCAACCCCAAGGCCTACCTCGACAGTGGAGTTATCAAGCCTCACCAGACTGTTGATGTCAAGAAGGTTCTTGTCATTGGAAGTGGTGGTCTTGCCATTGGACAGGCTGGAGAGTTCGACTACTCAGGTTAGCATACCCAATATGCAGTGACGCACATCTCACCGACAACTTGCGATTCACTACAAAAAACTCATTTTTGAACATTCAAAATTAACACAATCGAAATATAGGTGCTCAGGCCCTCAAGGCCCTCAAGGAAGCCGGTGTTGCTTCTGTCCTCATCAACCCCAACATCGCTACCATCCAGACCAACCACAGTCTGGCTGACGAGGTCTACTACCTCCCCGTTACCCCCGAGTATGTCTCCTATGTCATCGAGAAGGAGAAGCCCGATGGCATCTTCCTGTCCTTTGGTGGTCAGACTGCTCTCAACCTCGGTGTTGAGATGCAGCGACTCGGCCTCTTTGAAAAGTATGGCGTCAAGGTCCTCGGTACCAGTGTCCGAACTCTGGAACTGAGTGAGGATCGTGACCTCTTCGCCAGGGCTCTGGATGAGATTAACATCCCCATTGCCAAGTCGATTGCTGTCGGCACTGTCGAGGAGGCTCTCGAGGCCGCCGAGACCGTCGGATACCCCATCATTGTCCGTGCCGCCTATGCTCTAGGTGGTCTGGGTTCCGGTTTCGCCAACAACGAGGAGGAGCTCCGCAACATGGCCGCTCGATCTCTTACCCTCTCTCCTCAGATCCTCGTCGAGAAGTCGCTCAAGGGCTGGAAGGAAGTCGAATACGAGGTCGTTCGTGACGCCAACAACAACTGTATCACTGTGTGCAACATGGAGAACTTCGATCCTCTTGGCATCCACACTGGTGACTCCATTGTAGTTGCGCCTAGTCAAACCCTGAGCGACGAGGAGTATCACATGCTTCGAAGCGCTGCCATCAAGATTGTCCGACATCTTGGTGTTGTTGGCGAGTGCAACGTCCAGTACGCTCTCCAGCCTGATGGTCTCGACTACCGTGTCATTGAGGTCAACGCCCGTCTTTCCCGATCCTCTGCCCTGGCCTCCAAGGCTACCGGATATCCTCTTGCGTACACTGCTGCAAAGATCGGTCTTGGACACACCCTTCCCGAGCTCCCTAACGCTGTCACCAAGACCACCACTGCCAACTTCGAGCCTTCCCTCGACTACATCGTCACCAAGATTCCCCGATGGGATCTCTCCAAATTCCAGCACGTCAAGCGCGACATTGGCAGTGCTATGAAGTCTGTTGGTGAGGTCATGGCTATCGGCCGAACCTTTGAGGAGTCTTTCCAGAAGGCCATTCGTCAGGTTGACCCCCGATTTGTTGGTTTCCAGGGTGATAAGTTCGAGGACCTCGACTTTGAGCTCCAGAACCCTACCGACCGCCGATGGCTCGCTGTCGGCCAGGCCATGCTTCACGAGAATTACTCTGTTGACAAGGTCCACGAGCTGACCAAGATTGACAAGTGGTTCCTCCATAAGCTGCAGAACATCGTCGACTGTACACGTGAGCTTGAGCAGGCTGGTGGTCTTCAGAACCTGAAGAAAGATCAGGTCCTCAAGGCCAAGAAGATGGGTTTCTCTGACCGACAGATCGCCATGGCCGTCAAGAGCACCGAGGACGAGGTCCGAGCCTACCGTCTCAGCTTCGGCATCCGACCCTGGGTCAAGAAGATCGACACCCTGGCCGCCGAGTTCCCCGCCAACACCAACTACCTCTACACCACCTACAACGGCTCTACTCACGATGTCACTTTCGAGGACAACGGTACTATTGTCCTTGGTAGCGGTGTTTACCGAATTGGTAGCTCCGTCGAGTTCGATTGGTGTGCTGTCAGCGCCACTCAGGCTCTCCAGCAGATGGGTGAGAAGACCATCATGATCAACGTAAGTTTATATTCTCCCTTCAGTCCCAATCGGGCGTTCTTCCTTATACGGTGTCGCCGTGATCTCGGCCCCATATCGCCGAAAACGGCCCCACTTTGAACCGGACCTTTTCAAACCTAATCCCAATCTCGTCACAACTTCTATAATCATTTTAAAGGACTTAGACTAATATTTGGCGTTAGTATAACCCGGAGACGATGAGCACAGACTTCGATTCGGCTGATAAGCTGTATTTCGAAGAGTTGAGCTACGAGCGTGTTATGGATATCTACGAGCTTGAGAATTCCAAGGGTGTCGTTGTGTCTGTCGGTGGCCAGCTTCCCCAGAACATTGCCCTCAAGCTCCAGGAGACTGGTGGAGCCAATGTCCTTGGAACCGACCCCAAGGATATTGACAAGGCCGAGGATCGTCAGAAGTTCTCTGAGATCCTTGACAGTATTGGTGTCGACCAGCCTGCCTGGAAGGAGCTTACTTCGGTCAAGGCTGCTGAGGAGTTCGCTGAGGAGGTTGGCTATCCCGTTCTCGTCCGCCCTAGTTACGTCCTGTCCGGCGCTGCCATGACTGTGATCTCAAGCCAGGAAGATCTCAAGGATAAGCTCGAGGCTGCCAGCAATGTCTCTCCCGACCACCCCGTTGTCATCACTAAGTTCATTGAGGGTGCCCAAGAGATCGATGTTGACGGTGTCTCTGCCAACGGCGAGCTCATCATTCATGCTGTTTCCGAGCACGTTGAGCAGGCCGGTGTTCACTCCGGTGACGCCACTCTGGTTCTCCCCCCTGCCAATCTCGATAGCAACACCATGGAGCGTGTCAAGGAGATTGCTGTCAAGGTCGCCGCAGCCTGGAAGATCAGCGGCCCCTTCAACATGCAAATCATCAAGGCCGAGAACCCTGAGGGTGGCGAGCCCCTTCTCAAGGTGATTGAGTGCAACCTTCGTGCCTCTCGATCTTTCCCCTTTGTCAGCAAGGTCCTCGGGACCAACTTCATCGATGTTGCTACCAAGGCCCTCGTCGGCAAGCAGGTTCCTGCCAAGTCTGACCCTATGGCTGAGAAGCGCGACTATGTTGCTACCAAGGTTCCTCAGTTCTCCTGGACCCGTCTCGCTGGTGCCGATCCTTTCCTCGGTGTTGAGATGGCTTCCACCGGTGAGATTGCTTGCTTCGGTAAGGATCTCGTTGAGGCCTACTGGACCTCTCTCCAGTCCACCATGAACTTCCGCATGCCCGAGCCTGGTGAGGGTCTCCTCTTTGGCGGAAACGTCTCCAAGCCATGGCTCACCCAGGTCGTCGACTACGTTGCCCCTCTTGGCTACAAGCTGTACGCCGCTAGCCCCGAGGTCAAGGAGTTCATCGAGAACAAGTCCAAGACCAAGGTCGAGGTCGAGGTTATTGAATTCCCCAAGGAGGACAAGCGTGCCCTCCGTGAGGTTTTCAAGAAGTACGACATCCGCGGATGCTTCAACCTGGCCCAGGCCCGAGGCAAGACCACGCTGGACGTCGACTATGTTATGCGCCGAAATGCCGTCGATTTCGGCGTCCCCCTGTTCATGGAACCTCAAACCGCTATCCTCTTTGCTCAGTGCATGAGCGAGAAGCTGCCCCGCCCCGAAGGCATCCCCGCTGAAGTCCGCCGATGGTCCGACTTCATCGGTGGAAAGCCCCTGTAAATTATAACTGGCGTTTTTGTGATTGGAAAAGGGGTGGATTTGGGAGTTATTCGAATGTGTGTGATAAACCTTTATGATAATATTAGTAGTCAAATCTACAAATATGACAAGTTTATGATATCCTTTACTTAAGTTGTGATGATATAGATGAAGTCATCATAAATTATACATGTCTCTCTTCTGACTTCGTGGTATTTGTGAAGTGTTCTAAGATGGGGCCGTAGAAAATAATCATAAGTTTACATAAAGTCGTACAAGAATAATAGATCCAATGTCAATAAAGAAAAAAAATTCAAAGATTATGTTATGTTGAGTACCTACTGACATTGAATCAGACAGAAATCATCTATATCTCGATCATAGCTGATATAAAATGATGCTGAGGGAACAAAACTGAAGCGAAGTTAGTAGACACAACAGTACAATTATCATAGCTTAAACAAGTCTTAGCCAAGATAATCAATCACCTTGGCTGAAATCAATTTAACAACATGATCATTATGATTTGAATAAATCGTGTTTGATATGATGATTGGGAACGATCTATCCAAGATAGCTCGCCTGAAAACGGGATCTAAGCCTGACTGTGATCAAAACCTCGTTCGATGTACTCTTGAAGCGCCAACATAATGGACATCACTCAATTATATCACGTTAAGCACATATAAACATGTACAATTCTTTTGATTCAAGCTGAGGAAGCCGCCCAATGAAAGTATTGCCTATATGCTCCGATACCTGTCCTTAACGCCGCCTCAGCTATACATGCAATATCATCTTCCACGTGAAGGAAGTTAAGAAAACATCTAGCAAGAAAACCGAATCCAGCCTCACCACTTTTTGGGTTCCACGTCTCATCTAAACCTCTATCTGACCCCTATTGTCTTCCCTTCTACCCAATACCTCTTTATTGACTAGGGTGGCGGTGGATTGGCGGACTTGGTCCAGCGCTCGTTTAGCCTGAAGGCAGCAAATCGCTTAGCAAGGGGTTCTCCCGAGTCGCGAATGGAATTTTGAAAAGAAGAGGATGAGGAGGAAGAGGGCGAGGGAGCACCGTCCTCCTCCCGCTGACGCTTGGGGATTCTCTCACCAGTCGATTGAAGGATGGCCTGGAGGGTCTGCCAACCCTCGGTAGAACGGAGCTGGAATGTATCGGCAAGATCGTGTTGGCTCGCTACACGGCAGAGTAGAGCTTCTTCGTCCTATGAAGGCTGTCAGTAGCTTTCTTATACATGTCAAAAACAAGCGCACCTTGGAGAGGACGCCCATCTGCTGAATGAAGCAGAGAAGGTGAAAGTTGGAGACCTCCTGGCCCGTGGGCTTCTGACCAGGTGATAGCTTGAGAAACTTGGACAGAGCGGAATGCTCTTGACTCTCGCCGACATATTCTCTGTTCTCGATAGGGAAACCTTGCTGAGTGAACATAGGCTTAGGGTCCGCAGGGAAACCGTGGGTCAGTGTGACAAACAGATACTCGACGGGGAACGATGGTTTGGCGTTCTCCTGGACGTTGGCGCCGTATTCGTTGACCCTGCGGTAGAAAACTTCAGGGATATATCTTGTACGGCTGACAGAGCCGTCGTCTTCCTCCTCATCGCGTACAAGCATGACATTAGGGTCAGCTGACGGCTCAACAATGTCAGCACGAACCATTTCCACAGACTCGTTGGACATCTGGTAGGAGGAGATCGAAATCTCGCCCTGCTCATTACCGGTGATGATACATGTGACAAAATTTGAACCAAAGCTGCCTGTGTCACTCCACTTGGAAGGTTTAGGGTACTGAGCTTGCAACCTCGAAGAGAAACAAATCTCCAGGGAGGACAAGAAGTAGGAGTCGGCATGACGTTTGCAAACCACTGTGCCATCGCCGTTGCCAGCATCCAGCAAGTCAGTCCAGATTACTCCCACGGGCTCTAGGCCGCACTGCTTGGCGACCCTGTCGACCTCCTTTTGCGACTCCCAGGCGTTCATTGTGATACCATCAAGCTCATCAACCTGAGGAGGTTCATATATGGCTTCCACGACAGCTTTAACACCAAGGGGGACTTCAGTGTACTCAGTATATTTTCCGTAAAGGTAACCTAGGCGTTGCGATCCGGTCTTTCGCCAGGTGTCAATAAAGGTGTCGATAATAGCAGGCGAAGAGAACTCGACATGATCGACCATTCGGAATTGTTGAGGCTGGAGAGTAATGGCGCTGGGCTGACACTTGGTGCAGATACCCTCAGGCCAAGGGGGATGACCAGAAGGGCACTCATGCCTGACTCGATAGTAGGGCTCAACCAGGGGAGGAATGTATGAAGCGCCTAGCTCGGGCTTGTTGGTCGCAGCATTGATCTTTCGTAGGTATGAGTGGAAGGATAGGTATTTGATCTTCTTCTCCGCGAGATATCCGGGGTTGAAAGGATCGAGTGGTTGGCAGTAGTCACACATGCCCTTGGGACCATGGCGACACATGCGATCGATGCCTCGGGGGATCTTGCCATCCTGTCGGTCTAATCGGTCGTCCAAGGCGGATTGGCGAATTACTTCCCAAGGCCTGGCGATCCTTTCGGGTTTGGGGTTGATGGGAAGGTCTTCGGTCGGTAGTACAGGTTTTCCGTTAAGCCTGGCAGATGTGTTAGAGGTTTCGGGTGCGTCACCGTTGGCAGCGTCGGCATGTTGGTAGGTGAGAAAGATGAGATCGCCGTGCCTATGAGGTTAGTTTGGTTGATCTGTGAGAGGTCATGAGCGCGACTAACTTGAGGCCAATCTGACCAACTTTGAAGTTGACGATGTCCCCTAGGCGCTTTGAGTCTCCTCCGTTCGGTGCGTTCGATAGAGCTAGAGTTTTGGGATCAACGGTCTTGGGTAGTTGATCGAGTAGCTAGAAGGCCAGAGTCAGCACAGACAGCTCGGTACGGGCTCCGAGACAACAGACCAGCTTTCCCAGATCTCCAAAGGTAGTTGTGGGCTCGACATTCAGACGGGCCATGCCATCGGGGCCGCGGAGTCGCAGCAACATGGTGAAAGATATCAAAAGAGCTGTCGCTATGATCTTTGGTGGGGTCTTTCGTGCTCTCTTTGCTGCCTTTGGAGGTTGAGTATTCTTGGTTTGTAGAGAAAGAAAGGATCTATAAAAAGAGGATAGCTGGGAGATAAGCGGGAACGAAAAAGAAGAGCCTAGAAGATGGAGTTGAAACGCAATGAATCAACAGCATGAAGAGAGTGAAGTTGAGCGGTGGTAGGTAAGGTAGCTCTAGACTCGGTACGTATCTTACCTAAGGTGGCTCACACGAAACCATGTACCTCCGCTAACTCGAGCACAGCGTCATCTAGCGGTGCCTGCGATTGCTTATCTAATGCTCGAGTGACGTCGCACGGCAGTCAAATCCAGGGCCCATCCGCCTGACAGCATACACACCAGCCACAATTCCAGGAGCCACTTGGTAAAGCTGAAGCGTAATCTGGCCTAAAGTTGGATCTGCGCCACACCACCACTAATTGACAGTTCCTTATTGCATTCGTGTCTGTCTGTACATTGGACTCGACTCATACAAACCAAAACCCAAGTCACGGCCGGCTCGACTTGTTTCTTTACACTCGTTTTCTTTTTAATTACAGTACGGACGATCTCATATTCTACTTTTGCAACTTTCATCATTCATCATGCTCAACATCGATTGGAAGGGCCTTGCCCTCCCCTTTGCCTATGTTCTCGTCCTCGGCAGCGCACTCATGACATTCTCGACAATCTACCGAAAAAGAAAAGCTGGTATGCCACAGAACCAGATCGCCAAACTGAGGAATATGCTAACATACCAAAGCTGAGAGCGCCAACTTGGCTCCGTGGTTCGGCCCTCACCTCCAGCGCAACGTCTACCTGTCCCTGCTACACCTCGAGGACGGCTCCGAAAAGGGACCCAAGATTCCCGAAAGCGTTCTACGAGCTGCCCTTTTGCGTCGCGCCGTCGAAGATATCCGTCGTCTGATCCAGATCAAGTCTGCGAAGCAAGCATGTGGTTCTCTGCTGCAACGAGGCAGTGTGGGTGATGATCTGTGGCAGCGATTCCAGCGCGCCGAGAAGGAGATGGAGGAGGAGCTCAGAGATGTCGTCACAGAGGTATGATAGCCGGCGTAGTCCGACTGCAAGAGATGAACACATCATTGACAACTATAGGCCAACGCTCTCGCACCAAACTGGGGCCAGTCCATCTTCCAATCCGCCCACGAAATGACCGCCAATGCTACCATGCGCAGCTCAATCGAAGAGATCCTCGCCCAAGCCGAGTCAGAGAAGCAGTGGTGGGAGAAGCGCCGAGGACAGATCCAGTCAGAGTTCATGAAGGAGCTCGACGGCTCTGAGCAGAGCTCTTCTGCCAAGACTGCCAGCGAGGAGGATGCCGTCATGGTCGACACGCCTTCAAAGAAGAAGGGCAAGAAGTAAACAGTTGGAGATGTCCTGTGTGGGTTGCAAGAATATGGGATTGGGGTGTCTTTATAGGTATATACATGGTTCCGGACCTACCTCTTCAAATTTTGGTTGTAGTATACCACATGTCACTTTGTTGCAAGGCGCACACTCTTGGTGTGTATGGGAAGAAGGGAGGGAAATCCACACCAGCGGCGTTGAGGTTGACTTTTGAAAATAGTAGCATGGGCTTCTTCTCTATTGATATATATGTATAGGCTCTTTCACCTCGCCTTACTCCCTTGAAAATGCAGTGATGCACGCTGGCTAGTGGCCATGTCTAGCAATGCGACCGACCCAAGATGCAGCAACAAGAATGCAGAGAACACGCAGAAAGGACATGCAAAACTCCTGAAAATCAAATACCCCCAAAGATTGAAAGCAGACTGTCCTCCGTTATTAATCACAGTAACACCGTATGCCTCGGATTGCTTGATGCATTAGGAAAAGTGCTTTCGCCTCCAAAGATCCTCTTCGGCTGCGAGTCTCGCCTTTCGTGCCTCTGCTAGGATCTCCTCCTCCGTCTTAAGAAGGATGGGGGATTCACAGCCCCGAAGACCGATAAACTTGCCCATCTTGCGTCGCTTCTCCTCAAGAGGCAGATCAGATCTCCAGGTGACTGGGCAGGGGTACTGATTTGTCCAAGGCGATGGCGTCCTCTGGTGGTAGAAATGTGCAAGCGACTCTAGCTGCTCATCGGTGAGGAGCCAAAAGTTGAGGACCGTGGTGGGAAAAGAAGGATGAACAGCGCCTGTGGTGAGCTGGACAAGAGGTGCAAGTGGAAGAGCCATCTGTTCCAGCTTTCGTTGAAGATTTGGGTTCTTTGCGAGTCTTCGCTGACCAAAGGCCCTGTGATGCCGTGAAGGAATCTCTCCTCGCATCATTCTGGCGGTTGTTGTAAGTGGTGACGATGGTGAGCGGTTGGCTTGTAAGAAGAAGAGAGGAAGAGGAGAGATTGAGTGTCTGGGGCAATGATGTATCAAGTATTTGTAGTAGTCAAGAGGTCAAAACAGCCCAATCTCTTATTCTCTGCAAGATTCACTTCTGAGTAAGAATATTTCTTGGTCTATGATCAACGATCACAAGATCATACGTAATGTGATGGTGGATTGGATTGGATTGGCTTTGGCGGGGTGGCTATCGACAAGCGAAGCGAACAAGCGGTCTTCTCCGTAGAGTCCGGTGAGTGAGTGAGTGAGTAAGTAAGTAAGTAAGCAAATGAATGAATGAATGAATGACAACACAGACTCTTGTTTGAGTTTCGTAGTCAATTCCTTGATCTGCGGGAGGTCCAACTTTGGTTAATCAGAAGAACAGAGACGGACAGAAAAGCAGAGGGTGGGAGGGATATATAATAGACAAGAGGCTATGCTATGGACTTCTTTAGTTGAAACAAGATTCTGACCTCTCTTTCTTTCTTAATACCAAAGCAAGATCTCTCCCCGCCCTTTGGGTCTTTGGGTCTGGGAACTAAAGCAAGACTAAGATCGCGAACAGCCAGTTGAAGGGTCTTTGTGACCGAAGCCGTTCGATTGGCCTTGTTTCTTTTGGAACAGGGCCTCACCTCCCGGGCACCTTGCGCAGTGAACAGCTCAGCTCGACTTAGCAGCTACACGTTAACTAACCCACACACCCCCCGAGGCGAGGAGAGGACCCAGACGAGATGCTGTTCTGGGTAAAGTCTTCTTTGACTGCCTGAAATCGACAAGCTTAGGCCTTGAACCGCTTTGAGCTCCAGGGTTTAACTCTGGGTTTGGCGTGGCCTGTGAGACATGGAAGAAAAAAAAAGGTTTCCAACAAACAGCAACTCGACTGCGTTAGACGCAATTGGGTTGGTCGGAGGTGCTTTGTCTATGGGAACAAGAGACCCCAACAGCGGATGGAGTGGAATGTGACTTGGAGCCATTAGTTGGTCATGACTCAAAAGCAAGACAATGAGATGGGGGAATAAACAGTATCTTTACCGCTACTCTTTTTTCTTTCTTTCTTTCTTTCTTTCTCTCTATTTTGGTTCATTGTTTCATTGATTGATTGATCATAAGGGCAATCAATCCCTTGAGTGTTAACCTGGGTACGTAGATAAGGTAAGGTAGCTTGGCCAACTGAGACCTCAATATAGTAGCTATAGCCGTTCACCGTTATCGTTCATTCACATGATGCTTTGTTCTATGCAGTTCCCTCCGCTCCCGGCGTCTAATCATGTATCTACCTGCATGTCTTGGATTTTGCTGCGTTGGCTGTAACCGTGACTTGACTTTCACCCTCCACTTTCACTCCCACACTCTCTCGCTCTCATACTCACTCTCACTCACAGTCTCACTCGCTCTTGGTTCCCAGCCACCTCGTGTCTTAGTTCTTCAATGTCTTAGACTGACGACACCTTTTCTCTCCTCGTCTTTTTGCGGCCTATCACTAGGTCCCTCAGTGGCCATTGGGCTCGACCTCGGTTTCGATCTCAAACCCCCTCAAAAAGAAAAAAAAACCTGTTTCCAGACATGGTTAATCCCGTCTCATCCCCTCAAATACAAAGGACCATCCCCATTTGGCGGTTGCAGTCTTCAATCTTCTCGCCATGTCTCTCTTTCTCAAACTTTGTTCGACCAATGCAATCGCAATCCCCATATTCAGAGCCACTTCAGCTTGGCAATGTGGTCCGCTTTCTTCTTGCTTGCTTTGACGAATCCCAAAGCCCTCAGCTCAGCCAGCGCACGGTAAAACATTACCAGCGACTTGCGTTCGTCTGTCTCCTCCTCGCTTACAAGTGCTGAGAATGCAGCCCAGAGATCTGCCACGTTGATGAGGCTCCCAGTCTCTGTGTATAGGCGGTATAAGAGCGCCGTGGCCGGCAGAGTTGCCGGTGTTTCTCCATCGCCTGGCTTGCAGCATGAACATGACAAATAGTCGTGCGGCCTGGTGAGGCTGCGTTCTAGAACGGCCCGTGGTCGAGGCACGAATACATCTCGCGACGGAGCTCGAGAATCGTACAACCAGCTCTCCGACAACAAAAGAGACCTGGGTCTGACAAACTGAACATGCGTGACTAATAGCCCGGTGAGGTCGTCGATGGCCTGAGTAAGTTGCTTGTCTTCATCTGTAAGTGCAGCTGAGTCTTGACTTAATTGAACTCTTTGTGCAATCACAGTTGTGCGCATCACTTTACTCTGCCCGCTGTACTTGCTCCGTAGTGTAATCCCCTGCTCTTCTGCCTTTGATTGTAGCTCTTCCAGATCGACAAGTTGTCTTGTCAGTGCATCTCGAAATTCAAGGTCCGTTTGCTTCGTTGCTGGACCGAGAAGTAAGCCACAATCTCCTTTCTGCAAGATTGATACAACCTTGCGAAGCATGACCAGCAGCTCGCCGACGTCCATACGTCGTACCGACTCAATAGCTCTCGAGTTCTCAGTGATTGAAACGCCCTCATCCAAAGCTTCCGCATATGCTCTTGAGAACTCAATGTCTTGCGATTCTGTTTCTCCAAGAATAAGAAGTGACCGCAAAAAATCCTCAACAGATTCTTGACGACGGGCTAGACTATCTTGAACTCGCGTAACGAGAAACTCGTCGTTCTCAAGCAAACCTTTGGCGTATTGCACATTATCCAAGATGCCAGATTCTACTGCCTGCTCAACATTTTCCCTGAAAGAATCAGTATGCCGAATGGCCTCGATATGCTCGGCTTGCAACGATGCGGTATGCTCGAGAACGCTGAGTGGATTCGCATAGAAATGACACATATAAGCGTACTATTATTTGTTAGCTACCATCAAACTCATTTATATTATCTGTTCGAAGCTCACCTTCAATGACATAGTGAATGTTTGAATGCCTGAAACCTGGTCATGCTGACGATCAAGCAGGCTGCGGATGAGCGATGCTCCCAGTACTACAGGAGCATCAGATGTTGCTACCGCTGTTTTGAAGACTGTCTCGAGAATGGCCGAGGTCTGAATCACATCAAACTGCGCTCCATAAATTTGCTGACAAGAAGCCTTGAGTAGTCTGGCTTGGAGAAGCTCGACTGATGTGGCGATACCAAAGAGGAGAGTAAATGGTATACGAGGGCGCCAAGAGCTTGGTTACGTGTTAGCAGCAGTGAATGAAGTGTCGGAGGCAGAGACGTACTTGAAGAGAATGATCAAATCCGATAATAAACTGCTGTCGAAACCTTCACTGTCTTGAAAGGCGACAAACACATGCTCTACATTTTGGGGTTTGATAAATGCATACAGCGCTTCAAGATCATAGTCGAGATACCTTCGTCCCTGTAGAGAATGAGTGTTGTTCTGTGAAAATGCGGATGACTCACCTCTCGACCGTCACTGACTTCAAGATCATCATCCTCATCAGTGGAGGCTTTGGCTGTGACATCTCGAATAATCTTCTTCAACGTGGCTTTCAGCGTCGATGCCTCTGATGACCGCAAACCAACAAACTTGCTTGATGTTGTTTGCTGAAGTGTCTCCGATAATTGTTGAAAGAGAAGATCTTGTGATGCGATGTTAGGTCCTGTGATGATGAATGCTGAAGGGATTCTATCCCCACTATCCAAATATTAGAGGTTGCAGGTATATCAGGAGTACGACTCTTACGATTCTGTCACTGCGTCTTTGGCAAACTCGCTGACTTCATTGAGAGTCTCGAGATTTGAAGTTTTGAGTATTCTCTAATTCATATGAGCGATACATCAGGTGAATAAGCTTCGTTCACTCACCTCGATCCGTTCATCAATCTTAGCCCAGCTTTCCTGGAACAATCTCTCCCTTAATTTGACGAACTCGGGTTTCTCAGCACCATTGAGAAGAGGCACAAAAGCTGATGAATCTTTCACTATTTCTGCAGAATCCTGGCCCTGCTTAGATCTTCTTCTCCGCTTGGCTGGCTTTTGGCGTGTCCCATCGTCTTCAGGGTCGAAGACATATGCGACCTGATGACCGAGTTAGTGAAAGCATTGCACAAGTTTCATGATTATAGTTTTAGTTACCTGATGATCCTCTTGGCTATATGTGTCCTGGTTGATGACTTCACGGGCCATGATCAAGAGTTTTATGCTGCACAAGTTATTGAAGTCTTGAAGGATGAAGAAGCTCCTGAGCTTGGATCGAGGGTGAAGGTCAACGCGTTTTAGACAGTAAATAAACATGATCGCACTGTATTACGCACTGTATCCCAACAACCAGCAAGATCGTATCGTACATACAATCACTCAGATTTCACAAAGCAAGATGCCTAGACAATGACTGATATATACGATCTGTACGGGTTCCTATACTATTCATCGCAAACAAGGCACTTTATACAGAATGCTTCTAATTCTTTGTCCCATTCATCATCTGTATGCTATTGCTCGCCAAATCCTCATTCTCATATGCCTCCTCTCGAAGGTCATCATCTCATTCTTTGAGCTTGCTTCGCTTCGTTTGCCACCCATCCCATATGCCGTCTTGACATCCATACCATGCTCGCCTCCTGTCCAAACTGGTTTACAGAGACCCGCGTAAAGCGAGCCTCCTGACCCAGTATTGTTGATTTTTCCCTTTGTACAGTCCCCCCAAAAAGATGTTTCTTGCCTCCGTCACTCCTGAGATCATTATGACTCCAGAGAGTCGTGGCGCACCCCTGCCGCCAGATTTGGCAGATATTCATACAGATACCGAAAAGACGCAACGCGACGAAGTCACTTTTACCATAGTTGTTAAGAAAAGCATAAGAAAAAAGTAGAAAATCGGGAAAAAGGCCAGTGTTTGTGGACCATAACCGTGACGCCATGAAACAAATTGCTCTAAACCACCGTGAGCTGACCCGTAACTTAGGCTGCAGCTTCAACAGGCTCGGGAGGAGCGACGGTCTTGTTTTTCGGTTAGTCAAACTCATAACAATAGGGCTTATTTTCTACTTACATCGTCCTTCTTCTCTTCAGGCGCTGATGCTTGTGGTGTTTCCGCAATCTTCTCCTCCTCGGTCTCCTCGGGTTTCTCAGTCTTGGTTCCTTCCGTCTTTGTGGCCTCAGGCTTTGGCTCTTCAGTAGTCTCCTTGCCGCTATCGTCCTTCTTGTCGTCTGGCTTGGCTTCCGACTTGCCATTGACGCCGTTGGTGGCATCAGGAGCAGGGGTGGCATTTTCAGTAGCCAGTAGCTGAGTCCACTGGTCCAGAAGAACCTTGGAACGGTCCTTGAAATGGAAGTCGTCCTCACGGGGGATCGATTCCAATTTGAGGATAGCTTTGAGAACCTTGTTGATCTTGGTCGCACGAATGATGGACACCTCAAGGTCCTTCAGATTCTCCAACATGGTGACGTATTCGGACATATGTTCCATCTCTGATTCCTGGGGTTGCTGATCTCTGGTGAGGAGACCTCGTTGAAGCTTATGACGGAGATATAACACTTCCTTCTGTAAAGGTGTCAGTAAATTGATCGGTCAAAATACAGTTGTATTTATCTCACCTCCTTGTGGTGTCTTCGCTCCTCGGGTGTCATCTTGGCCTTCTTGGTGGTCTCAGCCTTCTTATCAGACGACTTCTTGACCTTGACTTTGGTTTTGGCAGCAGATTCCTCTTTGGCCTTAGGAGTGCCATTAGCGGCCTTAGGCGTTGATGTATTGAGCTTAATCTTAGGTTTCTTAACGGATTCAGGCCGTTGCGGTGTCTAGCAGTTTTATTAGCAAAATGAATCAGCAACAGCGTGTTGGAAGAATTACACTGGCGTCATCCTCAGCCTTGCGCTTCTTGGACTTGGACTTCTCTGAAGCATCGTCGGCGTCTTCCATCTCGACGTCTTCGTCGGCAGCTTTGGCCTTGCCCTTCTTGCTCTTCTTGGGTGTCGCAGCAGCTTGCTGCTTGGCAAGTAGTTCATCTTGGAATTGCTTAAGCACGTCCTTGTAGTGTTCGATAGAGTTGTGTTCGGCAGCGAGCGAGAATGCCTCCTTCAAATCTTTGCGCATTTTCTCGGTGATGGTCTCTCTGGCCTTTTCAGGAGTAAGCTCTGTAAGTCCAGTATTGGGTACCCAACCACTGTAGTCAGGTTAGCGATGTTCGGAAACAGTAATGAGCGGTAACTCACAATTCATTCGTGTGGAGATACATGACTGGGAAGGTTCTGTCGTTGACACGTTTGCCACCATCAGCATATGCCTCGGTATAGGAGCCATCAGGTCGCGCAGCAGCTACAGGGCGGCTATCGACCAGAGCTTGAGGCAACATCGATTCATCGCAAATGATGGCAGGCCAAGCGGGAAATCCTTTGAGCTTGACCAAGAAGTGGTCTCCAGGCTTGGCGTCTAAATGCGTGAGACGCGCCTTGGAGGCTTTCTTGCTCAGGCTCTTGCGGCTGGCACCGCCAGTCGACTTTCGTCTATTGTTCTTCGCCTTTGCTAAGGCAGACTCGGTGGCGGCGTTTTCGGTTGCTGTCTCACCATCGGCAGATGGAGCGGAGTTCTCGGCCTTGGTCTCCCCGGCAGCCGGGGCCTCAGTCGCGTCCTTCATTTCGATATCTGCACCCTCTTGAGTGGGCTTTGAGTCCTCCTTTGGTGCTTCGGCCGCGTCTTTATCTTCGGCGGGTTTCTCTGAGTTTCCAACTTCTTTGGTTTCTGTTGCGCGATGTGGTCAGCATGGATCTGACAAAGGGAAGGACGCGCCTGAGCGACAGAGCACACGAGAAATCAAAGCGCGATTTCTATGGCAATGCGATCGAGTGCGCAATGAATAGCAAACGCTTCGTAATCATAACTTACCCTCAGCGGTCTTTGTATCTCCCTTGTTTGCCTCGCCATCGGCCTTTGCGGCTTCGCTTCCGATCGATGATGGCTCAGTAGGCTTCTCAGCGGCAGGAACTTCCTGCGCGCCGGGAGCAGTTGCCTCAACCTCAGGCTTCTCGTTAATCTGGTCGGCCATGGCAAGAGCGTAGATAATGTTTTCGCTTGTCACAAATCACAGGAGCCAGAAGTAGAACTCCAGCTCGCAAAAGATAGGCGAACGCGTAGCGGATGCTGTATTGCGCGTGTCAATGGAGCGCAAGGTTCGTAGAGCGATGGCAATGATATGTTGGCGATGATTTGCGCAATTGATGATGATGGGCGCCTCTTCGAGTTGTGCCGCGATGTTGGGGTTGACGAAGAAAAAACGCTGGTGTGAGTTGATGGGCTGGACTGGGCTTTGCAAGGGAAACAGAAGCACTTTCAAACGTCACCAGAGCATCGGTCACGTGATGGGTATCTGGCATTTGCGCTGCGCTGCGCTGCGGGCGGCGTCATCCCCAACCCCAGGCTCTCTCCCTCTCACACACGACATCAAAGGCCCAGCGCGTAGTCGACGCTGATTCGACGCCCTGGTATACAAGACCATCGGAGGGACGCGTCCGTAGTCTCTTTTCTCACCATCTTCACTGCCCAATTCCCGGCAAAAGTCACGTCGTGGGCCTAGCTCTCTCTGGACGCGTTTGGCGTTGTGAACACTAGATCTCAACACCTCGCGCCTCTTTCACTCGTGATGCATTATTAGACATACACTCAAATCGGCTTGTATCCAGAAAACTCATCTCAAAAAGCACATCTCAGTCATAGTCCCGAGTTGATAGATTCGATTATTATCTCCTAAATCCGCATTCGTAGTCTTCAGTAGTGTACAACGCCATCGCTGGCAATCGCCGTGGTAATTGTAATTCAGAGTGAGCTTTGAGCTTCTACTCCTCGTCTTCGTCCTCGTCCTCGTCCTCTTCATCATCATCCACGTCCATGCCCTCGGCTGCTGTAACCGAAAACTCCCGCTCCTGGTCGACTCCAACATAACTATCACTCATTAGGAACAGCTTCAGATCATGCTCACCAGGTGATGGCACAGTGTACTCGAGGCGAACGTTCAGTTCCCGCCCGATTGTCACTCGCTTGATGGCCAAGAGGCTCTTGGTCTTCTCATCACCAACAACCAACCACCAGTTCTCCATCTTCTTGGATGGGTAGAATGGTGCGTGTACGGTAGAGTCATAATCGCCGTCCTCCTCTTCCAAATTGCGAGCAATCTTGATGTTCAGGTAGGCCGGTTCACCTGCCCTGATCTCACCCTCGTCAAGAACCTCATGTTCAAGTTCCAGGTCAGGATACTTGTCGTTTGTGAAGTTTGCGGCCTGTGCCAATTGGTTTTGTGACAAGCCAAGTCGCTTAACAAGCTTGTTGTAATCGGCATTCTCATCCGGGTTCATGGCTTCCATGAAATCAAAGATATCCTTGATTCTGCGAACAAAATTAGCTGACGGTCCGACCAATTTATCACTAAGTACGTACCCAAACTCATTCGCCACCTTGACAACCTCCGGTGAGAAGTGAGGAATTTGTTTAAGAGGGCTGTCCCGATCCCACATTCCCTGAACAATCATCTGTGACATCTCCATAGCGCTCATGGCGTTGAGATGTCCCTCCGAAGACAGAATGTCGACCATGGCACTAAGAAGGCTCAACACCCTCGACAGCAGGACCTCCTGGTCCTTTGCAAGATCAATTGGCAGCTGCATGCGGGAGAAGTGAGACTGGAGCAAGACGAAGGATTTGAAATGAGGGGAGTCATAAACTGGTTCAGACATCTTGACAGGCACTCGGTCGTAAATGCGTCGCAACAGACCATCCTCATGACGTCGAATCTGGATCGACTCGAACTCTGTTGCTGAAGTGACGATTTCCATAATACCTTTGAGCTTCGTGCGAGCGCTCAAAGAGAGCAGGAAAGTCTGCATCGTGATGTAGGAAATGTTATAGTATGCCGCAATCATGGCTGCGTTTTGAGGTGCCACGGATCCGTCATCCTCGTCAAACTCAATGATCTTGGATTCGCTGAGCTCACGGAGAGTTGTCTCAACCAAGTCGGACATGTAGTTGCTGAGGCCCTCATGCGTTGTGCTTGTCAAGCTATAATAACTTGGGTTGGCAAGCAGCCTTCGATAGAAGTAGGTGAAAGTAGTCCAGTTGATCGCATCGTCACCCGACTCGATCATCTTGGTGCTGATCTCTGTCACGAAGACATCGTGCAAGTAGTTGTGCAGATGCGACTCAACAGGAAGGGCCTCATTTAGGAATTTCTTGTAGTACTCGCGCTTGACTTGGGGCAGCATAAGGACGCCTCGGCCTCTGCCGTCCTTGGAGGGTCTAAGAGCTTTACCGAACATGTGCAACACCTCACTGAGAGGGTAGTCAACATATCGATGCTCTCGGCCTTCAAAGTATTGTGTGCCCATAACAATAACGAGATGAGCCGTGCTGTTGAGCTCCCAGCAAACATCGCGTGAAGCAACAAGCACCTGGATAGCACCATTGTCGTAGAGATGCTTAACAATTCGCTTGTCACTCTGGCTAAGAGCCTCATGGTAGTAGCCAACACCGTGAGAGAGGGCTTCGGCGAGAGCCTCCTCGTTGATGCGTTCAAGCAGAGGCTTCATTTGCTCTACCTCAGCGTGAAGGAAACGGTCCTCATCATCGTCAGCAAAGGCTGCAGCCAACAAATCCCGGGCAGTTGCACGAGTCTGCTTGCGGCTGGGCACAAAGATCATGGCAGGCTTGTCAGGAGACATTTGTGTGATGGCCAGATACGTGGGCTTGGCCATGGCAAGCATGAGAGATGGGAAATGAGTATTTGTGAATGACTGGAGGTGAAGCTCAAGAGGGACCGGTCGAACATGTGGACTGAAGTTATAGATGTCGTGCTTCTTTGCATCGATCCATTCACCAATGTCTCGAGCGTTCGCCAGCGATACACTCAATGCGACAATTCGCAGGGGTAATTCTGTCTGTGTGCGGATGTAATGCATACGAGAGACGATCGTCTCGTACACATAACCTTGAGAACTACCAAGGAGATGGACCTCGTCAGCAATAAACAGTTCAACTGTCTGAACGTTCTTGCGTCGCTTCCATTGTCTTGATAGCACATCCCACTGAGTTGGGGTTGCCAAGATCAAGTCGCCCTTTTCCAACAGCTTGAGATCTGTTGCCGTCTCACCAGTAAGCTTCACTATCTCTTTGCCGCCATTGAGATGGCTGAGCCTCTTCTGCCAATCTTGGAGGCGAGAGTCAACGAGTTCTTGGAAGGGGGCAATATACACGGCACGACCAACATCGCCCTTTGTCCAGTGCCTTAGAAGAGCAAATTCGGCACAAACAGTCTTGCCGCTACCTGTGGGAGCTCCAATAAACACATTCGCATCAGTCTTATACAGCGAGTTGAAAGTCTGTGTTTGGATTCTGTTGAACTGCTTCCATACAGGATAGAGATCAATGTAGCTTGACACCTTGAGGGCAGAAACGGGGAGAGGCTGAAGCTCGAGAAGTTCTGTATGAGGAGGGAACTTCTCAGGCAAGATCAACTTATGGAAAGGAACAGGAAGTCTGGTCTCAGCATGCATCCATCGGTCAGAGATAACCGAAACGAAGTAGTTTGGAGGCATTGGATCTGTGATAGGAACGGTGAAGTCGACAATGTGCTCATTTTGCTCCGATTCGGCGTATTCCTTGCGCAACAAAAAGGTGTCGTGGTAAAGTATGTCTTCTCCATCGCAGTCCTCAACAATAATCCAAAAGCTCTCTGCGGCGCCGTGGATAGAATCGTCCCACTCAAAATTGGGTGTGATGCTCAGTTCAACACGTAGCATCGATCTTGTCATAGGTTGAACTTGAGCCTGGACTTCGACTCGCGGGAACTTGTTGACCAAGCCACATACAGTACGGCCGGCTCGAGGAAGGCCAAGAAGCTCACCCATACGGGGAGGATCCAGATCAAAGTAGCTGCTCCAAGACACATCGATTTTCTCAGCCTTCTGAATAACATCCCGAGGACAAGAGGGGAACTGTCGAAGAGGTGACATTGTTGGCCACATCCGCTTCTCGGCCATCTTACAGAGGTCCAGAGCAGTCTTCGCAACGGATGCCCAGCCTTTCTTCATTGCGATCTCAAAGATAGCGCGCAAGATACGGCCAGCAGATTGCGTAACGTACACCATGTCGGCCATGAGCGCGAGACCATCGAGCTTGAGGCGCGAGATGTATGCTTGCAAGAGGACATTGATCTTGGCGTGGGGTTCCTCAATGCTCTCTTTGACGGGGATTGGGACTCGGCCCAGCAGCTTAGCCAACTCAAGCTTCTCATCCTGTCGAACAGGGATATACTTGAATTCAGCACTGAGGGCGAAGACACGGAAGAGCTCGATCGTAGTGATAGAAGGCTGGATGAGGTTGTTGTAAGTCTCCATAGAACCGAATGTGATATAATAATGCGAAGCGATACGACCGAGCTCAGTTGACTGGAGCTTTCCAGTCTTTTCATCATACTTGATGAGATTTGACTTTCGCAGAACCATGGCGGCAGAATGAATCAAATCAACTCGCTTCTGCTCAAGAGCCACATCATCTTCGTACTCTGCGCCCACCTGGTAAAGTCCAGGCGAGCGAAGCATTCTGACAAAGAGGTATGTGTAGCCCAACCACTCAACGCCCTCATCACGAGTCCTTACGTTGCCAAGGACGATTTCGGCATTCAGGTTGTCCACCAGCTTGCTGACAAACTGACTCTCAATCGGAAGCTGCTGATTCAGAAGTGAGAGATAGTATTGCATTTCACTCTGTGTCGTAATGATGATACCTTCTCCATAAGTATCGTATTGGGGTCGGCCTGCACGTCCAAGCATCTGAAGGACGTCTTGAGGGCTGAGCTCAACCCAGCTACCCTTCTCGGGGGAGTAAACCTGTGTTCCCTTGATGACAACTGTATGGGCGGGCAAGTTTACACCCCAAGCCAGTGTAGCAGTACACACCAGGACCTGGATAGCACCATGGGCAAAAAGGTTTTCGACATCTGTCCTGTCAGCTCGGCTCATACCAGCATGGTGGATGCCGAAACCATATGGCAGAATATCCTTGAGGTCTTGGTCGGTTGCCTGAGAAGACGCTTCATTGAGGACCTCACGGCTACCAGCATCGTGACGAAGGATCTGGTTGATTGTGTCTGACTCAAGAGCCTTATCGCGGATGTAGCGAGCAGTCTTGGCAGTCTCTTTTCGGGAATGCACAAAAATAAGCATCTGGTTACGGTTTGTGCCCACATGCTCGATCACCTTGTTGTAGCAGACGTCGTTCATGGTCTTTAGCTGCTTGATGGCTTTACGGTCAGTGACACCAACAAACTCCTGTCGCAGAGGACAGGGTCGGAAAGATCCGTCAAAGTGGAAAAGACCCTTCTTCGTGTCCACTCGCAAGAAGCTCGCAACATCTTTGTAGTTGGGCAGGGTGGCAGAAAGACCAATGATTCGAACTGGCTCGCCAGTTTGTTCAGTCTTGCGGATGGTTCGGCTAACAATGCTTTCCAGTACAGGGCCACGGTCGTCGTGGAGAAGGTGGATTTCGTCGATAATAATGAGGCGCACGAGGTTGGTGTAGGTCAAGTCATTGGACTTTCTGGTGATGACGTCCCATTTCTCGGGGGTTGTGACGATGATCTGTGTCTCGGCGATTTGTTGCTTGGTAAGTTGACGATCACCTGTCAATTCTGCGACTCGAATACCATACGGCTCGAGCCTACCACCCAGATTGCCAACCTGTTCTTGAACTAGAGCCTTCAAAGGAGCGATACAGACGATCTTAAAGGCGTCTAGATCGATATCGCCGGTCTCAGGGTTGCGATGCTTTCCAATCTCCCGGAGAATAGCGAGCATACCAACATTGGTTTTTCCACTACCAGTAGGAGCACAAACAAGCATGTTTCCATCATCATCGAATGCTGAAGGATAGCACTTGGACTGGATCTTGTTCAAGGACTGATTCTTACTGAAAGGGTTTCGTGACCACTCTGGCATATCAGAAATGGGTATCAAGACATCGCCAGGCTCATTGCGTTTCTTAGGAGTAGGGATGTGAATTTCTTCATAGCCCTTGAATGTCCTCTTGGTTGAGCCTTCTGGTAGCCGGACCTTGGGGTTTGTCATAAGGTGATTTCCTTGATCGAAGACCAGATTATCGAGGTTGATGAGCTTTCGAGGCTGAAGCCCGCCGACAAGTTGGCCCTCGGCACGTTCAGCCTTGGGTCCATCCGCGGTAAAGGAAGCTGGGACATCAATGTCCATCTTGATGTCAATCTTGCCCTTCTTGCCCTCGGCAGTGTCTTTACCCTTGAGTTCGTTGAGAATCCATTGAAGACCCTCTGAGACCATTTCACGCTCAACGTCAGCGCGCTCTTCGGGAGTCTGTGTTCGTGCTAAGTTTGTAAGCCAGAAAACCTTCTCCCTGTTCTCAACAAGCTTCTGAACCAACTCATGGTGCTCGTAGTCGAACAACTCCATGAGATCGTTCTCAACATCACGCAAGGACTTTTCCTCGCCATCCTCACCAGGTTCTCCTGACAGGATCTTCAGAGCCTCCTTTGTTTTGTCGCTTTGCTCATGAGCGTCGGGGTATAGTGTGCCGATTTGCCGTTGTAACCAAAATGTGTCGATGTCTCGGGCTGGTATGCTATGCTTGTCTTTCTCGTCTTGTTTGCCACCTGAAGGCGCCGAGTCGAGAATCATCTCATCCCCAACGTCAGCAACAGCATCTTCTTCCTTGCCTTCAGCACTCTGTTCCTTCTCTTCCTCTTCCTCTTCCTCTTCCTCTTCGTCCTCTGAAGATTCGTCACGGACTTCATGAACAAGGCCCCCCTCGTCATCCTCTTCGTCTTCATCGAACGCGACCGCGACACCCTGGCGCTCATCTATTTCAGCATCCTCACCATCGGCGCCACCCATCGCAACGTCCTCATCGTCGTCCTGGGCGTCGTAATCTGTGATCTTCTTGCCGAGGTTCACCAACTCATTAAATTCCTTGGGGTTTAGTGTCACACCCAAGATGTCGTCGATTTCCCTCTTTTTATCCAGATCTTTCAAATCATCATCCTTCAAATATTCCAGGACAGCATCCGCTGCGCTACGTACGACCTCGTGGGGTACGTCACCCAGAGTTTTTGCTACCGAGGTAATGATGAGATCGAAAGTCTGTCGCGTCGCTGCGGTTCGTGGTCGGTATGTGATGCCTTCCACCAAAAGATCGTTGGCGCCGAGGATACCTGTCGATTGAGGCGCCTCTGCCTTTCGTCTGCGCTGTTCTCGTGCCAGAATATCTTCGCCTTCTCTTAGACTGCCTCGCTCGATTTCGGGGAGTCCAGGCTGTTTCTTCGGTTTTGGCGCGTCGTCGCGTGCAACTCTAGCACCCATATCTCGAATACTCAAGCGACCGGCCAGCGACTCTGGATCACCAGTAGCCTCGTCGGTTCGTCTTGTAACGAATCGACGATCGGCCTGGAGAACCAGGTTCGACATGGCCGAGTACTTGTACTGCGACACATCTCGATTTGCGTCGGACATGATGGCTAGATTATTATGTTGTAATTGATAGAGAACGTCGATGTTCTCGACAAAGCCTGGGGCGCTTGGCACTTAAATAACCATGAGTTTGCCACCGACGCGACTAAATCAGATATATAGCCGTTGCCTGGGTATGTTGTATTCTGCGATTGATGCGCAGTCGTTTTGAAAAGATTGTAGTTGTCTCAAGGTTTGGAAGTTCAAGTCGCGATCGTAAATTTCGGATCTCAGCCTAGCAGGCTACTGCACTAGGCCAGGTTCGGATAAGAGCTTGTGTGGCGCAAATGCATATGGGGCCAGAGCTCAGGTCATAATTTTGCTTCTCAATAGATTTGAGTGTTTACAAGACTACGAAGAGAATGAGTTCGGGGTATAGACTCAGATTGTAATGTAAAGAAGTAATACAAGATTATTAATTCATTGCGTAGTCACTGGGGTGCTGGTTCAGGGGGACACTAGCCACACTTCAGTACTGTCTAAGCTGCCCATGGACTAACATATTTCGTCTATTTACTTTCACCGAGACCAGAGCAACAACCTAGGCCAGGGATTTCTTCACCGACAAACCATGATTCACAATGGCAAATCCTTCTGAGACCGCTGAGACATTTCAGAAGACACTTGATCCATATATCAAGCCACGGGAACAAGTGAACTACATTCGGCGAGTTTTGGCTCTTCATCTCGGAACATGTTCTCATGATGGCCCAGTCAAACAGCCTGTGTCTTTGGCAGATCCAACACGCGACGTAACTCTGGATTCAAGTTCGAAGGGAATCTACAGGGAGTACATTGAGGCTCTAAAGGCAAATGTTGATGCGCGTCGAAATTACGAAGATGTTGCCCAATCTAATCTTCCCTCCTCGTCATCAGCCAAAGAGCTCTCATCCAGCAATGAGCTACTAGAAGAGCAGGTCTCACTTCTAAAGCTCCAGGCGAAACAAGCGCGACTTACAGCCGTCCAAAATCACCTGGACTCACTCATGCAAAAGCCAGCCGCTGCTCCTGAATATCTAGACCCTGAAGATGTTTTTCATGATGCTACCAGTCTACCGAGTGTCCCAAAAGAGGTGGTGAACAGTCTTGTCGCACAACAGAGCGTGAAGAAGATGGACTTAACAGAACAAGTGGCACAGCTTGAAAAGACGGTCTTGAGGGCTAAACTCCTTCTGCGACGAGAGGAGCAGTTACTTCGAGAAACGAGAGCAAATGCTCAGAGCATACCAGATGTTATCAGCAATGGCATCAGACTACATGCTCTTAACACAACAAGGAATGAGCTTATCAATTGGATTGAGACAGAGTTGAGCAAGGCATCAGGGGATGAGGATGGGGATGAGGACGGTTCCAAGAGCCATAGCCAATTAACAGCGGACCAAGCGACGATAAACAACCATCTCAACATCATCAAAGAAAAGTACGCCAATTATCTTGCAACGAGGCGGTCCCTCCTCGCTTCTGCTGGTGAACGATTCGAGTCATCCGCTGTCCCTGTTCTGGCACCCTCCTCCACCAAGCAACAAATTGAGGAACCAGAACCTGCATCAAGTACCTATCTCCTGACACCATACATCGAGACTCTCCTCGCCCTTTCCAAAAAGCAGAGGGCCATGATAACACAAAAAGCACATGTTAATACGACACTCGGGAAAGAAATCAAGGATAACTGTCGGTCACTCAGTCATTTGGAAGAAGAAAGTCAACTGCTTCCATCTCATTCGGTGGCACCAACGTCTCGGAGGAGGTCTGGACTGGGAGAGTTCCTTGCTTCGGATGAACGCTCAGGTCTGACAGGCAAGGTCCAACCTTGGGTTCTCGCTGCAGATTCGGCCAAGATCACTACCCTAGAAAATGTGGCAGAGCAGATTGAAGGTGGACAGCTTGCGTTGGAAAACTCGATGCAGACTCTACAAGAAATTGACCAGCTTTTGGGTCAGGACGAGGCGGCTGAGGAAGAAGAAACACAGGCCGATACAACGGAGGATGACGTTTGGCTTGAGGCAGGTGCCAAATCCCCAAGCAAGGCGAGAAGGCATACAGAGAAGAGAATCACAGAGCCGAGAGATGCGTGGTCTAGTCTGCAAGGTAACCTCGGATTAATTGGTCAGGGAGACACAGCACAGGATTAGAATAACAACGACAAGTACAATAGATGTCTGGTGATATCGAGCCAGTTTAAAACGCCAACCCATTTCTAACCATGACTCCGTCCCTCATCTCTTGATGCAGCACACTAGAACTCACTTCTTCGACATAATATTTGATATCCTCACTGACAGATCGAGAATAGAGAGATGCTCATCTGCTCCATCTACTAGTCGCTTGTCAACTTCTGAGAAAACCAACACGATCTTGTTTTTCTGCGCATCGGGTATCGTCTCGTCATAGGTCAAGGCTTGGTAGAGCTATCGCAGGGGTTATTAGCAGCAGTTCAGTGATATGAAGGATAAGACTTACTTGGTTGACCACTTGACCTGCGCTCCAGCCATCTGCAACTAGCTTCTCAACAACATCCGAAATGATCTGGTAGGAGGATCCTGACCTCTTCGGACGTATTGCTTTGACGAGATCATCGATGGTCGTGTCCGGAATGACACCAGCGATATCCTCAACAATCTTGACTGTGACCGCCTTCTTGTCCACATCCATCACCTCGTCACCCTCAGCCTCCTTGTCAGGGGCATTAGCGCTAACGAGCCGAGCAGCACTTTGCAAGAAGGTAATGGCTTTTCGAAGATCACCCTCGCTGCACTTGATGAGTGCATCAACAGCACCATCCTCAAGTGCTACGCCCTCCTTCTCTGCAATCTCCTCCAGTCGCCTCTTTGCATTGCTCTGATCGAGACTCTTGAATCGAAATTTGCTGCATCGACTGGCAAGCGGGTCGATAATTCGAGTCACATAGTTGCAAATGAGACAGAATCGAGTAATCTTGCTGTATGTTTCCATGGTTCGTCGCAGTGCACTTTGGGCGTCTTGTGTCATGGAGTCGGCCTCGTCGAGGATAATGATCTTGAAAGGAGGGCAAGGGTATTTGTCCTTGTAGCCGGGGGCCGGGTTGGTCAATTGCATTCGCGCAAAGTTCTTGACCTTTTCTCGGACGATGGAGATACCACGCTCGTCGGAGGCATTGAGCTCGAGGACTCTCGATTTTATCATATCGGGGCCGTATAGTTCCTTGGCGAGTGCCAGAACTGTCGAAGTTTTACCTGTCCCGGGAGGCCCGTAAAACAGCATGTGAGGGAGCTGGGAAGTATTAGTATTGAAGCTTCTTGCAGTTCAGAGCAAGGGGATATTGTACGTTGGAGGACTGCAGTGTCCGTTGGAGCACATCAACGGTATGATCTTGAGCAGTAACATCGCTGAGGGTCTTTGGCCGGCTAAATGTGGTAAGTCTCGAGTAATATATTGTATTTCGAGTTTCACGTACTATTTCTCGACCCAGGGTTGAGTTCGAGCATTTAGAGGTTTATCTTGCTTCTGGTCAGCGTTACTGTTGGCTGCCGCTGCTGCCTTTCTGGCCTTGAGGTCAAAAAAGCTAGCCATCTTGATTCAATGATATGCTGGCTTGTCGGGCTGCCCGTGGCTGAGCTTGTAGGTGAAGGTGGAGGAAACCAGCGTGCGAAATGGTGGTATAAAATCACCGACTTGCGTTGATGGGAGCTGAGGGAAACCAATTTACGCGTTAAGAAACGCGCAGCGCGTCACCAACGGCAACCACACCCTATTCTACCTACTCACCTAAGTACCTAGGCATGGATCCTACCTTAGCCTAACTGCACCCCCGCCGGACCCACCACTTTGAGCTCCCGGGTAGTTCATAGTTTGATGTAAATGATCATTGCTGGCGTTCAGGATTTCAAGTGTGTATGTTATGCTCTATATGCATTTGCTACTTACAGTTTTGCATTTCTGATGGGCATTTTTTTCCCTTGAAAAAACTAAGTAATAACTATGTTCTTACGTGATAGTTACACACTTTGTATATATTCTCTGACTCTCATTTAGATTCTATGCAATCCACTACCCAGATATATCACCGAACTTGACGGAAAAGAGGGAGGGGAGAAAAAATCAAGAAGAACAAAAGGAGTGATTGGATATGGAAGTTAACATGAATTTTCCTTCATCCCGTTGTTTGTTAAGATACGTGGCCTTGACTAGCAAACACTTTATATAACTCACGGTCAATGGTTAAATGCAGACAAGGAGTGAGATAGCTCAAGCTCGTTCCAGAAGACAACGATCTCGGGAGCGTTCTACGTCTGTTCATTTTTACAACATGACGATGATTAGGAACGCCTGTTTGGAAAACTGCAATACATTGAATATAGCTACTCATTGCATTAGTAGGTAGGTGTTGAATTGGGGTTTCCTTGATGTGTGAATCACAAATATCTATCCTGATGGCTGTAATACAAGGCCGTAATAGCTGAGAAGGAGGACAAAGTGAATAATAGCAACCGCATTTCCTTGATACATAACAAACATACTCACCTTTGGTCACCTACCCAGGCATGCCGAATTTAGGTTTAGAACCAGGGCATTAATAGGCAGGGTAAAGTTCTGTTGTCTGTTGATAGGTGGTCAAGCTGTGAAAGCTGCCTGCCCGCCCCGATGAGCTTCCCGCCTCCCCCACTTTCCTCCTACGGTACGGTCTTAATGATACCTACTCACACAACCCACCTCAAGACTCCAACGTCTACCCTTACATTACCTTACCTTATACTTCAACTCACCTACCTACCTTGACATCCATCACCCAAAATTTCATATCGATAACCTTACACTTGGAAGCAACTTGTCCATGTGCGTCGCGCTCTGCAGTCAGCGCTCGTTCTCAAACATCAACATTTAGACTGCAACATACGAGGCGCCATGGACCAGTCTATCATTCGCATCTCCAAGGTTGGCTGCCCCGCATTCGCTGGCATTCCCATCCCTTCGTTCACGATTCCACCTTCGAAATACTAACACTATGCCAAGGAGCTGGGTGACATCCAGAAGAATTGTGACTTGTGTATGTCGCTTTTGCCAAATGGCATATACCACGCATTCGAAAAACGGAACTGACCACGCGATCACCTTTTATTACAGCGCTCGCCGTAGCATGTCGCGACATCGATGTTCGCAATGTAAAGGCCTTGATCATGGGTCCCCATGAGACTCCCTATGAGTTTGGGTTCTTCGAGGTATGTCATGAGCGCTGGATGTATCCTTGTCTGTGTAAAGATGGGCTGATTCAACTCGACAGTTTGCCATTCGGTTCCACAAAGGTAGAGCCTCCCCGTACCATGACAAAGCTTAGACTCATCCTCGATGACAGAATATCCTTCCAAATCCCCGAATGTAATCTGTATCACCACAAATGGGGGACGTTGTCGCTTCAACCCCAATGTCTACAGCAACGGGAAAGTCTGTCTGTAAGTAATTAGCTGTTGCTAGTTCACTATGCTCATGCACTAACACGGTCAGATCAATTCTAGGGTATTATAATTGTGTAAAAGATTTGGGTTTCGAACTGACAATGGCTAGAACATGGCGTGGGGAGCGTGGAGAGGAGTGGTCATCTGCGCAAGGACTTGAATCAATCCTATTATCCATCCAAAGTCTCCTATCATCTAACCCCTACGAAAACGAGCCGGGATTCGAGGATGCCAACGATGAAAGCGACAAGAAAAACCAAAAGGACTATATCCAAAAGGTCTGTTGCCATATCAAATTACACGAGAACCTCTAACTCTGGTAGATTTGTCACGAGACACTACGTATCAGCGTCATCCAACGTTTGGAAGGCTATCTTGGAATGAACCCCGGTAGCACGCAGTTGCACAATCTTCCAGGAGCGAATGAGATGGATGATGATGACATTGACGAGGCTACCGTCCCCTTCGAGCCTTTTAGAGATCTGTGCAAACGCCGCTTTCTTTGGTATTACGAATCATACCTCGCTGCGATCGAAAAAGGCAAATCAGAGACCAAGCCCAACCAGCCTTTTGCAAGAATGCCGTTTGAGTCGCCAGGAAACAACTCAATGGATGGGAAATTCAATTATCCCGAGCTCGGGAGCCGCCTGCATGCTATCAAGGCTGCCATCGACGCAGAGCCCGAGAAATGGGCCGTGGAGGGCCTAGAAGCCAAGAAGAAGGAGACAACTGTTGCTGTTAACCTTCAGCATCAGTTCGAGCAGGTTGTCGAAGTATTCAAACGAAGCGATATGCCACATGACGTTTTTCTTGAGAACGAGAACCCCTTCGTCTGGGTCATAACCTATTTCGGACGTCCTATGACCAACCTCGATGGTGGTCTGTTCAGAATCAAAATGAACTTCAGCGTTCGTTTCCCCGAAGAGCAACCTCGTGTCAAATTCGAGACCAAGATCTTTCACCACCACATCGCTGCAGACGGTACAGCATGCTACACTCCGAACCCTATGAAAAGGGAAGATGTGCGATCCCATATTGATGCCATATTTGCGATCCTTGAAGATGATGAGCCAGCCTATGACCCACGCAAAATTGTGAACCCGGAAGCGACCAAGATGTACTGGGGAGGAAGCCCAGACGACAAGAAGAAATACAACCGACGCCTTCGTCGATCCGTACAGCAGAGCATGGAGTCAGTATCTAATCAAGATGTCCTGCAGTCATTCCATGTGCAAGCTAACCGACCTTTACAGGGACTTCCCAGAGTAACTCACATGCTCCGTCAGGCTTGATACCAGGATTTAGATGAAAATATCACGGGGGCGTACTAGGTCAACATCAGGGGCATTGATCTGATTTACATGGCGTTGGGGCCTGTGGTTCATGTTGAAATGACATGGTCTGAGGATTGGACCATTTCTTTACAATGCGGTTGACTTGATTTGCCGTGGCCAGGTTGTGATACATGTGGCATAATCTACACAAGGCTACTAGACATATGAGATATACCAAGTCGCCCTATTTCCTTGCCCCAGTGAAAACCTATCGATTTACTCTTGATTTTGGGTTATGAGACCCACAGACCTTCCTGTAATGAAGATGTTTCTTCAAACACAAGCACGATTAAGAGGTTAACATATTACATACGGCTTTCCTTTTGCAAGTTGCTCAGTACACAAATTTCAAATCCAACATAATTGCTTGTTTGGTTTCGTTGCCAATGTTACCAGAATAAGTGATCAGCATAATCGAAATGTCGGGTTGTATTGTTTGCACCCTATGAAACGCCAACCATCTATTCTCTAACGCCGATATGTGAATATGATGTATCCATTGCATCAAAGTTCCGCTCAAAGACAATATTTGGAATCTGTGTATGCGATTTCTTTCGTAAATCATGGTGCCATCATTTCTCATGACCTCCTACTCTTGGGCTTCTTGCTTAGGCGGTCCTGGGTTGGGTTATAGGGCGCCGCCACACCTTGGTATCTCTCTTGCTTCCCTTCACCTCTGAATTCGTACATGCCGTTTACGCCTATCGCTGCTGGTGTGCCCTGGTTGGGACGCGTGACTTGTTCGTTGTGAAGTTTGTCGAGGGAGTCACCGACCACAGCGTATTGCGACCAGTTGATGGGCGGGCAGCGAACCACATTTTGCGGCTGGGGAAGATTCGTCCATGCTGGTGGTTGGGTAGCGATGCGCTGCTTGGAGGACCCTTCACCGGGGCCTTGTTGATTACCGCTGCCTTGACCGCTCATCCCTGTATCTTCATCGTCGCTATCGCTATCATCTTCGGGCGCATTAATCTTTCCTGCGACAAGGTCTTTTACGAAAGCTTCAGGGTCCTGGACAGCTTCGTCTTTTGCGCGACTGAGAGCTTGGATGTCGGCAGTAGCGCGCTGTCGCTGAATTTGTAGAATGGAAATCGCTGACTTGAGCGCAATGACGTCTGGGTTGGAATCAAAGGCTATTGGTTGAGGTGCAGGCGGTGGTATCGCAGTCTGGTCGGGTTGTGAATGTGTAAGGCTTGGATGACCGCCGGCGCTTGCGCTTGTAGCTTCGGTCAAGGGGCGTTGGGTAGGACGCAAGGGAGGTGTGATAGGGGAAACAGGCGGTCGGGTCGGAGAAGGGGGATTATTGCTGGGAGGGTTGTCGGTGTTGATTGTGAGGGCGGGCATGATCGAGTTGCGCCGCTGAAGAAATTGCTTTTGTTGACTCTGACAAAGATGTAAGCTCTTGCGCAAGTTGATTGTGAGCTAGGCACCGAAGAACGGAGATGTCACGGGAGAGCTCCGGACGACGGCGGAGGAGGAAGTGAGAATGGTCCAATAGGAACAAAGACGTGGGACACAGGACCGAAGATGAGGGAAGTGAGAAGAGAAGTGGACGGGACGGGATCGGGACGCTTGGTGAAAGCAGGACATGGAATGGATGTCAGGTGTCTCAACAAGGTAACCCCTCTGAAGAAGCAGCTTATGGCGGGGTCAGCCAAGTCTGATTAACTAAGGAGCGGCTTTTGGATGTAACGTCAGATGCATAGCGGTCTATTTCTGTTTTGGAATCGTGCAAGGGTAAAAGGTCAGTGCAACTATACAAAGATACAGATCGAGATCAAAGCGCATGAATGTGATGACTTTGTTTCCAGAGAAGGCGCCAGGGCGTCTCCATTTACTAGGGGATCGTGAGGTTTCTAAGCGTCTCAACCTCAGCTCAGTGAGTTTGAGTCTCGGTGCATCAGTGAAAGAGTGGACCTTAAATGGACAGTGGAGGATATGGCTAGGATGAACCCTGTTGAGAGATCTCCATATTTAACGATCGGACAAGATCTCGCGCCAGCTCCGATGCGAGTAAGCACAGACCATCCTATAATTTGGCCATCTGAGACATTCACTTCCGTTTCTCCAGAGGCACAAACACAAATGGACAGGGACAAGCCGGCTCTTTTTGCTGCAGGGCGCGTGTTTTCAGAGGGATATGGTCTCACAGAATCACAATGACGAGCTCTTGTCATACGTCTGTCTATATGCGCTAGAGCGGAGCTGATGTCACAAAGCTGCCCCAAGAGGCTGAAATAGATTGCCATTCCCTGTCGAGACTCGAGAGACACAATGTCTCAGCTATGAAGGCGTGAGGTGGGCGGCGATTGTTGACCTTTCCGACTGTTTATTAGCACATACAGGAAAGAAGAAAAGCTTTAAAGGGTTGAATGTCTGAGCTTTCATGGAGGTCAAATGGAACGCTTGTCTAAGATTAACATGGCTTGAGGTCTAAGTACGGATGCATTATCTGGTAGCTACATGTTGAGCACTCGGGCACTTGTCTCTTCACCTTTCGCCACGCTCAGCTCCATGGCTAAAGATGGGTGACGTTTCTATCCCCCGCGTGCTAGCCAAGTCATCCGTCCTGTTAGGTTCAACGTTGAACCGAGATGTGTCGATCATTTGGTCTCGACTCCCATTGTACCAAGCTCTCGGAAAGCCTCTGAGCACAATAGGTCTCAGACATACTGCCGCGTCCAAAAGAGCTCGAAAGCCAGACTTCTGGCTTGATGTTCGAGCGCCATCTCGGCCTTTGTGCATTAGCGGCCTTACGCTCAGCCAAGATGGCTTTGTCTTTGTGCACCGAGACACGGCATTTTTCAAGCCCTTCGAAAAAGACGCTGGCGGTAGTCAGGGGCATGGGAAATAAAAGTGGGAGATGATAATAAACTCTGGTGTGGACTTTGTATGGCAATCCGAAAATGCCTCCAGCTAACGGAGCACAACTCCGTTAGTGTCGTGCAGTAGTGAACTCTGTTAGCAAACACCATCAAGAGCTAGTAAATGATTTGCATAGAAAGGTTCAATTCAGCATGTGCTTCATCAAGATGGTTGTTGACTTTTCAAAAGCTTGACAGCCTGATCGACACGCCGAGTGCCATGGATACCCGCATAATTGCTTTTTTCTGTATCGCTTGATCTGAGGCCCAGCCAGCCACCCAAACATCGACGTGAGATGCTGCAGAGTACAATGCTGCAGGTTTCCGGTCTGGTTAATGATCGTCAGTAGAGGCGTTTAACACTTTTGCGTTATCAAAAAACGGTAGCCTCGGGTTGAGAAGATAGTCTACACTTTGACGCCTTTTACAAGACTCGGCCTCGCAACAAGAACCGAATTGACAAACGGTGCCTCGGCATTTGGAACTAGCCCATCATTTTCTTACAGGGCGAATTCACCTGTTGAGCTCGCCGTCGAAGCCACCAACCCACAAACATTCGGAGACAGCTTCAACTACTGCAGAGACTAAGACAAGCCACAAGGTCTCGCCGTTGCATTCGTTCGGCGAGAGGGATCCTGGCTTCATAGTGACTCTCATCCAATCAGCAGCCCAGGTGAGCAATTTTCATGTTGGCTCTTCAGCTCGACACAGAACCTAGACCAAGATCGGATTTCGTACACCAGTTTGCGAGGGTGTGATGGAGTTAGAGTGACGCTGGAGGCTTGTGACAAGGATGGATGGGTAAGGTAATGCATGTCAAGTACCTCTGCTTGTACTATTGGACGCTGCCAAGGTTGATTATTGGCTTTCTTTATAATGCTATGGAACAAGGTAAGTACTTTTGGATAACTCGATGGTATGTGCCTGTCCGAATCTCACTTGAAATCCCCTCTACCCCGTGATTTATGAGCATCCCCTCCATCTCTCTGACTTGACATCTCCATCATCCATCCTCTCAACCTTAGAAACCCCTCTCATAGTTTTCCTTGTTGCTCCTTTTCTTGTTTCTTCCTCTTCCAGAAGCAATAGTTCTTCCTACATTCCAGCCATCCGGCGATCCTCTAGCTGCCGTCGGCAGTGCTTCCATTTATGCGTTGCACGACTCGCGCACTTGCATCATCCTGCCACTACCGCCGTTGACGTCCAACGCCAGAGGTTTGGGGCCACACAATCATAGCTATTCTATCTGTTCCTGCATTTGTCAGTATCGGAATTCAGAATTCCCTGTCGTCTGCCACGGAAGAATACTTCTTACGACCTCGAGGTCTCCAGAGGCGGCATCACCAAGATCACCAGCACCACATGGTTGAGGACTATGCCTAATTTAGATACGCCCGGCTTTTCAAAATATCCATTTATTCAAGGCATATCCTGAAAATACCAGTTGGCATATCATCCCTTCACAGGCCCACACAGGCTGTTGGATCTCCTCAGTCAACCGACGCCTTGGCCTATATGTCAGAGGCCCTCCACTGATCCATATCATTTATCAAATTTCCAACTTGACCGTTGAAAGCCACTTAGCTTGGTGGTTCTCCCGAGCTTCATATACATCAAATCATGTCATCTTCTACCAGATCAACCACAGAGACACTTGTCAGTCCCAGGTCATCAGCTTTCATACCACGCCACCCACAATCTGAATATGACCCATCTCTCAGTGGAAACGATAGATCAAGAATTTCCATGTCATCAACAGACACGAGAAAGTCCAAGAAGGAAAAGTCACGATGGTTCACTCAAGTCAAGGATTGGTTATCAGTGGCTGAACCATCAGCGCAAGCCATGAGGGACCAGAAGAAGAACACATACAGACGGCACAATATCGACATGAAGGATCCTCAAGCGGCAGTCAAGCTGCATTTGCCTATTGGCAAAATACCCGACAACGCCATCACTTCGACACGAGGACCCAGCCCCGAGAAGGCACTCGAGCGTGCACGGCAGCAACGAGAAGAGGCGCAGTCATATTCAGGGCTCAGCCAAGCGTCCCATTCGGTGTCGAGTAGTATCAGTACAGTCCCCAGTGCCAAGGAATACAATCCTGTTGCTCCCTGGGACACTTGAGGTCAGAAGCAATATTTGTGATGGAGTAATGTGTAACGATGTATGAAATAAGGGGGTAAGGATCTTTACGCTGTTTGATTTCCTCCGTCGTAGATGCTGGAAGTTCATATGGAATGGGGTCAAAAACGAGAGATGCAGAGATACCCTGTCACGATTGCGGGAAGATGGATAATATATAGCGCGCTCATTGTCTCGTTTCATTTTGGTACTTAGGATACAAATTTAATAATAATTTCGAGAGTATGAATTTGATATCATTATTACTCTTAAGTTGAATTAGAAGAACTGTACCAAGAAGTGATACTTTAAGCCACCTTGATATGGAAACGTGGTGGAAATAGAGCACGGGTAGAGTAATAAGCACCTACGCATCCATTGTATCAATGAACGAACGATATGAACTTCTTATAAATGAGAATCTATTAATGAGTATTTACCGCCACAACCGCAGTGGAAATACAGGTGGACTCGTAGTAAATCTTGATATATTCTTGATTATTGTGTTATGATGATGCTGTACAGCCGTCATTGGGGACACCAACAGGGGGAATGATTGCGTGGTAACTTGCAAGATGGCAAATGCCGAGAAGATTCGGGCCAGTCAAGACTGATTACATATTATTTAATACTGACTTAGAGGTAAGAAGAAGTCTATCATATGATCTGGAGCACGTGATGGTAAATGCACAGAACTATCCTTCGCTACCTTACAATTAGGGCCTTGACCAAGTCGCTTTACGGCGCATCATTGCGATCTTCCTCCCTTCCGGTGATGGCTAACTCAATTGCTGCCCTGTTTTTGCAATCGGAAACACAAACTCTTGATCAAGTGGCCATGTTAAACCGCAATTGTTTTGGGAAAAGCCAAGCTTCAGCTCCAAGCTCCATCTCCCGGAAGCTTGTGTCCGCACTAGTACTCCCTGGTGAGCTTTCAACGATGGTAATTGGTGATGTTCAATCCGGGAGCTGAGATGGCTGGCCTATGACGTATTCTACTTTTTAGCCTCTTCATCATGGATACGTTAGCAGTTGGTCCATGGGTTTATATAGAACCCTGGGACAAGTTTGAGATTAGAGAAACGTCTGAAATGAATGGGCTTTTTTCTGTGAATGTTGTATTGCATGTGTCACTAGCGATTGATTTCCGACAGAATAGGCTTCACCCATATTCACATCTTTCTCTCACTTACCTATACTCTTACACTGAGACCATCTATCAGCAGCAGCAGGCATCAACTGAGTAACAAACAATAAACTCACTCCCACAATGCCTCTATTCTCATCCCCAAAAGACTCAAGCGAAGACCGACCAAACGGTACAAATGGGGCTGCTCGTTCCAACGACCCCGAGGAGGGTGAACAGGCTGTGCCAGATGAGCACACTCGACTACTCCCGAACCGCGTCAACTCAACTCAGCCTGGTCTACTTGCCCCCGATGATCCCGCAGTGTCGCCCTATAATCTCTGGAGCATCCGAGCTTTGCGATACTTGACAATTGCTTTTACCCTGATAACGCTTGTTTGGTGGATTCTGCTTCTTGTCTCTACTTTCGTGACGCCCCCTGGCATTGGAACTCGTGGCAGCCCTTGGTTTGCTTTTGGATTCGCGACGTGGACACTTGCGAATCTCATCTTTACACTTCTTTTCTTCGAGGTGCCATCCAAATCTGTCAGAATTCTTGCCATCTTCATTTCCGTAAGTCTGCACAACTGACACTGCATTTGACCATGCTTACTCACACTACAGACAGGGAGTTATCCTCCTCGATATGGTTCTCATCTTGTCCGTTCAAAAGACTCGACATGAAGAGGGCTGGGTCGGTGCTGCCAGTGTCATCTGGGCACTACTCACCAGTCTCTGGACTTTGGTGGTCGATCGAACTGTCAAATGGGGCAAGGCTGAGGAAGAGGAACGCTTGACAGGTCGGGCTGAGACGAGACGAACCTTGTTCGAATGGTCCGAGGTGATGATTTCAACGGTCGCCTACGCCATCATGTCAGTGGCTGTATTCCTCATCACTGTGACCATTATCCTGCGAGCCCTCGACGCCGGTGTGTCATACCCAGGAAAGCTGTATCCGGTTGATAACGGCAAATATCGCATCCATGTTTACTGCCACGGCAATAAGACCGACTCCAAGGGCAACGATCTGCCCACCGTATTGTTCGAAGCCGGCGAACGAACCGTAGAATACGATTTCTGGGGGTTTGCGGATAACGCCGTCAAGAATGGTTCCATTTCACGATACTGCTTCGCCGATCGACCTGGCTACGGGTGGTCAGATAACGCACCCTCTCCATCATCAGCAGGCTTCGTGGTTGATACCCTCAGTGAGGCACTGGCTGGTGCTGGTGAGAGCGGACCATGGATTCTCGCAAGTGCCGGAATCGGATCGATTTATTCAAGAGTCTTCTCAGCGCGCCACGGAGATCACATCAAAGGTCTGCTCCTTGTCGACCCCCTACATGAGGATCTTCTCGACGACGTTGCATCACCCGGCCGAGGATTCGTTCTCTGGCTCTGGGGCGTTATCTCCCCACTCGGCCTGGACCGAATCCCCGGTGCCATCTTCCGCGGACGAACGAGCCGCGACCGAGTATACGGACGATCGGCCCAGCAGAATGGCAAGTTCATCTTTGCCAAACTGCAGGAGAGTCTGGTCGCCGGTTCGTTCACTCGGCGAGATGCGCTGACCAGCCGTCAGATCCAGGACAAGGATACGCCGCTTGTTGTTATTAGCTCCGGCAAGCACATCAAGGATAGCCATACATGGGAGAAGAAACAGCGAGACCTGACCAAGTTGACCAAGAACCTCAAGAACTGGGACATCGTCGATGGAGCACCCCATGAGGTTTGGAGGACTCTTGAGGGCCGACAGAAAATTGAGAAGAGACTCAAGGAGCTAGTGCATGCTTGAGAATATTGAATGTTTGATGATAATGCTTGAAATCTTATTCAGATGCCACATCCACAGCCGAGCCTGCACGTGCCTTGTCTATCAGCATCTGGAGACCTCGAGGATGTTGCAAGGGTTGATATGATGCTTATGAGACTGGGGGTTGACGGGAAGCTTGTGGAGCAATTTCAGGGATCGGATTGACTGTGTGTGTGTGTGCATGAGCATCAGCAATGCACGGCTTGGCTTTTCTGATGCACACCTTGAAACGACAAGAATGTTTTTATGGCTTCATGATATTTTGTTATTACCGGCAATTAGTCATAGCATGTATCCGTATAATTTTAATTTATTTCAATATCAAAATACCAGTCTAGCAACACATAAAGTGAAGCCAAAGGCTGGCAAGCAAGATAACACAATAAGAGTGTTTTGATGTATAGGTATTGCGTCACAACATTTCAGTTTGTCGCTTTGACGCTGGCATCAATCTCACCCGATACAGATGCTACACGCACTATTAAGGCGATTGCCATAAGATTCATACACCTCCATAGCATATAGTCCTCTTATTAGACTTCACATTCTCTGTACAGTTGTCTAGTGCATGGCTTGTGTTGGCATTTCTTGGACGTGGCCCCCTAATCCTCCACACCTACACGTGATAAGATCTTCATCATAGCAATTTCCAATACGGCAAGGTTATTTGCAGTAGCGTACTGTGAAAGAAGAAATCTGACTGTGCTTTTCTCGATCCTCTAGTGAGACGATAAATCTCCTCTCCCTCTTATGTCTCTCTGCTGATAGTTAGCCTGTTTCGTTTCCAGGCTCGAAGGGGGAATCTGGGGATTGGAATGACCTCATAAACTCACCGTCCCTCGAGTGGTGAGAAACAAGGTAGTGCTGGGTGCTGCAAAGACTAATGAAGGAAGCCGTGCTTTGTCCATTGCCCAGGTAGGGCCAGCTTTGACCATTCACCTAGTGCTGCAGCTCCCAGTTAGAGGCTCAGGCTGACTTCAGGCGGAGACATTCCCAGCAACGCCCAGTGGACAAGCATGGGTTCAGTCTTGTCAGTTTTGAGTCAAGGATCATAGGTAGTTGAGAGGTGAGGCATGTACTGTAATTTCTGACTCCATATTGAGAACGACACACACGCAGTTGCTTGAGTGACATCCTTGGGGATGAACCCTAATATTTGCTGACGATATGGAATTGTTGTTTCTGGCCCCTCCTCCTTTTTCTTCTTCTTCTCTGAGAAACATCCAACGGTTGAAAGGGGGGAACTGTAGGCCTCGAAGCAGAACTATCAACTGCCTTGATAAGCTACTTTCCATATCTTACTACAGAAAATGTGCCTAAATAACTAATATCCATCCTTCGAGGGCTGTGCTGACGGAGACATGCATATATGTAGGTAGCATCTACACCTGCACCTGAAGAAGTGAAGGATGGAAGCAAGATTCGAAACAATGGATTCACCGTTTATTTTTACTTTAGTATGAATGGATCTCACTAAATCTCATGTTCCTCGGATTCGGACGTGGATCCTCATCGCCTGGAAATTGCAGCAAATTAATATTTTGATGTATTCAAACGCCCCTAATACAAACAGGGCCCACCTGGACTCCATCCCCCATTAGAGCCCACCAGCATCTCACATTTTGTTCGTTGGACTGTGTCAAGCCCAGCATCTGCATAAGGCAACGGTCCCTTGTATTGGTTTGCTGCACGCACGCACGCACGCACGCATTGGCGGTTGTCATTGACTCGATGTACTTTTGTTCCTTGACTGGGTCTTTGAACCAAATCTTTCTTTCATCTTCTCATGTGCTCGAATCTCAACTACACCTTATGAACTATTTGTTGGACCATAGCTGATGCTGCTATCCGGTCGCCCAGGTATTAGGTAGTGCTCAGTTTGTCCTTCCTGAGACCATTTTTAGTTAGCCCCGTCCCTTATTTGGAGCTGATCTGGCGTAGAATCTGCCGCTCAGTCTCATCTAGGCACTGTACCAATAGCCCCCCGCCAAGGTTGCCTCCACTGGTACCCGACCTTTGCCCCTAGCAGTAAATGTGTAAGGTAGTAGAGTAACGTCCTAGAGGTCGAGGTCGAATACTTCAATCTGACTTCTAATCCCCTATTGCAGCACAGCCTGGAGGTACCTCTTCTAAGTGTCTACCCTTGGGCCCTGGGCTCTCCACCACCACCACCACCACCACCACAACTGCCCTCAGCTCCCCTACCGCCAGGCGCCTCCTGCTACCTCCATATTCTACTCCATACACCGTATCCATACCTCACTTTACCTACCTAACCTTACCTTAGACTCTCACGACAGGCTTCGACTTTTATCTCCCACGCTCCTTCATCCCACGCTGCCGCAGACGCGCTGCGCCGCGCTTGCATCGATCGCATCTTCTTCCATTGTCTCTTTTTCCCCTTCTCCGCTTCAGCCTTACTGTCTACGGTGCAGTACCTGCTCCAGCCTCACATAAGGTACAACTAGGCTAGGTCGATCGGGTCTTGGTTGTCTTGTGCCGCACCACACTGCATCGCTTCTTCGCTGCCACCGACTTGCTCCTCCTGCCGCCTTTCATCATCCCAGTCCGAACTGGGTGGGCTTATTGTTCGGCTGTCACGCGAACACCAGATAGTGCTCGATCTTACCTATCCCACGAACGATACCGCATCTCACCCTGTTGAATTAGTCGCCCGACTTCGCCAATTGGCCCCGATCAAGTCCGTGTTGCTGCCGTCGTTGCCTTCCTCTCAGCTGGTGCTGATGCCGACCGCTGCAAACGCCTGTCGACCTTTGCTGGAAATTTGGTCTCGATAGGCCATTCGTGCTTGACTGGTTTGGAGCGAGGAGGGGGAATTGTGTTATAGCGACGTCCTGCATTGCTTTCACGATGGCGTCGAGCTACGACGACGCCATGCTCGGCGAGCATGGCCATGGCGACCACTCCCACGACTATCACGCCCAGGACATGCCCCCGCATGCCGATTCAAACTGGCAGAACGGTGGTCAAATATACAGAACTCGCACACCCGACAACGGCAGCTATCGACCGCGGCCACCCGCCTCCGCCCCAGGTACACCGAATCCCCCAGGATGGGCTGAGGACCAGCCGCCCCGCAAAAGTGCTGAGCGGAACAGATCGCGAGGGCGAAGTGGAAGATCCGCCAGCGGCCAGACGAGGACGTGTCAGGCGTGTGGTGAGCCCTTAACGGGTCAGTTTGTGCGAGCTCTTGATGGAACATTCCATCTTGATTGCTTCAAGTGCCAGGTGCGAACCCCTAGGCCGGCCCTGTTCTCCTCGATCACGGTCAGATACTAATCTTTCACTAATAGGATTGCGGGGAGATAGTGGCCTCAAAGTTCTTCCCTGCCGAAGACGAAAATGGCCGGGGACAATATCCTCTGTGCGAAACCGATTACTTTCGTCGACTTGGCCTCCTTTGCTACCAGTGCGGGGGAGCGCTCCGCGGCTCCTACATCACGGCCCTAGACCGAAAGTACCACGTCGATCATTTTACCTGCTCATTATGTTCAACAATTTTCGGCGCTCAGGATAGCTACTACGAACATGACGGAAACGTCTACTGCCATTATCATTATTCCACACAGTTTGCGCAGCAGTGCAATGGCTGCCAGACAGCCATTCTAAAGCAATTCGTCGAGATCTTCAGAAATGGACAAAATCAGCATTGGCACCCCGAGTGCTACATGATTCACAAATTCTGGAATGTGCGGTTAGCGCAACCCACGGACTCGCGACCTGCGCTGGAAAGTTCGGACGATGCTGCAGGCAGAGACCTTATCCGTGTGGAGGAAGAGCGCATGGAAGAGAAGGTGTTCCGTATATGGAGCGTCCTGTCGACCTTTGAAGAGTCCTCTGCTGCCTGCATTTCTGACATGCTGCTTCATGTCAGCAATGGCTCATATGTTGAGGGTGTCTTTGTTGCAAAGCGCTTTATCTGGCACGTTGAGATCTTGTTCCAGTCGGCAGATCGCCTAGATGAGACTATGGTGGGCTTGAACGACAAAGGTACAGTCTATCAAGCTTTGAATGTGAGATGCATGAGATCTAACTTTCTGCTTAGGGATGTCATACGGGCGGGAAGCCAAACTATTATGCAAGAAGATTGTTTCCTTCTTCTCTCTACTTTCCAAGACACAAGACAACGCTACTCACAAACTCGGTGTCACACAAGAGCTGTTGTCCCTCGTCACAGGTCTTGCCCATTATCTCAAGCTTCTAATTCGAATCTGCCTTCAGGGCGCCCTCCGTCTCGAGCGCGAAGCCAGCGCATCTACAGGCCTGTACCAGTTCCTAGACGATTTGAGCGACCTTGACGCAGTAAAGAACGATGACGGTCAGCTGTCGGTGACCGCAAGCGGCGGAAAGCTCTCTGCCAACGACTCTGACCACTGCTCTCTTTGCCACAGATCTGTCGAGGACGAGTGTGCCAAGAATGGTGACCTGAGGTGGCACCTGAACTGTGTTAAGTGCACAAGGTGCGGGCGAGATGTTGGGCGATCGTTACAAGAGGCCTGCCTCAACGCATTGGATCGAAAGATATACTGCACCAACTGTGCTGGAGCCAATGCTTTACCACTCGAGCACGTCTCAAAACTACAGCAATATGTTTTTCTACTTCGAGTCGCGTTGGCTCGGCTGTTGGATATTCTAAAAGCTAATGGAACCCTCCCGCGATCCAAAGATGACACTGATAATAACGGGTATGGTACAGGCGATGGTCAAGGAAGTGACCCGAGGTCAAGGGGAGGAGACTCACAGTCACGAGGACCCGGTGGCAGCAAACGAGAGTCGTCTTATGAGAACACTCTTAATGATGTACGCAGGCTACGCAGCACGCGACTGGATAGGCACCTGTCGTCTAGTGCTCGACAAGCTCGAAGCTCTCGAGTGATGGACACTGATGGCAAAGGCCCTCGCCCAGGTTCATCTGGCGATGCTGGGCAGGGCCACGGTGCACAAGGCTCGACCGACATAATGTTTGGACAAAATGATGGTATCACTTTGGATGATATCTCAAGGATAGTAGCTGTCGAGCAGTCCCGAGATCTGCAGCAGAAAGCACCACAGCCCTTTCAAGATCGATCGTTAGATGCATCTTCTTCAAACCAGGGTCATCTGCGGACGCAGTCAGCCGACCGAGAGCGCACTGAAACAGTGCAAGAGCGAATTGGACGAAAGTTCTTCTCTGAACTCTCTGGTCTCGAGTACTTCAACGTCCGCCATCTTGCCGTCCTCACCATGCAGCCCATGATTGAGCAAGAATTCTCACTGGAAGAACTACTGAGTTTCATTGAGTCGCGTAAACAGGCGACTTTCTGGAAAAATATCGGAAAAGCCTTCAAGAATGATAAGAGCAAGAACGTCAAGAAAAAGGGCGTCTTCGGTGTGCCTCTAGAGATCATCATCGAAAGGGATGGTGCGGATTCGACAGACGGTGTTGGTCCGGGCACGCTTCGAATCCCAGCTGTTATCGATGATATTGTTTCGTCGATGCGTAAGATGGATCTCTCGGTTGAGGGCGTGTTCCGAAAGAATGGCAACATCAAGAAGCAGCAAGGCCTGGTGGATACTATCAACGCTGAAGGTTGTGACGTGGTCAACTTTATGGAACAGCCCGTCGTTCAGCTTGCTGCGCTTCTCAAACGTTACCTGCGAGATCTACCAGATCCGCTGATGACTCACAAGCTATACAGGCTATGGATCAGTGCTGCCAAGATTTCGGACCCTGAGAAGAGAAAGCAGTGCCTGCACTTGACCTGCTGTCTCCTACCAAAGAGCCACCGAGACTGTCTTGAGATTCTGTTCAGTTTCCTGAAGTGGGCTGGAACGTTTCACCAACTGGATGAAGACCTTGGTTCTAAGATGGATACGAGAAATCTTGCCACCGTTATTGCGCCCAATATCCTAACAAATCCCAACAGGGCACCTGCTTTAGATAGCGAGGCTATGTATGTTATTGATGCCGTGGAAATGATGATTACACATATCGAGGAAATGTGCCAGGTGAGAATCGGCATTCTTTAGGGTGGTGGCCATTGTGTTGACTTTTTCTAGGTTCCTGATGAGATCCTTGGCCTCATGAACGACCCTTACATCTTTACCAACAGTGGAGACCTCACGACGAAGGATATTCTGAAGCGTTTCCAAGATCGACGGGGACAGATTTCTATTGCCGATGTAAACGAGGTCTACAACCGTCAGGATAACTCCACCCGACCACCAGCTCGGCGAGTAGAAACTGACCCAGCAGTTTGGCAGGGTGAAGCCACTGTTCGCACGATACAAGACCCTTCAATGCCTAACCCCAACAATGGGCACGGAACTCCTCCTGCGCGATTCCGAGGACGTAACGATCTGGGCAATGCTTCGCCTTATGGGGTCAACCAGTTCAACCAGTCGGACAGTCAGCTCGATAGCGCCGAGCATAGCAGGAGGCGAGAATGGCGTAACTCTGGTATGGGACGTCAAGGCAGCGGACTTGGTGTGTCCGGCAACTCATGATACTTGTCTTTTACAATGATATTCTTGATTACAGCTGGGCCCGGAAACGCCCAGCGTCAAGCTTCGTTTCGTTATTCTACATGCAGTTCAGGAGGTATGATTTGGGAGTAGAGAGTCATTTGCATAGTCGACGGCGTTCCTCTTCGCTTCTTCCTCAGGCTTATATATGCTATATCAGAGCATACAACTGTCGAACAAACAGGAAAAAAGCATTTTACCAATCACAAAACCATTGGCATTCATCGTTTTCTACACCACACGACACGACAAACCTGGCAGTTTTCTTCTTTCTTCTTGGAAGCTGGGATGATGATCTCGCTCCTATTACTATTCCCTTCTCGACACTCAACTTCATGCCATGTTCTCCTCAAGCTCCCGTCACCTAAGTGGTATGAGAGATACATGTCTGCTACTCCCATCTTCTCTTGGGTTGAGTGTTTGTTCTTTGGGCAGGGGAAGGGCTGGAGGTCTATACCTTTGTCTTACGAAACAAAAGGGGGCTCAAAGAGATGGTGTTGTTATGTTTTTTTTCTATCTTCGGTTCTCTTTCTATCTTCTTCTATACCTGAGTTGGATGGAGTAAACCATGTTAGCGGGTTGATTCCCATTGGAGTGTTGAGACCGGGCAAGGTGAGGCGAAGCGAGGCGAAGCGAGGCGAGATCAAGATGAAGAGGGTCATTGACTCCTCGTGCAAAAAAGTGCATGCGTGTGTGCTGGGTCAGATGTGAGGATGCAAACTAGTTTATGTTGGCTTCATTCTGGGATCAGATGGGATCTTGGTCATGGATTTAAGTGACGACAAGCGAGATAGGAACAATAGATTATGTTCCATTTGGATACTTACGACTGAATGACTGGACCTTGGTCTCACCTGCTTGGACACAACTAAAATTATTCTATTCAAATCATGGGATCTGGCGCTGATGTTTACTAGACACCATATTCCAACTGAACGTTCGGCTACTTGAATCATGTCACGCCGATGTGTCTTGTTGGGCGAGATTGAAAATGTACTTGAAGCTGAATCTTCGTAGACTAAACGATAATTAAAGATTTCACATATTGAATATTTAGGCCAAAATATGCTGTTCGTGGCCGGATATGACGTTTTTACCACATTCGCCTCGCTCTTTCTTTAGATAGGAGCCCCCCTCTTATTCATTTCCCTCATTACTAGTAAGATTACGCCTTGGCAGCGGCAGCGGCAGCAGCCGCCTTGTCCTGCTCAAGGAACCAGTTCACGCCACGATCGATGCCCTCCTTCAAGGACCAGACAGGCTGGTAGCGCAGAGCACGCTTGGCCTTGTTGATGTTGTAGTAACGGGTCATGCAGCTCATGATGATAGACTTGCGAGTGAGTGTAGGGGTCTTTCCGAGAATGTTGGCGAGAACCTCGCTGACATAGCCGATGGCGATGCCGACCTCGCGGTTGAGACCCCAATTGCCTTCTGTGCCCTTTTCATAACCGGCGGCACGCCAGATGGCACGGGCAAAGTCCCAGAAGTAAACAGGTGTGTCGTTTGTAATGAAGAAAGCCTCGCCGTCGACGCGCTCGTGATCAAGGGGGATGGTGGGGGAGGCAGCGGTGGCGAGGAGGAGCTGCGCAGCGAGGAGGTGGGCATGCGCGACGTTGCCGACATAGGTGAAGTCGAAGAGGTTCTCGTTGGCGCCGACTTGAATTGTGTGCTTGCCGCGCTTGTAGGCGTTGAGAATGCCTGCAAGAGTCTGGACGTCGCCTTCGCCAAAGATACCAGCGGGACGGATGGAGGTAGTGAGAAGCTTGCAGCCCTCTTGGCGGTTGGCTTTGAGAACGATCTCCTCTGCTTGTGCCTGCGGGTAGTATCTTGTTAGCAAGACAGTCTGGGACGACCTGAATGTGGCGTGAGCAAACCTTGGTCTCTGAATAGTACTCAGTCTGCGCCTCCCCACGAATCAAAGGCCACCTCTCGTCAGCGTTGAGCAGATCAGTGACATTGTCGCTGATGACACTGGCAGAGCTTGTATACACAAGAACCTTAACACCCGTCTTTTGGCAGGCGTCAACAACAGCCTGTGTACCATCGACGTTGACCTTCTTGAACACATCATGGCCGATATTGGGGTTGACAGCAACAGGAGAGGCTGTGTGGATGACAACGTCGGGCTTGAGCTCCTCGAACAGAGATAGAAGCCTCTCGGGGTCGGTGATGTCGCATTCTCGGTACTCGGCATTGGGATTGCGATTGCGCTCGCATCGTAAGTCGACGCCGATAGTGGCAGTGGTTGTCCATTGCTCAAGGGCCTGGTTGACGATGTGATGACCTAGAAAGCCGTTACCGCCAATGACGACAACTCTCCCGAGTGGACCTCTAGATTTTGTCTTTTCAGCCATCTTCAGTGGTGTGTGTCTGCTCTGCCTGCGTATGTTGTGAGAGTACGGTAGCAGTAGGAGTCGAGGAGGTGGGAAGAGTAAGCCAGAGCGAGAGTCTCTTGATAATATCCTGGGGTACGGTCACTGTACGGATAGAGCTAATTTGGTGGTGAGAGCAGGGGTCCTCCTCTGTGTGGCTGATATCTTAGGCTAGTGGGAATATGGTGGGGGTTGTAGCACCTCCACAACTTAGATGCCTACTGTAGCAACCAATCAGTGGATCAGCTCCTTAAATCTTCAGCGGCTTCATGAACTAAGTTACCTCTGTACGTACGTCTACGGCGTGAATCGATATCGTGTGTCACGAGGCTTCACTTCTCCTCTCTCTTTTTTCCTACTACCAAAGGACTACCATAACCACCTACGCTTCTTCTTTCTTGTTCTCTTTTTGCCTGCCTACAACTCCATTCCATATACCTTCACCCTTGTCTCACCTGGCTTGTGCTCTCTTTTACTTGCTATTTTGGACCCCTTTGGATATCAACAACTTCCATTATCGACCTTGGGAACAACATTTCCTCTTCTCTTCAGCACGATTACTCCTCTTCTCTTGGGAAATAGCGTTTTTAGGCGAGAAGCAGTCGACATGCTCAACTGGCATTCAGACTATGGCAAGGAACAGCTCGGACGGCGCAGAGATTCTTGTCCACATCACAGCACCAAGTCGGTCAACCGATGATGTTTCATATCGACAACTTGCCCAAGCTTATCTATCTTTTGAGCCTTGCAGGCGCACACAACTGTCTGTGATAGATTCGCAGACAGTTGAGGAACAACAGCGTGTGCCAGAAAGATATCAAGGGGCGCCATCGCCAAGTCAGACCAGGGTAACAACTTCGTTTGGACGATCATTTGAGATCACATCCCAAGATCTAAGTTTCGAAGGAGCTATAGACAATCGATCATCACCATGTCTACCGCGTGAGGCATTGGCTCGGAGTGCGATCCCCTCATCAGACCATACTGGTTTCGGGTCAATCAACTCCTGGTGTGCGCCTGCGAGTCAAATCAGTGACTCTTATCCCATGCCAGATGCTGCGCTCTTAGACGTTTCACCGTCACGTATACTACACAGCTACGTCCGAAGAACTCAGTCATCGCAGGAACCATATTCGTCGCCAACTGCACATAAGAAGCGTCCTCCGTTACCAGAGTTTGGACAGAGAGTCGATATTCCCTCTTCCCTACCACCTCACAGTCAAGAAGAAACTTGGCCTCTCGAGGCCCCTGGGATCATAAATATCGTACCTACGACGCCACAAACAGACAAAGCAGCCGATGTTCCCATACCCTCGGCGAATACAGAGGTGATAGCCTTCGAGCATTTGGCTCCAGATGTCACTCATATTTCTGGCAGTGTGGTTAGCAACCACTCGCCAGCTCTGTCGCCTCGTGCAGGGTCAGAACCCCCACTATCAAAACGATCCAAGATTGGACACTTGGAGCATGGTGATCTAGTCAGAAGCTCTAGCGATACAGGCCCAGCTCTGTCAACGAGAAACTCGCAGGGAGACCAAGTCAGCAGTAGCTTGGAAATCCGGCCACCATCCCCATCCGTGGGAGTTGACGACATCGATCCTGCAGATTTGATATCTGAGAAGCTCGCAAAACTCGCCCGCGATCTGTCGTCGAGATATCGCCCGACGACAGAACGCGATATCGAAGCCTTCGAGCGAGGATACTGGCTTATCAACTGCAGTGGCTGGGACCCAACTGTCCGGTTTGATACTTGGGTTTTCCTCGCTAATTATCTCAAGAGTGGTTTGGCGGGCTGGGGAACCTGGTGTCGTAGGGACAAAACCCACGACTGGATACGCTTATATTGCTGGGGCCATGTTGCGAAACATACATACTTGCTTCTGTACCTTGCGAGTGGAAGACAAGTCAAGACAAGTGGCGCGAAGTGGTATGGAGCAGATGGTGAAGTTGCTCTGGAAATCCCGCCTTATGAGAAGCAGGGATAAGTCAGATGACTGCTCGCACCAGATTTCAGTTTGGATATTATACTCGACTTGGCATCCTGGGAGGACTTGAACATTCATATCATAAGCGAGGCGTTTGTCGGTTTTTTCCCCTCTTTGGTCTAGACAACGGTTGCCATCAATCATCGCAACTAGATAGAGCTGCAAAGCTTGGTCCTTCAATGTTATAAGACGACATAAATAGACAAAACGCACGTTGCACGAGCCTTTGATTATCAACTATTCCCAAGTGACTGCCAGCTCAGCTGAGTCTGGGTTATGTCATGTCTTAACCAGGGCCATCGCACCATACACGATCCAGCACAAACACAAACAAGAACAAAAATAGACCAAACCAGACCAGACAAAGTCCCCGTTACCATTCCCTTGACCCCTAGCCCTTAATAATCAGTACCATACCATAAATAGATCATAAACACCATGAGTTCCTATACCTGCACCACAGCGATCGCTCACGAAACAGTCATTTGTACATAGAATTTCTCTCTAATCTAAGTGGCAGCACCTCATATTCAATTCCTTAGGCAAGTCCAGTTTCCTGGATGACTTTTGCGCGCGCATCAAGCTTCTCCATCTCGGCTTTGTACTTGACAGATTGGTCAGCGGAGCGCTGCTCATATTGTGCCTTCTCAGTAGGGTTCACGTCCTTCCAGGACTCGCCAATTTCTTTGAACTTGGCCTGGTTAGTCTCAGCATGGCTTTTGTCCCAGTTGTCAACTAGGTAAAGGGAATAAGAGCCTGTAGGGCGCTGAGGCAGACGCTCATCTGAGATTTGCTTGACAGGCTTGCCAGTCAGGAAAGCGAGGCGGCGGCGGGTTTTGTTAGCCAAGTGAATGCGCGCAGGCTCGTGAGTCTCAACCCAAGCTTTGTAAGTCGCGAGGTTCTTCTGGCGGTTGGCAACAGCTCTGCGAGAGAGGTCCTGAGTTTTGTGTTAGCTCATTTAGTAACAGAAGGGGGGGTAGGGGGTGACGCACTTGAAGCTCGGATTCGGTCAGTTGACGGAACTTCTCGGATAGCTCAGTCATTTGTTGGGTGATTCCACCAGTTCCTGTGAGGTTTCCTTTGTTCTCGGACGTAAAAAGCACCCAAGTGGTGGCTGGAAGCATAGCCAGCTTGTCTCTGAGCGCCCATTTCTTAAGCTCCCGGATTTCGAGCTTCTTCGCCTTCTCCGGATCAACCTCCTTCTTGGCCTTCTTAGGCTTTGGCGCAGCAGCCTTGGGTTTTGGCTTCGCCTTGGTCTGGGACTTGGACTTGCTATCAGTCGCCTTAGACTTGGATTTGGTGGTGAGAGTAGCCTTCTTAGGGGTGGTGGTGGTCGTCTTCTTGGCGGCCTTCTTATCGCCGGAGGCAGGAGAGGGGGACCATGCTGAGACGGTGAAGCTGCGAATGGGGAGCGCAGTCTTTATGGTCGACTGGCGGCAGAGCAATTGGGCGGCAGAGGGGGCGGAAGCAGAAAGGCGGGTTGTCTGAACGCGACGGACGGCGGCCCGGCCCACGGAAGTGAGCATTTTGGTATTTGTTACGGTTGAGTTGGAGAGAATTGAAATGAGCGAAGCGATTTACAGTGGCGGCGACGATTAACTGCAAGGCTGAGTTTGTGTACGGTGAGGAATTGGCCTAGTCGAGATGAGGCTGATGGTGTTGACCTAGACCGTGCCTACCTCATGTTTTGCGCTTTGCGGGCAGTTTCTAATTCCAGTGCTGGTCATGGAAGGTGGGCAGGTGCGAGTGGGCTCAACTTCATGCGAGAGCTCCCTGGGTAGTGGTACGTTTCAACCACTTGCGTTATAGCTGGCACCCTAAGTACTCTCTACTTTACAAGCTACAGCTCTTGCAGCTTGCCAATCGATCCAATCACTGCCCCAGGATTGGCTTATGTAATGCCCCTCCACATTCACCCTATCCGCTGGTCGCAGGCTGCCGTTGGACGCGACAGTGAGGTCAAGTCGAGCAAGGCTGGACTAACGAACATCAGCTCTTTCAACTCCATCATCAACTCATCAAAACTGACGACGACGAAAACTATACTCTATACGTACTAAAGATCTCATTCTCTCACGTCGAAGTAACGAATATCCGCGGCATTTCTCTCTCCCCATTTCATTCAACTGCATAGACCATGGATCACCGTCCGCAAGCTTGGGGCCGTGTATGTGCTCCCAGATACTACACCTTCAAGCATGGCTAATTACAAATAAACTGACCTCCAATAGCCTAGAGACGATGTTTACGGTGCCTACGATGCCTCTTTCATGACCGATAATGGTCCCAAGCAAAACACCCAACAGCCCATCGTCACTGGTACCTCCGTCATCGCCGTCAAGTTCAAGGATGGTGTTGTCATGGCTGCTGATAACCTAGGTCAGTTGTATCTGCGCCGATACCTGAATAGAAGCTAATTGTTCCCAGCGTCATACGGCTCTCTGGCCCGATTCACCGATGTCAAGCGACTCCGCTCCTTCGCCGAGTCCTCGGTCGTTGGCTTCAGCGGCGACATTTCCGATATGCAGTATCTCGACCGCCATCTCATCGACCTCTCCCTCGACGAGGCCTACACATCCCCCGACGCTCCCCGTCTCAATGCCGCAAACCTCCACCGCTACCTCGCTAAGCTGCTTTACCGCCGACGCTCCAAGTTCGACCCTCTGTGGAACCATCTCCTTGTTGCTGGCCTCGACGACGATGACAAGCCATTCCTTGCCGCTGCCGACTTACTCGGCAGTACCTACAGTGCCCCCAGTCTGGCTACGGGTTTCGGTTCCATGCTAGCCCAGCCTATCATGCGTCGTCATGTTCCCGACGAGGAGGCCGCTCAGAACTTGGAGAAGGAGGAGGCTATCAAGATCATCAAGGAATGCATGAAGGTTCTATACTACCGCGACGCTCGCAGTTTGGACTCTTACTCGATGGCTGTCGTCACAAAGGAAGGAGTGGAGCTTACCGATGGTCTGCAGCTCGAGGCTCAGAGCTGGGCCTTTGCCGAGAGAATTCGCGGATATGGTACTCAAACTGTCTAAATCCCGTGGCAGGTACTGAAATGGGAGGACCGAGTGACGAAAGTCAGTCACATTTTAATCAACTAGGGAGGCTGCACAAGATACAAGCCAAAACGGCTTGATTGCTGTTACTTTAGAGAAGATTCAGCTGGTACAATCATGATGATGATAATACTTGACAATATGCAGTGAACTTCAATAAGCCACCGATGAAATTCCTTTCCCCCCTCTCGTCCAATAGCCTGGGAACAGGTCAAGACAGGGGAAATGGTAGAGTTGTAAGAACACATCACATCTCATCATTCGAGAGCATGTTTGATGATAGGATATTATGTGTCTCCTCTAGCCCTATGCACTAGGTTTCGTGTATGTGGTTATAAGATCTCTGCCACAAGTCTCAACTACAAACAAGATAGCTCCTGAGTTAACCCAGTCCTCTATTTTCGCTACACAGAGGTATATGGTTGGGATTCTCGGCTATTATAACAACTGATGTTTAATCCAATGCCCTGACTTGTATACTGTTTAAGGAGGGAATAATCTTTCTTTCTTTCTTTCTTTCTTTCTTTCTTTCTTTCTTTCTATCTATCTATCTATCTGTCCTTTGCATTTATGTTAGGGGTGAAGCTTCTTTCAACCTTATGAGCATGACCTTGCCAAAAAGGCCATGCAGCGTCACACAAGATAAGATACCGAAGTCTTGGGCTCTAATGAGTTGATATTGTATATGAGCGGTAGTTTTCTAAAAGTGATAAGAGATTGAAGGCGAGGGCCTAGTGTTTAATCCCGTGCCCATTGCGCCTAAACCTGCAGGGAGACCTGAAATTGGAAAGCTCCCTGACATCTGCCAGACCGACTGGAAAACAAAGCCAGCAATAGAGGCCCTAAAAAAAATAAATAAAAAACTTTGGCACCCCCAGAGTTGCAAGCAGTTCGACATACCTGCTAATGAAACGATTACTAAATTCCCCCGTTGTTTTGCCAGGGAGGAAATCAAGAAAGGGGTTTGGACCTTGCTCCCAACATCTAGGACTACCTCATGCTATGCGGCGAACGATGGTTCAGTTCGCTGCATGGTCGAATGTAGAGATCCAATGAGGCTCTCCATACGCGATTGCAGACGCAGCAGCATTCACAATTATTAGATACCAAATTTATTGTCAATTTGTAAGACTTGATATTCGTGATTACGTTGCCTAGAACTAATGTATCGTAAATAAGCCAACGTGCCTATTCAGCCTCTTCTCGAGGGTTACCATCTAATACTGACCACGACCAGCCTGGTCCCTGGCCTCCCATTTATTCATTTATTTTTGCCAAACACTTCGTTCCATGCTATCCTGGTAGACAAAACACAAAATGCTTGACCAACATGTTCATTGCAAGCCAGTGCAGTCCAAAACCCAACTCCAAATTTCATCATAAGCCTCTTGCAAGTAGCAAAGAGGAACCCAAGCAGCCGCCAAACTCATACTGTACATCGACCATCAGTCAAAACACAGTAACGAGCTTACTCGACAGTGACCGACTTGGCCAGGTTACGAGGGAAATCAACGTTGAGACCCTCAAGAACGGCAAGCCAGTAGGCAATGAGCTGGAGAGGGATAACGTTGAGGAGACCCTGGAGAACGTCGACCGTCTTGGGGATCTCGATCTTCTCGGCTTCAGAAGACTTGAACTCCTCATCAGAGGGGTTGCAGATAACGATGGGCTTACCACCGCGAGCAATAACCTGCTGATAGGCGTTGAGTGACTTCTTGAATAGGTCGTCACGGGTGAGAATCATGATAATGGGGAGGTTCTCGTCGACCAGAGCCAGGACACCGTGCTTCAGCTCACCGGACATGACGGCTTCGCAGTGAAGGTAGGAGATTTCCTTAATCTTGAGGGCACCCTCAAGAGCAGTGGAGAACTGGCTGCCACGGCCGAGAAGGAGGAGAGACTTCTGGTTCTTGAAGTTCTCGCAAAGCTTCTTGATGGAGGAGTCAAGCTCGAGGATGGACTTGATCTGGGCAGAGACGTTGGAAAGACCCTCCATGATCTCCTCGCGGCGAGCCTTCTTGGAAGCACGGTCCTCGCTCAGAGACAGAGCAAACATGACCATGGCAATGAACTGAGAGGTGTAGGCCTTGGTGGAGGCGACACCGATCTCGGGGCCGGCGTTGATGTGGACACCACAGTGGGTAAGGAGAGAGATGGAGGAGCCGACAACGTTAACAATACCGACAGTCAGGGCACCACGCTCCAAGCAGTAGCGGAGAGCCATGAGGGAGTCGGCAGTCTCACCAGACTGAGAGACGAAGACGCAGGTGTCGTCACGGAAGACAGGGGCCTGTCGGTCGAGGAAATCGGAAGCCAGCTCAACGGCGATGGGGATCTCAGCAAGCTCCTCAAAGACACCACGGACAGCCATGCAAGAGTGGTAAGAAGTACCGCAAGCAATGAAGATGATGCGGCGGCATCGGCGAATGGTGGAGATGTAAGAGCGGAGACCGCCAAGGGTGACGGTCTTGTTGGCAATGTCGAGACGACCACGCATGGTGTTGACGACGGACTCGGGCTGCTCGAAAATCTCCTTCTGCATGAAGTGGTCGAACTTGCCCTTCATGATCTCCTGGAGCTCGAGCTCAAGGGTCTGGATGGTTCGGACGTTGGAGCTGCCATCGGCCTTCTTGAGGCGGTGGATGTTGAGGGAGCCCTCGTGAATGTGGGCAATGTCATCATCCTCGAGGTACATGACCTTCTTGGTGTGCTCGACAATGGCCGAAGGGTCAGAGGAGAGGAAGAACTCAGTGGGCATGGGCATGCCATCATCAGTCATGAAAGCACGAGACTGAGATCGGTGGAGGAGAGACTTGTCGGCGGCACCGAGAAGGCCAGTGTCGGGAGCAAGAAGGTCGTTCTTCTTGATGGCAACATTCTGGGAAGCAGCCTCGGCGGGGAGGGCAGCGTTCTCGTCAGAGTATTCAACATCGACAAAGTCGACCTTCATGCGACGCTCGGTCTTGACACCGATGACGAGAGGAGAACCCTTTCGGGCGGCGATAACCTCATGGGGGTAGTGGACGGACTTGATGAGAAGACCATAAGCACCCTCGAGCTCCTGGATAACGGCCTTGGCAAGGTCGGTGAAGCCAATGGAGGGGTGCTGGTCGTGGATGTACTTGGTGAGCTTTGCAATGCACTCAGTGTCGGTCTCAGTCTCGAACTTGAAACCCTTGGCCTGGAGAAGAGTCTTCAACTCCTTGTAGTTGGTGATGATACCATTGTGGACAACGGTGAACTCCCAGTTGACGTCAGATCTGCATTCAAGGGTTTGCAGTTAGCACACCGTGTTCAAAATCACTCTCCCAATTCAGAACTGATCTTCGCATCCTCAAAATGGAACAACGAAGATCAAGAATTAAGCAATCGGGTTGGGAATTTCGGATTTCTCAAACGTACCGGTGAGGGTGGCAGTTGGTGGTGGAAGGAGGACCGTGAGTAGCCCATCGGGTGTGGGCAATACCGGCATGTGAATCAAAGATCTTCTCGAGGTCGAGGTCGGACTCGTCAATGAGCTTTCGGAGCTTGGCGACCTTGCCAACCTCCTTGAAAGCGAGAACCTCCTTCTTCTTGTCGCCGTCGATGGCTAGACCAGCAGAGTCATATCCACGGTACTCGAGACGGGACAGACCTGTTTGCAAAAGGCTGTGTCAGCAACACGAATCTGGGCGCTGATCCCGCGTCTCACCAGTGCATGGCGGGGCGGGGCATGGCTGATGAAAGGGGTGATGAGGGGCAGCTGAGGAGGGGGAAAACATGGGCGCAGCCCATGATTATGATTATGCTTGTGAACATGAGCATGGGATAAGCAATAACTGACCGTTGACAAGAGTGTCGAGAATGAACTTGCGGTCCTTCTCCACCAGGTAGTTGATGTATCCGAAAATACCACTGATCGTAATGGTTAGCTATTGTTATTTTGTTTCACCAATTGAGCCGCGGAATTCCTTCTTTGAGGCCCAGCTTCTCTCTCCCATCCATCGCCTTGAACCATAAACATCCATCCCATCTTAGCCTGCGTCGGTCGCAAGCAAAGAATCGGTGGAAGCTCGGTGGCTGGCGGGGCAGACGAAAAGGCTAGGCGGTAACAAAGGCGGTGACGGCGACGAGGAAGAGGAAGCTTCCTTACCACATGTTGACTGAGCTCTTTGCGGTAGAAAAACGTGGACAATGGGTTCGTTAAGAGACGGTCGGTGAGAGCAGAGCAGAGCCGATAGCGAGCGGATATGTGTGGGGGAGAGTGAGGGAGAGGAAACAGGCGGAAGAGTTTTGGGGATGGGGTATCAAGAAGCAATAAGGTGTAGATGAGGGAGGAGAAAGAGGAGAGAAGAGCAGAACAAGAAAGGTGAGGAGGGAGGAGGAGATGGTTGTATATGTAGTCGTTTGAGCTCCAGTAAGTCAGTCAACTTGCCTTACAACACTGGGTGAAGGCGAAAGGCGGGCAGAGCGGTCTCCGTAGAGGATGGTCCCAGCTTCCCATGGTGTGGAGTCCCTGGCCCGCACCTCAGTGAGGTGAGCATGGAGGCTAAGCTCCCTAATGCTTAGGTATACTCCTCTATAGTTCTCGCTGAAAAGTGACCTGCAACTCAGCAAGGTCTCTCATTCACTTTTGTTCTGCATGCAGGCAGCTTGCTGTCCTGGTGGGCAGAGTGGGGTTGAGGATGACAGTAGCGGGGGTATTTTCGACAGGGCCCAGACAGGGGTGAGAGATTCCATGTTTTTGGTTTGGTCTGGTCTGTAGGTATTTTTATCTGCTCGCTGGTCTCTTTACGGACAATTTACAGATGTTGAGGAACGAACGAACTGGCGGGAAGTGGGCAAGACAGGGGAGCGGTAACAGAGGAATATCATGAGAATACCTACATACATATCGATAACAACCACCTCCTCCATAGCAACTGACCCTGAACTGTGAGGGGCGGTTCGCAGTTTGAGATGGTTCAGGGATACCGCACCATCAGGCGTTTTGAGTTGACTACCTGACCTTGGTCTACAGTTGATGACCTGCCATCATCATACAGCTGAACCAACAGATGACCAATTGATCCTGTTACACGGCATCTGTTATCGTAAACGTGGCAGTAGCTCGCGGCTGTTGAGACGTTAGCTGGAACAGAATGGAAGCCATTGTCAGCCGCGGCTAATGGTTGTATAAGGGTCCAAGACCAAAAACCACACCAAGGCTTCGCCCGCCTCTGGTTGCTTTCCAATGCCTTACGCTCAGACTCGTAATAATCTGCAACAACTACATGTCGAAGTTCTAAGAATACCGATCGCTGTTTGCCTCGCTGGATCTAGCCCGCGCTGTAATGATTCCAGGGCCTGGAAGGCGGTGCCTGAACACCCTGGTGCAACTCCAGGTCTGTCACAGTTCAAGTTAGATCGTGAAGCTTAGGTCCCGTTTACCTCTCTACCTTCGTCATGGCAACGCATCTCGCCGAGCCGCATGTACAGGTGTACCTAAGATGTATGGAACTAACAATAATCTCACAATCCCATTAACTATAGTGACGTCCCAAAGGCAAGTTCCTGATCTACAAAGCTAATATGCTTATGAACTTTGTCTCTTGTACTTGGTGCGGGAAGTAACTCTTGGTAAAAGGTAGCATTCTCTTTTTCACCGCACTCCTTTTAAGTCGAACCATGATCTTTTCTGATGTTACCAAGTTGTTTGTCACTTATCATATCTGCAGAACCCACCACAAACATCGTCATCCACCACTCCTCCGCCTCCACCCTCACTAGACCTACAGCACACCTAAACCAGCCTCACGGGGTTCCCGACTAGCCCGAGCCTTGTCAACACCAACAGAAGAGCGGAAACTTGCAGCTCGTTTCAACTCGTTCTACATTCTACCACTTAGAGGCCAGAAAGAGAAACGGCAGCGTTATCGTGAAGCGAGAGATCTGCGCCTCCATACGAGAAATGTCTCCCCCACTCGCGCCTTTGTTCGTTCGTATTGACTCCCGGCCTAGCCAAGGTCTGAGGGACTCTCAGTCACTCACTCAGTGTTAGACTGCGGAAGCTACCAGTCGGCATTGGTAAATCCCCTGCATCTCTTGCTGTGGAGGGGTGCATATGCAGACATGCAATGCGTGCCCCTGAATTCGCCCGTCGTTTTCTTAAATCCTGAAGCTTATGCTTCCCACACGGTGATGACTCTGAAACATATGGCGTCTATGCAATTGAAGATCAACAGATAGATAATATCACTACAACAACAAGTACATAGCTGACACTGACTTTCTCTGGGGGGGTTCTGTAATCATGGGTACCTGGGCAGTGATGCATTGATGGTCTTAGCAAAGTTAGCATCAGATGGATCGTCCCTAGGTCGTGGGTCTCTCATCCAATACCTTGTGTTTGTGCCTGTGTCGATTCGAAGTTGAATCAGTTCGCTTGGGTTCACTTAAGATTTCACAGCCTCAATCGCCCCAACCAAAAAAATCAATCTCACTAAGAATAGCAACCCGTTCTAACTAGCGCCAACTCCGTTCCGCTCGGCGTTGTTTCCCATCTCAAGTGCAAGCGCGCTTCTTGGCTTGTTTTTCTTCTTCTCGATGTATTCTAGCACATGTTTTTCTCCGTAACATTCATTCCTATCAATCTTGTTTTTCGGTCTTGTTTCTCTTGATTCGCCTTCCGCCGTCGGTTGAGTTGCCGATTAACTAGTTCCGGACCTTAACCAATATATGCGTTGCTATTGTTAGCATCTCGTTATATACGTCATCTTCCCCCAAAACTGAGACCCCCATGTTAAAGATATCAACTCCATGCCTCTCTCCATTTTAGCCTTGCCGTTATCCTCAGGCTTGGGTTCTATAGAGATTACGCTCGCTCTTCTTCAAGGGTGAGCTGTAGAAACAGACCATCCAGCTCTCTGACATCAGCCACGTTGGCCTAACAGCGTCCCCGCTGAGCAGGGCAAGTTCCCACTGTCATCATTAAAGGATGGTGCTTAAGGTGAACCCTGGTCAGTCCTGTTGATGTGGCTGTTTGTTTGTGTGAAAAGGAATCCTTTTACACCAAGTATCTATCTGTCCTTTCTTCAGCACTAACAACCAAGAAAAAAGAGTGTTGAGAATTAAAAATCTATAGTACGATCTATAGCACATTATCAGAAAAAAGTCGCCTTTTGTAGAACCAAAAACGCCAAGCTGAAAATGCCCCTCAGTCCTAAACTTAAAGATGCCATAAGCTCCCTTATCCCGGTGTTCTTGACGCGACCTCACTTCAGCCGTTCATCTTGACTACTTGCTTACTACTACTAGTGGTATAACAGACCTCATCTTGCATAATTCCATAATCTTACTCCCTCCTGAGCCTACTTTGGCCAACCGACAGTCTCACTCAGAAGAATCAGCCTTGCGAGTCAAGGTGGTGGTTTCATGGCATCTTTAGCCTCTCACCAATTGTATCAACACCTTGCGACACAACTCGTGGCAAAGGATCTGGCTGCTTACGTTGCAGGCATTGGCATATGAATCTCACGCTCGTCAAACATGTATTGTGATAGTCGCAAGAAACTTTCCTGCTTTTCCTGGACGCCATGTACATTCCTGCTTCTGGGGCTGAGCTAATCTATCGCTGTTTGCCCTGACTCTATTGTACAGTCTCACACGGATTACCTAGCAACGCTGGACCCATCAACTTCCATCGTCCTTGGGTTTCCGTGCACCTTTCCGCTGTTATGTCTATCCATCTTGGTCTGGCATGACACACCCTTCCGCCGCTTACAGCTTCTGGTACTCAAGCTTGCCCTCCAACTTCTTGGATTCTGCGACCTTGCGAACAGCCTTGTTGAAATCGTCCTGATTGATCGAGTCTCGGTAGTCCTTGATAGCAAATAGACCGCTGTATGCATGTCAGATTCATTAAGCTCAACTTCTTTTGCTTTACTGTGTGGGGATGAAAACTTACGCTTCAGTAACCACATTTCGCAAATCAGCACCGTTGAGCCCGTCACTCATCTTCACCACACTTTCGAAATCAAGGTCTCCATCGACTACCACGCTTTGTGAGTGAATCTTGAGAATCTCGAGGCGTCCGACCTCGTTAGGCAGAGGAATCTCAATCTTTCGGTCCAGTCGACCAGCACGAAGAAGCGCAGGGTCCAATGTGTCAGGTCGGTTGGTTGCCATGATGATCTTGGTTTTGCCCAGATAGTCGAAACCATCCAGCTGGTTGAGCAACTCCATGAGTGTTCGTTGAATTTCACGATCAGCACTGGTGCCCTCGGAGAAACGACGACCGCCAATGGCATCAATTTCGTCCATGAAAATGATACAAGGCTCATGCTCCTTGGCATAGCCAAACATCTCACGGATCAGTCTTGCAGATTCTCCAATATATTTATCGACAATAGCGGAAGAAACAACTAGTTTACTGTCAGTGCTACCATTCATGTAATAAGATCAGCGCGTGACCCATACCCTTCAAGAAGTTGGTCTCTAGACTGCTAGCAACTGCTCGTGCCAGTAGAGTTTTTCCAGTTCCGGGAGGGCCATACAACAGGACACCCTTGGGAGGTTTGATGCCTACTCGGAGGAACAGTTCGGGGTTCTTGAGGGGAAGCTCGATGACTTCTCTAAGTTCTCGAATCTGATCGTTCAGTCCACCGATACCAGCAAAGCTGACTTGTCCTGGGTCCTCCAGAGACATGTTGTACACCAAGGGGTCGACTTCGCGGGGAAGCATTCGCATGATGGTGAGTGTCGTCATGTCGAGAGCAACGCGGGTACCTTGCTTGAGCTTGACCTTGTCGACCTTTGATCTGCATCCGACAACATATCGTGGTCCCGATGAGGCCTTGACGATAACTGCGAGTATAACCGTTAGTATGCGTCCATCTTGTACGAGTCCACATGTTGTTCGCCCTCACATCGTTCGTCATCAAGCTGTTTCAGTACCTCGCCGATGATCTGTCCCACACTCTGTAGCGCCTTGATGTTGTCCTCGGTCTTGTCAAACTCTCGCTGCATGTCCTTGATTTCTAAGCGCAGATTCTTGAGCTTTGCCTCCCATTCTCGCGACTCCATGAGTTTCGTGCGGTAGGAGTTAAGGGCAGCCTGGCGCTCGTCTTCGGCAGACATTGTGAATAACTTTATTCCGATCCTATTTTCGTGAGTTGTATGTTGTTAATGTTTCTTCTTTCTTGACAATTCGTCGGTCTTGGGCGTCGTCTGTCGGGTATCGAAAGCTCGGTTTATATTGACGGAAAGGTGTTTGGATGGTGATGGTGGTTGCTCATGGGAGATAGAGAGCTTACCTCACCAGCTGGAGCCTTCCACTAGCGGGCTCGAGCTGCACCGGCAGAATCTCGGCATATGCTACGCGCAAAGCTCCCTAGTTACCTGACGTATCTCATCCAGCTTAGGTAGTTGAAGAAAACAAAGTAAAGCGTGACTCAATCTCTGAATGTCTACACTGTGACAATGCATAGAGTGTGATAGATCTCGATTTATTTGGCTATTTTACCTGCATCTTCTTTTTTCTCAAGTATACTGCATACCTATTAAAATACCATTGAGTCCACTGGTGAGCCTAAACTGTTCACTATTTGGGGCATACCACCCTACCAACGTATTTTGATTATTTTGTCAGAGCTTTATTACCTACCCTGCGTCACTCAGTCGATTCTTGGAACAGTGGTACCTGAATAGAGACAACGATGCTGTAAAAAAAAAAATTTAATAAATATATATTGCATTTGGCTATCGAAGCGAATGCACCTCTCATTGATTCTTTGCATGTAGGACGTGGCTAGGTCATAGTGCACCATGAGCGGCAATACTTCTCAAAGTTTGATGCAACAAACCATCATGCGCCCATCGTCACTACCCTGCATATGAGCAGCAACCTACACTGTTGCACTAAGGTATACCGGAAAGCAGACGTGCTACTGAGATATAGAAAGACACGGTACAGTTAGCACGCATAGGTACATGTTCCTACATATCAGGTCACTCACCACCTGCATGGCATTTGTGGATGCAAATACCTTCAGCATTTCCCCTAGGTAGTGGCCGATTTTCCGACCTCAAAGACGATAGCATATTGAGGAATTTCGTAGCTCTCATTATGTATCTAATTTACTCAGAAACATGATTTTTGGTACACCCCGACCCAACCTTAAGCTTTGCGCGCATAGCGCATCGTGCCTATTGCTCGTTCGTCCTAAAGATGGACAAGGTGTCGGGAAGAGCAGAAGGTGTGCCGATTTCAAAATGAAGGGCCAGAATACACCCAAGTGATGGCAAGGACCAAGAAATTGGCTAAATGATCCCTTAAATAGCTGGAGACGGCTTGCTGATGATGTTGAGTTGGGCATAGGTCACAAAAATATGTATCTTCGTCATCCGACTTGGCATCAAAGGTCACAATGTCCTGGTGAGAAGTAGTTTACCCAGAAACGCAGCCCTGGATGTACCAGCGGCTGTTCGAAGCACCTTGACTTGCAGTGATAATTTTCGAGTCGAAGTCGCACAAACTGTCTCAGTCCTTCTTTTCACCCTCGTCGTCAGTGGTCGCCTTCTTGGGCTCACCCTCAGCGTCGAAACCGAGTGCATCCAACTCTCTAATGAGTTCATTGATTTTGATGACCTTTGCGATTTGCTCGGGGAGTAGAGCCTCACCACCTTCCTTCTTGTTCTTGAGGTCCTTAGCCTGCTTCAACTTCTTCTTAAGATTTCGGGCCTTTTTCTCGCGCTCAACTTCGGGATCGACTTCCTCGGGCTTGGTCTCTTCCGCAGGGGCTGGAGCATCACCCTCTGCAGCCTTTGCCTTTTTCCGAGCCTCACGACGCTTGGCGTTCTTGTTGCTTGCAGCCGAGCTTTGTTCGGAGCCCCCTTCCTCCAAGCCCGTGGCACCTGGGATGCCAATCTTCTTACCGCGCTCGCGAAAGGCCTCGGCAGTGCGGTTCTTGTAGACTTCGACATCCTCGGGAGGGCGGTATCCCGGACGAATTTTGATAGCTTTCCGGGTACTGCCATCTGCGCGGACAGACTGCGGGATCTCTCGGTCACCACTGTTCTCGTCGGTGACAATACCCGCGTTCGAGGGCTGCGAAGGCATTGCGAAAAAGAGATGGAGCGGAGGGAGAGCCAATTCAATTCAAGAGAGCGCCTGAGTCCGACGCTGGACGTTGTCGCAGGCGAACAGGGTTTGAAATCTGCTCGGCAGGTACCGAAGCAGGTTGAGAGCTGGAACTCGGCTTGGAGGGGTCAAGATAGAGGAGGGGCTGCGAGTGGCTGAAAGCAAGCAGCGCCACATGCATGTGGCTACATCTGGGATGATACAGGATTATGCACAGATGCAGCCTTGATTGAGTACCATTGCATGATTTATGCATTGTAATTGTGTTTCATCATGTTGCCTCGATTGTGTGCCAACCCATGATCACATTTGCCCAAGCACGCCTGTGTCCTGTTGGGGAAATGTCGGCCAGGGCTGTGGGAGCCAAGCTGTTAAGTAGTACTGGACACAAGCAACAAGGGAGTATCCCTGCTAACTGAGCTTATTTGAGCCGGGGCCCTCTCATTGGTAGATGTTTCGAGCTTGATGCCCTGCAGGGTGCCTTGTTTCAACCTTTCCTCATGTAAAACGGTAAAAGGACGTATGCCCACGTTGCAGATGTGCCCTGGTGTAAGCGACATAAATCCTCTGACCTGTCGTGTCTGAAGAGTGCCTACGCAGCCTCACTTCCTAATTTTCTTATTCCTCAGCTTTCTTCTCGAACGTGTCTCGCTACATCATGAAAAGCTTTGCTGAACTATGAGGGTATGTTGATAGTTCTGGATGATCTGGCTGGTTATCATGTAAGACCACAAGAGAATGGAAGGATCTTCACGTCCTACGTAGCCCATACGGAGTGCAAAAAGCCACATGCTGTACATGGCTGGACCCCCCTGTGAATGGAAATGGTGTGCTGCCACAGCTTAAGATTAACACACCGTTATTTGATGAGCGTTGACCAAGGCTTCTTGCATAACGAGAATGACTTTCACATATTTGGCCCCTGTCAAATCACTGCAATCAGTCACTGGCTGCCTCATGCATAGGTCGTGGCAGGTTGAGAACCTACGGAATTACGCCTAATGGCAGCCTCTCGCACGACTTTGCTTGTGACAGGACGGATACAGGTCAAGGCTCGCCTCCGCTAGAAGTGTAAGCAGTGCTGTTTGGTGAGTGTGTTGGTCACATCAAAAATAAGGTTGTTTGAACCAGATTGTGTGCTTATTAGGCATATTGTTTTGTTAGGTATTTTTTATGCCACTTCGTGTTTGGAGTTTGATATTCGAGACTTTCTCCCAAGTGTTCCATCTTTGTTTGCGTATCACTACCGAAGACTTGACCTATGATCAACTAGCTTTATCGTCCTTTGAGCGTCATTAATTGGATGTATGTGATTGTTGTTTACGCGAAGCGGTCTCATTCACATACCACGCGTCTGTGTTTCTGGTTGAAATGGACTCTTGATATTACTTATACATCTGAACATCAAGGAACGACCTACTTAAAGCTTAACATCTTGTTCCTAGTAAGGGATATTAGCAGTGCGCCATTGCGTACGGAAGTCCCTTACTCTTGGGCCAGCACACCAAGAATAGGTAAGGTGAGGTAAGGCTAGTAACCAGCATCCAACAGATACCTTGTCACAACAAGGATGAATCGGGGATTATTTTGCTTCAACAAGTACTAATCATGTATCTAACCGCTGTTGCATACCTTATATGAACTCAACAATGTCCCATCGGTCGCATTACAATCTGCCTTACACAGTGTACCAATCACTGGCAAGTGCTTCCGTCTGTGTCATTGTCTAAGTCGGCAACTTGCTTTTCTTGCCCTTCCTCTCTCCAGAGACTTAAGAACCAAACTTCACTCATAACATAAAAGGAGGCCTCTTAATCGTGGCATTCTTGTTCTGCTTTTATACTACCCTATTTACTAGCTGCCAAGGCTTTCCCAGGAGTTAGTCGATTATCAATCTCGATCTTGAAGCTCCAACACTCGCCACCATCGCCAAGATGGCAGCTCCTGATATATCGCAGGAAGCCAAAGTCCCTGAAAATGACCATGTTGCCACCAAATCCAGCCTACTAGACACTTCAGATGCATTGACTCCAGACCCAGGCAATGAGGACATGTTCAGAACTGAGCAAAGCAAATTTGCTTTCAGCCCAGGCCAGCTTTCTAAGTTGCTCAATCCCAAGAGCCTCAACGCCTTTTATGCTCTTGGGGGAATTGATGGTATGGAGAAGGGACTGCATACAGATCGCAATGCTGGCCTCAGTACCGACGAGTCCACAGTGGATGGAGAGGTCGCATTCCACGAAGTTGCGCCAAAAGGAACACCAAAACATGGGACGGCCGGCGATGCAATACCGGAGAGTAATGCTGAAGCAGCAGTTCATATTCCTCCTCCTGAGGACCCCAACCCTACTGGGATATTCTGTGATCGAAAAAAGATCTTCAGAGACAATCGCCTTCCTGATAAGAAGACAAAATCCCTCTTGGAGATTGCCTGGACTACCTATAACGACAAAGTTCTCATTCTCTTGACCATTGCGGCGATTATATCACTAGCTCTAGGCCTTTACCAAACCTTTGGAGGTGAGCATAAAAAAGGGGAACCCAAAGTTGAATGGGTTGAGGGTGTCGCAATCATCGTTGCTATCGTGTAAGTAAATGCTCCAGACACGCCAAGACTTGCAACACTAACAGGAGCGGGCAGTATTGTTGTGCTGGTCGGTACAATCAACGATTGGCATATGCAGCGACAGTTCACTCGACTCACCAAGAAAACCAATGATCGTATGGTCAATGTTATTCGTTCAGGGAAGTCCCAAGAGATATCCATCAACGACGTAATGGTCGGGGATGTCATGCATCTTGCCACGGGAGATATCGTACCAGTAGATGGCATCTTTATTCAAGGCAGCGCCGTCAAGTGTGATGAGTCCTCAGCTACTGGAGAGTCGGATCTGCTCCGAAAGACACCAGCAGCAGATGTTTTCGATGCAATCCAGAAACTCGACACCAAGGAGGCAGAGAAGCTCGATCCTTTCATCATCTCAGGAAGCAAGGTCAATGAGGGCAATGGAACATTTCTTGTGACTGCTGTGGGTGTCAATTCCAGCTATGGCCGAATCTCAATGGCCCTCCGCACCGAACAGGAAGACACACCTCTGCAGAAGAAGCTTAACATCTTGGCAGATTGGATCGCCAAAGTAGGTGCTGGCGCCGCGCTATTGTTATTCGTCGTGCTCTTCATCAAGTTCTGTGCTCAGCTTCCAAACAACCGCGGATCTCCCTCTGAGAAGGGTCAAGAATTCATGAAGATTTTCATCGTATCAGTCACTGTTGTTGTAGTGGCTGTCCCGGAAGGATTGCCCTTGGCAGTCACCCTGGCACTGAGCTTTGCGACTGTCAAGATGCTCCGCGACAACAATCTCGTTCGAATCCTCAAGGCCTGCGAGACGATGGGAAATGCCACGACTGTTTGCTCTGATAAAACCGGGACACTTACCCAGAATAAAATGACGGTAGTTGCCGCCACACTTGGTAAAACCACCAGTTTCGGCGGTACTGATCCGCCAATGGACAAGTCCTTGTTCATCGAACGGAAGGCTTTCACTGTACCCAATGTCCCAGACGCCGACTTCGTGAATGGACTAAGTCAACAAGTCAAGACTCTACTCATCCAGTCCAATGTGCTCAACTCAACGGCCTTCGAAGGTGACCAGGACGGTCAGAAGACATTCGTCGGTTCTAAGACTGAGGTTGCTTTACTTACCTATTGCCGAGACCATCTGGGAGCTGGGCCAATCCAAGAGATACGATCGTCTGCCAATATCGTGCAGACAGTGCCTTTTGATAGCAAGAACAAGTACAGTGCTGTAATTGTTAAGCTGCCCAGTGGAAAGTATCGAGTATACGCAAAGGGCGCTTCTGAGATAATGCTGGAAAAGTGCACCAAGTGTCTCGAAAATGTGTCGCAGGGGGAAACGATGTCGGTCCCCCTGAATGAAGCCGATCGAGACATGATCGGTATGATCATTAGCTCCTATGCAGGACAGACTCTCCGAACCATCGGGTCATCATATCGCGACTTCGAATCTTGGCCACCTGAGGGAGCTGTCTCCCCAGATAACCCGCAATACGCAGACTTCAATGCTGTGCACCAAGATATGACGCTGATTGGAATCTACGGTATCAAAGACCCGCTGCGGCCGACTGTAATCAGTGCTCTTGAGGACTGTCGCCGGGCTGGCGTCTTTGTAAGAATGGTAACTGGTGACAATATCCAGACAGCCTCCGCTATTGCCTCTGAATGTGGTATTTTCCGTCCTGATGAAGGTGGCATCGCGATGGAAGGCCCCGAATTTCGAAGACTTCCACCTGAAGAGCTCAAACAAAAGGTGAGACATCTTCAGGTTCTGGCCCGCTCAAGCCCCGAAGATAAACGGATCCTGGTCCGTACCCTTAAAGATCTCGGGGAAACAGTGGCAGTGACAGGCGATGGAACGAATGACGCGCCAGCTTTGAAGATGGCAGACATTGGATTCTCCATGGGCATTGCTGGAACAGAAGTGGCTAAGGAAGCATCGTCGATTATCCTTCTTGATGACAAGTAAGTGAGCGGTTCTTATACCACAGCAGGACACTACTGATGACTTGCAGCTTTGCTTCCATTGTCAAGGGCTTGATGTGGGGTCGTGCCGTTAATGATTCTGTCAAAAAGTTCCTTCAGGTAAGCTTGAATATACGGTAACCATGAAGCTTAGCTGATCAGATGATGGTAGTTCCAACTGACTGTCAACATTACAGCCGTGGTATTGACATTTGTCTCAGCTGTTGCAAGCAGCAAGCAGGAATCTGTTCTCAACGCTGTTCAACTCCTTTGGGTCAATTTGATCATGGACACCTTTGCAGCCCTTGCATTGGCCACAGACCCCCCTACGAGGAGTGTCCTCGACCGGAAGCCAGATCGAAAGTCGGCGCCGCTCATTACATTGAGAATGGCCAAGATGATCATAGGACAGGCTATTTGTCAACTTGTTATCACATTCGTGTTGAATTTTGGTGGAAAGACCCTTTTAGGCTGGTACCGAGACTCCGAACACGATACCAAGCAGCTCAAGACACTCGTCTTCAACACATTTGTCTGGTTGCAAATTTTCAACGAAATCAAGTATGTCCCGAAGCTTTGATAAGCGGTGCTTCACTAACCAAGATGTTAGCAACCGTCGGTTGGATAACAAGCTCAACATCTTTGAAGGTCTCCATCGCAATGTTTTCTTCATCATTATCAACCTCATCATGATTGGAGGCCAAGTCCTCATCATTTTCGTAGGTAGTGATGCCTTTGAGATTGTTCGCTTGAACGGTAAAGAATGGGGACTATCAATCGGCCTAGGTGCCATCTCTGTTCCGTGGGGTGCACTAATCAGACTATGTCCCGATGAGTGGATTGCTGCGTGTCTCCCAGGCTTCCTCCACAGAAGATGGATTTCACCTCCCG